CTTTCTTAGCCTCGCAATGTGTGTACCGATCATATGGAAGGTAGTTAGAAGAGCTGGCGCTTGTCGCAGAAGAGATGGATAGACATCCTCGAAAGGCGCCAGAGATCCATGAGGGGCTTCACTATTTGCTTGACGTGTCAGTTCAGCCTAGCTCCCCGTGCGTATACTACCCCACCTTTCCCCCTTGTCTGCCCTCTCAGCCGTGTTTGCGAAATCACACTGCAGGCTACCCTGTCACAGTATATAATGGGTACATATCTCCATAGGATGAAGGAAATCCAATCCTGCGTAGCGGACAAAATCAGAAAATAGTCAGGACGAATTAAGTTTGTATATCTTGGCCCTTAACCACAATCCGAATTAAATAAAAAGCTAGGGTTGCATTTCCATATGCGCTAGTGGAGCTGGGCATGTATCTTGCCGATGCAGCGTCGGATAAATATGCACGACTTCTTGTCTTTTCCACTCAGGAAGAAGCCTCCCAGTAGCGGAAATCCAGCCAACATAGATATCTGGATGCTTACTCTCGAGTTATTCCTTTGAGAGATCCAATACTGTATCATGTTAACTTGATCACTCAAGCTGTGGGGAAAGCAACCCTGTGCTCGATGAATCTACGAGTCAAAATGATAAGTAAAGGGAGTTGTTTGAGATTGGCAGATTGGCTCAGGTTGACCTGATTACTAGCATTGAAAGCCTGGGAATGGACGGTTACACTTTTTTCAAGGGTTCCCTATCAGGTGACAGCTGTTTGGTGTCTTTTCGGAGTCTGCAACCTGTCTTGTTGGGTTTTCTGTCAAACACTCTGGTAGTCTAAAGCAACCAATGGCCAGCGCTGACGATTTCAGTATGTCAAGACCTCCAACGGTCTTCTCACACTCTTCTTTGTAGGCTGAATTATTTATTCGTTAAAGACTCGAGTGAATAGTCTTCTGCCCTTGACAGTATCTTTTCGAGAGTCGCGCGAGAGACCATATAATGGTATCTAGACCAAGACTTCATGTGCCCAAGCTTATCTCCGGTCAATGGATTAGTAGAATCGCTGAGGCTACCCATGTAGCTCAATGCCTTTGATATGCACAAGAGCCCTTGGGGTATAATGGAGTCATCAGCCATCAATAGATTATCGGTTGCCAGAAGAACCGTCAGTCCCAAACCATTGAGTCTCTGTAGATGATAGAGGGCTGCGTAATAAGAATCTGACGATTTTTGACTATTTTTCACTGAGTTTCTCTCAATTACTGGGAATACTTGGCAGGGATCGCAGAGACACAGTGGGATACTGAACCCCCAAGTCTGGCCAAGAGTTTCCATCCTTTTTCTGTCGCTTATCCTTTCAGAGCGCCGAGAGAAACCCCCACGGAGAGTCGGTAGATTTGAGTTGATCCTTCTTCAGAAGATACCTGGCAGTGAGTAGAATGCTCAGGCTGATGTAGAGACTGTGCTACTGAACGGCCATTTTTAAAGGATCTGTAAGTTCATTTGATCGACACCAGTTGCCTTCTATTGGCTTCATAGTTTGATTCACTTCATGGGCACTTAGGGCGATGAATGAGTAGTGTATCGATGCCGCGTTAGTAGGTGGGGGTATATCTGTTGAGATTCGGTAGATGAGGCGTATAGATAGTATGTACACAGTAGGGAAAGAGCAAGTTAAGGATATCGTGATGCAGGGCCCATGTGACGTGATTATACAACGTTAAGCAGCTTTAAAAAAAGGACGGGAAAGAAAAAACAAAGAGAGAAAACCCGAAACAATGGAAATGCAGGTGTGACAATTGTTCAAGCCAAGAATGTATATCCAAACGCCTGGATGATCATGATTTTAATTTTTTAGTAAAATAGATTATGATTATGCAGCAGCATACGCACACCGAAGGAACGAACCCCCGCGATCGGCGCCCCGCTGTTTCAGTGTTCGGCATTGACAGCCACATCCTTTCCTTTTCACCCCTCCCGATCCCTCATCACAATACTTGAAAAAAAAAAGTATATCCTTAATCTCCTCAACTGTTTTCTTCCTAATAACACTATCCTCATTCAATCTACCATCAACTCTCCGCAACAATGGCAACCAAGGCTACGTATGTCCACACTCCCCTCCCCACCACGGGTGTGCCCCTCCATACCCAGCCCGCGGTCACTAACTTAATTACCAAAAGGAACATCACCTTCCACGCCAGCGCCCTGACGCGCAGCGAACGTAGCGAACTCCGTAACCAGCGCGGTCTCACAATCTGGCTCACCGGTCTTTCCGCCTCGGGCAAGTCTACCATTGCCGTCGAGCTCGAGCACCAGCTCCTCCGAGACCGGGGCGTTCACGCCTACCGTCTCGACGGTGATAATATCCGCTTCGGGCTCAACAAGGATCTCGGCTTCAGCGAGAAGGACCGCAACGAGAACATCCGCCGGATCGCAGAGGTCGCCAAGCTCTTCGCCGACAGCGCCTCCATCGCTATCACCTCGTTCATCTCGCCCTACCGTGCAGACCGTGATACCGCGCGCAAGCTGCATGAAGTCCCTACCCCGGGCGAGGAGACCGGTCTGCCCTTCGTTGAGGTCTTCGTTGATGTCCCCGTTGAGGTTGCCGAGCAGCGTGACCCCAAGGGTCTTTATAAGTTGGCTAGGGCGGGTAAGATTCCGGAGTTCACCGGTATCAGTGCGCCTTATGAGGAGCCTGAGAAGCCCGAGGTGCATATCCATAACCATGATTTACCAGTCCAGGATGCTGTTAAGCAGATTGTGGATTACTTGGATGCCCAGGGTTACTTGCCTCCTAAGAAGGAGTAGATCTTCTTTTGTGTTTCTTTTTTGATTGTATGTGGGTTTGTTCTTGTGGATATTTGCGGACTAGATTGGTTAGATCGGTGATCTATACATAGAATTTTACACCCTTTTTGGGGCTTCGATTGTGTTTCGTTCAGATAGTCAAGATATGATGCGAAGCAAGTAAGCAAAGTATATACGCTACAAAACAAGGTATCAAGTGTACCGTACCCAGACAGATATCCACAGGATCTTGCCCCCCTAGTTGAGCTCGAACTCATAGTACACGTATGCTGTGTATTCGCCGCCTCCCTCGTGTACTTCGCTGGGGTCATCTTTCTTGACTCGACCCTTCTTGTCCCGCCCGAACGCATTCCCGGCGAGGTAAGAGTACTTCTCATCCAGGTTGTGTTTCGCCTTGTCAGCTTGCTTGGAACCCGGTGTCTACATCATGTTAGCCCTAAACCGTAAAGACCACTAATTGTAAAGACATACCCGGATAAGAGTGCAAACGAAGTCAAGAGGAAGACCGTAGCGTAGTACGGTCTCAACAAACACACGGAGAACGAGAACATGGATCCAGACCATGACGGCCTCGCTCCAGGCCGTCCGCCCGAGCCGCAGTGTCTCGCCCCAGAGTTTGCGCTCGTCGCCTCCTACGCGCTCGACTTCCCTGCGCTCCTCCTCCTTTCCACCTTCCACGTACTTGAACTCACGGGGAATCCACTTGTGTTCACGGGCCTTGTGGACAAACTCCAAGCTGTGTTTCTTGAACGTCGTGACGGCATACAGCGTGAATTCGTCATCCGAAGCAACAAACGTCGCAGACCGGGGTACCACCATGGGCGAAACGGTTTCGTACGTCTTGAGGAACTCTTTAACCTGTTGAGCTGGGACGGCAACAAGATGTGTCTCGAGGTATTCCGAATTCTGGACTACACTCCGGGGATCGACAACTGATGCGAGGGACTTAGTGGCCAGGTTACCTCTACAATAGACGTCAGTATCACGTAGGTATAGATTAGGAGAATATCACACGTTTGCTTTCGTTGGAGAGTGGCCAGGGTGGTCTTGACTTGATTGTACTGGGAGTACTTGGACCTGATGTCATTGTCGATGCTGGCAGCTTCCTATTCACAGTTAGACACCCCAAGTGACCACTTAGGCATTTTTTAGGGGTATACCTTCTGGAGAAGGTCGATAAGCTCACCCAAAGACTTATCGGCCCTATACTTGACTTTGTTCCACGTAAAGGTCCGCAGGTACTGATCCACCGGTTCTAATGACACGACGTTAGCCCCTTCTTCAATGCCGGACCACCTGTCCGGAGCAAACCATACTATCATTCACAGCCTTCATCTTGCTGATCTGCGATTCGTCACCCTCCAAAATATTCTTCAGCGCATCGCCGACCTTGGATACAACACCCTGGCAGGCGGTCTCAAGTTTGGCCAGCTCATCGGCCTGCTGTACTAAGGCATCTAATGTTCCAATTTTGAACTCGGGAATAGGGAACGGGGCGACCGATCCATTTTCCGGGGCGACGGTGGCAGAGACAGCGTCGAGAGCGTCGTCGCGATGGTGAGACGGGGTGATGGAAGTGGGGAAGGACACGAGGAGGTACTTGGTGGGTTTGGACATAGTGACGAAAGATCCCAGTTGTACTGGCGAGAAAGGGGTTTAATCGAGTAGAAGGTAATGACCTGTTGCCACGCTCAGCAAGCGGGCATGAGGCAGTCGAATGGAGAAAGCGGACAAGGAGGAGGGAGGCTGGGAAGTCTGGCCGTCGGTCAGTGTCGTGAAGTTAAGGTGTTGGAGAGCTTCCCAGCTGCGGATCCCGGGAGGCGGTCGGCGGCCAGTTAAGGTCACGCCTATGAATTATATACTAAATTGGCGTATGTTTACACCTTGCCGATGAGTAAAATCAGTCACACTTTTTCTTTGTAGTGTGCAGTATCTTATGTTTTGCCTGTTCGCATATGTGACCTAAAGACATTCCGGTCGGTCCTGTCCTAGAGGAAGAAGTGTTGTTCAATTAAAGCATATATGAATTGCCCTGTTCTCATACTGCTGGGCTACGTCTAAGAACTAACCAAACCAAATACTATACAGTCACTATATACAGTTTCACTGAAACAAACCAGTCTCCAACCGTCTATACGCCTATCCAATAAATGCATATGTCACGTTATTTAGATTCCAGAAATCGACTCGATCTCATAGTAACGGAGACTCTAGTTAGTGATATTGTATAAACTCGACATGGCCTGGAAAGAAAGGATATTAGCTTCCAGTCTTGATTCATTTGGGCTGATAAACATACCGCAGCTTGTTTGGGCTCTATAAACAAAGCCTTTGCCTCAACCAAAACCGCGGGCTCCTCACCCTCCTTCGGCAGAGTCTCAATGCGCGCCTCCACCCAGGCTTTACGACCCTCGACCTTCACAGTCTCAGCCCGCAGAACAGCATAGGCCTCCGCCATAGCAGGGCGCCGGTAGTCGATGTTTAGATTGGCCGTTACGCCCACCTTATTCGGCAGAGCGGGGAAGCAGCACCGTGCCATCGCCTCGTCGAGCAGTGTGGCCAAAAGGCCGCCGTGGACAATTCCCAGGTGACCACTGATGGCGGAACCGAGGTAGAAGATTGAAACCAGGCTCTTTCCATCCTTTTCAGAAAAAACATGTGGCGGAACAACAATTCGATCTGGACCCGAAAGTGTGCCCGCCGTCAGATGGCGGTCGCGCAGTTCAGCGGGGATTTTCAAATGCGGCCGGGACTCGGTGAAGGCAGGGTTCTCCCGCAGCGCCACGGCTATCGGATGGGTACGGATGAATTCGTCGACCTCCTGCGAGAACTGGTCGGGGGGGACGAATGCAGTGAGGGATTCCTCATCTGTACGCAGAGTGACCGTCATCATGCGAGAAACGGTTTTTTGGGTTTGGTAAACGAGTCCGGCAGTGAAGGCTATTAATGCAATGGATGTAAAGCCCACAAATCGGCGTAGACGGGACCGAGGCTTAGATGTCTGAGGAGGAAATGGCGATGCAGCTTCTGAAGCAGGGATAGAGTGATTAGCAGTGAGATCCGAGGTGGAGGTAGGGTGCAGTACCAGAAGAATAGAGTCGCTGGGAAAGATTTCGAGGTAGAGAAACCTTCCCAGGGCGATGCAGGAGCCATTGGGCTTTTATAGGACCGTTCGACTTAAGACAGAGCTTGGTCGTAGTGGGGACAGCCCGAAAGAAGGCAGAGGATGGGACTCGCGGCATGGCGACAATGAGATCTAGGCTTGCACACCAGGATGGCAAAAATATGAGTTCGTCAGAAGGGCTCTCAGCCACCAAACGGCCCTGAGAGGAGCTCAATTGATATTTCGGGAGCTCCCGGTGGAATTTGTCTGCGTATCTCTCACCCCAACTGAGTGGTGAAGGACTCAACTCTCAACATGGCCTGAAGATTGGGTGCCCTTCTGATTGGCGGTAGGGGCGGCGGATCACTGGACTTTAAACCTCGGCTCATTTTGACACTCTTTGTTTATCACCACCGACAATCCTCGGTCTTGCGCCGAAGTCATGCGAAACTGTTGAGGCTCAGTAACGACACGGGGGATAAATCAACGAGTTGTCTGCATAAGTTTTTATGTATGTGACAGTCCGGAAGCGTTCGGTCCGTCTGCAAGAAGTTAAAACCCCTCGAACATGAACATCACATATTGTTTCGCGACAAGGGTCACCCAACTGGAACGAAACTGGAAGATCATCTGAGGCAGATCATCGCCTTTCTGTGGCCCCATGATGGCTGTTTATATTATCGCAACTATTGAACGTAAATGAACTTTTAGCGCCACATCCTGCATGACACTGAACTGATCACAGTCCGAACCATTCAGAGGCATCGCACATATCCTAGTGCATTGATCAACAGGGGCATACATACCGTTGAAATTAATGGCGGAATGCCTGTCGCCAATATTGATACGTATGGGGCCCATGCACAGTGCATACCTGCACCTAATACTCCGTAGAACCATGGGCTTTCCCCTGGAGTCCATTCCCCCTTGGATGGCATGCATAAAGTACCTCTCACCCAGCATGCCAGGAAGGAGCATTCCTGATGGTCCATAGTCATCCCCCTGATCCCATAATTGATCACCCCTCATGGTTGTCATGACACGTTCCTTCGATTTGTTATAAACTGTTAGAATAATTGTTATCAATGGCGTCGTCTGTTCTCTGGTCGATCTTTATCGCTACTCCGCTTGCCCTGGGCTACACAAACCCTCGCTCTATTCCAATCCCTGAAGACTACGATGTACTGCAATATGTTGACCCGCTTATCGGAAGTTCGAACGGAGGTATAAATTCTTCCAGTCGAGTCGAGTCTCAATAACAAACATTGTGATTGGCATCTGATTACCCGTATTCTTTAGGGAACGTCTTCGCCGGCGCGTCACTTCCCTATGGGATGGCGAAGGCTGTTGCCGATACAGACTCTGTGAGCAACCAGGGCGGCTTCGCATATGATGGGAGTAACATCACGGGGTTTTCCAGTCTGCATGATTCAGGTACTGGAGGTCAACCGTCGCTCGGGAACTTCCCCATATTCCCATATGTAAGCTGCAAGGATGACGATGTCAATGGCTGTGTGTATCCCAAGAAACAGCGCAAGACGCGCTACGATCCTGGGTCTGTCTCTGCGAGTCCGGGTTACTTTGCATTGACTATGGCCTCGGGGATCCAGGTAGACATGACTGTATCCCATCATGCATCTCTCTTTCGTTTTCGGTTCCCAGCAGATCGAGAAGCAAAGCCCCTTATCCTGTTGGATCTTAGTGATTTGTCCGACACGCGACAGGACAATGGAACTATTGCCGTAGATGCTGACACGGGGCGGATGGTTGGCCATGCTCGCTTTTTACCCAGTTTTGGAAGTGGATCCTACACTCCGTACTTCTGCGTTGACTTTCACAGTGCCTCTGGTATTAGAGATAATGGCATATTCGTCAATTCGCGAGCGCGTACGGATCTAAAGAACCTCACGATCTCCCGGAGCATAAATGGTTATCCTCTACCGGTTTGTTCAGGCATCTAACCTCTTAGTGCCAGGTATAACTAACAAGTGTAGGGAGGTGCTTTCGTTCGATTTAACTCATCAGCCGATGATACGGTTCTAGCCCGGATAGGCCTTAGCTTCATCAGTAGTGAACAAGCTTGCAGCAACGCTGAGTCTGAAATCCCTAACTTTGACTTCAATGCGACGCATTCTGCCGCGGTGGATTCGTGGACAAAGAAGCTTGCTCCAATTCGAGTATCGAGAAATGGTGTGAATTCTTCCTTCTTGTCCACGTTTTATAGTGGAATATACCGTACCATGATCAATCCGCAGGATTACACCGGGGAGAATCCGCTTTGGACGAGCACAGAGCCATATTTTGACTCGTTCTACTGGTATGCGCACCGTCCGTTCGTAGAGCTCCTATCTGATATGTGGTAGTCTCTGGGATTCGTTTCGGTCTCAGTTGCCATTTTTGACCATTTTTGATCCTGCATCGCTGGCTCGAATGATTCGATCGTTGATTGATACCCAGAAACATCTGGGCTGGCTTCCAGACTGCCGCATGTCGCTCTGCAAAGGTGCGGAACTATAATCCTGTTAATAGAAGCGGGCTGACTGGTCTAGGTTACACCCAAGGTGGTTCAAACGCGGATGTTGTCCTTGCCGATGCATACCTCAAGGGCATTTCCGATGAAATAGAATGGCAGGCGGGCTACTCCGCCGTCCAGAAGGATGCTGAAGAAGAACCGTATGACTGGTCGAACGAAGGACGCGGTGGCCTAGACAGTTGGAAATCGCTGAACTACATTCCAGTAGAGGATTTTGACTACAAGGGCTTTGGAACGATGACGCGGAGCATCTCTCGCACCCTGGAATACTCTTATAATGACTTCACTATTGCACAAATGGCCCGTGGCCTCGGAAAAAAGGGTGACGCTGAGAAATACGAAGCGACTTCTCGATTCTGGCAGAATCTGTTTCGCGACGACCAGGCCTCATTCATAAACGGGACCGATACCGGATTCAAAGGCTTCTTTCAACCCAAGTACCTGAATGGTACCTGGGGCTATCAGGTTTGTCCCCATGGCCTAGCTCCATGAGATTATTCACGACTGATTAACGAAAGGATCCCATCACCTGTTCTAACATTGACACGAGCGGGAGAGCTTGTTCGCTTCAAAACAATGCAGCCGAAACATTCGAGGACAGCATATGGGAGTATCAATTGTAGGTGGAAGCTAGCCAAACGATTCAACTGATCCACACTAACTCTCCAGTTTCGTCCCTCATGATATGGCCGCTCTCATCACCCGCCTAGGAGGCCCATCCCAATTCGTCCGTCGCCTCGACTATCTCCATGATACGGGCATTACGTACATCGGCAATGAGCCCTCGTTCCTAACCGTCTTCCAGTACCACTACGGCGGCCGTCCCGGCAAATCCACCTCCCGCGCCCACTTCTACGTCCCCAAATACTTCAACGCAAACCCAACCGGCCTACCCGGCAATGACGACTCAGGCGCCATGGGCTCCTTCGTCGCCATGACCATGATGGGTCTCTTCCCGAACCCAGGACAAAACGTGTACCTGATCTCGGCTCCCTTCTTCGAGTCTGTTCGCATCACCTCGCCGCTGACGGGACGGACCGCCACGATCCGTGCCGTTAACTTTGATCCTGAATACAAGAACATTTATATCCAATCTGCGACGTTGGATGGAAAGGCTTATACCAAGAACTGGGTGGGGCATGACTTTTTCACTGAGGGACGAGAGTTGGTACTTGTGTTGGGAAGGAATGAGAGCCATTGGGGTACTGGAGAGGAGGATCTGCCACCGTCTCTGTCAACAAGAGGTGCTCTTTTTGATTGAGTGAAAGGGTACGAACTGGATGGTAATTATAGAGCTGGTTTAATTGTACTAGCCATAGAATTACTCGTAGTCTTGAGTCTGTAATATAAAGTTACACCCGGAGCAAGATAGACATCACTGACTTCCTAGACTCGACTGCAAGTAAACTACGTACCCAACTAGACATTATCTAGGCAAAGACTGCATAATCCTACCGCAAACCAAGAACAAACCCACTAATGAAGCTTTCTAAATTCTTTTATTCATTCGTTGAGAATCAATTAAACACCGAGCCGAGACAGGGCATCCAATTCGAGACGAGTTGATGGCAGTCTCGTACAAACAAATGCAGTGAAAAGGGGAATCGTAATATCTACAGTACATCACGGCATGAAGCAATTTCAATAAAAGGGAAAAGGAACAAAAACGATGACCATAAAAGCCTAAAAACCAAAATAACAGAGCTCAACCCCAGCACGGGCTCTAGGCCTTGCCACGATAGAACTTGCTTTCAACCCAGGGCATACCGGTAACAGTAGCCTTACGGAGCTTGTTACGGACCAAAATGCCAACCTCGGTGCCCTTCTTGTGGAGACCTTGCTTGACGTAGCCCATAGCGATGTTGGTACCGCCGAGGGTAGGACTGGGGAGACCGGAGGTGATGATGCCGACGGGAGTGCGGGATTCATCGTTGATATCGACGATGACGGCACCCTCACGGGCGGGGGAACCCTTCTCGACAGTGAAGCCTACGCGACGCTGGGAGAGGGTTTTGGCGGGGGAGGCGAGCTGGGGGAGGATAGCGGAGGCGCCGTTGAAGGTGGCAGTTGCGGCGTCGCGGCGGTCCTTGCCGACGACCCAGCCCAGGGAGGCTCCGGGGGGAGTCTGGGCGGTGGAGATGTCGTGGCCGTAGAGACACATGCCTGCTTCCAGACGGAGGGAGTCACGGGCTGCTAGGCCGGCGAGGCGGACCTGGTCTGCGTTTGTAAGGAGGAGCTCGGTGACTTGCACGGGCAGGGAGGGGGAGCCTGCTGTTGGGATGGAGATTTCGAAGCCGTCCTCGCCGGTGTAGCCGGTACGGGAGATGAGAAGAGGGTGCGGGGTGCGCGAGCCATCGGGGAGGGTGAGGTAGAGTTCGCGGCAGTTGCCGAAGTAGAGGGTGCTGAGGTCTGTTTCGGGGCCGGAGCCGTGGACGTAGGATTGGAGGACCTCGGCTGCGAGTGGGCCCTGGAGGGCGACCAGGGCGCGGTCTTCGAGGATGGACCATTTGATGCTGTCGGCGCCGTGGGCTTGCTTGTAGGCAGAGATCTCGGCCTCCAAGAAGGCGAGATCCTCGTCACGCCGGCCAGCGTTGGTGACGAAATAGAAGGTTTCGTCAGTACGACGGGTGATGACGGTATCATCGATGATACCGCCGGTGCCTTCTTCGAGCAAACAAGAGAGGGTGGACTGATTGTGGCCGAGCTTATCGAGGGAAGATGGTGTGATCTTCATCAGGACCTCGATTGCGCCCGGTCCACTGAGTTCGTGTTGAACCCTGGAATAGGCGTTAGTCTTTGATTCTATGTATATAGGAGTATTCATGGGTGTGTACGTACATATGGCTCACATCGAACAAGCTCGCCTTTTCTCTGGTCCATTTGTGGCTTTCAACATGGCTGAGATCGGAGTACTGCAGCGGCATGTCAAACCCGGCAAAGGGCACCATTTTCGCGCCCCGGGCGAGATGTAAGTCATAGAGCTGAGTCTGTCTCAGCGGCCCCGAGGGAGCCGCAGATGAAGCAAATCGCACACCACCATTAGAGGAAGAAACAGAGCTGACACGGAGGAGTGGGCGTGCAGCAGTCGGAGTGCGGAGACCGCGGTGGAGCGGAGATGTCAACTGCCGCGGAAGGAGAGTAGAGCCATTGGCTGCGATAGAAACGGGCTGGGAGAGCGATTTCGATCCCAGGAGGTTGATACCTCGTCGCAAAGGTCTTACAGCTGACATGATGAGATTTTGAAGCGATTAGATGTGATTATTTACAGAAGGAAGTTCGTGAACAGAGGGCGACAGGATAGAATTACTGCGGAGTATGATCGATAGCGGGAAAGTCACATGCTGATAGGGCAAATTCCGCGGGTAAGTCGTCTCCGCTCCGTTGGGCGGCTTACCTCCTCGATTTACGCAAGATAAAGCATCTACGACGATTGTGTGAATGAATAGACCAAATTGAAATCTATTGCAAACAGGGTGGTAAGGGTATCTTCCACTGTGTACCACTGGCGAGTGTTGTGTAGCCTTCAGCATGCAGACAGCCTCAGCACATACCATGCCATCTGTCAGCGAGAGGCTTTGCTTCATCGCTCCAGTGATGATATCTTTCATTACCATAATAACACGAATAGGTAGTCAGTCATACAGAGAGTGCTGCGAAGCCGAATCACAACAATAAGAGAAATCCTCCCACGGTTTCTTAAAAACCTCCAGGGTCGTACACGTCGGAAGACACACACTTGTGATCACCCCCGCAAAGAATGAAAATTTAGATCAAACAACGTAAACTCATTACAATCCGTTATCAGCGCAGGAGAAAGGACTACCCACAGTTCCAGCCCGATAGTTCAAGACTACGCTGTCAACAGCAGCCTGCAGAGATCGTTAGTCGTGACCAATGGACAGCATGACCGAGAGGGTCGAACTTACATAGGTTCCTGGCCCTAAGAAGAATAGGCCGACAAAAATCAAGCCGACATTGACAATCATGCCAATCCAGCCCCGGATTCCCCGATTCTTGTAGAAATCCGGTCCGTAGTCCTCACGTCGCATCCGGAGGTAGGCAACACCCCAGAAGATGAACCCGAAGAATGAATCAAACAGTGCGCTCATGATCGAAAGCAGATCGGAAAAGAATGGGATCACTTCGGCAATGATAAATGCCCCAATCCACAGAACGGCTAGGATTCCAGCCCAGGCAGCCCATCCGACGACAGTATGATTACCCTTGTGGCGCGTTCCCTCGAACAGACGGAAGAAGAGGAAACGGGCAGATACCGAAGCGTACAACACTCCCAGGAAAATCAAGGTCGGGACCATGAACGAAAAGGACACCTTCTTGTACACCTCATTGCTGATCGAGCCGAACGCTGGGGCTGTCATATACTGGTTGCCAGTGTAGGCATATACGATCGAACCCACCAAGCTGAACACGATGATTTCCGCGACAGTGACCGCCGTAACGGATTTCCAGAAGTCTCTCGGCTCTTTCATTTCGGCGATGAAACTCGGGAGTGTGATCTGGCCAATGAACGTGTAGCTGATGTTCAGAAAAGCATTGACGCCCGAGACGAACGTGGTCCCGGCCACGGGGACTGCGGTGACAATTGGATCGCCCTTTGCGGGAGTGTAGCCAGCGGGGTGATCTTCAATAGCTGTGAAGATAACGGCCAACATCACCGAGATGAAGGTGAACAACGCGGAGAAAGTAGCAATCTTGGACAGCGTGCTGAATGTTCTTGGCAGCGAGCAGACGAACGAGACAATAGCCGTAATCAAGGAAAAGACGATAGTACACGTCCCATGAGAAGAGATCGTATTGAGCCACTCAGCGCCGACCAAGCAATGCAAACCCTAGAACAGTATTAGGGCTCACCCGATCCTGGGTCTTGAGATGATACTGGGCCAAGTTACCTGGATAAAGGTATTGTTCAACAAGAACATCACTGCGGTCAGATACCAGGCAATCTTCGAGTCCCAGAAGAGATGCTGACCGATATCACACACGTCGCGAACATGGGGGTGGCGCAGACAGAATTTCCTAAGGTAACTGTTAATATTGGCTTCACGGAATGCCGAGTCGCATTCACTTACCAGATAATCAGTGAAGTGTAAAGCACAATCCCAGCAATAACCGCAGTCAGAATCAATCCCGGAACTAACCCGAGAACGGAATAAGACCAGGGAAATGACATAATAGCCAGGCAGATGTATTCGGAAAAGAGCAACGCGGCTGTCTGTTCGTCCATACTAATGAGCACCAAGCCACGAATATATCCTTTTTCACATGCGGACGCACCTTTTGCCAACTGCATGTTCGGTATTTGATGGAGTTACCCGCCTCCATTTCGATTTGTCTTCCAATGTCATCTGTGTCAGAATCGGACTGCACTCCCGGCTGTCGCTGATTCTCAAGATCCTTCACTTTATCGGGAGAATCCGCTCCCTCCGAGGCAAAAGACTGACGGTCTTCGTCCCCACGCCCGTCAAGGGCCTTGGGTGTATGGGTCGCAGCCATTTTGAGGAGCGGACAGACCGCCGTTGCAAGGAAGTGGTGGAATGGGTCGTCGAAGTAGAATTGGAGGCCTTTGGATGCATGTACTGCTCCTCACGTTGAAGATTCCGACAAAAGATCTAGATAATCGCAGGTCAGGAGTCGCCCAGAGGAGCGGATGGATGTGTGATGGGACACCGCCAGCCAGGTGGGACCAGACTCACTTACCTTAGGGACGGGAACAGATTTATACCAGAAGGGATCTGTAAACCTTTCTAGGCGAAAACGAACGAAGGCGAAAGGGAAGTAGAAAGAAAAATCTATTCGGTTAATTAGCGTCAAATGCGTATGGTAAATGCTGGGCATCGGCGTACCAAGAGAGCTTGGAGGCGTCCAAGCAATCGACCCCAAGACACTAAGAGGCGGGAGAGAAGGGGAGAAGAACAATCACTGTAATGGTTGTCAGATGGAAGAGGCGAAGTAAAAAAAAAAGAAAAGAGAGTAAAAGAAAAAGCAACAAAGAGCAAACCAGCGAGTAAGAATTTAGATGAACTTTAAGATTACTATTCGATTAACATTTTTTTTAATTCACATTAGTTTCTATGATTCTTTCCCTTTTTTTTCTTCTTCTTCTTCTTCTTCTCTTTTTTAATTGATTTCGATCTTGCATTGACCTCAGCGGCTGATAAAGGCGCAGGGCAAGTCCGTTTCCAGAAATCCAGCTTAAGCTTCTCTGAGCTTAGCGTCCACCGCAGTGGATCCAGTGGAATGACCATCGACGCAATGAGTTGGACGGCGATACCGAAGATAAAGTAAACTTGGAAGCCTCAACCCATGACGTGCTCATGGGAGTGTGGACCATCGATGGTACGCAGAGAGTCGGCTCTTTGCGCGTCCCATTTCTTACTTGTTAGGGCAGGAATCGCTGCTGGGTAAGATTATGCTCTCGAGGTACCGAGTTAAAACTGCCAAAGTAACTCAAGCTTCCCGACCACGGGTCACGGGAGTCCAACCAGGATGACACAAGTCAAGATGTCTTACCCAGATCTACGTGGGAAAGACTTGGTATCCGGTGCCTTTACCAAGCAATGATCAGCATAGTCTTTTGCAGCCATGGAAAATATCTGCAGAGGCAACTAGATTAAATTACTGCACAGTACTTACAAGTAGTAGGAGTAGTTAGTAGTTAGGAATGAGGTATGGACAACCCCCCCATGCCTCCACTTCTGGAGTTAGTATTGGACCAGCTCCCGATGCAACCCACGAGCGCCCCCGCTGCCAATCATTACTGCGGAAAGACGCTGATGGCGGAGTCCACCCGAACCAGTTGAGAGCCCCGCATCCGTAAACTGAACTTTTCTTGACCTTCATAGCAGATGCGCCCCACTTGGTTCTTGGCCTCAACCGAAGACGTTGTCCCGTGCTTATCCAGTAACAGCCACTTCCGTAGCCGGACTATAGTACTTGCGAGATCGAGGACTGCGAGATCGAACACATTGGCTTGGATTTATTTCATTCGAATATCTCTCTTTTATTTCTATGATTCTGTTTGTGTATTTTATGCATCATTGAACCCCTTCGCTTACTCCTGACTTGGAAATATGGACTGCGCCTTTATGATTTATGCTTTTTTATGCTTTTCCTTTTTGCGCGAATTTTGGGCACCTCGACCGATCTGAACCGCTCCCCAAAACCTACTCAAGACACAGGTTGCACCTTACATACACAGTAGGCTAGGCCAGTTACACAACGACCGATATTAAATTTCGCACCGGCTCCCCTTTTACTGTATCCTAACCTGATGGTCGATGATTATTTCTTTTCTCGTGTTGGCTTAAGCTTGAGCACGTTATGCACTAGAAGATGGCGTGATCCCCACGGGCCCAGTCAATCACTGCCCTTCTTGAAGCCTTGGGATGCTTACTTTGCGTAGAGCGAATGGTGTGACACGCCAGCATAATCTCAATGTTAGCAGATTGGACTCAATCTTATTTATCCCCGTCGATAAGTTAAGTTATTCATGTCAGCAAGAAGCTCACGATCGCAATTTCATGCCACGATGATGTAATGCAGGCTATCCATGTTCGAGAACCATGTGGCGCTCGGGTTCTAGATTCGGTCTCCTGCTAGGGCGGGTTTTTTTAGGAAGTTTTTTTTTTTTTTTTTTTTTGGCGCTCTTTTGCAGCAACCTCAGCTTGGTCAGGTACCTGTCTAACTTACTAGGGCCCGGAGTCTAGTAGTACTTGCATTCAGGGACGTACTAGTATGTATATCATGTCACCTGATTTGGGAATCTATTTCCGGACGGGAATGGTCTGGAACAGGCCATGATGTACCTTCCTTGTTTGTTCTTGTGCAGTGCATGGGTTGCTACGATCACGGGTCAATATACTCCCAGTAGTATAGACTGGTGTTGAAGAAAAGGCCTTGAAATAGACTTTTTGTGGTATCTGTAGTTTGAACATCGCGTTGCTACACAGCTGTACAATCTTCCTCTTACATGCCCTCGTCCTCCCCGGCCAGCAGGGCCGCATAGTCGTCCGCCGAGGCGAAGGTCGGCAGATGCTTGAGCTTGCGTTTCTTCTTCTTCTGATCCGACTTGTCGTCCTCCTTCGGGAGCTCCACTCCGCCGCCGAGTTCCACGTCCGAAGGTAGGTCCTCGTCACTGTCGAGGAACGCTTCGTCGTCAGAAACATCCATGTTGAAGTCATCATCCTCGTCGAATGTATCTTCAGCCTTCTTGGCCTTGGACTTGGTCGCTGGCTTCTCGGAAGCCTCTTCCTCGAAGTCGTCCATGTCCACGTCAGACTCGTCGTTGAAGATGACTCCCTCGTCTCCACTTTCTTCAGCCTCCTCGTCCTCATCTTGATCATAGGCAGACTCAAGGTCATCCAAGTCAAGATCATCGTCGCTATCAGCTCCTTCCACTTCGGGCTTCGAATCCACCAGTGCCTTCCAGATCTCCGACTCGGCATCGCTGAGCTCGCCATCCTCTTCGGCATGCTCGACGGGATCCTTAGCCTTCTTGCGGCTCTTATCCTTGTCCTTCTCGACACGGTTGAAGTACTCGTGGAAGAAGACATCTTCCGCGGCCACCTCGTCGGACGTCTTCTTCCAGAAGGCCTCGGAGTTGAGCGGAACGTCCTGGGTCTGTTTAATACCGGACACCAACCGATCTTGCGCGTCACTGCCGGCAAGGGGCTGCATGATAGAGGCACCCCGGGTAGCGGCAGAGCCTTCGGCGTCTTGTAGACAAAGCGGTCGAGGAAGTGCATCAATGTGTGTATCGTCATATCCGGCTTTCCGCTCATAGTCTTGTGTTCTAACAGCTGAGCCGCATTGACCGAAACGGACGGATGGAAATGTGACAAATAAGGCAGCTATCAAACACAGTGTCAGTATGTAACGTATAAAGAATGATGGAGAAAATGAGATGTACTCACCAATTCCCAGAGACATGTCTTATCAGCATTGCTGTGCTCCGGGTCTCGCTTGCGAGGGTCATAACGGCTTGATGGCTTCTTCGGCTGGGCTTCAGGCTGTTCTTGTGCCTCATCATCCTCATCAGGAACATCCCTGAACACCTCTTCCTCATCACTCTCATTGTCCTCGGGCTGATCGTATAAGGAGTTGAGGCTAGAGAATGTCTTCTCTAATTCCCTGATCAAATACATAACGCCACAGATGAAGGCCGGCTGATGCAGACCAAGCACCTGTATAATACGCTTCACGAATGCCTTGACACGTCGAGCGTTCACGTCGCTCTTCAAAGCCTTGAACAATAGGTTAAGATAGAGTGCCTGTTTTGAAGACGTGGCCAACCGTGGGTCCAGAAGAGATTCGTATAATGTCCGGTAGAAACGATCAGCAGCAATTTGGTGGGAAGATGTCAGTTGCTGGATCAACATAAGGGCTTGAATGCTAGTGTTGAAGTTCGACGAATGAGTGATGCGGAACAAGGTATCGACGTGCTTAGCAAGTCTGTGCATAGATTAGCTATAACCGCCCTAGGGATTTGAAGAGAAACTACATACCGTTCCGAGTCAGAGCTGGTGAAGGGATAAGCTCGGTTCACACCGGTCAAAACGCCAGAAGTGAGCTTTTCTTGCATTTCCTCATGCTGAGCCTGACCCTTCTCCTCCTCCTTCAGGGCCTTCTGGGCCTTTCTGTTGAGCTTGCCGTTCTTGCCATGCTTTTTACTCGGTTTGTTCTTCTTGGTGGGCTTCAAGAAGGCAACAAAGAGCGCGAAATAGATGTCAAGGAGTTGGGCCGCAACTTGCTCCTCCCTTGTACTCAAGACAGTTTGGTTCAGGGTGATAATGGCGTAATATTTGGCGTGCTGGCTTTGACCTGGACGGAAAAGAACCTCCTCGACTGCCTTGATGATGGTTGGCTTCATCAATGGGTGTGCTTGCTCGAGCTGTAGCAAAAGGTAGGAAGCTCGAGAAGCGATCTTCTTGGCAGTATCACCAAGTTTATTAACCAATAGTCGCAAAAGATTTGTTTCCTGCTCAGGTTTTTCCTTGAGCAGCTCGTAAACGTAGCTCACGGCCCTGGAACGAGAGAACTCAATCTCATCATTGCACCATACTTCCAAAATCTTGAGGACCTCGAAATACTGTTCCTTCACGAAGTTCTCAAATGCCCAAACGATAAGGTGGCGCTTCTGAAGACCATTGGGAAGGGCGTCTCCTTCAGACCACTTGCTTCCTGCCCCTTGGAATGCAGCCATGAGCGATGGCTGGTTCGCGAAAGACCTGAGCCTACGGTCGTTCGGAAGTAACGTGCCCTGGGCAAACATATCTTTAAGGGTTCTCAAAACTTCTACCGCCTGAGCACGACTGCGCTTCTTTCCCAGAGCGATAAGGTTTTCCAGCGATTTCGTGTTATGCACAGGCGACTCCTGTATAGCAAGTGTCAACGCCGAAATCTTATCACTAAGAGTACCGGTGGACATAATAGTCGTGTAGAATTTGTGAGAAGAGGAGGCCAAAGTTTTCTGCGCTTCGGAATACATGTTGGATTCCTCCTCAAGCAGGGATACAGCGTATGTATGAACACGATCAATCAAGTGTTTGGGTAACGTGTTCGCATGTTTCGCGGAGATCGAAGGAAGTTCGGTCATGAACCAGTCGGATCTAGGTGGGACGGTCTATTATCTGGTTAGAATGGCATCTGCTACCAAGACCATGACAGACTCACAAGTTTGCTGTATTCCTTAGGAAGAGGAGGCTCCGCGGATACCTTGGCCTTCTCTTTTTTCGTCTCCTTAGCAACTGGGGTTGGAGGAACATCCTCATCTGAGCTTTCTTGATCCTCCTCTCCACTGTCATTATCATCTCCAGCGTCGATATCGGCCTCGTCATCCTCCATGTCTTCGTCTTCTTCTTCGTTGTCGTCTTCTACCTCCTCGTCATCCTCATCTTGCCCCGCCTCGTCTTCCTCATCATCGGCAATGTCATCGGGAACAACTTGACCAGCGGCAGCCAAAATACCCGACAACTCTTTTCTTAGTGCATCCTCCTCAGACTTGCTACCGGAACCCTTGGAAGTGTTCTTAGCATCTTCAACTTCGGACTCGGAATCAACCCCGGCCAGCATGTTATAGTCTTCCTCGGTACCACCAAGGGCCAAAATCTCCTGTCGTAGAGCATCGCTCTGATCGGCTTCCTTGGATTTCGACGACTTCTCCTTTCCGGAGGCGTTCTTGTCTTCCCTTGCGATCACCTCTCCATTGCGGTCCCGTTTCTTGCCCTTGTTATTCTTGTCGGTATCGGCTCGCCTTGTGTCGGGCTTAGGGGGAGCTTCGTTGTTTTTGTTCGGGGTATCGTTGGGAGCAGCCTTCTTATTATTCTTTGGCTTTTGCTTAGCAGCGTTCTGGTTTTTCAATCTCTGTTCGATCTTCTGGCGCAAGCCGGCAAACGCACTCTCCTCAAACTGAGGGACAGCATCCGCACCAGTGTTGGAGTCATTAACCCCCCCTTCTGGGGCAACGGCAGTCGCTCCAGAGGAGCGCTTCCCCTTTCCTTTGGCCATGATGGGACGATTTCCTGGCCAAAATACAGTATTGTTGGAATGGTTTTATCCTACATTTTTTTTCTGCCGCCCGAAAACCCAAAAAAATTATGGAGACCCTCGAGGCCGCCGGAGAAACCGTTTCACCGTTGGTCGGCGTCCCGGCGCACGGGCCAACTAAAGCCTTCAATGCGGACCTTTTATTTAGATCTCCAACTAATCATATCCATGATATTGGAGATAAACGCTATCTTCTGTTCACCATTCTGAATAAATTTCCCTATTTAGAGCCTTAGACTGATTGTCAATCGCAGCACTCTATAATTCATGATATCCGGTTTTCGCCCGATCCCGGGCCGCTATTCCGGCGCATCTAGAGCATACTGTGGAGTCTTGCGATTCCATAGAGCTCCAAGGTGCAGTTTCCATGTAGGCCATTGCGCATCTACTTGTCACAAGATTTATTGACTAACAATGGCAGACTGATGGCCGAACTCGGGTGTCTAACTTCTGGATTCCAACGGGAGGTATCTCAAAGAAAAATAGCAAGGGTGAAAAAGGTACTTCTAGATGCAGTTACTGAATGACAGCAATTGACAACGGGTTAGAGGACGTCAATGACCTCTTGGTTCGGGGAGGCTTTCTCCGACAGGTAGTGGACTCCACCTGTATAGCATAGCCAATTCTTACTCTGTATAGGCTTATTCAGGAATATTCCATATGCTACCGCTAGGATTGCGCGTGCAAGACAAGCTTGAGCGTCTGATTGATAAGCATATGCGTTCAGTTGGTAGGCCCCATTATGCGTCTTACGCCGAAAGTCCAGTTCTCTGAATGTGATTTTAGGAGCGTCAAGAGTTTCGTTGTCGTCCATATCTTCCCAAGAACTCTGGGAGAAGTCAGGACGCTTAGGAGAGGGTTCAGAGGTAGTAGTGTCTCCTATCTCTTACAAAAATACCTCTAACAAGGTATGCTAGGTGTTCAGATTCCATGACAGGAAAGAATCTCGCTACCTTCTTGCCCCTACTCATGAGGAGGAAATCACCACTCTGGTGGGCAGTCTCGCCAAATCATACAGAGATCTACCTATACGAGTATACCAAATCAGTGAGTTTGCATGTAACAATTGACGGTTTATCCGCTGACATTTCTCGATGTAGCGAGGAAATATCGTGATGAACCACGACCAAGACAAGGTCTACTTCGTGGGCGAGAATTCATCATGAAGGATCTCTACACGTTCGACTGCACCGTGGAAGAAGCTTTGGAGACGTACACATCTGTGAAAGCTGCTTATACACGACTGTTCAACGACCTGAGGATACCCTATCTGGTTGCTGCTGCAGATTCCGGCAATATGGGCGGCAACCTAAGTCACGAATTCCACGTTCCCAGCTCCAAAGGAGAAGACACGGTCATTAGCTGTACTAGCTGCGACATTGTTTATAATGACGAGCTTGCAGACGGGAAAATTCATGGATTTGGTGACAACGAAAGCCCCCAGGCTAGCCCAGGGTTTGACACTGGAGATTTGTCACCTGAAGCAGCACCGACCATTTCTACAGGTCTCTGGATGTCTATTTCCAAGGATAAACGGACCCTTCTGAGAGGATGGTATCCGAAATTCTCCATGCAAGGCGAAAGCCAGGAGCCAGTGGAAAGAGAAGTGAACTCCCATGCTGTCAAGTCTGTAGCCAATGCTGCAGGAATCGATCTTGACCTCAGCGTAGAGAACCCACTGGAACAGTGGGCAACTGAAGTGAAGTCTAACAAGGCTTCCGGCCCTTACCGTGTAGTGGACATGTATGACTCGCAAGTGCGAGTGTACAAACGCCCACCGCTGAGTGACGTGCTGGATCAAGCAAGCTGCAAGGTGGAAGACATTGACTACTCTATGCTGGATCGGTTCCCTGGTACAAACAATGGCCTCAGCCTTGTCAAGGTTCAGGACGGCGACAAGTGCGCCAGATGCGCTCAAGGTCGTGTGAAGACCCACGTCGCGATTGAAATGGGACACACCTTCCATCTTGGCACAAGATACAGTGAAGTTCTACAAGCCTCTGTCATGGTGGACCAATCCTCATCTGGCAGCTCGGAAAATCAGGTCGTGCCCATGCAAATGGGATGCCATGGAATCGGTGTCTCGCGTATGATCACGGCGGTTGCTGACAGTCTAGCGGACTCCAAGGGGCTCAACTGGCCCCGCGCAGTGGCTCCTTTTGAGGTCATTGTGGTTCCTGCGAAAGGCTTGGAGGACGAAGCCGAGAAGGTATACGATACGCTTACTTCGGACCCAGCTTCTCCAGTCGACGTCATTCTTGACGACCGGGACAAGCAAATGGGATGGAAACTGGGGGACGCCGACCTGATTGGCTACCCCATCATAGTTGTGGTCGGTAAGGGGTGGAAGAAGGAGCAAACATTAGAGGTTCAGTGCCGTCAGTTGGAGGATCTACGGGAGAATGTGCCGCTAGAGCAGCTCTCGACATTTATTCGGTCCTTACTCGAGCGTCTGTAGAGTCAGGGCTTCTGGGATTGTATTTTATAGCAGATCAATTGTACAATATTCCTCTCTTATCCACCCCAACCGATATCACATCATGAACCACCGAGAGAAGGCAGCGATGAATTGCCATGCCGCCTAGGGAGAGTGGGTTTAATCTGGGTAATTAGCACTTGGTCAGCTGGGACCTTTTGATTCCAGCGAAGGTGAGGGCTCTACTCTGCGGGCAGGTTACAGGATTTTGCCACGTTTCAGCCTGCTTAACATGGGTCATCAGGTCTCTTAACTGGTAATCCTCAAAGTTAGTCTCATGGGAAACACCCTGGTTTGCCCACTGACCGGCTATTCGCCACGATTTACACCGTGGAATAAACCCATCGAACTGGACGAACTTCCGTGTTTTGTCTCCATTAACCGCTCAGGATCACCGCCCTAACAAAGAAAACGGTCTGGAGAATTCCTCCCCAGATGTCATGGGATCGGGAACTGCAAAACATAGTGAGGGATTCAACACTGCAGTCGTCGGGTTTTTCTTTATACGTACAGCAAGCGAGGCACTCGCCTGACTATATATAGCCACCTTATTGTGAAACGAGGTATACTGCGACACTAGTGGATTCAGCTGCAGAAAGGGTTTACGAGACCGGTCAGCAGTGTGCCTTGGCACAGTGAGGCTCTTTCATGGTGGGGTTCATCCATGTCGAAGATCGTGAACAGATCATCATTTCCGGTCTGATGTCGTACACACGATTGGGGCAGTGACGTTGCGCTGATTGGTTCTCACGCAGGTCCAGGTAGAGTAACCGCCCGGATTCACAGCCCTAGGCTGGAACTTGTGCGCCTGCGCCGGTAACTACAACGTGCTATACAATATAAAAGAAACCTCCATCCCTCTCTCATTTCCACAGTGACCCCCATCACACAGCGCAGTACTTGCACATTTCATCTTTCCAAAAGACCTTCATTCTTACACCTTATCCAAACACTCACCGATCATCTTTGTCTATCATCTCGAATCGCAATGGGTAGTAACGACAAGCCAGAGTTACCAAACGTCAGAACCGGTGTCAATATCTTCCTCTTCAATGAGAAACGTCAATTCCTGCTGGGACTCCGACAAGGCAGCCATGGTAAAAGTATGTTTCTTCATCCCTCTTCCCCAAGCCCCCAACGTTGAGATTTCCACGATTCCCTTCGCTTAAGCTCCTATATACGTTGATAAAACATACTAATATTCCCAGACACCTGGGGTCTCCCTGGAGGCCACATAGAATTTGGCGAAACCTTCGAAGGGTGTGCAGAGCGCGAACTGAGAGAAGAGACAGCTTGGCATACTCCGACCTCGAATTCCTCACTGTTACAAACGATGTCTTCACGGAGGCGAATAAGCACTACACTACCAACTTCTTTGCGGCCAAACTTAAGGGTGACCGAAAAGATCCTGTGGTAAGTCTCAAGCCGGGTCACTCATATGCCCTTGGGCTTTACACTAACAGCCCAATTTTCTATAGCTCATGGAGAAAGATAAATGCCTTGAGTGGAAGTGGTTCGCCTGGGAAGAACTCGAGGAGCATTATAAGGCAGATGATGCAGCTAAGAAGGACGAGCGAAATAAATTCCAGGGGAAGGAACTGTTCCTCCCCATGTTGAGCTTGTTCCGGCAGCGAGCGGGGCTTCATCCACTGAAGGCATATGAAGTGAGACTGAGAGAAACAGACAAGTGGCCTGTGGTCGGTCTTACCTTCAAGTGATCGTTCTTCATTCTGGCTGTCTGTTCATGCCTCGATTGATTATAGGAGGATAATTGAGGACCAAATGACATACGCTATGCTCCTTCCAGGCCAGTTGGAGGCCAACTCAGGATGTTTTTTCTTTTTGATCTGCAATACGACGATACGCTCCCAATTACGACGAATTGTTTCTGCTTACTTCCTTTGCCTTCAACGATTTGTGCCGTGTGCTAGTCACCCTAGTTTACACTTCCTATGACATTTAGTATGAATTTTGAATACATTGTTGATTGTTTTGCTCTTTCGTCTCATAGATAGAATATGTGTCAGTCGATCTGAACAGACGAGACTATGAACAGTGATTGTAGTAATTCTATCCTCTGTAAACATGCAAACATCCTGTGTATACACACCAAATAAATATATATTCAACCACCTTCAACACACCAACCACACAACATCTTTCTTTCTAATGAAGATCAATAGTCAAACTAAAACAGAACTTAAACAACACTGCAATCCCCCAGAAAAGAAGAAACATCCCACCCTCCTAACCCTTCATAATCCAGTGTATACACTAGCCCAAACATAAAAAGCACAACCCTGACTAATCGACATAACAAAACACACAACATAATTACATAATCCCGAAAACCCCACCATACCCAACAAGGCAACCTGCTCTCCCGCGGCGGCGGCGGCGGGCATAATCAATCCCAAATCACAGCCAAAACGATATCTACCCACGGACGAGGAAACAACCCGATCCCTCGCACCGTCGTCATTATTCTGACTGAAGTCTACTTTCCCCGTATACACATAACTCGGACTTACACAGTATCATCGGAAAACAAGGGGAACGGGAAAAGAGCCATTGCATAAATCAAAATGGCCCCTCAAAATACCCCCGCATCGGATGCTCCTCCGGGCTCAGGTACGGCGAACCCTTTTAGATATGGCGGGTGGGATCTGCGGGGTGGACAGCTAATGATGGGTCCAATGGGCAGTTAATATCAACTCGCTTTCAGTGCCGCAGCTGCGGGCGCTGCAGACTCGTCTTTCGTCGGAATTGGAACATTTGACCTCGTCGCATGCTAAGTTGCGGGCGGCGCAGTCGAAGTTTAGGGACTGTGTGCGGTCGATTAATGAAGGTGTTGTTGGATCTGAGAAGAAGGGGACGGATGGCAGGGATGATATCTTGGTGCCTTTGACAAGCTCGTTGTATGTCAAGGGTAAGCTGGCCGGCCGGGAGAAGGTGCTTGTGGATGTCGGAACGGGTTTCTATGTTGAGAAGGTGAGCCTATGTTCCCTTTTTCTAAGGGTTGATTTAAAAGCTGATGACCTATCTCTGAGCAGACTACGAAAAAGGCGATTGAGTTCTACGAGGACAAGATTAAGAGTCTAGAGACGAACCTCACAGAGTTGGAAAAGATTGTACAGACGAAGAGCTCCCAGCAAAGACTCTTCGAGGAGGGTAAGTTAAATATAGTTCCATATCATTCTCCAACTGGCCCGCACTCAGCCTGCGAATGCGTACTGTAAGCTAACTATTACTAGCTCTGAGACAGAAGTTGCTTAGCGAAGGCGCCCCTTCATCTGCTGCTGCCGCTGCGGGCGGTGGCTAAAACCTGTCAGACGCTTTGCAGAGGCGTTCCATCATCCAGTGATCGGTCGGAGCAAAATAGTCAACAGAAATAATAGAGGAATGGTATTTGTTACAGTAAGTGTTGGCAATGGCAAATCAACAACAGTTTCGCATGTAAGCTCCTGCTTTGCCGGCTGAGAAACATCGCATGCTTCCAAGGCTTTCGCAGAGATGTAAGACACGTTAAAACCCACATGGTCGATGAGACATTGAGCCCGCACAATGAAGGGAAGATGCAACGAAGCAAAAGCAAATTGGCCCTTCCCTAAACTTTGAGCCATGATATTGGACACACCTACGAGTTAGTGACCCGTGGCTCTCATAAAAATCAACTTCATCTGTTTAGAATAGAGTGCCAAGGTCGGCGTCCAACATCCCAGCAAGACCCCTCACGTCAGGCTTGGGCGAGGATTCATTTGAGGGTGGCTGGCTTTTGGTTGCAGCAGGAACTATCGAGGACTCAGTGCTCACCTGTATTTTCCTGGCAGTATTCTCTGAGCTGGAATGGGGTTGTGCTGGGCCCAGAACTTCCGCTACTCGCTTCACCAGGCAAATAAACTCCCAGAAGCCCACGTTCTTGTCATCCGAATCTGAGGTTGTTTTCGGAGGGAAGAAAGTATGAAGCTCTGGGCTGTGCCGTGCGGAATGTCCAACTGGCAAGTTTGCTTGGTCTCCCATCAAGTTATCCCAGTTGGAACCAAATATAGATGCGCCCCAGGAACTGGATGGGACATCACAGATCTCACCCGTCATAAAAGCTGGTGCTGGTGCTTTTCCTTGCAAAGCATCCGTCTTTAAGCGGCTGTATTCATCATACCTCGCTATTTCTAATATGTACTTGGTGCCTTTCAATCGGTACCGGATGGAGGTCTTTTCCACAAATCTGGATACCGGTGCTGAGCTCGGAAAGATCACTTTTCTCTTAGGCTTTGCAGAAATGTCACCTATGGTTGTAGTGCGTCGGAAGCTGATAGAGTGCGAAAACGATTTCAACGCAGCATCGATGGAAGATGTCTCGTAGAACTCCAGAGATTTGATTTCAAGTTGCCAGTCGGCTCTAACAAGGACTCAGCTAGGTGAAACTGAGGAAAGATACGCATTACCTACCTTTCGAAATCAACGACACAAATCTGGAGCGGTGGCTTTCCGTCGCTTGACTGGCCGCTTTGGCGAGGCCTAAGCCATCGGCGTTGGGTTACTTCATAGTCCTGCGCCCCAGGACTTCTCGCGAATTCCGCTTCGAGACGAAGTAGAGCATTATTCGAACCCAGGAATTCGAAGTTCACGGAATATGCAGGCTCGGCATTTTTCAGCGAACAGGATGTACTTTCGTAAGGCTCGAGAAGTTCGGTAGATTTGAAACATCTAGCCAGGAGCTCCTCTTGACCGACCTGTAACCTGTTCGTAGGAGATTAATGACTCGGACACATAAATAATAGGTAGACCATACCCTGGAATCAAGCGGCCTTTTGTTTGCTCATGCAATAGCATCTCTCTGAACTCCTCAAAGCTATACCCAGCTTTGTCGTCCTTGGGCATACGGTACTCGTCAAGCACAAATGAACCAAGGTTAACACGCATGCGCAAGTGCCCACGTACAAAGGAGACACCTTGTAAGGATCTTGAAAGGGCACTCAGAATGTGTGCGTTATTCTTTGTTTGTATCAAAGTACGTCGATTCTGCCACTGCTTTGACGGAAGGCTTTTCGCCCACTTTCCATGGAGAAAGGCCTTCGCAAAGAGGGTATTGTTCTCCACGACAATCTTGTCTCCCAGGATTTCTGGAGGCTCTGAAATATAGGCCTTCGACCTAACATGGCTATTGGCAACGGTCTCACTCCACTTGGTCCTAAGAAGCTGTGCGATCTGCCTCATCGTATCATGGCTGTGACCAAGAGCACATATATATTCTGGGACATCCTTTGGACGGTAGAGGTGACAGCCAAATTTCGCCCGGATAATATCAAGAGTCTCGAGTTGTTCTCCAAGGGATTCCTTGATCGGTGGACCATCGTTAGGCCACAAGAAGAAGAGCTTGGATAACGGGTCTGTTAGAAAAGCAAATATAAGTTTATATCTAGATATGCTGACTGACCTGCTCTGAAAAAGCTGAAGGCGATTCCGGTTCTTTCCTCAAAAGCAGCAGCATATTTTCATGTCTTTCTTTCAAATCAACATCCATTTCTTTGTTTGCTGAATAGGCATTGATTTTAGCCCATTCTGTCTTTTTGTGTGTGGGTAAAAAACGATTGCATTTGGCAAGAAGCCTTTCAATTATTTCTATGGCCGAAGCCACATCTTGTGGTTTGCCCCATAGCTGAATGACCTGCAGTATATCAGCACACTATCGTTCGCTGATATTAAACCGCTAAATGGCCTACCTTGTCAGTATAGGATGGAGGTTTCACATAGGCGCCAGTTCTTTTGCTAATATCCTCGAAGACTTCATGACGACCTTGGGTGGCTGCAGGAGATTTTGCTGAAAGCGTTGATCTTGCTACCCCGAAGAACCTATACACCATATAATAGTGAGTACTTTCATGGATGAAAGCGAACTGAGGATGCTTACTCGTACTTAAAACTGCCAAAAGACGCGGGCAATTTGAAAATGGCTTCAGTATTACCCAAGGTTGTGTTAGCATATTAGCATCCGAACCTAGAGAGAGCTTACCGGAAGGCTCACTGCCAGCTCTCCAATTTGATTTGGCAGGCGAGTCACGGAGAAGATTGCTCGATTGGCGTGAGGCTGCAGTGTTAGAGTATGCTCGTCTAGCCTGTACACGCCCCCTGGTTGCCCTCGGTGCACCTCTAGCACGCCCAGTGCTATTGGCCACAGGAGCTGCGGTAACTGTGGCGGTAACTGCGGCATACGAGGCCCGCAGCTTCTTCTGTGCCTCTGTCTCATTCCGGATACTATCTTTGGATGATATTATGCGAACCTGATCAGTTCTTGCTCGAGTGGTTTCTCCACGGCTTTTCAACGTGGGCCGCCCGTAACCGGGCAGCAACCATTCTATATGGGGCAAATACCGGTCAATGAACAATTACTTTCGGTAGCACCTGGGGTAGTACGGGATAGTAATTGTTTTTTGTTTCTTAATGATGGAGATATGCCTTACCTTTAGCTCCCGCGGTTTCGTGACTGCAATAGTGTCAGCAGACAAAGACTGGACGGGAGGGTGGCCACTGGTTGCTTCATGTGAGAGGTAGAGGGATGAACTAGAATAGAGAACTCACTCCATGTCTTTTATCGAGGAGAGGCTCGCAAAAGAGTTGAAGCTCTCGGACGGAGATAGCTGAAAGCAAGCGAGCAGAAGCGGCGCGTAAGCTGATGAGAGCTGGATGAGTAGAAGGTAGCAGAGGAGGGAGAGATGTGATAGTTAAATGAAAGTTTGAGTTAATAGGCCTAATTCAGCAGGATCTGAGGCGGAAGTAAATGACAAGGGTTCCTTTGTTCAGAGGATGATAGGGGAATGAAGGTGAAAGTGAAGGAATATTCGCTGATGATGAATATGGAACGTGCCTGGTCACGAGGTCAGAATCCTGTGACCTGCTCCAAAACCATCACCAGCATGTTTACCATGATTGAAAACAACACTGTTGCTTCTGAAACAGCCGGCTGGTGGCGTTGGTACCAAACGAGGATGGCTCAATGCATTCAGTGATGTTGAATCATTCAATGCTACTATTTTTGTGGATATATCAGATAATGTTTCTCAATAATTTGAAGTAACACCGTGGCTATACGTTTCTAGCTGTACTACCTTGAGGATGAGATAAAGAAATTCAAGCCAATTTGTGCCTGGTAGTACTTCTTTGTATACAGCTACTAGTAAGGTTATATAGATCGGATAGAGACTTATGATTGGACGGGGTAGATTAATGGGGCGCTAAACCCGAAATGGGGTAAAGTGGACTGCGCGCATTTGGACGCGTTGTGGATCCATTTTCAACCTTCTTTTGTTTGCTGGTCAATTGTCGCAAACCATCCCTTCCGCCGGCAGCTATTTGCCCATTTTCTTCCGAGAAGATGGCTACAGACATTGCAGATGAGAATGATACTCCGCGGTCTCGCAGGCGTAGTGCGCGCAAGCAGGCCCAGCAATGGATGACCAAGGGAGGCCTTGTTCGTGATGATTCTGATGACGAGCTTGGTAATGAAGACCTTCCGTGGGAATGGATATATGCTGCCGATACTAGTGAAAAAAAGGAAGACACTGTAACGGACGCCCCAGAAGACACACCGAGGTCAAGCCGAAGACGCACCTCCCGGGCCAGCACAAAGAACCGTCGACTAATCATTGGAGCTCGGATGGGTTCGTTTGAATGCAAATTGGGTCAAGTCGTGCTGCTCAAATCCCCAGAGCCTGGCAAAGATTGGGTGGGAATCATCACAGAATTTTTAGAGGAAGACGATGGAGCGGACGGTGAGGCGATCAAGTCCGCCAACATCATGTGGTTTGCTTCGCCAGACGAATTCATGTCGACAAGGAACAAGAGACGAACAGACGCTTTGCCTAATGAGCAGTACCTTACCGCCGACTTCAACGTCAACCCAATCTCATCGATTAATGGTAAAGCGACGGTAATGTCCAAGGATGCTTTCTTCGCCAAATATCCGAATGGGGCTCCGCCGAAGGGAAAGGAACAATTGTCAGACTACAACAAATGCATTGTCTGCCGTAGAGGTGTGAATCAACTTCAAGGGAGATACACCGAGGAATTTGTCTGGGAAAATGTCTATCAGGAGGATAAGATCTTCAATCTGATTGCTATGATCAAGGACGGCCTGAAACAGGCCAAGAAGCGAAAACAGGGTGATGATGATGTGAGATCCGACCGACCCTGCTCGAAAATCAAGATATTCTGACATTTGGAATAGTATGTTGAAACCAAGGACAAAGAAGATGATGAATTTCAGCCTGTGACACCAAGGAAGAGGCAGAAATTAGCTACGAATGCCACACCACAGTCACGACGTCAAAAAGCTCTGACTACCCCAACACATAAGAGGTTTGTGACATATGTCCGATTAGGCATAGGCAATGCTGGTGCTAACGGCATCTTCCACAGAATTGTTGTTAAGAAACCCCTCGAATTTACCCCGCTGGGCACTCGTATACTTTCTCCATCCCATTTCGCTTCTCCATATCGCCAGGCACGAACTCTTCTACATGTCTCCACGGTCCCTACCTCACTACCGTGCCGGAAGGCTGAATTTGACACCGTATACAACCATCTCAGCGCTGCCATCATGGAAGGAGCCGGAACTTGTATTTATATTTCGGGTACACCTGGAACTGGCAAGACGGCAACAGTCCGTGAGGTGGTCGCACAGTTGAACGCAGCCGTGCTTGCAGAAGAGATGGATGACTTCATTTTTGTTGAGATCAATGGCATGAAAGTCACCGATCCACATCAGTCCTACTCATTGCTTTGGGAAGCCTTGAAGGGCGACAGAGTGTCTCCTTCCCATGCGCTTGATCTACTCGAGAGGGAATTCTCACATCCTTCACCTCGACGTGTCTCATGCGTTGTTCTCATGGATGAACTTGACCAACTGGTAACTAAAAACCAGTCTGTGATGTACAATTTCTTTAACTGGCCTGCCCTTCGCCACTCCCGCCTCATTGTGCTTGCTGTCGCAAACACCATGGATCTCCCTGAGCGAACACTAAGCAACAAGATTTCCAGTCGTCTGGGTCTTACTCGTATCACGTTCCCCGGCTACAAACACACGGATCTCATGGAAATCATAAGCACCCGCCTGGCCAACATACCAGGAAATATAGTCGATGCAGACGCCGTTCAATTTGCCAGTCGAAAGGTGGCTGCTGTTAGTGGTGACGCTCGCCGCGCATTAGATATCTGCCGCCGAGCAGTAGAGATCGCCGAACAGGCCAGCGAGGCAGCAAAACTGGAACCGATTCTAGAAGATGGTAACGCAGACGAAACCGAATCCATGCCACCAACACCTAGCAAGACTCCTGCGAGAAAGGAGAGATCAAACAACAAGCAGTCCATGCCGCCAAAAGCTCAACCGCCACAGAGACAAGGACGTGTCACTATCGCCACAATCAAACAAGCCATCCAAGAAGCAACCTCAACTCCGCTTCAGCAATCTCTACGCTGTCTCCCGCTCTCCGCGAAGCTTTTCCTTGCCGCTCTTTTGGCTCGTGTGAAAAGAACTGGGATCACCGAATCAACCTTTGGCGATGTACTCGACGAGGCGAAACGAATCGCAGACGCTGCGGTCGCAGTTGCTGGTGCGGCTGGTGCAGGTATCAAAGAATACCTACTCAGTGGTGGGAACGGTGCTCGCGTGCGTGCTCTAGGCTTTGCGGCTATGGAGCTCATGAATTCTGGAGTTCTTGCCCTAGAGCACGGACCGGCGACGAAAGGCCCTCTGGGAAGCTCTGCCATCCCCAGCAGAGGGGACAGAAGTGGTAAAGTTAGGCTGAGGGTGGCAGCGGAAGACGTAAGGGCTGCGTTCCGGGAAGATATAGAAGCAAAGGGGTTAGGGCTGGGCACGGATCAGTAATTCTCTGTATGAGCAAGACGACGGTCTTTCGTACCAACAGCTCCTGCATCCTATGATTGGTAATGTACACATGTATGATTTCTGTGTCCGATGTCCTCCTCGTTTGGGCTATGTATTCTACCAAGTGATTTACTAATCGAATAATGATACCCACTTGTACGTCAAGCGAAATGTCGACTACAAGTCATAAAGATAAACAAGTTTAACAGTATAAAGAAAGCAAGTTTTGAAATGTTCAAAGCTTAGTATGACACAACAAGAGTAAATTCCTTTTATAAACCCTACCAAATCCCAGTACTAGTCACAGATAACAAACAGTACATCTCGAACGCTAAACTCCATAAGTGCGTGAAGTGAACATGCCCGATTCCTATATCAGACCCAGACCAATGAAGGGTATAAAATGACAGACGGCCAACAACAACACCAACCTAATATCTCTGTCTGCCAAGAGTGGGTGCCCAAGTCACCGGGTGCGACTCAGGTGTAGCCTCATCATCTGGCTTCCAGATCTTGATGGTCTTGTCTGCCTCACCAGTGATCAGACGTAGACTAGTCCGGTCGAACGTGGCAGCCATGATGCCTGCCTCGGCATCAAGCGAACCGGGTTGGGCCATGGTATCGATCGACTGGAAACGGTATCCGGTCTTCCAGTCCCAGAAAGACATGGAGCCGTTGTCGCCACCGGAGAAGAGAACATTGTCTTCGTTCACGGCGAGAGAGTTAATGACAGCATTATGACCCTCGAAGTTTTGCATGAAGTCACCCTCTGGACACTTCCATTGTTTAATGCTTCCTGTGCTGGCACTAGCGAATGTGAATTCCCGGGGATGGATAGCGAGGTTTCGGACGCCCTTCTTGTGGTGGGTTAGAACGCCCATTGACTTCCCGGCTGCAAGATCCCAGAGACGAACGGTGGCGTCCAGGGAACCAGTAATTATTTGTGGATCAGCTTCCTGGCACTTGACATCGGCAACAGTTCCTTTATGGCCAGACAAAACGTGAACGTTACTCCTCGTTCGCATATCCCACACTCGGGCAACGCCGTCTCGACCACCAGTGACCAGCAGGTCAAGGCGAGGGTGTAGAGCAAGCGTATATACACCACTTAGGTGACCGTGGTAATGACGAATAACCTTGTTAGTCTCCAGATCCCAACATTTCACCATTTTGTCCTCTCCGCACGAGAAAAGATAAGGATGCCGGGGTGACACAGCCAGCCCGCGAACGGTAGAAATGTGACCGGTAAGAGTCAGGCGGAGAGCACCAGTCGCCAGATTCCAAATTTTTATCGTCCGGTCACCAGCACCACTGGCAAACCACTCGTTGTTCGGCTCCACCGCCAGACTTCGCACCCATCCCAAATGTCCAGAGATCACTCTCATCAGCTTCCATGGCGCGTGCCAGTCGGGTCTCTGTTGTCGCGTCGCGGAGGGTCGCTGGATCAGGCTCTTGGGTTGGTCCTCATTGCCAAGGCCACCAGCAGCCGGACCTTGAGCTTTCTTCACTAGGGCCATTGAGGCGCCGCTGCCATCTACAGGCGCCTTCGCCTGGGCTTGGATTTTGGGACGTTTTGTGCGCCCGGCCGCTGCTTTGGCTTGCTTCTCTGCTAGAGCTGGCGGGAGTTCCTTCACATGTTCATATTCCACTTTCCGTCTGTAAGAAACACCAATCGATCCATCTCCAGTCGAGGGTGTGACCATAAGATAATCCGCGCCGAAAAGTTCAGCAGTCCTCTTTGCGGATCTGCGCACGGCCTCTTCGGGCGTAGTCGACGGGATAACGTCCATACTCGTGAAAATTCTGAGATCGTAGATTGGGGTTGTAAAACGACTAATGGCTTGGATCGCCAACAGCGAGATGATAAGCGAAAGAACGTGTCGTTCGCGTCTGGAACCCCTTTGCCCGGGGTTCTGACGGCTAGTTGTCGATAACAGCAAATTACTGCCTCATTCAAATTGATTGTTGAATTTATTGTTGAGCGATTGGATAAAGCACGGCGAACTGGCGGCAAGAATTGTCGGAGAAGAGAAAGATTGGCGATGACGAGTCGGAGGTTTGGTTGCGGTTCCTTTTTTGACTTTTGGCGGAGAGCTACAGAACATCCTGCCTGAGGCTCTAAGGCATATTACAGGTGTCGACGGCAAAGCTCCCCTCCACCAATAGCTCCGATCTTATCGTGAACAGCTCTCCGACCCGCATCTATAAATTCTAGAGCACATCATCATGGATCCTCAGCACGACGCCAAGTTTCCTCTACATGAGGCCGCTCGAGAGGGAAGGAGTAAGCGCAATATGGTAGTCTATGAAATGATGATACTTACCAACAGTTGACAGCTCAGGTGGCCGAGTCACTTCTGAACGTAAGTGCTGCCCCGCATCATCTGGGGCTGTCTATCTCCCTTCCATGGCCAGAGCAGTCGCACTTGCCGGAGTGTATCATGGTTGCTTACTCTCGGGCTTAATAGGTAAATCCGAAGCTTGCGAATGTCAAAGATGACGATGAGCGTCTCCCCATCCACTGGGCTGTAGCACACAATCGGCTTCCTATCGTGGAGCTACTAGTGGCCACCAAGCACTTCGATCCAGATGTTGAGGTAGTCTCCTGCTCTTACTTACTGGGATTGCTATGTACATAGAGGTAGCCTCGGTCAATTACGATCAGCGACTTACTTTGTATCACAGGATGGTTCAGGCTGGACCCCATTAATGATCGCAGCCAGTCTAAAGAACGCCGAAGGAGATCCCATCATCGACCTACTCTTGAAGAAGGGCGCGGACGTAAATGCGAAGAGTAACTCTGGACAGGTCCGTCTAATTCTATCAACCAGGTCTTTGTCAGATCATTAACTGTAATTCCAACTCCAGAATGCGCTCCACTTCGCAACCTCCAAAGCCAACCTTTCCACCGTTCGCACTTTAATAGCGAATAAATGCAGCGCCAGAATTAAAGATAAGCGCGGGCAACTAGCACTTCATCGCGCTGCAGCTATCGGATCGTCACCCATTATCAAGGTTCTTCTCCAAGATGGGAAAAGTCCCGTCAATGCCACGGATATGGACGGTCTGACTGCTCTGCACCATGCTATCTCCGAGGGCCACGGTGAAGCTGCGATCACTCTGCTTAAGGCCGGTGCTGAAACGGATAAGAAGGACGCCGATGGCACTTTGGCTATTGATATGGCACCAGATGCAAGCGTAAGTAGTTCATTCTCTCCCCGTAAAACATCCTCCAGGCGCTTTCCCAGGCTATTGCAAGGTTAACCTCGTCAAGGTTCGAACATATATTCGGCAAACCGCAGAAATGGAGGGTCTAGAAATCTAAGAGACGTGGAACATGGTTATGAATACCCGGGAGCTTTCCACGGCTCATAATAATGGTCCAATATTAGCAATTAGAAGAGATATTATATTCTTTTCTGAAAAGTCTTGTTTCGCATAACATCGTCTAATCGGTATCGAATGTCCAGGCAAATACTATGTACAGAAGTAAAAAGATTTTCTTTCAAGAGACGTCTATAGGCTCTCATTTCATGGTACTATCCACCAGCTCGCGGTAGATTTTCTTGACCTCGGCAATATCAGCCTGCAACTCTTCCACTTGCTCACTCTTTTCACCCAGCAGCTCAAGAGTAGTCTCGTAACGCTCCTCTAGCTCGGCATGTCGCTTCTCTAGTTCTTGTATACGGGCGTCTGCTGTCTTTTTCTCCTCAGATTCCCGCATTAGATCCACAACTTGTTGCCGGGCTTCATCGCGTTGGCTTACAATACGAGCAAGCTCATCTTTCGTGGCAGCTCGTTCACTTTCCAATCGGCGAACCGTCGCACTCATACGCTCCACCAACTGGACCGATGGACCAGCGCCAACAGTGGATTCCGAGATAATGTCATTGATTCCCCGGGAGTTTTGGGTCAGTGCTCCGCCAAAAGCAGATGGCGTGCCCGGCCGGGCAGAGAACTCGTCTGGTTCGAAAGTAATTGAGGGGGTGTCCGTAAATTGCGAGAAGGGTGCGCTGTTTGCCGGAGGTGAAAGGAGAGCAGACGTAGATGTTGGGAATGAGTTCTGTCGTGTCGGTGTGCCTACTTCTGGCGACGTCATGGGCAGAGTCGAGGACCGGCGACTTGATCGTAAGTCAGTGAGGGAACCTACAGGCTCCAGGGCACTCGGCCTGCGACTGTACGCTACTGGTGACTCGGTGCGTTGTGGCTGTGTGAAGATGGCAGGAGGCACAACCTGCTCGCGCCATTTTACTCGTTCTTCCTCTAGCTTCTGTGCCCACGTTGCATCGCACACTTTCTTCTGTTCATCGAAGTCTTTCTGTGCCGAGACTAAATCATCCGCAGCCTTTTGAAGTTTCTGCTCCAGTTTTTGCAGCTCCTGCATGCGTTCCTCGAGTTTGTTTTCAAGATCATGCTCGGCCTCTTTTGCGTCTTCGAGGTCTTCCTCAGCCCTTTTAGCTTTGAGATTCTGTACGTATATATTAGTCTCTATTTCCTCACAAAAAAAATTAGAACAAATCATTCTTACCACTTCCCGAACTCTCCGCCGCAGGTCTCCCTCTCGGCGTGTGGCTTCGTCTCGTTCCTTTTCTACGTTCGCTAAGCGCGCAAGTAGTGAACCCTCCAGCGCCTGCCAATTTTCACTGGCAACAGCATACTGCGTCTGCAATGTCTCGATCTGGCGAAGAAGCTTTGCTTGGGCATCACCAGCTACCCCAGATGAAGCCTCTTCCGCTCTAGAGCGAAGAGACTCCATCTTGCTCTCCAAGACAGATTGCTCGTTCTTTAGTTCGACCTCCAGTACTCGTGCCCTTTCCTTCTCCTGCTCGATGGTACTCTTGAGGTCGTGTATCTCTGTCTTCAAGGTTTCCTCACTCTCATCACGCTCGGCCTTGATACTTGCCAGTTCTTCTTCCAGCTCGGCCGCATGGCGCTTTTCCTGCTCCAGCGCATCAGACTGAGCTTTGGCTTCAGCTGCCCCAGCTCGCGCAACTGCTCTGGCAAGTTGACCTTTCATTTCCTGAATTGTTTGACTTAATGCATCTCGCTCCGCTGTGACCGCTTCAAGATCTCGTGAGCTTTTTGACTGAGACGTCAGCGATTCATTGGCTCGTTTTTCGGCAGCTTCAGCCCGCTTAGCTCTGGCCTCAGCGTTGGCCAGATCTCTTTCCAGTTTTTCTGTTTTCTTGTGATTTTCAGTTTGCACTTTCGAATTCTCCGCCAATTGCTGTCGAAGTTTCTTTATCGCTGTACGATGGTCCATCTCAGATTTCGAAAGTTTCTGTCCTTCTTCGAACAACAGTGCGATCTTCTCGTCCTTCTCCCGGAGCTGCCTTTCCATACTTCCAGGTGCTTCCGCCGCTGCCGATTTCTTGGCGGACTTAGCAGCTTCTTTAGTTAAGTACTTCAACTTCGATTGCAATGCGTCAATTCGCTCAAGATGTTCGTACATTTCTGCTTGCCAACGTGACTCGGCTGCCTTGTGCTCTGCCTGTAAGTGTGCAATAGTTTTGTCCACATCGTTGGAGACAGGCTCGATTATATCACTTGAGTCATTTGCAGTGTCCTGGGCAAGGCCCTCAGATGAACGTGGTTTGTCAGCTTCAGTTTCCTGTAGCTTAGGTTCAACGCCATTTTCTTGTACAACTTCAGTGCTCCTCTCCGAGTTAGCCTCTCGCGATGCAGAATCCTCATTCGATGCGCGCGAGTTGACAATATCTCTCGAGTTTCGTGGTGGGCTGCTGTCATGACTTGTTCTGGAGGCTGCGATTGACGAAGATTCATCGGCGGGGGTAATGTTCTGGGCACTTTCTTCGAGATTGAGGCTGCTACGTCCAAGACTCGATTCAATATCCATGCTCGACCGCGCGCCATTGCTCGGGACCGGACTGGTGATGGGAGAGGTGACTCGACTCGAGGATTGAGAAGCAGGATTGGCATTGGTGTTAGATTTGACAACAGCGCGAGCCAGACGCTCCTGAAGACGATCATTTTTTCGCGCATTTGACGAACTTCGTGAAAGATCTAGATCCGTTAGTATGCGACAGAATATATTGAACTCGGAAAAGCCATACTGCCAGTCTGATTCTTCGTCGCCGTGCTTGATTTTGGCTGTAGCTGTTGGCGCTGCTCCTCATCGGCCAGGATCAAATCCAATTTCGATTCAACCCCGGCGACAGCTTGCTGCAGGAAGGACCCAACCTTCCATTTTGGTTGTGCCATAATGATAATGCGGTTGGAGGTATCTCAATCAGAGGCATGAACCAGCTACTTCTAGCAGCAAGTCCGACAGGCTCTCTGGCATGAAAGGCGGTGGTCTTTGACAATGATGAAGTGGTTTAATGTTTGCCTGCCGTCACACACACAGTACAGAGTAAGTGGAACTAGGCCGAGCGATGATTGCTGCCTTTCCTGCGGGGAAAATGAGCGTGGGGGGTGGAGTGATATAGGGAACGAAGGGGTTGAAAACGAAACGAGAGACTAGAGGCTAGACTAGAAGATATAAAGAGACATGAAACAGACAAGGATGAGTGCAACCACGTAGCAGGAATCCGAACGCTGGTGTCTGGCTTGCGTGGACAAGAAGGTTGGAGAGATTACTGATTGAATGGGGCTTAGTATGGGTCTTGGCGGTAGGATGGGGAACAACGTGAACACCGGAGCTTTCCTCCATTCGTAACACTCCATCATAGATCTCAGCCCTCCCTCTTCATCTTCAGTCCACCCCCCTCCCAAGCGTCTCGGTTTTCTTCTCTTCTCGCTGTTCCGGGCAGGCTCTATCTCTATCCTGCAATAGCGGAACTATGTCGACCATGCCTTTGGAGCCTCCCATGTACCTCAGCTCTCTCCAGAACAACATCCGAGCTCGGCCCATCCCATGGGAGGGAGCAGTTCGAGCTGGCAACATCACCGATGATCAGTTGAAAAAGATCAAGGCAGTGGACAAGGTTCGCAAAGATCAGAGACGCCAAACTGTAGAGGGCGATATCTCTGGCTATGTAAGCCTGCTCTCTGGAAGTGCTGACGCCAAGAGCGTTCTGGACTCCGCTTCTAGGAGGACCGATATCGTACAGTATATCCTTGTGCTGGCAGCGGACTTGATCAATGGTGGGTCTATGTTGGGTCCCAAAGTATGCGCAAACGTACCCAAGTTGTGCTGACCCGATTGCTCGGTACTGTAGATGTTCCAGCGCTCTCGTCTGCCCTAATTGCGCATCCCGATCCCTACAAGCCATTTCTCCCCCTCTTGCGTCATTCTACGAATGCCGAGGACCCTATTCCGTTGCTCACTTCTACCTTCCTGACAAACCTTGTCTCTATCAGCCTCGTGTCTTCATCTAAGTCTGCGGTCCGAGATGAAGAGGCACTTCCACAACTGTACACTTACCTCTCCAGTCTGACTCAAAACCAGGACAGTGGGTTGCAAGACATTGGTGTCCAGGAGCTGTCCGCGTTGCTTCGTACATCTAGGTCTCGGGAGATCTTCTGGAAGCAGAGGGGAGAAACGGTTGACCCCTTGATCGAGATTCTACGTGCGGCGACCGGAGGCAAAGATACCAATTCCAGCACCGTGGCTGGCAGTTCGCGGGCGATCGAGCCAGGTCTCTCTGGGGGTGTGGGGCTTCAACTTCTGTATCGGGTCCTTCTTGTTATTTGGCAGCTGAGCTTTGAAGGCGCGCTAATTGGGGATGACCTTCAAGCGTACGTAGTCTCCGTCTGGTCCAACGTATTGCACCCTGACCGAACTCTACTGACGTCCGCAGGGACCACGAATTCCTTCAGCTGTATACTTACCTCCTGCGCCTGTCGCCGAAGGAGAAGACAACACGGCTTCTACTCGCAACTCTCAACAACCTCCTTTCTTCCAACCGCACAACCTTATTGCCGGTCGCAGTATTTGTCCGCCTCCCTGCCCTTCTTGCGAACCTCTCGGGTCGTCATTTGACCGATCCCGACCTTCTTGAGGATCTGAAGACTCTCTCTGACATGCTCGACGAGTACACCAAAACTCAAACTACGTTTGATCAGTACGCGGCGGAGTTGCAGTCGGGACACCTCCGCTGGTCCCCACCCCACCGTAACCCTACGTTTTGGAAGGACAATGCCCGTCGCATCCTGGATGATGCTAACCTTCCCAAGAAGCTAGCGGAGATTATCTCTAAGGAGTGGGACAATGACAAGCAGGTTCTCGCGATTGCCTGTAACGATGTGGGCCACCTGGTGAAGGAGCTGCCGGGACGACGGGCACAGCTGGAAAGGCTAGGGTTGAAGGCGCGAGTTATGGGACTGATGGCCGACAAAGACGAGTCGGTACGTTGGGAGAGTCTGCGAGCAGTGGGCGAGTGGCTTCGGTATACCTTCGACGACTGATTGCTCGTCGCGGGATGCTTGTTACTTGTGATTATATTACCCAGTGTTTGTTACTTAGGTGCTTGCTTTGGACTTTGCCGATATAGAGATAATCAGCTGCATTGTATTGATTGCGCAGCGTACGTCGGCCAAGTGTCATCATTACTATTGTGCATTTTAGCGGTGTGGTTTTGTGGGATAAGTAATCTTTGACGTTCTAGAAGGACATGCCATGTGTTGGAATGCAGTCAAATATGCAACCCACCCCACGGGTTATAATCGGCTCGTGGCGACAGAATCTAGCCTTCGTTTTGTGAGACTTCGGAACCACAACCCCGCATTAGAAAAGGATTTGTGGTAAGCCAGCCGTTCTTGATTTTGAGGTCTCCTTAAATCGAGACTAAGCAACACGGAATTCGTCTCCGGGGAAAACACTCTTGGAGCCTCTCCACGACTTCTCCATTAGTGTCCCTGTACATACAGTAGGCACGACCCTCCGGTGGATCTTTGGCCTGGATGATCGGCCGCTATACAGCACTCCGCAGTTCCGTTATCTCCATTCCCACTGATACGAGCGACCCTCCACGGGGATTCGTGCCACTCTCGTTGCGCACAAAGAGCCGACATTTTGTGAAATTACTCACTCATCTTTCCTGTTGATCTAAAGCGATTTTCTGCACGTTGTCGGGCATATTCTGAGGCTCACCAGGAACAGCCGAGGTAACCAAACAGGGAAGGGTTCCAGAGAACATAACGGGAAACGGGAAAAAAAATCAAAGAAGTTAGGCGGCCATTAATCGACCACACGAGGTCCGATCCCATGTCTCGATCATTTACCGGTTGCAAACGATGTAAAGCTCGACGGCAAAAATGTGACGAACAGCGACCGATATGTGGACGATGCAAGACGGCTGGAGCGCAATGCCGATATGCGATGCAACTGCAGTGGGGAGGGAGGGCCTTCTCGCGCTCGAGGTTCGGGGCATGTGTGGGACATGGGGGCATGCAGAAACTCGGTAGGTTACATCTGCCACTCTTACTCAGCCATGCTCTTCAAATATTGGAGCCCTTGGGTCTAATGAGTCGATGTAGAGTACTCTCCCGGCGAATTCATCTATACTACGAAAGCTTCACCTCCCCCTCCTGAGCCTCGTGCTCTCGCCCGACCCGTCGATCCGTTTTCGTCGTTATCGTCTGACCAGAAGGCTCTTCTTCACCATTTCCTTAATGATGCCTCTCAAATCACTGCCTGCCATACGGGCATGCAAAGAGATATCTGTCAGATGCTTGTTCCGATGGCCCTCCAGACCCCGTCTTTACTATATGCGACCATGGCTCTATCGGCGATTCACCTACAAGCCCTACACAATCAGTCGGAAAACGTCAAGTCTGCACCGGAAATAGCACGGTTTATGTCCCTCAGTTTAGAACATTTTCGGGCGGAGCTTCAGGACCCTAACGTCAAGGGCTCGGATGCGTTGTTGGCGACCGCGCGAACACTCTGTCTGGCAGAGATTCATTCCGGGGCTATCCATCCTAACTCATGGAGGGCTCATATTGAGGGGGCTAGGGCGTTGATGGATGCTTGTGATAACCGAGGAGCGTTGTCGCCGCGGTCGTCAGACGGGTTCAGGAGGTACTTGAGCCGGTGGTACCGATCGATTGTTTCTCTCACGGCGTTAACAGGCAATGGGCCACCTATTGGTGATGTTGCAGCTCAAACCATCTTGAGTACTACCAACCAGCACGACTCTCCTGATTACCTTGACGATTACTGGGGCTTCACGGTTAATCTCGCCGCAGTCTTTCGTGGGATAGGGGCCGCTGCCTGGCGAAGTCACCCGAGCCAACAATGTGGTGGCATGACACAAGGAGACGAATTCAGCGTTTATCATGAAGCCGCAGTTCTTGAGTCGTCCGTTCGGCGCTTGATGGACCAGGAAGCTGACTCACAGCCTGCATTCTACCCAGGGGTGGTGGAAGGACTCTCAAGCGAATACATTCGTCAATTCATTCTATGCAATGAAGCTTTCCAGCATAGCGCACTCATTCAGATCCATCGTCGATTGAGGAAAACACCAGCATCATCACCGGAGGTCCAAGCATCTGTCAAGCGGATCTTGGAATGTACTGCTCAAATTGGACCCTCGGCGGGGCTCAGTCCATGGACCATGCTTACCACGCCGTTATTCATTGCAGGTTGCGAGGCAGGGGATGAAGACCGGGAGAAAGTGCGCCAATTGCTCTCCTGTTTGCATGACACGATTCGTGTTCCGAATGTGCTCCAGTCTTTAAGGTTTTTAGAGCAATATTGGGCGAGCCAGATTGATGAGAATGAAGGTTGGAATCAATTCCTCGGTATGTCTGCTTGTGTTACTCCTGAGTCTAGATTACATCTGCTGACAGGCATAGATCGAATGCAATTTGACTTTATCCCCTATTGACAGGGCTTCGGGGAATACCGTGCTATTTATGTTCACGATGCCAAGAGAGTGTTTAGGAAAGTTCATGTTTTTAATGATATTTTTTTTATCTATCCCGAACAGTTGTGGAAGCTGTGGCACAGCGCATGGGTTACGTTATTTTTGAGCGAAAGGGTGTCATGATGTGATTCTAGTGGTTTATTGTATATCTACATGTACATATGTATTTCTTTGAGCATTCCGTATACCTATCTTGTCTATAAAACCATCCCTTTAAAGTCAAAATAATTGGCAGGTGTCATTTGACATTCCCAGCTACTACATGCATAATCAATCACACGTCACGTTCGCGGTTCCTGCCAAGTTTAAATGTGCCGGAATGGACGTGTCACCTTTAAACCCAAGAAGACAGGGATTGAAACTGTTATCCCTCGAGGGAGGGAAAAAGGCGGTTAAATCAAGAAATCCGGCCCCATAGAACTACCGACCCTATCCTTGCAGAACTTAAACGCCTGTCATTTCTTAAATTAGCATTCCCAAGGGTGGCAGTCTCATTGTTGGCCTTTTCAACTGGGACAATGATTTGGGTTCGCCCCTTGCCTTGGAGATAGGGCTATGTGGACCACCAGGTCTAGGACCTTTTTTTTTTGTTTCCTAAAAAAACAAAAATTAAAAAAAAAAAAAAAAAGATTTGGGGCAAGCGGGATTCTGGGCGCTTCGAAGGATCTAAATTCTGCGGTATGATTGAATGAGATAGAAAATAGATTTTCGGGGCATGGCGCTTAACTATCAGTTGTTGAACAAGGGTTTCTTTTTCATTTTTTGATTACTATTCTTGTTACTCGTCCGTGTCAATTACAGGGCAATGTTTGTCAAATGGTACGTGTAAGGAAGTGATAACTATTTTGATCCCGACTATTGCGCGCCTATTCTCCATCCAGCGAGGTCTAGATTGGGGAGGTCCCATTCGTAAACGTCTTTCAGTGGGCGTTTCATGTTATATTTAGCCAGGGTCTTTTTTGATCCTGGTTCCAAGCTGTTCTCATCCTGATGGAGTTATTGACGCGCATTAGGTAAAGCAATATCCGAACCTCCAATATTGTCGCATATCCGACGGAGGTGTACTCCGTACAGCGAAAGGGAAACTACGCTGCTAAGGACTAAGTATTGCTGCCTCATCGACACCTGAGGCTGATCACTAGAATACTAGGTACGTACTACTACTAGTAGTAGTACCTACCTAGTGCCCAGTGTTAGACCACTTAAGGGCTGACGGCAGTTGGAGGGAGGGAGAATAACATCCAATCAAGAGCCGGTGGAGAAACCGCACTGACTCCTGAGCTTCAGTTGGTCCGAGTTGCATTAATGGAACACCCCAGGACTTGAGACGGTATTCGGCGATTCGCCGGTCGACCTTCTACTTGTTAACCAACCGCTGTAGGTGATAGATGTTGGCGCACGAGCTAGTCGATCGTTGCATATCAGTGGTTCGGAGGTGATTGCCTTGCTGGTGTCTAGTAGAGGGATGGTGAGGTAGTATTGATATGTGTTTGTTGGACTATATTGGAGCTCAGACCACCGTGGTATATCGGTTTCCCACCATTGTTACAGGGAGATTGTTGGCACCGTATGATAGTTGGGCCTGGTTGATTGATATGGACTCCTTTGGGGGGGACTAGTTCTCAGATAGTCTTATAGTCTTCTTTTGCTTCTTTATCGTCTACGAGTTACTCAGTGTATGTCTTACTTTTTACTCTCTAGATCCTGTTTCTGGGTGGGATTGTGTTTGGGACTGAGTGCAGCCGAAGAGAAGTTGAATTGCCCCTGAGTCCAGAAGTATGCATAGGAGTGGGTCCGTCCGTCACGGTTCACTTGCGATCGGCCGCCCTAGTGGGGGGTTAGTGGCCGCTTGTGAGCCGTCCACCGTCTCTCGTTTCTTACTATCGCTGGTTTTGCTTGGAATTCTTCCATTCCAGAGATCGTTTATCTCCAGATCTTGGCCTTGGTTGGCCATGCTCTCTGCGATCTCCGTGCAGGTTCGTCGACACTTGTAGGGTGCAATGTGCACATTTTTCAGAATATAGACTTTTTCTTCAATATTGGGAAGACTAAAAATGGAAGGACTTCTTTTCCGCTGTTGAATAGCCTTTTTTTTTTGTTTTTTTTTTACCGCCCAAGATGTTCAATATTCAAAGGAACGATCAAAATTAATACTGACATACTTTTTGATAAACGCCCCACCTGGTCTCCTCCCTCCGAATCAGGTAATGCTCACTATTTCCAGAGGCTGTCTTCCCGAACCGCCAATCCTTTTCTCCTTTCCACCCCTTAGTCTGGTCGTCTTTCCAAGTCTCCTGGTCACCTTCACTCCTGGACAAAAAAACTAGACTCCTTGACCCAATCGTCCATCAATCAACCTCCGCCGTTCCAAGGTCTATCAATTCCCACTCTTAGTCTTACCCCCTAAAGACCCGGCGCGTGTCATCGCCCGTTTTGCCCGTGCTCCCCAAGGAGTCAAGGCTCATCGTCACCATGAGGGTGCGTCGATCCTATGCCCCCGTTGGCTAACGGGGTGCTTCTGATTCTCTCTCCCCTTTCCTGTTTCTGATTGAATTTGAATTCCACTATAGCATGTTTCTTGGCCAATTCCGTTTCGCGCTCTCCAATAAAATTTAATACGCCTGTCATGGCCCCAGGCTGGGCTTCTCCGCCGGCTCCTGACGCCTTATCGTCGACTACTGTTGCGTCCGCCGTCCCCCATCAACCAGACCATCAAGGGACTGGTGACACTGGCGGTTGGCCAAGTCCTCCTCCCTCCGCATCCTCCACAACCGCTCCTCCTCATCCTCCCTTTCCGGTCACTTCTCCTACGACCACTTCCCCCGTGCGCAGGAAGCCGCTGCCCCAGAATGCGGCCGCTGTGATACCCCCTCGCCGGTCCGAGTCCTCTTCCAGTGCCTCCTTCCCCGGAGGCGTATCGCCTGCAGATCCTCCAATCCCTGTCACGAGCGTTTCTGACGTGCAGAATCATTCTCGTTCCACTTTGTCCCAATCGTCCGCCTCCGTTCCTGCGGAGGACCCCTCTCTCTTTGTGCCCAGGGATCTAGATCGGTATGAAAGCCGTGGCGCTCTTTGTTCTTATGCCCTCTTATCCAGCGCCGTCCCCCCGGTTCTGATCTTCATTCTGTCACACTCGCCTGGTCCCCACCCGGGCAGAGGTCTTCCCATACCCATTCCCCCTTCAGACGTGTCATAGCTAATCCCGCTCTTTTCTTGGCCATCCTCAGACTTCCCCATGCTAGACAGCCCGCACCTCTTCGCATAGACACATCCGCCTCATTCATAGATTCGTCGGACAACGACGTGGGCGTTGACGCAGACTACGGCACCCAATTCGCGAATGGGGGGCCAGTGCATAGTCGTCTCGTTAGCGAACCGTTTATCCCAGTACTCAAGTCGCCCTTAATAATGCAGAAACGGGCTACAACAATGCCCTTACAACATCCTTCTAATCGACCCCCTCCGCTCCACATCGATTCGAGCGGACGTTCTATGTCCGGCGTTGTAGACGCCAAAAATCCAAAAACTCCCGGTCACAAGATTAGCTCATTCTTTGGCTGGCGAGGCACCATTACTACGTCACCTGGCGCAGAATCATCGAGTACTGAAGTCTCAGATCTTGGTCATTCCCCACTCCCATCCCCAATGCCTCCTTCCCTACCCAGTGCGGTAACGCCGTCCACGACGGTGCCATTCGATGCCTCCAAGGGGTTTCCACCCCGCAATCCGTCCTTGAGTAGTGCAAGTATTTTGGAGACAGGTCCTTCCACGGCGCATGTGGCTGAGCTCGAAAATGAACTCCGGGAAATCAGTTCTGAGTTGGCTGGCTCCATACGGCGGGAGATGGAGTTGGAGGACTTGGTAGAAAGGCTTCAATCAGAGTTGCCTTTGGACAACGGAAACCGACGTACCAGTGACTATTTCTCTGATTCAGGCACTAGCTCCATTCGCCTTGTGTACGATGGGCGGATCGACGATGTTGAAAAATATCGGCGGGCATCGGAGCAGGAACGGGCTCAGCTGAAAGTAGATTTAACGCAGAAATGGCAGGAAGAGCGGGCTCGCCGCGCAGCGGCAGATTCACATGTCCAAATACTGGAATCACAAGTACATCAGGTATGTCGATGCATCTCTGCTTCTGTATCTTTCGGCCGGGAATTTTGACCAGCTTTCATTAGCTCCGACGAGAGAGAGTTGACCTCTCCGATCTGTCTTCTCGGACAAAAGAACTCGAGGGTGCTCTGGAAGCTACTCGCAGAAAATTGGCGGAAGAGCGACAGATCAAAGACAATTTTGAAGACTTACTCACAGCCATGCGAGTAGAGCTGGAGCAGATTCGAAATGAGCGGGATCACCTTCGTGATCACATGGTCCCCGAATTAAAAAGTAGCGCAGCATCTGTATCTGATGCCTCGGAGGTTCAGCGATTATTAGAAGAGCTTGAGGCCCTGAAGATCGAGAATGCTGCGCTAGCGCAACTGCAAGGTGGCCGATTTGCTACCATATCGGAGGATAGTGAAACTCCCAAGAGAAACTCTGCAGTAGGGTTGTCGCGCTCCAGCTCATTGGCTCGGATGCATTCGAAACCTACCATACGAACAGGACTGTCCCGTTCCAACTCTCTGTCGCAATCAAGCCCAGTTACTCCCAAGGGGGGTGACGCCCGGGAATCCATGGCGGATCGGATGGAGAGTGTTGAAGCGCAGCGCGATGCACTTCATCACGCGCTTCGGCGTTTGCTCGACCGTCAAGCTTACGAAGCCCGGGAGTACGAGAAGCGTATCCGACTCATGGAGCTAGAGCTTGCTCACGCACAACAATTAGGATCTCCACGCAAATTAGGTTACGAGAGAGAAGTCCACAACCTGAGAGATGAGGTCAATCATCTCCGGCAACGCGCCGAAGAGGCGTTGGATCAGAAATGGCAGTGCGAAAAAGGATTGGCAGGGCTAAAGATGGACCTTGACCGTGCCGAGCAGGAGACAACGTCCCTTCGGGTGCTACTGCACGAACACGATATTACCGTTCCGGAAGGCGTCGGAGCTGACCAAGAGGGCTTTGCTGAGGTTCTAGCCACCTCGTCATCATTAGAATCTGCATATAAGCAGCTCCAGGCTGAGCGGGAGCAAGCTGAAGCAAGCGCCATTCAGTCACCTCAGGAAGAATATGGCCAGCTAGCAGCCTCGGTCAGTCGAACTGAAAGCCTTTCGCAGCAAGTACAGAACCAGCTTGAGAGGAACAACGCATTGCGCAGCCGTTTGGCAGACGCTATCGGCAAAGGTGAAAAAGAGCAACAGCTTTCTGCAGTTCGGATCAATGAAATGCAAGCGCGTCTCAAGGAGCTGGAAGACACCCTTTTGATAGCTCAGCAACACGCTGAGGAAGAAATGGCTCGGCATGAAGAAGAGATTCAACAGCTGAATGAAAGTCATAATGCTCAATTGTTGAGGATGAAGAACGGTGCTCGTAGCCCCGTCGGCTTGTCCCCCATGCCTCCTTCGTCGCCCTTCGTTGGACGATCTCCTCGCTTAGACAAGACCACTAGCGGCGATGGAATTTCGCTGAGCCAGGCTGTAAAGCCGGAGGCATTGGAGCGGCGGGTGAAAGAGCTCGAAAGACTTCTCCGCGACGCCGATATGGAGATGGGGGAAGTAGTTAGCCGCATGAACCGTGCGCAAATTGAAGTGGCTGAACTCCAGTCTGACCGGTAGGCACCGTCGATTTTTCTTGTTAATTGGGTGATGACTCTAACGTGTGTACAGAGACGAGGCACTTCGCCAAACTCGTAAACTCCAGGCCGAGATTCAGGCTGAGCGGGATGCATTCAAGGCCCTACAGGGCTGATCTGTCTCCCTCTAGACTATGTTACGTTGTTCATCTTGTATATATACTGACGATTGTGGCCCCTGGCGCTTGGTGTCGGTGTTCCGGCGTTACACAGAGTCGCGATTTCTGTTTTGGAGGCGCATGGTAGCGCCCAGTTTGTGATGCTTTTCTTTGGCCCAAGACCGCAACTACTTGGGCGCTGTGCATATTGACGACATTTGTATATGGTCGGTTTTGAATCCACACGGGACGTGGACATGTATATACCGTGATCACGATGTGATCAAATTTAATACACTCATAGATATAGAGGGGGGGAGGGCGACCAAGAGTAATACATGCATGCAATTGATATTATCCCTTCCGTGTGTTTGCTTGGTTTGCTCGCTTGGTTGCTTGATCTGTCCTCCGAGGAATGCACATGTCTCAGACATTCAACAACTATGCATCAGTACTCCACATAGCGGTGATAGGATATTTTTTTTTTTTTTTTGCTCCTCTATAAAGTGCAATCCATAAACTGTTTCAAGCTTTTATCTACCTCTCGTCTACTGTATCGGTCTTAGCCAAACGCAAACAAACGCACAACTTCGTCGCCATGGACTTCCTCCCCGGTAAGTTTATAACAATAAACACCTTCTTAGCGATCACTAACAACGGGCATAAGAATCCATTCTCTCCCTAATCCAAGACAACCCTACAATCCAACAACTCACCTCATCCTCGATCGCGTTTCACGTAACCACGCCCGCACCACATACCTGGATCCCTACATTTCCCACCTGAAGACAACCTACTTGGACCCATATATCGTCCAACCTCTTGCCACCATGCTCGCCTCTTCAATGCCCGACCTTGTCTCGGTCCTTATCCTTGCTCTCATTCTCATCATCTCTCTTAAGGTCCTCGACTATGCGCGACGTGTCGTCATGTTCTGGATTACGTTGGCGCTGCGATTAGTCTGGTGGGGATTCATCCTCGGAGCCATTTGGTACGCGTATAATGCTGGGTTAGAGAAGACCGGTCGCGATCTAGGCTGGCTCTACGGGGTCGTGAAGGGATTCGCGGAGAAGTTCCAGGATGGGTTTGAGGGCGGTCAGAGATCGTCGTCGGCTACTGGAGGTTGGGGAGGGTATGCTTCTGGTCGGGAATTTCAGGTTCCTATGGGGAGAGGTTGAGCTTTTAGCCGCTTTGGCTTGGGTTTTACGAATCATATGTGATTAATGCCATTGCGCTGTTCTTGGGTATATGCTGGAGAAAAATGCCAACTTAGGGAGTTGGTGATAATCGCATTCTCAGCGGTTGTTTTTTTTCCACTTTTTCCTTCCTTCCGCTTTTACGATGTTGGATTTATGATGCATGCATTATTCATTATTATTTGCGACATTATTTTGTTTTCATGATGGTGTCGGTTTAGATACATAACTTCTATATCGTGGCATTTCTGCGCCTGTGAGAGGGAGCAAGCACCCCCATGTTTTTCTGGGTTTTGCATTGCTTGCTCGCCAGCGCGCTGGTGATCATTATTGGCTCTGATCTGGCTAAGCGGGCAAATCCCTGCCACGGGATCAAAGCGTATCAGTGGCCTTCTGGGCGCCGCTGGCGGTCGGATGAGAACAAGAAGTTGGAGGTATCAAATAGTCCCATCTTGTTGCTGCCGGTAGGTCCCACATTTATGTTCGAACAAGGCTATTTGACAATTAATTCCTTCATATTTATGATTGATCGATCATATGTCTGCATCCTCGTAATTAACTTCCTGCTCATCGTTGGGCTCGCGTGGTTCTTGCGCTTCATGGAACTGAGTGGCATCGTCGATATGGCTCAGAACAGCGGCGACACTATCCTCGTCCTGCACATCCAATTGCAGAAATGAGACCATACTGAAGTCATCGATGAGTTGGCCGACAGCCCGGTTGAGCTGCTTAAAGGAGCCACCGCTGAGCAATGTATCTTTGGACGACGGGTCTCCCATCGCATCGGCATCATCATCCTGCAGCAACTGTACGTCCACATTGGTGAATCTCTTTAATTCTTTGCGAGTCACCATGTCCCGGACCTGATCCATCTTAGTCAGAATATTTACGTGGGGCATCTCGAGCATCAGCATTGCGGACATGGCACTTAAGGTGCCGGCAAAGAACTTGGCTTTGTCAACGACAAAGGTACTTTCGAGGAGATACGCCGCGCAGAGGTTGATGTTCAGGGGCCCCGCACGCGACAGAAACTGTACCAGTGATGGCAGGAGGGGTATATGTGTGTAGAGCTCGATCTGGCCCGGCATATCGAAGATAATCAGGTATTCTTCGCTCAACGGATCCAAGGCTTCTGAGAGAAAGTCCAAATTTTGCAGGAGGAACTCAAAGCAATAGATAAGACCTCCATTGGGCCCCAGGCCCATTTCCTCCATAACATCTTCCAAAGTGATCAGTTCGCGGATGTCCAAGTCAGGTTCATAGCTGAAGCTTTCAGCGGCCGGGTCCAGGTTGACGTAGAAACAACTTCGGCGCGTATGCTGGAGATGTTGAATGACGGCATTGCAAAAGGTGGTTTTCCCAGCGCCCGCAGGGCCCATTACCAATACACCGAACTTGGACATTTTTTCTGAGGTAAGATGCGCGCGGGGTAGAGAGGTTTATTAACCGCGTCCGTATACGACGCTAAGACGCTAGATAATGGATGCACGAACAAGATCAGGGGCGATGGGGCACCACCGCAGTAAGCAAGGGATAGTTATAGTCTGTTTTCCGTCACCGTAACCGTAAACTCCGCACTAAAAGGGCCAGCCGCAGAAAGACAGGGGCGATCTGTCAGAATATGCTGCACATTCACAGTCGGACGTCGCGGATTGGCGCAGATGTCAGAATGCGCACTTTTTCTGCCGAGGGTGACCGCCGGAGGAAGATGGCGCCATCGGCGGCACATTAATACGGCCAGATTCCCCTCGATTTCTTTTCCCTCCAGCCCCCCCCCCCTTCTTTTTCCCTCAGATCTCATCTCAGTCTCACTGATATATCTCTACCCCCTCCCCTGTGGAATTGGACGCTCCTTCTCCATCACCTCTGAACTCTCTTTCTTCAATTAATTCTCCCCTCTATCTATCCTCATCCTTCACAATGGGCTCCGTCGCAAACCTTCCCAAGTCCGGCACCTTCCTTTTCACCTCCGAGTCCGTCGGAGAGGGTCACCCCGATAAGATTGCGTTCGTACCCCCTTACACTTGCAGAGCGACCTTGCTCCTGAAGGTCGCACCCATTCATCCAATTCGGATAATTGTCTAACTACTCAAATAGTGACCAGGTTTCTGATGCCATCCTCGATGCCTGCCTTGCTGAGGATCCTCTCTCTAAGGTACGGAGCGGAAATTGTTTTACTTTTTTTTTTTTGCGGAACCCTCTTTTCTTTTTTTTTTTTTCTCTCTTTTCCTCCTTTCCCCACCCGATTGGACCGGCTTTATCTCCGCACCAAATTTTAGCACGTACTAATTAGGCTATCATGAATAGGTCGCTTGTGAGACCGCCACCAAGACTGGTATGTGTCAACTGCCTTTTACATCAAACAATAGTATTGTTGATATTAGATAATGCGCAAATGCTAACATTGTTCCAGGTATGGTCATGGTCTTCGGTGAAATCACTACCAAGGCCCAGCTTGACTACCAGAAGGTCATCCGTGGTGCCATCCAGGATATTGGCTACGATTCTTCCGATAAGGGTTTCGACTACAAGACCTGCAACGTCTTGGTCGCCATTGAGCAGCAGTCTCCTGATATCGCCCAGGGTCTTCACTACGAGGAGGCCCTTGAGAAGCTCGGTGCTGGTGATCAGGGTATCATGTTTGGTTATGCCACCGACGAGACCCCTGAGCTCCTCCCCTTGACTGTCATCCTTTCCCACAAGCTGAACAAGGCCATGACTGATGCCCGTAAAAATGGCACCATCCCCTGCTCCGCCCTGACACCAAGACCCAGGTCACCATTGAATACGCACACGACAACGGTGCTGTCAAGCCCCTGCGTGTCGACACCGTTGTCATCTCTGCTCAGCACAGCGATGATCTCTCCACTGAGGAGATCCGTGTTGCTCTCAAGGAGAAGATCATTAAGCAAGTCATTCCTGCTGAGCTGCTCGACGACCGCACTGTCTACCACCTTCAGCCATCCGGCCGTTTCGTCATTGGTGGTCCCCAGGGTGACGCCGGTCTGACCGGCCGTAAGATCATCGTCGACACCTACGGTGGCTGGGGTGCTCACGGTGGTGGTGCTTTCTCTGGAAAGGATTACTCCAAGGTCGATCGTTCCGCCGCCTACGTTGCCCGTTGGGTCGCTAAGTCCCTGGTCAACGCTGGTCTCGCTCGTCGTGCCCTTGTCCAGCTCTCCTACGCCATTGGTGTCGCTGAGCCCTTGTCCGTCTTCGTTGAGACCTATGGTACTTCCCAGAAGACCTCCGAGGAGCTCGTCCAGATTGTCCGCAACAACTTTGACCTCCGTCCTGGTGTCATTGTCAAGGAGCTTGATCTGGCCAAGCCCATCTACTTCCAGACCGCCAAGAACGGTCACTTCACCAACCAGGAGTTCTCCTGGGAGAAGCCTAAGACCCTCAAGTTCTAAGCGCGTCGCTGTGACTGCATAATCTTCCTTCTCCTGTTTCGTTACGAATGTGATGATTTTGCTTTGTTTCAACAACTCAAAGCATGAGCATAGACACGTCAGAAAAGCTTTGTTCCATATTTCCTTTATAATATTTGCATGATCGTCTATAAAAAGGCGGGTTCGGCGGGATAAATTCAACATGATACCACTTTTTATCTGTTAGGAGGGATGTTACGGCGTTATCCGGGAGCGAAAGTCTTCAACACACTGCCTCCTCAGGCTCAGCATCTGTGGACCACCAGCGTCATCCAAATTCGGGTCCGCACAGAAGTTTGTGGACGCTTGTCGTAAGCTGTGCTGCAGACAAGCGTCCGAGAGGAGATGATCTATCTATGGCCGGCGGCATTTGCCCAGTCATAGTTGTGCTAATCTAAACATTAGCATTATAGAGTAATGAACAATGAACCATTTATATGGCCTCTATGTTTCCATGTAAATGCTGTAAGTCAAGTAACTATGCCATCTCGTCGTAGTTTTCAGAGATGTGGATGGGTGTCGCTTTCCCTCAAGCTACTTGACTTTGTGGCCCTCAAATTCCTCAGAGCAGTTAAATGAACCTTAACAGTGTGGGGGCCTACGACTAACGCATCAACTCCAAGGCACAACTGGAACTACAACGATTAGTTTGCTGTAAGTCATTTTCCATGTGCGTATGTCGAAGTTTGTCCGAACCGTGACGCGTGATGCCAAGACGGCCCCAATTTAATCGCGTTGTCGCGGGTCAGCATTTTCGGGACATAGAATTAGTTGACCCTATCAATCCATATCATGGTTATCAGTATCTCTTGATTACTCAATTACACCAAGTCCCTCTTGGCATTGCCCTCTGCTAAGCTGAGCCTTTTTTATCCTCCCTCTTCCTTTATAAAAGCACACAATGCACGCCTAACCAGACGCGTTCATGGCCTCGCGTGTTTCCTCCAGCGCTCTCGACCCTTTCTCAGCAAACCCCTTCCAAGAGGTCACCAACCCAACCTCCAAAAAGCGAAAGACATGTCACCTCGAAAATGACTGGACCAAACGGACCATTAGCATTCGGGTGAGCAACGACAATCTCCACAGCATGTGGTCGGATACTAACCTCTCCGCAATGCCCAGGCCCATGCCGCATCCTTATCCGATGAGCCATACGTCCTAGAACCAATTGCCATAGTTCCGCGCTGTCGGTTGCCATTTTCATGGCTGGATTTCTCCCCCGCTTCGCTGTGCGAGATACAGTCCGGCAGTTTATTCATTGCGGATATCCCCGTGTTGGAGAATGATCTGCGAACGGGGCCCGTCGTTCTGGCTGTACGACTAGCGTCTGATGGTGGGCTTTACGTCGTCGAGCGAGTTAAAAAAGGGATCTATGCGCTCTCGAAGATAGCTCGTGGTGTCGAAGAAGGGGACATCGTTGTTGCTGTAAAAGGGTGGAATTCGTCAGAGGTGGAACAGTTTCCTCGATGCTTGTCTGCCATTGAGGAGGGTGGTGACTGGTGGTTGATGGCGCAAATCGATGACCCCGTCACGGATCCTCACTTTTCTACCAAGCGGACCAAGTTTGATGTTTCTGTTGTTTTCGGCGCTATGGCTCACGATGTACGCCTGCAAGATGTGTCGCCAGTAGATTCAGGTGAGAGTCGAGGTCAATCTGTGGCACCTCAAGTACATTTGGAAAGGGATGTGAGCTCTGATGTTATCATGCCTACCGCGGTGGATTCTCAAGAGCATTGTGGTGATGGCGTCGGAACAGAGTTTATAAGTGTTGAGTCTCTTCAATCGCCACAGGAACTGCTGGATCATCTGAGGGAGCAATATCTGCAAGCCCTCTATATCTCGAAGGTATGTTAGGTCTGATCTAGTTGTGGTTTTGTGCTAACTTTGGAAGACTTCTGTGGCATACTTTGCTAAAGGTCCGTTGGCGCGTTGCCGTACGGCCTTTCAATCGTCTGAGTTGGGGTCTGCTCAGCCCTCGGAGCTCATTGAGTTTTATCGGGAAGCTGTTCTTACGGCTAAGAAAATGGATCTCAAGTACCGGGAGACATTGCCTTCGACTCTGAAAGACGTTGTACTCAGTATTTCAGACGATGAGTCGACGGTCAAAAAGAAGAAAAAGATTAAGAAGAAGCTTGGAAAAAATGGGCTTTACCCTACGGAGGAACGGTTTATTCGGACGTGGTGGAAAGCTCGAGCGCTTGCAGACCAAGGAGTATCAACCGAGACATCGCGGGACGCGGAGCTGAAGAAGCATGTTGCTGATCTCCGACTACGAGAAACCCAGCTTCAGATCCTTCTCATTCTCGAGACGATGGCGTTGGAAGCCACTATGGCTGATGAAGCAAAGTCTACTGAGGAAGGTGTCGGGCCCGACAAGATGAAAGTGTCAAAGTCTAAGAAACTACAAGATTTGCAAGTGATGCTTGAACTGCACATTGATCGGCTGTGCATTTGGCATGCCGTTAGCTTCGACGATGTTGCAGTCTCTGATCCAAATAAAGTCTATGGCGATCACGAGTCGGGGGGCAAGAAGGTCGAAAGTGATGCCGTTCGAGACTTTTGCACCGAGGTCATCATACCCTTTTATGCTTCACGCCTACCAGATAAATGCAAGTCGATCACCAGGAAACTCGGGGTCCCCAGTGTGCTATCGCCTTTCCCTAAGAAACCTCAGCCGAAGAATGTGCCCCGAGCAGAACCTGGGGCGGCTGTTGAACGGCAACCATCGCAAAAGCACCCTCGTCGTACATTGCAACGCGTGTTAACGGATGAGCAAGCTGCCTCTCAAGGACGTCGACAATCGCTGAGTCGCTTCAATACCATGCCATCACAGTCTGAGCGGGAGTCGATGGAACCTCTGTTGCCTTCCTTGAGCGCTAATGTACGAGGTGGTATTCAGAAGGCCAAACGGGTTGACAATCGTGAAGTCGACCTGAACGCTGTGGCCCGGCAGCACGAGACCAAACTGAGGAAGATGCAGATGCTCATGGATCAGAAGAAGGAGCTCGACGCCGCGATCCATGCCCTTCGGAAACCGAACAGGGAGCTTGTCGCCAAGGACATTGCCGAAGATGCTGAAAAGAGACGCACCGGTGGTAGCGCTAGGAAACCGAAGAATCCTGTCCGCAACCCATTCGGAGAAGGAGTACAGGTTGCTGCTACGCCAAAGGGCAGTCGAAAGAGGGACGCCATCATTGGTATGCCTCCTCTGCCCCGAGGCATGCCGATGCATTCATCTACCCAACCCAAGGCATCCTCATTCTTTGGAGGTGACGGATCACCTGTGGTCCCTGCTTCTACCACGCGACCCAACCCATTTTCTATCACTTCCAGCTCCAGAGACACGAACGCGATCCAGGAGACCCCAACACGACGGCCAACTCAGCCGTTAGGACCATTTGATGGAGCAGGAGCAGGCGTGGCCGAATCACCCCTTTCCTCCGGAAATCTCTTCCGCGTACCTCGGCGCCCGGTGCCCCGGTCGGCCGATATGGCACCGACAACCCCCGTCGCATCGCGGCGCACCAAGTCTCGTCCAGACATGGTCACCGAACCGACCAATTCGCTCGTGATGGAAACTCCACCGAGACAGAGCCTACCAGTACCACTTATCCAAACCGACGGGCCAGCAGAGGTAGCCGCAGACACGCCAGCGAAGGTGCTCGGAACACCAGTGAAGGGCTCTGCCAGATTATCCGTGCCGACAACCACAGCGGTGCCGGTGACACCCGAGAAATCAATCTATGCGCACTTGGGATGGGACGATGATGACGATCTTGGTTTGTAAACAGGCAATCATGGCTGGGACTTTGTGTGCTTAGCGGGCGTTTAGGGTTGTTGCGATGGGATTGGGTATGACTGCAGTTTTAGTTTCGATACATCATGAGCATAGACGACCGAACCTAACAATTCAACATGAGACTTTTCGAGTTTTACACAATAAGCATCATCCCTGTTCCTTGATTAGATAGCCCAACCATACATAAGACAGGTCAACAGGCAGCGCTACGTGTCCTATCACGCATAGACCAAACATAACCCACGGACCATCCACAAACCATACACATACATACCAACCAACCAGTTCATCCGTCGTTCATATGATATGATATGACATGCTCCCCTACATAGAGATCGACAGCCCATCGTCTCCCTTCATACGTGTAAAACAGCACTAAACGGGCAAAGACGAGGTCATGCGACCACTCGATACGAAACTAATGGAAATCTTACTCCGACTAACTAACTATCTTACCTAAGTCCGTAATAATAGGTCGAATGCTGAGACGACTAACTAGTTAACTAACTAGTTCGTCTACGCTTTTCATTATTAATGGATGTTTGTTTGGGGGGTAACTAAGTAGAGTTGACTCGGGGGCAGTTTAGTGCATTTTGTCTGGAGTACGGTTATTTGGTTTATGATAATATACTAGTCGGCAGTACGAAAGTCAGTACGAAAGTGCCAAGTAAGAAAGATATAGTTAGTTACTAGGAACCCAAATGGCTAATAACTTGTACATACTACATAGGTATCTGGAGAAAAGGTGTAGCGGTTAAAAGTACCCCAGGCGCGTAAATTAACCCTTTTTGGGGAGGAGACCAGGCGACTACCGTCCTTCTATGCCCGAGGCACGGTACCTACCGGAAGGTAACAACTGGCTGACTGAGTGACTGATGGAGTCCTTCGTGACCACAGGCCACTAAACAATACCCGGCCAATCTAACTCACTCACTCGTCTCACCAAACGAATGTTTCCTTTCCCCCACAGCCAAGAAACCCCCAAGGATCATAATAAACACTACAAAGGAAGGACACAACGGCAATTCCGAATCCGGCTAAATAGACATGCGGCCAAGCAAGGAGGAAAACAATGAATTGATGATATTCCCCACATTTTTTGGTGACCCAGGATTGCTTACAATGGAATAGTTCTTCCTTAGACTGCAACGTGGGTTCAGGGAGATTGTGGGGAGAGGCTCGGAATCGCCTATCAGGTTGCGAGCAGGTGCAGATCGATGTGGTTTGCGACTTCAGGTACGACGCGCGTGATTCTCTTGGTTTTATGGGTTGTGGGGGTGGGTTTTCCTTTTTCTTCTTTTTTTTTTTCCTCCGTTTTTTTTTTTGTCTTTTGGTTTGATGAGGTTGAGTCATACGTATGCATTACTAAGGTACTTGGGGTAGGTAGTTACTTACTAGTGGACTACTTGGTGGTTGGATTTGGATTATGAGTGGATGGTCTGGTTCTTATTGAATGGTTTTTGGATTTTTGGTTGGTTATTATATAACTATTTGGTGGTGACATGTTCATGTGAGAGACTTTTTCTATTAGATACATGCTTGGTTGTCGATGATGTGGTTCTTGGCGAACACCCTGTAACTCCTATCCTGCTGCGCTTGCGCTTCCGGCCTGAAATATGTATATGGAAATGAAAAAAAAAAGATTCGTTGCTTCGTTACGTCGTAAGTGGAGATTATGCGTATGTTCTGCTGGGGGTATGTGGTGTCCCCAGGACGCTTAGTGGTAGTGTATAGTTGTAATGGCTCGCCAGTTACCCGGAAATGCGAACGGGTATGCACTGCGCAGGTGTTTGCCACAGGTGTTTTGTCTTTTCTAGACAGTTGCGGCCTTTCTCCAAGAGACCTTGTTCTTTATCGTCGGACGGAGAGGGAAGAGCAGGAGCAGATTGGTCGAAGGAGACGGTGAAGGTCACCTGGACAGGCTCCTTGTCCGAAGGGGCATCCGTAGCAGTACCCTCCTTGGCCTTAGCCTCGGAGTCTTCCTTCTCTTCTTCGGTGGAGTCACTCTTGTCAGAGTCCTTGTCCTGAGCGTCGTCGCGCTTGCTGTCTTCCTCCTCCTCTTCGGACTCGTCATCCTCCAGTTCGAAAGAGTTGATCCGAGTAGTCATGTCCTTCTGTGCCCACTCCATGGAGGTAACGTGCAGGCGGAAGTGACCGAGGCATCGTCTGATATCTGGATCCGGGGCAGTGGCCTCCCGGGCGAGCTTCTGGCGCGACAGGGTGGTGAGCTTGTACGGCAGGGAAGTCTTGTCGGCAAGAGGGGGCCAGCGCTTGTTCATGGAGGGGTTGTTAGAGGAGAGAGGAGAGGAGGACGCCTGTTTCGGCATAATGTCGATGGTTGCTACAGCCATGATCGGCAGTTGCTCTGTTGTATTCTTCTTTTTTTTTTTTTTTCTTCTCTTCTTGTGCTTTCTCGTCGTATTGCTTAAGCGATGAGGGAGTTGAAAATGGAGTGAAATGGTTTGCGCGAGAGTCAATGAGACAGAGATAGAATTTGCGAGATGCGACAGATGGCGAGGAATATTAAGTACGCTAAATTGGAGCACAGTGGGAGTGAAAATCTGGGGAGAGGGTAAAAGAGAAGAAAGGAAAAGGGAACGGGGGAGGAAAGTCTTAAGAGAGACGAAGGGGAGGGGAGTCACTCAGAGAGAGAAAGCCCAGGCATTCCAGAATCCAGACCCAAGAAACTAGGGTTGCGTAGTACGGGAGACCCCAAAACAGAAACCCGACCTGATGACCATCTGATCTGGCAGATTCTGCAAGCGGACGATCCAGCGAGGCCTAGACTCATAGACCCAACTCGTCCACCGGGAGACTGCTTCGGGGGGCTCTTCCCCTCTCCAATCCCCCTGGCCATCAACCACGATCAAACCTGGTTCATACTGCATGGAACTGTCCGATGAATTGGTCCCTTTTTGCCAGGGTCTTTTTCGCCCATCGTATCCCACCCCATCGTGGTTTCGGTGATGAGGCGAATTGCTGACCGAGACCAGCGCAAGTTCTGCTAGGAGAAAAAAAAGGGTTGCGTACGACTGCTACTACTGGTACTGCTGGGCGACTCCACTACAAAAACCAAGTGAACCAGCTGACCAAGTGGTGGGTCCGGCTCTGTCGGCACCATGGAATCTTCCACGCCGGGGAGGCGTTAGGGGCAGTTTAGTCTCCTCATCAATGATTATGAATAATCATTCGGTATTTTCTTTTCCCTTTTTTTTGGGTCTCTGATGATCATGACTGTGCGTTTTCAGTCTCGGTCTTAACCTTCTCGACCGAGTCATGCATTTTTCGCTAAACCACATCACCCAAATCGTATCACTTTGTGTTTTCAGTAAAATGGAGGGCAACCATCGGAAGATCCCTCAATGCAGGTGGAATGATACTACACCCAGAATCAGCAGGGACTCAATCGAAGAAGAATCGAACGATTTGAGTCAGGGATGCTCACGTGTGCCCATTGGCCACTTTTTGCGGGGTCAAACTTTCTAGGTTAGGCTCGTTACTATACAGAGTAACGCTAGGCGGAAATGGTAATAGTCTAACCCTGATAAGGGTTGCGCCAGCAAACCTTACTAAGACTCTTAATCTCTGACTAAGGCCGAGACTCGTGTGGAGTTGCCCTTCGGTGAGGAACTATTGGAGGAAAATTAACTGAGTACGGATGCGGTGCGACCTGAGGCAGCGGTCTGATTTGACGACTTTTTTATTGAATATAGATACGGCTATCTTATGTCGAAGAGATGGTGTATCCATACTACTACTCCGTGGGGTGCGCTATCAAACGAACAGGGCTCTATAGTCAGTCCACTTTTCCTTTCTGTTTTCGTTTTAATGGATCTGCCTTGGAATGAGATGTGATGATGTAATATTCGCCCCATCACACAATTGACTCTGACAATACCAATGTGTATGACTTCATGATCTGTCATGGAACCGTATATAAGGTTTACATGACAGCTCCATTGCCACAAATCGTCACTGCCCCCTCAATTGAAGTCATGATCTACATTTTAGATTTCGAAAGACGCGAGGTTCGAAAAAGGTAACTCCGTCTCAGCGGAGACAAAGGGCTGGGGTGTCCGGGGGAACTGGTTTGGACAAAGGGAAGAGACCCGCTATACGGCGATCTTGATATCATACACGAAAGCAGGCTGTGCAGGCGATACGATACCATAACCGGAAGCTGCAAAGCGAAGGATAAAGAGGCGAATGGATGCTCCGCCGAGGATTGTCGCTGGCGAACTCGGTTTCTTTTCGATGGAATCGAAGGTCAACATCTTCAGCAGCAAAGACCCTCGTCTTCGGCACAGGATTGATCACAATGAACATGTAGAATGAGGACATAATGTAGCATTGGCATCAGTTCCTCACCACTGTGAATATTACATCCTATCATGTCCATTGTCAGTTCTTGATACGCTTCAATGCTCTTCGGTGGGCGGTGTTCAGGCCGAAGTCTAGATTTGCAGTGGGACTGGGGTAACAGTCGTAGTTGGAATGAACGCAACGCTAACATTGGCCGGATCAGGCTGAGATCATCCAATCCCGATAAAGTTTTCCTGAATCATCAGGTTGGGGATGTACCGTTACTATCCATGATTGGAGCTTGAGCTGTACGTGTAGCATTCAAAGTCACCCAGTCAATCGCTGTTTTACAATCAGCGAGGCATCCAATGTCAATCAACTTGGGGCAATGGATCTTCGTACATCCTCCCACATACCGTCAGATGTTCTCGCACAGTTCTACACGGCTGTGCGGATCACGGTCGCAGTAGTATTTTTCACCATCACAAGAAAACCTCCGACGCTCCTGGTCCAAGCTGGCCCGCCTTTATCTGCCCTGACCACTGCGCTTTCTCCTTGCTTCATCATCCTTCTCATCCCATATTATCTTCGTCTCGCTACGCGACGAACACCACGCGAGGCGCCCAGATATGTCGATGAAAGTGTCTGTACAGACGTGGAAGAAGAGGATGAACGAACAGCAGTAGAGCTGAGCGATGTTGATATCAGTAGCGATGATACCGTCATTCACGATATCAATTGGGAGGAAGAAGACGGCAGCAATGTCAAAAAATGTGAGAGCCGTGGTATAGTGTCCCTGGACGAGATAGCTGGCGAGGCCGGTCGGGATGGAGAAAACGTTATCAAAGACGGCCCGTCTGAGGGAAGTGACGAGGCACTACTGGATAGATGTGATGTGATGTCGAGTGATGAGACTACTCACGACATTTCCACCGATGAAGAAGACGTCGGGAACAGCGAAAGGCTCGAGGAAGCTGATATAGAGTTTGGTGATGAGATCACTCACGCTATCGATCTGGATGAGACGGTTATCGGAGTAAACGCAAAGCTCGAGGAGAACGGCATGGTTCCTTGTGGCCAAGCGCCAGATGTTACTGATCAGAGCACTGAGGAAGATATTTTACGTGAACTTCCGTCTCCCAAAGCCATTACCCACCAGCCATCCCCCACTCCGGACTTCCCTCCATCTGGCACATTGTCCGGGAAAAGACTTCGCGCTTACTGGGACCCTGCACCCGGAAATGAATTGTACATCTCGAGGCAAACAAGAACGTTCGAGTCGTTCCACGCTGCGCTCGAATCGAGGACGCGGCCTCCATGGGCATTCCGATGAGAGAGGAGCAAAAGGGCTTCGAGGGACAGCCTGTACTGCATCTTGATTCCAGTAAGTTTCGAGAACGTAACGTACGTTCCACCAGTCTCGACAATGCTGCAGCTGCCCCCATATAGTTGCACATGAGTCAAATACACGATTCCGGGCTGCGTTGTCTCGGGTAATTGCATGGGATGGAGAGAGATGTTCGAATTTTGAAAATCTGAGCCACTATTGCCCAACCTGATTGATCACAATTGGGATACATAGCGGGGGGATCACCCGATGCACACGTTTAGCTGGCCTGTGGGTATACATTCGCAGTATTAGTTGCGGCGTGCAGGACCGTGCATAAAGCTGCACTGGTCTAAGAGCCACGATACCTGCAAAGATGACGGGCGGGCATAACATCCCGGCAGTGTATAGATGCAGACACGTCAAAGGGATAATTCCATCAGCAACGAAGTATCCATTACTACGTCTGACGGTTAACGCCAACACCACCACCTGTTCACTAACATGTCGGACAGACAATGCAGTCCAGTTTGGGATGGTTATGAGCTCCCCCCCCCCCCCCCAGGCCCAACCCCCCTGCAACATACAGGCCATCGGCTGGACTAGACCTAGTGTTTCTCCGAGTCCGTGGTCTGGTCTGGCCTGCACCTGATGTGGAACTGTTCTGGTGATGACCTGCATGCCATTTCCTGTCTGTGACTGTTTAGTTGCTTGGCATCATGAATCGCCTCCAATGATTCCACGTCCATCCCGGACCTTCCCGGCTATCGTCCATTCATTATCTCCCGAAGGACATGGATAGGTTACGCTGCACCTGGTTGGGAAAGCTTGAATCGTGTCCTGTCGATTAGATGAAAGAGAGAATTTGCGGCAGTGGAAAAGAAAACGAGGGAAAGAAGAAGCGCCTAACACAGCCTCGATGGTCAAAGGACATCTGGGGACTGTGCAACCACACGATATGCGACGTCTGGCAGTGGCCTCAATCCATGGAACCCGTTGATGTGGAGGCGCGATTTTAAGATTTACAGGCAAGTAGGACTAAACGGTGGAGATGGGACGCTGTGCATAGTTACTACTGGTAATGTGCTACCGTTGATCTCAAGGTTGAAGTGGGGGGTGCGGAGTAGGATCAATGATGGTCGCGATGGCGCCATGTTTCCATCTCAGGACGTTCACCAGTTGAGAGAGCATCCTGCTTACCCGCGATGTACCGTAAGTCTAGTATCAACAACGCACGGTCCCCAGTGATCAACCCCTACTGTAGTTCCCGCTCAAGTGACCTTCCGGTGCAAAGTCAATCCGTCGTCGGCACTGGTCATCTGCCCGTTGGAATGCCTGGACTCTGTGGGTTTGGTACTCGGGGTAGCCTATAGGATACGAGGATGTCCCTGGCATCCTCTGGATCTGGTCGGCCGGGAGAGACTTCTCTGGTCGATCCAAGTATTTCACGTTGGCGTGTATCTGAACAGATGTAACGGTTGTGATGGCAGATAGTTGAACCACATTCGGGATGGTTTCCGATTGTCTCTGATCGTTTGTCTCACTCTTCGTCAAGCTGTCTTGCATGTCGATACTCGTTAACTCTATTCTACATTTTCATGATTGCTTGAATGTGGCATACCTCCGTCGAGTTTAATATTACGGAGAATTGACCATGTCGAATCCCGTCGATCGTTGGCTCATGGGGGCTTCTTCGGGGTCAACCCTAATCAGGAAGTTACTTAGAATTCCGCTGAAGAGCATGTCCTGGAACTCTTGTATCCCTCGGCCAATTAGTTTATTTAGAGACATGACATCGATATCAACAGAGGAAGCTTTGTCCGGTTGTACAAGCCTAATTCTAAATAAATAAACTTATCACACACCGATGACCCCTTGACACGGTTCAGCTTGTCTCATCTGTGTGTGTCTTTCTCTCCGCCGGGGACTAAGGACGGGATCGACATGGTACGTAGTAGCAGAATGGACTTCTTCCACGTCTTTGAAGATCGACCATTCCTAGCCAGTAAAGCTAGCGAGGCTAACGGTCTTTCCACTATACTGATAGGGCCACGTAGGCTTGTTATTGTTATGATTGTTGTTGTTGTTGTTGCTCCTGTTCTTATTCTTCTTATTCGAATAATTATTCGTCTTTTCCCATTTTATCGGTGTCAATATGACCATTAATACCACGACGACATCAGAAAGAAAGTGGTGATGGTGACAATACCGTACGAAATGGCCGATCATCAATCAGAAGCGAGGAGAAGCGCGTGTCTTGTGATTGGTCCTGAAGTGGAAAGGCGTGAGATTCCATTGAAAACCAGGAAAAAGTCGATCAGTCACGGCACCTCCATTCCTAGCGGATGTGGTTGAACCGATGATCTCTTCATGTCAATTATGATTTTGGCTCTGGAAATACAGACTCACTGAATTGCAAGACGAAAAGAGCCCGAACAGCCAAAAGAGAGACAAGAGTAGATGGTGATTGCTGGACCGAGAATCTCCATCTCTTTACCGATTTATCATCATATCATATCACATCATTCAGCCTTTTCCTTAGTATCTTTTACAGTTTCGCTGTCTTGGTATTACTTAATGCTCAGTGCTCTCAGCCTTGCCTGGTTTAGATTTCCCCCTAGTAATCAGGCAAGATTTTGTCGAAACTACTATAAATCGGACTCCACGTAGGGTCTTGACAGAACGGATATTGAGGATCTCCCGGCCACCCATCACGACGGCTACTAGTACAAGTGAGTCTAAAGTAGATACACTAAAAGAGAAAGCATCACTGACCAATGACTAGCATTTGACGGATGGGCTGACCTCGTCCTACATCGGGAGGCATCCACCAGGCAAGCCATTCATTCCAGGGACTAGTCTGCAACTAATCAAGCCTATGGTTCAATCGCTGTCATCGTCAGCAGCTCTTATTAGCAAGGTCTAAGCTCAGTTTCATTGGCTTCTGCAGTTGTCCTCCACGCTATCTGCCTTGTTTGACTGCGACACAATTCTTGTACTATCATTCCATCCAGTACAAGCCACAACCGTCGCTTCAGACATCCGCCTTTCCCCTCGTGTTTGACTTGTTCCGTGCACTCCTAGCTCCTTGAGGGCCGACGGTCAAAAGAGGGACGGACGAAGAAGAAAAAAGGCGAAAAAAAAGGGAAAAGAAAAAGAACAATCCCAAAATTTCCCTCCCGAAATCACTTTTGGGGAAAGTGATATCACAACTGGTCAGCTCCATTCGTTCCGGGGGGAGAAGCGGCTCTGTCCGAGGACCAAACCCAAGGATTGCCCCGCGTTGGTTCTGCGACATATTTCCAATTTACTAGCAAAAGTATGGATTACCTTTTGTTTTTCTGTTTTTGACTTTCATTGGGACCCTCTTTTTAAAATTCCAAATCCCATTGTTATTGTGTTTCTACTGGTCCTATTTATTTATCCACGAATAGCCGGACGCATGGATTGATTCATTGCTACCTAAGGTTGATCCACGCCATCGCACCCCATTCTTCGTCGGGGGGGTTGTTATCATCGCCGAAAGTCTCTTGATTCTCTATCGATATCAGACCCCTTTCGTCCATTGCATTGTCGATCGATCTACTTCAATGCCGATAGTCTGCCATCCTCCTTCTTTATAGTCATCCAAACCGGCTGAGTTCTGTCTGTGAGGTAGGGGATTGGAAATACAGCTACTCCTTTGACAATTTCCTCCGGAACCGACTGGTACTGCATTTTGCCGTGAATAAGTCGGAACCAAGCGATCGTGCAGGGATCAAGATTTCATGACGAGCGGTGCTCATCCAATACGCACTAAATTAGTCGTCCGTCCATACGTCCGCGCTACCCGATCGGCCACATGCTGCTTGCCCAGTATCATCAAGTGGAAGAATAAATCCTCGAGGACGAATACTAGATTAGATTAGGTAACGACTGAGGAAGTGATTGGGAAGTAAGTCCGTTCCTCTCGTCTTTCTCTTTTCCCTTCTGAGCTAGAGGGGCGCGTCATACGTGTTCTATCGGATTCGCATTTCTCTTCTTATCGGACCTCGGACCTCGATTCGTTGCCTTTTGATTTGGTTTATCTTCTCTACCGAATCCTTTCCTGCCGTTGTTATTGTTGTCCAGTCTGTTGTGGGTTGGTTTTCAACCGTCCGAGAACGAAGAGAAGCTTAGGGTAGGATTTGACGGGGTGGAAGGTAGTAGTTTGTTTGACTGAACAGAAAGATCATCGTCAATGCGCCCGCGTTGAATCGTGACCCAAGTGGTGCACCGCCAATCAGGGAGGGTGTGGCGCCGCCTCCCGCCTTGAGCTGTGATCCTATCGTTCAACCACCCTTCCTTTCCGACCCCCTCCTTCGACTCTCTCACTAACCTTACCCTTTTTCTTTTTCCCTCCCTCTTTCATCATCTGCTGTGGTTTTAATTTTATTTTTCTTTTCATTTCCTGGGGTGGCCCCCTTTCCTTTCCCAGTCCCAACTCCAACTTTGGTCCCCACCCAACTGCTGGTCCTGGTTTGTCTCCCCTTTCACTCTAACCCAATACACCCATCGGCTCTGTTGCCTGCGACCGACACACAGACACCAGCCCGTTGGTCACACATAACCCCAGTCTGGTGTACCCACTGATCGGTTCCCTCAGCGTGAATCATCGTCAAGTGTTCTCTACTGAACCCCTCCTTAAGCCTATTGCTCTTCAAGCCCGCCGGGTGACTGCGCTTTCTGCAGGTAACAGGAACCTTGGGAAAGGGAACCCCCGTCCGGTTCGCCCCTCTCCATTTCCCTTTCCCACTCCCCCCTCCAAACAGAAAACACGTCACAGCCTCAAGGTGTGGCGGTGTTCCGTCCCTGGTCACCTCCAACCGTCAAGCCACACATCACTTGTCATCTGCCTCGCCTCCCATTGTTCCTTCTGAGTGTCTCACCGCCTAACACCCGTTGCTAGTTCTGTCAAAGCTCGCGCGGCACTGATTTGCTCTGAACCTTCCCGCTGATCCGCTTCCTGCCACCTTCCAGTCCAACCACCCACTGCATGCGAGATCGTGGTCTGCGTTCATTGTTCCGAGGATCACTTGCATCGTCACAGCTCCTCTGCTGTCTTGTCTCGCTGCTGCAGCCCACCCAGTCGTTATCTCACCCGTTTTGGTGTTGACACCTTTCGCGTTCCCTTGACGCGCCTTGCGGCCTTGCGACGGCTGTTCAACCTCTTTCCGTCCTCCTTGGCCCGCCATGTATGGCACCTCTCATTCCTCCGTTTCCGCTCCCATGAATGGGATCGGAGGCGACCTTGTCGATGGTTCGGGAACTATTAATCCCGCTGCTTTGAATACCAACAGCGGTATGTTGTCCCTTTGCTTTCTTCTTTCTTAGTGGTTTCTTTTACTCCCCTCCCCTCTTACCTCGTTCGCGTTCCACCATTTTCCCTCCCACTTTAGTTCTTTTCCCACTGGCTTTATCCCGCCATCGCGTTGGATTATTTTTGTTCAGGCAATACCCATGTCGAATCGCTTATCGCGGTTGGTTACATTGAGGTACGGCCATCGCCGTTCATGGAGGTCAATACGATTTTTTACTTATCTATGTGTTTGTCCATCGCGACAACCTCCAAACTGACGGCCTTTTGCTAGTCGCAGTTATTCTACCAACCCCCTCGTTTGGTACGAGCGCAAACACCGCTCCTCGCGGGATCAAGCGGAGTCGGACTCCAGATCAGCGCGGATTGTCCCGCGCTGATGGAGATCATGACGACGGTATGTGCGCGTCGCGAGGTCTCATGCGGTTTGCTTAGACGCCGTGTGAGGCACTCTCGAGCCGCTTCGTCTCATTCAACCACTGCTTATTGTTTTATTTGATTTGACACGCGCACGCTTTCCCCTATGCCATCTATGTTGAGTTCCATGACGGCTAACGTGCGGTCCATTTGACCGTTTACCAGCAGGAGCAGACGAACATGGCCGTCGAAAGCGTGGGCGCCCTCCAAAGACGCCGCGTCCCTCTGCCACGGCTATTGGCGATCAAGCGACTAATGTTCATATGCAAACCCCACGAATGCAAACACAGCCCCTACCTCACCAGGCGGGTGTCAACGTATCACCTCCGCAAGCATCGCCTCCGGACAAGACCACCCCGACCAAGTCTACTCTGGTCAAAGCGCTGCCGACTGTCCGAGATCATACGACTGATCAACTGAACGAGGAGGGCGACGAGTACATCCCGAAAGAATTCGATGAGGCTGGTGAGAAGAAGGTCGATGTCATGGGTTATCTTACAGGCGACCGGGAGTACAAATGTCGCACGTTCCGTGTGCCTCACCGCGGAACGAAGCTTTTCATGCTAGCAACCGAGTGCGCACGTGTACTCGGGTACCGCGACTCATATCTGTTGTTCAACAAAAACCGATCTCTGCACAAGATTATCGCCACCCAGATCGAAAAAGATGATTTGATTCAGCAAGATATCCTTCCATATTCTTACCGGTCACGTCAAATTGCCATTGTGACCGCAAGGTCAATGTTCCGTCAGTTTGGCAGTCGAGTGATTGTGAACGGGCGGCGAGTGCGTGATGATTATTGGGAGGGCAAGGCCCGGAAACAGGGTTTCACGGAGGACGATCTAGCGGGCGAGAAACGCCCCGGAGGGGCCAAAGCTCGCGATGCAGCCGCGGCGGAAGCGGCGAGTGCTGCCAGCCTACTACCAGCCCTAGCCCATGGCGATGTCATTTATAGCAATGCGCTTGAAGCTATGCCCAATAGCTTACCTGTGGGTCCACCGTCGTCCGTTTCTCTCGCGCCGCTGCCGATGATCCATATGGCCACCACAACGGATGATCCGCGACTGAGAGAGTACAACAGTATGCCTCGGGCCCGCCAGGAGTTGACGGGTCAGCCGTATCAGGACCGGACACAGCCCAGTACTGCGGCAGAGATCCTGAACCAAGCCTCTCACACTGCCGACTTCAATAAAATTCTGAGTTCCCAGCGCAGCTATCGTCAGAAAGGCTTGGAGGATTTCTATTCCAAGCAACGTGAGATTCCAGCGTCCGCGGCTCAGTCGCAACCTGGGCAGCTCGATGCGGCTCCATCGGCATCTCAGCCCTTGCAGTCACCTCAAATCGCGTCGGCTCCGATGATGAACACGACCCAGCCCCAGCAGGCCATGCTCCCCCATCAAACACCGATGATACCCGGTCAGCCGGGCTTGCAGCAAGCGGTGGCCCACCCGCCAACCCCCTGTTGGACAGTCACCCGCCCGGACGGGCCTGTAATTCGCCCTGACATGATGCATCAGCGATCGAACCCTTCTCTATCTGCAGGTACTCCACAGCCTTCAGGCCCGTACGGTTACCCGTCACAACCGCAGCAGATCTGGGGCCAGCCCCCGCCCCAACCGCAACCGTCGCCCTTATCCGCCGCGGGTCCGCAGGCTGTGGGAATGCCACAGTATGCCTCCCAGCTACATGCACAGCAACAACACTCGCCTTCACCTCTCGCGCAACATCCGTCCCAGTCTCCACGGAACCAACCCCGTCCGTCTGCGCCACAAATGCCACAATCTTTCCCATTACATCATCCGCAGGCACCTCAACAACAGCCAATGGCATCCATGGGCTTTCCAGGCGGCACTGCGGCCCCATATGCTGCAATGACAGCTGCAAGAGGCATGTACCCTTCGACACAGGGGCCTGGTGGTCAGCCGTTTATGGCAGGAGCACCACAGCAGCCAGGTCTCGCCATGGGAATGAGCGCGGGAGGTGCCATGCCTGGCTGGGCCCCAACACCTGGCGGACCGATGCAACCAGGACATCCGCAACCAGGTCAATCCGGAGCTCCACTTGGATGGTCCGGTTACTAAAAGCCTTTGAACTGAGAAAGTCATGGCCGGCGTTGACCAGAATTTTGGCGTTCATGGGACTAAGAGGTGCTGGGAGGACGTTGTGACCTTTGTGTATCGAACACGTTCAATGTCCCTTTTTCCCTTTCTGCTCGTTTTGCCGTTCCACCCTTTCTAGCACCTTGTTATGCCGCTTCCTGCTATACACTATCCTTAGCCAAGGATAACAGCTAATGATAATCTGTGCATTTTCTTTCTATACCCTCTGCTATACCCGATGATGTTGTGATTTCGTTTCTATGTTCTCTTCCCTTGGTTCCATGGGGTTTACACGTTATGAGTATGGAAGTTGTGCATTTCCTGTATGTCAATGATAGAAGGCCGGTCAGATAGGACGGTGGCGATATTCTTTTCTAATCATATTTCGTTTGGTCTAGGCGGGCGTTTTTAGTCTACTGGTCTTCTCAGTCATTACTTCACCGAGCATTTTATGATTATCTTCACTCTACTCAGCGTTTCATGTGTTCATGTTGGACATTGAACTCTGCGCCCTGTGGATGCTGGTTGCGTATGTTGATGCTTTCAATGTTTGTGTTTATAGTATGCAGATTGCACGCAGGTTCATGCTCTGGGGCTTCTAATTTGAATACATTTTCCCCATTTGTCTATGATTGTCCCTTTGTGATAAGTTGATTGAACAGCCTGAAGGTACTCCGTTGCAAGGACTATACGCGTGCGCCCATGTCTATGAATTTCTGTTTTTTTTTTTTTTTTTGGCGGACATTTTGGCTTAATGGTTGGTGCTCATGCCATCTTCTCTCTTGCATTTTGGTGGAATTTTATTTCATTCCAGTAGTTAAGATTGAATTTACGATATCTATGTCACGTCGATAATCATCATTCAGTCAATTATAATCTACGTATACACACTTTTGCACAACAAGATATAGCAAGAACATCATTTATTGATACACACACCGCAATCACCTAGACAGTATATAGACATCGCGATCTCATCTTATACAGAAACAGTAACCAAGGGCGTTGTCACAGGGACTGCGGTAGAGGGGCACACGCACGAGTCGACTGACGTAACAGGCGGCGCGGTACAGTGGGCACTAGCAGTCCACGAAACCGAGGCCGTGGTCAGGGTCTCAGGGACGGTCTCGGCGCGCACGAGAACAGGTATGACAGCACCAGTGTTAAGTTTAAAGGTGCGATGCTTGACCACACGGAGGATCGAGCTAATTTCGCCCGAATGGCTTGTAATCGAGACAAAGAGGCCGGAGCCGTTGGCTTGGAAGATTGAGTCCAGTGCAGATTTACTACGGATGTCCTGCGCGGCGCTGGTTTCGGCTGTTACGCCGTTCCAGAGCTCGTCTTTCTCTGTGAAGCCGCGCTCGATGGGCCATGTGGGAAATAGGTCGTGGATGTATGTGCGGTTGCGACGTTGATCGCATGTGTGGATGCTGATTCCTTCACGGAGATACTCTTTGATCAGAGGGCGGAAGGGTGTGCTTCCGTGCGGGAGACGGAGGCCAGAGAAGGTGATATTTGCTGTGCGAAGGGTGCGGGTTAGGGGGCTGACGAAGTAGCTGTCCGGTGGGTGAATGTGTTGCGTGTCTAGCTCCTTTTGCCAGAAATCGTGGGCGACTTGTGCCTGCTCGACGCCGGCGTCTGTGAGCTCGGCATCACGCCAGGTGGCAGTGCCGTTTCCATCCAGGAGGGACCAGTAGCACTGGTTGATGTTAGCAAGGTGGTGATTTGGCATGGTCATCAGGTGACTTTTTGTTACTCACATTCCAGGCAGGCGTGCCGTAGTAGTCTTCAGCTGCGTTGTGCCAACCTTCGCCGTGGCGGCCTAGGAATAGGACCTTGTAATTGACATTGGGAGGTGATTTACGATTCAACTCGACTACTTGGTGGTAGAACCGCTCCCATTGGGTACGGTGGTTGTTCTTATTACCATGGCCCTGGTCGGTTGGGTACGTGCGATTGATCAGTCCGAAGTTGGTGGTTGTCTGATTCGTAGTTAGCGATGATGGAAGTTAAAGGGAAAGTAAGCTAGGTACTGACGAAATCAAACGTGGATGGATCGGTTGTCACTTCATCCTGCAAGAAATATCCATTTACTGTGGTGTAGTTGACATACGAGGCTTCCGCAAAGGCCGCCAGGCCCAGCGCTACTGAAGTAAAACCGGAGATCTTCATGATGAAGGCACAATGCTGACGGCGGTCGTGGACTCAAAAAGCCCAGATCGGCGGCCGCCATTATATAGGATTGTTTCCGTCAGGTGCCTGCGTGGCTGGCATCATGATGATATTGTGTAATCGCGATTTGTTGCCTACCAGTCCGGCACGTGCGAGCTAACGGTCCTCGAGACCCATCCACTTAATATCGCTCGGCCTGCCAATTGGTAAAATCATAGCACCGCTTCCTCCGTTCTCGGAGTGAATACCCAGAGAAGGAGAGAGAAAGGGGAAAGAAAAGAAAAAGAAAAAGAAAAAGAATCAGCGGTGCAGCACGTGTGTCCAATCGAGAGCTCCGACGATGCGGCGATTGCAATCGTCATCCATATAATCAGTATTAGTAGTAATTACAGGGGGGGATTAATAAATACGTGACACGAAATCAAGCCTCCAAATATATATGTCAACAAAAAAGTCCAACCGCTTCCAAATACATATGCAAAATCCAACAGCATCCAAAATATTTCCAGCCCAATACTAATTCACAACCGAACCAAAAACAAACCAATGGCAGACGCCGAAGAAACACACCAACACGAATGCTCTGGGAATCAAACCGACAAGACCTGGGATATGAGGGAGTCCCATAGTGTAACAATAGACAATGCGACAGGGAAAGACAGAGATATAATTGCATACAGAGTAATGGCACAAATCCCCACCAAGAGACCGTGTGTAAGCCCCATACATGAAATCAAACGCCGAATTATTTTACTTCCCTTTTATTTCTAATTTGCACCCCAATCGCTCGGCGTTTGATTGTTGAATGTATATGCCTTGGGTTTCTGCGGCAGTTGTTGCGCAACAAACCGATGGGCTTCTTGCTGCTCGGGGAATTCGTGGATATAGAACTCCGTCGGCTTCGCGTCACCATGAAATGACCCTGCCGATGGATGCATATCGGCATCCGTGGTATACAGTAAGGGCGGTGACCCAGCAGCGGAGAGGCTATCCGCAGCTTGTCCATACGACAGAGATGAAACATCCGCCTGGGTGATTGGGACACGGCTCTGAAAGGCTGCCTCTGGTGAAGGCATCGAGTTGGCACCTGTCCAACTCCTGCCCGTCAAAGGGGCTCCTTCGCAGGTGACATAATCAGGAAACGAAGTATAATGGGCAGGGGCGGACATTGGCGGAGCAACACTGTGGTATTGGTAGGTGGAAAGCATATCCATAGCCAGAGGTGTAGCAGGAGGAGAGGCAATGTTGATTTGCATGGGCTGTGTTGTGGGGAACAATTGGCTGGTAGGTTGGGCAGACAGACAGTAACCGCCATCACTAGGGGTATTTGGAAGGAAGTGATGCAGGTCATCCGGTGTCAGGGGTGTTGGTGGAGCCAGCCCGCCCGTGGTGACGGCGGGCGACAGCATCGATGACATCTCTGGCTTGGAGGTACTTAAGGCCCCGGCTTCGGCAAATGAAGACAGGTTGAGAGGTGAACGCTGAGCTGCAGAGGCTTTCCGAACACCTGCGTAACGTGAGTTGAGACATTGCGCTGATTTCGACTGTCTCACACCAGGTGCAGAACCATAGCTTGGGAGTCTTGTGGTCGGTGACATGGATGACGATCCTGTCAACATGGACGACGACCTCGAAGTACCGATAGCAGCAGGCCTTGGCCGCTTTCTCCGTGCTGCAAGATCAAGTTCCTTGCCAGCTTCTTTCCATGAAGACCGCTCTGTTCTGATTGGAAGTCCCGCCGCATGAATCCCGATGCCTTCGAGGGAGTCAGCGAGATCATCAGATGATCCTCGCCTTGACAATGAGCTCTCTGGGTGCATGGTATATTGAGCTGCACTATAAGTTTCTGCATCACTGGGTGAATGATAGCTAGGGAAGGATTTTGTCCCTTGCACCTGGCTGGACCACTCCTCGTTCTGTGAAGAGTGGAACTGCAGGGTGTCATTGTGCTGTGCATTTTGATGAGAGGCGTCTAATTCCGGGACAGTCAGCGACTCGGCGGCAGAGTAGCCAAGATGTTCTTGAGGGCTCTGAGATGCGGTCCACGACATTGCAGTCTCCTTTGTGTTTTCCCACTCGGAGAACGGGGTTGTGGAACTGCTCTGAGCAGCTCGGCTATCACCGTGGTTGTTAATGCCGGAGTAGGTTGTCGTCGGAGACACCGAGCCCTCATGTATGGTAGCGGGTTGGCCCTGTTCATCAGGACTATAATGTTCTCGAGCAGCAACAGCGGCATTCAACGCCCGTTGCAAGGAAGCAAAGGTAGCTTCCCGAGCCGACTCGCTCTTTGTTTTTTGATGCTTCGATCGCGAGTTGGAAGCAGGTGTCTTGGTACGGCCATCAGACATAGTCTGATCAGATGATTGCTTCGGGGTATCCTTGTCTGTCTCTTCTTTGACGTCTAGGTTCGATTCGGACTTTTCGGCATTTTCTGTCTTGATCCGTGCAGCCTCCTCAGCCTCTGTCTTCGCCTTCTGCATCCTTTCGAACTCTTCCTGTCGCTTCTGCTGCTTGGCCTTTGCGCGTCTATTTTGGAACCAGTTCTGTAATGAGCATTAGCTTAGGTTTAAAAGAAGCGCTAAATGTAGAGTGGGGAATCACTAACAGCAACCCGAGGAAGGCTAAGGTTCGTTTGAGCGGCCAATTGACGCTTAACATTGCTGCTGGGTTTCGGATGAGCCTGGAACTGGGCCTCTAGGGTCTCGACTTGTTCCTTAGTCAACCGTGGACGAGACAAGTTCTCTGCATATTCTTCGTAGTCCATAATGGGCTGATGGTAGAAGTCGATCATGTCAAAAGGTGGGTGCGGATAGATGTAGCCGTCCATTGGGTGCATCATGGACGGGTGTGCCATTGTCGGATCATAGCCAATGGGCTGTTCCATGGGGACCGCAGCATGACCAGCATACGCGTAGGGATGATGAAGATAATTCATGGTTGCGGTACTAGGCGTGTGAGGGTAATAGGAGGAGAGGGTGAGGGAAGGGTATATTGAGACCGAACCTGTTGCTGCACAAGATAGCGGCAACTCTCGATAGGTAACGGTTCTAGATCATTGAACAATTGGATCACAAGAGGAAGTATGAGTGGTTGGATTGAGAATGACTTTTTAGGAGGAGAGATAAGCTCTTTTATAAAAGGATGGCTGAAAGGGTTGGTGGAGTGAGAGAATGACAGGTTGTTGCTGGGTATAGTTGCGGTGGTATACAACACAGCAGACCGGATGGATTAAGACAGAGAGGGAGAGGATTAATGAATGTATTGAGTCGGACAGCGGTACTAATAAGCAGATATCAGAATAGGGAAAGGGAAGGAACGACTAAGCAGATCGAGAATGAAAGCAAGAAATAGTAAAAAAAGAAAATATAGAAAAGAGGGGACAAAAGAGGAAAAGGAGAGAATGAGGAAAGAAAGTAGAGAGCCTGAGTGAGAGAAAGACTGAGAAAGACAAAAAGGGCTCAAAAAAAAATAGAAAATTAGAAAATCAAAAATCAAAAATCAAAAAAAGAAAATCAAAAAAAGAAAATTAAGAAAAAGGAAAAGGGAAAAACGGAAAAGACGAAGAAAAAAAAATTACAAAAAAAAAGGTTTCCAAACGAGGATTGACACCAGTCACTGGGGACTGAGGAATTGGGGGGGTGGAAAGGGAAAGGGAAGTGGTGTGGATATCGGCGGATGGAGAGATTGGCAGCGGCTGCCTGGGAAAAGCAAAAGGTGTGGAGGGCCCAATTGTGATTGGAAGATCACCGAGCGGGACCTGAGAGAGGTTTCGAAGCGGTTTGGTATCAATGCCGTATTTACCGTCAGCTTGGGTGACCGGGGGGAATCAGCGCTTCAGCCGTCCTCGCAGCTTCCCGATTTTAGCTTAATTGTTCTGAGCTATTCCTAGTAAACCCAATCGCTTTGGATTAGTAAAACCAGTACGAGGATAGAGTAAGAAGGAAGAGAAAAAAAAGAAGAATAACCCAAAAAAAAGAAGTTCATGGATTTGTCTCTGCAGACGATTCGTCTAAATGAAATGTCATCTTCCCCCTGAACTTATTATCGTCTACCTTATCTGGGAACGCATCCATGGTAGCGATCTTAGGTACCCTCCCACAGCGGTAGAGTTGGTTGGTTACCACTGTACGGGAGTACGGACAGTATCAGGTACGGTACCAAACCGAAAGGCACCGACCACCAAAATATTGGCCGAAAGTGGGTTTGTGGTGGTGCCGCTCGCGAGGTTCTAGGGGGTGGCGGCCTTGGGCTCTTTTCCTGTGTCTCGCTCTCTCTCTCTCTTACATACTAGCTTAGCAGCCAGGGCTTAAAATAACTCAAAAGGGCATTGAATAAAAACTAATACTTAAAATGGGTAAATAAAAATACACAGTAATCATCACCATTGTCATCGTCGAAGTAGAACATCATGGTGTTAAGTACATACATGCATAGGTACATAACATAACATATGTATGTAAGTATGTAGCGCTGGACATGCATTCATTACAGACCCTCATTAGGCAGTGGCACTGTGGCGGTGACCGCGAGAGTCTCAGGCAGAGCTACTGGATGTTCGTGTATGCCGGCGACAGGCCATCCTGACTGTATGGTCCTGTGAAGTTTAGCTTTTTTTTTCCTTTATATTTTTTTCCTGCACTATCCATGTCGCATTCCTTGGACATATAGCTTACAGTAGAAAATTAGGAATCTATTGATCATTGTTGGGTATCTAATAGGGCTTCTTCCTTCGTACTTTTCCTCTCCTCACATTGAATCTACATCCATGGTTGTTTCCGATGTTCCCAGTCATCCCGTCAGAGTTTGTAGATGTACAGTTGTAATCCGGTACAATGGATATAATTGGTGGAAGACGGTTAAGTTCAGTACGGGATCTTTCCCGCGACACACCCAAAGTTTAAAAAGGGGGGGGGAAGGCCGAAAAAGAAAATCAGAACACAGAAAAAAAAAAAGAAAAAAGAAGCCAAGGAACACAACTGAAGCACTTTAAGCTTGAGTGACTGTAACTCCTACAGGTGGTGACACTGTCGGCATCCAATCTCACGGGTGTCACCATAATTATGATTCAAAGTGAAACTGGTAACTCCGTAAGTACTTCCATTTACCAACAAGAGCTTCGTCAGTTCCTGCATTAGCGTCATAGCCCAGGGACCAACAATTTAGCTTTACCCAGGGGCGGGGTCCCATATGGGAATTTGGAAGATCCCGTGAAGCAGAGATATGGGCCCCGAAACAATGCTAAAACAAACCGTCGCCAATAGTGAAGTTGTCCGTTGATATGATGGAGTATACATGCTATCTACTCCCTACAAGGGTGTGATGATTTTCCACCCAGTTCTCCCACACTGCATCGCCAGAGTGAAATCGTGTCAGAGGGCGCATTGGGTATGCGTGGGGAGTGGGTCATCCTCCCAATCCCCATCCAATCAAGTCGAAACGAAGATGAAGCTCGCCTGGAAGTCTCCCGAGATCCATCGGTGTGCCTGCAATGTCGCCCAATGATAGCCTTGCCTGAGGCCAAGATTCAATCACGGGGTCAAGGGTCATCGGGGTCCATCCGTGGGATTCTGGTCATCGGATTCGCTGAAGAGCCCGTCCGTAAGTTCTGGGTTGGGTTTAGCGGTGACGGACCGCTTGACTCTCAAGGTTCTCTCTGCCAAACTCCGATATTAACCAGGTTACTTGTTTGGTTTGCAGTATATTCACTGGGGGCATCTCCATCAAACCACCCCTAATATGAAACCCAAAATAAGCAGTTGAGATCAAGTTTGCTACAGACTTAAAAAGCCATCCGTGAAACCTACTCATCATCACCGGTTTTTCTTTGCTTTCTCTTCTTTTCTACCTCGTCCCCAGGACCCCAGGTCAGGTGGAGGGGATTTCCTTCGGTTAGCCGAAAGAGGGGAAGCTCAAATGCGAAGCACTTGGGCAGAGCAGTGGCGACAGTATGGAGTACTGAGGAGGGGCCCTCACAGCACGGAGCACACTACTGAGGGTTTTTTTTATTCATTCGTGTACGGATACCGAGTGCATACGTACACCCGCAACAGTTAGCACGGATCTCCAGATGCGCCTGTCATCGTTTCCCACAGAGTTCATGGGACGGAGAATCATCCAGTTGGTCTAAGGGAAATCTGAAAAAGAGTGGGAAAAGCGTGGCAGCACTCAGGCCAAGACCCACTAAAATCAATAGTCGACAGATCCCGTCGATCACCACAAGGATCTGCTCGATTGTCGAATGAAAGCCCGCGACTCAGTTATCTCCTTCATTTTCCTTCCAAAGCCCTATGGGAAAAGCGTGACTGGGCCTTACTTTTCAGTCTTGACATAGGCAGATGCCTGGAAGCACAGAAGATGGAGCGTTCATAGTTGGACTCCACCATTGGGGCCATTTCCGGGTTCCTGGTTTCTGTCAATCACCCATGCTCCCCGAAAAGCCGCTAATCATGATGCAATCCGGACCGCCCACGCCAAGTCACGAGGTTACGCAACAGCAGTTCCAAACCCATTGCCATGCATATGGAGGGAAACCAGACCATGCTAGGGGGAAGATGAGCGGAGCGGTTCGGTGCTATCATATGTGCTGCCCTTTTCCCACTGGTTTCTCCATTTACCCGGCAACCGTCACTACCTGAGCGGTTAATGCATGCCTCGGTTTTCCTGGGGATACGTTCATCCTACATATTTTTTTTTGCTTCGGCTAAGTACTCCGTAGTGTGACAGCAACTCAACGTCTATGATTTGCAAGTTCCGGCACTGCGGTACCGTACCCGAAATTTCCAGACGATCTTCGTCAGGCTCTCGAAAGAGGGGGCGTTGAGTGGACATGGCAGACATGGCGTTGGCGTTGGTGGAACCGAGAGAAAGGGGGCGTAACGAACTCTTCTACAAAGTTCTCAGGTCGTAATGGTAAGCAAGTTGAACTCCAAGGCAAAAGTACCATTGCATAGTCTTACGGGACTCAGTACATACACACAGGCATACATAATGGCTCGTGATTAACCGAAACCCTTGCGACTGGAGCAGGGATCATGGCTGTTCATAGATGCGAACACCTGAAAAAGATCTCCATCGTTCACGTGTATGTAGTGCGGGACCTAATTGAGCTTGAGAGCTCTAGAGTACTCCATAAACACCCAGACAATAGATACCCAAAGCGAAGGTATGTATCACGGACCCATTGTGTATCCATTTAATGCACTATGCTAATACTATAGTTAATGGCTAGCACTGGGGTCGGGACAAATAAATGTCATACTCCAAGCCCAGACCAATTAGCAATCATTGTGGTCCCTCCCCCCAAGTATCATCCTCTCTCGCCTCTCCAGATGCTTGGAATTCTCAGAGTCGAGCATTGTGGGTAAAAAAAAAAAGAGATCTCGCTGTAGGTCCTTTGCCCGACCCCTGGGACGATCCGCAAACAACCGCACGGATCGCTTCCAAGTGATTTTCAGACGGGTGGGCTCTGTGACGAGCCGTTGTCACCCGATGTAGGGATCTCAAATATTGGCCCCCTTTAGAAGAAATTCGCCGAAGACATCGGCGTATCAATGTGGCTGTCAAGGATGGAAACTGAGGAAGCCGGTGGATGCACAAAACTGTGATGCCCCTGAAGCAAGTCTGACAGTCAAGAACCACTACTCCGATAAGTGATCGACGATAGCATCGTATCCCTGCCTTTGAAATGATAAGGTTGGTCTAAACTTGCTTACATACGTACGATCCGACTCCATCCCCTTGGGTCGGATTTACCACGCTGATTTCCCATGCGTCAATCTTAATCTCCATTACCTGATGATATGGGGTCATTGTTCACGGATGATGCAACAGCGACAATCATCACAATCACTAGACTCACTCAGGTTAGTACATTCCATAGTCAACTTTAGATAGTTGACTAAGGATTACCAAACTGATAGAGATGCAGACGGAGTATGCCGTACGCGTCTTGCAGCACCACAGCCACAGGAAACTAGACTTCAGCTGCGTGGCGGTGCTCGTAATATCAGCCACAGTTGAACCCTTTTTCTTTTGTTTTTCTGTGTATTTGCTTTTTCTTGTTTTCTTTTCTTTTTTTTCGGTTTTGTGATCTACTGCAGGGCTTTCCCATCGTCGCATCCGAGGACTTCCTGGTCGAGTCGTCTCGTCGTGCACGGATGAAGTTGAGGAGAATTTGTCAGAAGTTGTCAAATAGTGCCGATTGACACGCACCAATGAGGTCCATTCCCGGTGCCAACTCTCAAGCCACAGCGCCTAGATTTACTTTGGTTTGGCTCTCTGTCCCTTCGTACGAACGCTACTCAACGCTCAGGGCCGCTGCTGTTCTCTCTCTCTCTCTTTTCCTCGTTTTATTTTCTTTTTCCTTTTTCCTTTTTTTTTCTTTTAGGCTGCCTGGCACGGGATAGTTCCCCCCCGCTTAGGAGATGCGATGTTATGCTTTACGGGTAGATGCACTGCACTACTTCGAGGAAATCATATCGCAGTCATACGAACGATGCGGGTTTCTCGTCTTCCAAACAGGTTAGGTACACGCCTTTACATGCTGCTCAACGGGCTCTCTCCATGAAACTCTACTGGCGTGATTGATAACCCGTTTTCACTCGGTGTGTTCACATTTGTCCAAAAAGTCGCAGAGAACGAATGGAGACCCAGGAACCCACATCCCGGTGGTATTCCTATCCTGTGTCGTTATCCCTTGCGTACTCCGAGTACAGTATCAGAAACAAGCTAAAGCCACAAGTACGCAGCACTGGTAGGCTCCAGTCCGTTCCCAATGGACAACGCGGCGGGAATTATGCCGATCACGATCACTGTTGCTTCCAGGCTCAGGGAAGGGCGGCTGGAATTGACCTGTCTTTTTTCCAGAACTCCATCGCCCTCTTCTGTAAACGAGGTGTTTGGCATGGCGTTCTCGACCTGCAACCCAAAGTTCTTCATTTCACCCCTCGAATCTGTTCTGGAACAGCTCATGTGGATGTGGATTGCTGCCACAATCCAGTTGTGCCCTGTTTAGCCCGAGTCGCATTTTGATCGTTATCTAGGATACTTCCCAAGCTTTCCCTCTTTTTTAGATCGGGTCCTACTTGCGTCTGACGGCCACTTTGCATGCAATAGGTCTTCTTTTTCTTGCACATTTGGAGCTTATCGGAACTTGTTGAGACTAGGTTGAACATCAGGTTGTCGGTGAGCGATGTCTAACCCTTGGACGTTTAACTTAAACATTAGCTATTCCATGATATATTGCACCTGGATTCCAGAATGAGCAGGACTTTAAGATCTGTCATGCAGGGTAGGTAGGCGGTGATGCCTCGGCAAAGATCTCTCGGTGTATCTCGGTGTTAGGCCACCTTTCCGACGGCTCTCCTGGATGGAGCTTGCTCCATAACCTCCATCTTTCTGATTAGAGCCACTTCACACCGCCATCGTTCAAGGTTCGCGATGGGTCCTTTATGGATCCTCGTCTACATCACGTCCTTTTCTCGCCACGCTCGCCTTCCTTAGTCGGTAGTAGTGGTACTTGCTTCTCAGAATCTCGGCCAGACTCGACTCAGCCAGCCTGGTACCGTTTCAGCCCCAGTCGTTTGGCGTTGTTTCATCTCCATTGGGAGTGCTCGAGCCGTCGTTTGGTATGGAGCTGCTGAGCGAATTCTGTGCGGGAATCGTACCGTCCAAGCATTAGCGCCATGCAAGGCAACTTCCTTACTTGTACATACATTTGTACATGTCATATCACCTGAACGGGTCCCGTACTTTGTCTATATACTTTGGAGTATGTGTTCTAACCTTCTATGTACAAGGAAACTAAAAGAAAAGAAAATAATGTCTACACAACCCTGGGACCCATTGTAAAACCGGATAAAGAAAGACGAAGGTGGAAAACCAGGCCAGTTTAGTCTATTGATCCCATATCTCCCCTTTATTGATATGCATCCCGAATCTCCAACTGAATGCGTCCATCAACCACACCCTTGACCGAAAGACTTCTCAAGTCTTCCACAATCCAGTCTGCGCCAGCCTCTTGAAGCTGCGCCAGTGAGTGGGTCGTCGTCAATGCGATTACCTTGAATCCCGCAGCCTTGCCTGCCTTAATGCCCGAGGGCGCATCCTCAAGCACAACTAGCGATGACGAATGTTCCAGGCCGAGGCGCTCACGGCCAAGCAGATAGCACCGCGGGTCGGGCTTGCCCAACTCGACATCCTCTGCAACAACAAGCATTTTTGGATGCGTGAGGTTCATGACACCTAGCCAACCATCGATCAGCGCACGCGTACCGGAGGTGACGACACCCCAGCAGGCACCGGCGTCGTCGAGCTGCGAAAGGAGGTATCTAGCGCCGGGGATTTCAACGGCATCGGAGCCAAAGTCTTTGGGAATGCGGCCTTCGATAGAGCTGACATCTAGAGCAATCGATCATCAGTCCATACGCTTCCTCCCTTTCCCCCCCCGCCACCCCTCTTATCATCACTCGCCGATACAGAACTCCCCGAGAGCGAGGGCCATGACATGAACTTACACTCCCAATTCGCCCGCTTCGGGTCGTACAGCTGCAGCGTATCAATGCTCCGACGTCCATGGGACGTGGCCAAAATAACCTTAGGGTCAACTCCTAGCTCCTCGCCGACCCTGTTGTTGGGGTTAGAACCATGTGGCTATAGTTCTGCGGGGTCAGACTAACTTGTGCCAGTGCTTCACAATCGCTGGAAGAAACGCCGAAGTTTAGCATTTTGTCATAATACAGTATATTTCTATCAAAGTAGACCTTAAGTTCTTACCATCGGTCGAATCGACGATAGTTCCGTCGAAGTCTGAAAGGAGGCCATCAAAAGTGACGACTTGCGGAGGGGCTGAGAAAGAGCCTTGGCTTTTAGTCATTGTGCTTATAGATTGACCAGGATATTTAATAAAAATAGAGACCAGAATGAGCGAACAAAGAAAGAAGTAAAAGCGATGCCTAGAAAAATGTCTCTCAGCAAATTATCCCACAACGAAAGAAACGCAGAATCCGGCGACCCAAACCACAAGAAAATAGATGGCTCAAATCTCAATACGGAGTAGATACCTAACTGGAATTCCTTCCTTATGGATCGGGCAGGAAATCCGCGGGACGATCGGAGATCGGTGGTATATTACTCCGGTTATCTTAGCGTGGGTAAAATAGTTTGCACAAAATTGTTCGGACAGTGAGCTTGTTGGATAGAAGAAAAAACTTCTATTACTCCCTTCTACCCTTGTTTGTGCTTTTTTTTTTGTTTCAGGGGAGGTTTGTGAAATTTTGTCAAGATGGTTAAGCTAGGTAAACTTTCTTTATTGCATTTTTGATCAGGCTTGAATTTGTACTGACCGTTCCCAAGGCAAAAACTCGAAGCGGACGCCCGTCCGGTTACGACACAAGATCGAGAAGGCTTCTGCGGCTAAGCAACGAAAGCAGAGAAAGCTTGCCAAGAAGGTATGTGCTTTTTCCTCTTTCCAAATATTTTGGAGGAAAGTTGCAGTGGTTAATACTGCCTTTACAGAATCCCGAATGGCGCTCAAAGATCAAGAAGGATCCGGGTATCCCTAATTTGTTCCCTCACAAAGCTCAGCTTCTCCATGAGTTGGAGGAGAGGAAGCGATTGAAGGTCGAGGAACAGGAGCGCATCCGTGATGAAGCGCGCGCTCGCAAGAAGGCACAGAAGGAGTCGCAACAGGAGGGAGACGGCGCCGAAGACATGATGGAGGAGAATGATATTGATCTAGAGGGTGACTCCGACGATGAAGATATGGATGAGGATGCCGATGATTCGTCGAACCCCATGGCTGCGCTACTTGCCTCTGCGCGCGCGAGAGCGGCAGAGTATGATGATCAACATGAGAGCGATGATGACGATGAGATGGATGAGGATGACGATGAGGATATGGACGGCATGGATGAGGACGAGGAAGATGGTGGTGCTGCGCTGGGCGATTCGGCTCCCCAGCTTGTTTCACAGACTCACAGCAAGGAGAGCTCTCGGCGGCAATTCGATAAGGTGTTCAAGCAGGTTGTTGATGCTGCGGATGTTGTGTTGTATGTGCTTGACGCTCGTGATCCAGAGGGCACCCGGTCCAAGGATGTAGAGCGTGAGATTATGGCGGCAGCTGGTGGAAACAAGAGAATGATCCTCATCCTCAACAAGATCGATCTCATCCCTCCGCCGGTGCTGAAGAACTGGCTGGTCCACTTGCGCCGATACTTCCCCACCCTGCCTCTGAAGGCCTCCAATGGCACCGCCAACGCTCACAGCTTCGACCACAAGCAGTTGACCGTCAAGGGTACATCGGAGACGCTTTTCAAGGCTCTCAAGTCCTACGCGCACGGCAAGAACCTGAAGCGGTCCATCTCCGTCGGTGTGATCGGTTACCCCAACGTCGGAAAGTCGTCTGTCATCAATGCCCTCACGGCCCGTCTCAACAAGGGCTCCAGCAATGCATGCCCTACCGGTGCCGAGGCCGGTGTCACCACTAACCTGCGGGAGGTGAAGCTGGACAACAAGCTCAAGCTGATCGACTCCCCCGGTATCGTGTTCCCGAACGCAGAGAAGAAGAAGACCAGGAAGAAGCAGGTGGAGGAGCGTGCACGTCTCATTCTCTTGAACGCCATCCCACCGAAACAGATCGAGGACCCAGTTCCGGCCGTGTCCCTGCTTCTCAAGCGTCTCTCCGCCTCCGAAGACCTCAAGTCGAAGCTGTTGCAACTCTATGGCATCCCCGCTCTTTTCAACGCTGGCGACCAGACTCATGACTTCCTGATTCACGTTGCACGCAAGCGCGGTCGTCTGGGTAAGCACGGTGTGCCCAACATCGAGGCCGCAGCCATGACCGTGATCAACGACTGGAGGGACGGACGGATCCAGGGATGGGTCGATGCCCCTGTGCTGCCAGTTGTCGCCGCGACCGATGGGGCTTCGGCTCCTGCGGCTGTTGCGTCGGGCGTGGATACGAAACAGGTTGTCACTGAATGGGCCAAGGAGTTCAAGATCGAGGGTCTGTGGGGTGACGGCGCTGTTGAGGAGATGGCGGAATAATCTGGTTTATTTATTCTTGTCTGCTATGGATACATGGATACCAAAAAAGGCGTTGCCTGGTTTTTTGTTCTTAAGACGGTAGAATGATGTTCTTCAATGTCAATATCAAGTTATGAAATGGTTATACAGAGTATCCCTTCACGGAGTCCTGTAGATGGGATATTGCTCGACAACGCAGTATGACAAGGGAACGTATGAATCAGAAAATAGGGGACGAAAATAGATAGTACCGTACTAGAACCCATATACAACAAATCCATATCCAATTGTCATCTTTCAGGTGCGATGCTTTTCTGACATGTCCGCCCCCTAAATCCAACCCGAATATATATCTTCACTTGCCCATCAACACCCCACTAGAAACACAACTACAGATACAAACTTACCCAACAAGTATATAAAAACACATACAACCAAACAAAAACCCCAATAAATAAATCATACCAATCACTCCCAGTCCAATTCAATGCCAGATAAGCACCAAACCCTAAGTACCATGAATACCATACATATCCCAGTACCGTGTACTAAGTAACCCCCGCAAGTTAAAAAAACCGAAAAAAAAAGAACGTATGTATGTATTGCAAACCCACCAATTGATAAGATTTTTGATAAATCAAATGAATTGCCACCGCTCTCCACGCGCCTCCGCATCGCGTCGCGTTTTTTTCCCTTTCGTCTCAATTCTTCCCTTGATTCCAGGAACCAACGAACAAGGACAATTATCGATTTGCCCTAAATCGATATCCTGGAACCATACCTACGGGGACTAGAAAAAAAGAAGCAGCAACATCACCCGATGCCATCTCCACCCCCCAGTACAACAAAAGAACCATAAACGCACTCCGCCCACCGAACCCAAACACCAATATTGAAAAGAAGAGGAAGTAAAAAAGAAAGACGATACCAACAATGCCACCCCGAAAATCCACGGGCGAAACCGCCGAAGACCCAGCATCCTCACCACAAGCCCAGACGCAATCGCCGCCGACACAAACGCAACCGATCCAAGCGACAGAGCAACAACTCAAGGCTAGGGCTGAGGGGGGTGTTAGTATTGAGGTTCGTGATGATTCTTTTAGTGTTTTTCCTTCCCCCCTCTGCTTGCCTGGTTTTCGTTCTTTTACGATGTTGGATATCGTTTGCGTGAATGGATTTGTGTCCGATAGCTATGAAATGAGAAACTAATACGAAATGTAAAATAAATAGGACTACCTCCTCCCCCGCTCCCTCACTCTTCGGCTTGCGAAATCGGTCCTCCCGCCTAACACCTCCATCCAGAAGGATGCTGTCCTCGCCATTCAGAAAGCGGCGACGGTGTTTGTGTCGTACCTCTCTTCGCAGTACTACTCCCCCTCCTTCCCTTCTTCTCTCTTTTCTTTTTGTGTTGGATGATGAAGGGATAGTGTGGTTTGTGGGTATGTTTCATGCTAAATACCGGGTTTTCTTATAGTGCCAATGAAGCGACTCTGAAGCGGACAGTTGCGCCGTCGGATGTCTTTAGCGCGATTTCGGAATTGGAGTTTGAGGGGTTCCGGTCGAGGCTGGAGAAGGAGTTGGATGCGTTTACGGAGTTGAAGGCTGGAAAGAGGAAGGCGAAGAAGGGGGATGCTGAGGCAACTGCTGCGGAAGGCGTGAAGGGGAGTTCTGCTTCGGAGGGTGGTGGTTCTTCCAGGGGGGTGAAGAGGGTGAAGAGGATTGAGGGGGAGGAGACTGCTTCTAGTCGGCCGGAGGAAGGGGATGATGGCGATGAGACGCAGGATGAGGCGGAGCAGGTGGATGAGCATGAGCACGAGTCAGAGGCCGAGGAGGAAGACGAGGGCGAAGAAGAGGAGGAAGAAGAGGAGGAGCCGGGTGAGGAAGAGGATATCGATCGGGTGGAGGACTTGGATCGTGACCCGAAAGCGAAACGGCTTATGGACCCGGATGCTGCTGGAGATGAGTCGGATAGTGATGACGATGCTGGGCCGTCGTCACAGTTGAGGGGGGATTTGGGGTTGGGTTGATTCCGCTGTAGCGGGTATGGTTTTATTGCTAATTGATAGATTGTTCTACGTTCTATGCACGGGTCGATATCTATTATTGAGATGCGCAAGAATGCCAGATTCATTTCCAAGCGTATGATATGAATGTGATAGATAATGCGACAATGTATACCAAACTCCACGACCGACACCAACCCAAACGCCGACCCGAAGGACCAGATACATGATCATCATCCCATAAATTATACAGAGGCAGACGTGTATCGTCTGAACTACCATTCATCGTACAGCATCCCAGTGGAAGCAGCGGGGGTCCTTGCTTCCTGCTGTTTCTCTTCAATGCCCATTTCCCACAAAACGCCATTGCAACATGCATAGTCTATCCTGGTATCTTGACAGTTCAACTGACGGTCCTAAGGCAAATTCAACAGAAAAAAAAGAACGATGGCGAAGAATAGAAGAAGATAGACTAAAAAGGACATGCGACAAGTGTCATGCAGTCATGCGGCCGGCTGATTTAACAACTGGCTCATTCCATTCGGAACCGATTTGGGGGAGATTGTGTCCGGTTGGCGCCAACGACTGCTGCGTTGGGGGGTCTCTTCTCCCTTCTGAGCCAGCTGAGGAAACATTGGCCCATTGTTGCGAGCTGCGCCCGGGGGCAGTGGGTGCATTGGCTTGGTTTCCTCTTTCTCCAGCTTGACCACTTTTTCCGTGTCGGTCGCGGCCTTCTGCGCCTTGGTAACCTTGCTGAAGGTAGTAATCCGGGAATTCTTCGCTGGCTCGTCTTTCTTGGTCTTCTTGCGAGGCGCACTTTTCTTTGCAGCTGGCTTCTTGGGCTCTGCGGTCTTTGACGCTTTGAGCACTTCCTGGAGCTGCGCCCGCGACTGGCGGGATTGGACCGAGATCGGGCCGGGCCCTTCTTTGGCAATTGGGAAGCCTCCTCGTCGTGACTGGAGGACGGCGTGAGGAAGCCCGTTTGAGTCTTTTGCTTCTTCTTCGGCGTTTCAATGACAATGGACACTCCATGATCGTGCTTCGCGCGCTCCACCTCAGATGCATTACATTCGTCGAACACATTCTCGGAGTGGTCATCCCACCGTTTTAGGGCGGCCAGCCGCGCCACTTCCTCGCAGTCCCCCTTGACCATCAAGTCCCAACAATCTTCAAACTCTTTGCCGGCCGGAGGTTCATTGTTGATCCACATGGTCACTCCGTTTCGGCGACTCCGGATCACGGAACAAAGACTCTTCACCAGGCGCCGCACGCCGGGAATCTTTAGACTCGTGCCCACCACGATCAGCGCATCCGGGCGCGAGCGTACATCGGCATTCATGACCGACGTAATGGCATCCTCATCCGGATTGTGTTCATTGTACAGCACGATTCGGGGCCGCATTTTACCGATGCCATGGCTGCGCTGCCCCGTCTCGATGCGGAATTGGTTGTTCCTGGCGCACTCTGGACATTCCGGCGCATCTGGACGGTCGAACATGGCGCCATCGAAGTCACCGAGATGACGACATTTCTGGCACACCATCTTCTCCAGGCTTCCGTGCAGCTGGATAGTGCGCGGCCAAGGGGCCTTCACATTCAATGGGATCTGAGTGGCCAAGGGAGGCATGGATGTCTCAATGCCATCGATGTTCTGGGTATACAGGCGGGTCAGACGATTTTCTTGGCTGATGCGAGCCAGCATGTGGTGAAAAGCCGTGGGGGAGGTCTTGGCAGCCTCTTCGGACAGCGACCGCACCATGTCTTGGAAGGAGGCGGTTAGTGTTTCATCTTGATAGACGGCAGCATCGAAGAGGAGTTTCCCCGAGGCTTTGAGGTTGTGTTTTTTCTGTAGAGATTTAAAGAGCCCATCTGTGGAGCGGAAGTCGGGAACTATGTGGCAGGAAGAGATGTGATTAGCGGCGAGACGCGTTGTAGACAGGGAAGAGGGGAATGCATACTGCCGGCCGAGGTGGAGATGCCCGCTCCAGCGATGACGACAATTTTGCGGTGCCGCCGAATGGTTTTGGTTAGCAGATCGATCTGCGCCCGCTGTTCAGTATAGGACAGTCCGGCGGCGCTGGAGAGATCGAGACGTTGTGTTTGGCGTTCCTTGGGGGCGGCGACCCGACGCTTTTTTCTTGCGGGCGGCAAGTCGTCTCGGTCTTGGCTGCGGGTGCCGCTGGACTCGTCTGCTTCCTGCGACGGAGGCGGCGAGGGATAGAACCCCGGCGGTGGTGTCGGTGAAGCTGGCGGCGAGCTCAGCTCGGATACGTCGGAGAAACCATCGTCCATGGCGTGGTGGAAATTATCCGTGAGAATTACAGGGAAAAGAGTAGAGAATCACACGGGGTGGGAGGAGGAGGAGGAGAAAGGGGAGAAGACGACGACGACGACGACGAGGTGGTGGTTGAACGGGAAAGGCTGAGGTGTTCGTGTTGGAGGAGAGAAAGAGGAGAAAATTGAGGAGACCAGCAGCAGCAGAGCTTTTCACCACAAAGAATTGCTGCTAATTGCTACCCAGAATGAAAATCATGGAGAAAAGAGACCACCAGAATTGGAACATCAATTGGTTGGTGGAAACCCCCAAATGGAACCTTTCCTTGAGAGAATCCTTTTTTCTTCTCTTCCCTTTTGCACTTTCTTCTTTTCTTTTCTTTTCTTTTTTTTTTTGTTCGTCTCTGGTCCTTTTCTAGATTTAAGAGACTCCCTTGTCTGGTAGTCGGAGGTAAGGGGAGAAGAACAAGCGGACGACGAAGACCAGAAACACGTCGACGGATGGGGTGGAGGAGAGAAGTGGGTTGAATGAATGCAACCGTAAGAGTGACTAAGAACCGATCGAAGGGGGGAAAGGGAAAATCATGAGGTCAGGGCGGGTGAAAGGGAAAGGGAAAGGGAAAGGGAAAAGGAAGGATAAGAATGGCACACACGGCGTACGGAGGTCGTAGTTCTCTGGTTCAACTCTGCTCTCTCGCTTGGTGCCGATGTTGTGTTTATTTTGACTGACCCACGGGATGGAAACGCAATCGCAACGATCGTGGATGACCAGTGGGAAACCCTAACGAACGTCCAGATTGACAGACGTCAAGACTGGCAACGAGAGGTATGTTGAGAGGAATGCTGCAATCGTTGCTCTACTGGTACTGTATCCGATATGAGAGGAAACCCGGTTTATGAAGCAGTCCGCCAGATCCCTTCTGCCCTCTTGTTTATGTCTTGACCTCCAAGGTGAACTAACAAATCTGCTAACAAATTTAGCGCGAAGTTCAACATGCAAAGACCACTAAGAGCAATCAGGTTTAGCCTTCTAGAACCTTTCGCCGCAGAGGAGCCGCTGATTGGTCCATTCCCACGTCGAACCTGCCATGAACTGCAGCTCCTCGAAGGTTCGAGGTTCTGAATAGAGCAATACTTCTATAGCACCTATCCTGTCGGGTGTGTGGCTTTCCATAATTTTTGGCAGTCCGATTTGGTATCTCCCGTGCTTAGTTGTCCGTCCGATGCAGGGCAGCGTGTGCCCAACCCAACGACGGGGTGACATGTCTCCAGCTCCTGACCCCCCTTAGATTGATGCAGCTCTACCGATAATATCCCGGACGTGAGGACACGCAATTCCACGGAATTGGGCCCATTTCCACGTACTAAAGGAGTCGCTGCTCTTATTCGCTCATGAAAGCCTTCGAGTGACCCATTCGGATTGCGATGTATTGCTAAGTATGCCCACTCCCGTCCAGGGCCTCGTCGCGGTTTTCTTTGGCAGACGGCTACACCGGGAAATGTCTACATTGCAAAACCATCAGATATGAATCACTATCCAACATTGCATCGTCTAGAGCGGAATTGAATTATGGTATCAAACGGAGATGCCGTTCTCCCCCGCTTCCACTTGGGATCTGTTTCCGGCACATTGTAAGGATCGATCGTGTATTTTTTGCACTTGCTACATCTCAGCCCCTTTATGCTCCATCCAATCGGTAACCCCCAGTAAGGAACAGCCGTCACTGGCAGTTGTGTGTCAGCATATGGTTCTCATGGGAAGATCGGTGGTCCGGCGGGGAGGTATAGAAGTAGGGCTCGGGGGTCGGTGGGGACTGCGATGATTGGTTCATCTGGTTGACCCGGATACCGTGATCACAGGACCCCCACGTGATGGTGACTAAGCCAGCCGTTGACTCCACATGGAATTGAAAGTGTTCTCGATGAAGATTGAGCGAGAGCAGGAATGAATGAGAATCTTGGTTGAGGAAAGTGTAAAGAAGCCGCAGGATGTGGATGCGCACTTGTCCGGTTGGTTCCAATTGAGTTAGGCTTGCTGTTCGTTTAGACCTCCGTTTGGCGTGGTCTGTTCTTAGTATTGCTGCGGGCGCCGACATCCATCTCCCAGGAACAGACACTCTTACTACTATGATATCGACCGGACGATCGATCTAAGATATTCTCGGGAAGTTACAGACTACACCTTTCTCTTTCATGAATAATATATGCGATTCCCGACATCATGCCAATGATTATGGACGACGCCATCAATGTTGACGATTTGTTTGGCGAGTCGGCCTCTCTCGAGCTGGGCTTGCCAGCGACCGCCCCTACCTCCAACTCCACCAAAGGTCTTGCTCAGCGCCTAGATGAGATGCGACTCTTGGGGTGCTGTCAGTACGTCATATACCTATCTCTGTATAGCGACCCCTTTGGTTTGTACAGAAACTTACTAAATGTAGGAAGATTGCTTGGTCTAAACAGGGCTGCATTGCCTATATCTCTCAAGATACACTGAGAGTGAATCTTCGTCACCTGGAATGCCGACCATCTGATGGGAAGTGGGTGCTGAGTGATGACACTCCATTGCACCCAGTGGCAGAGGCCCATGGGGGCCAGCCGCTTGTCCACTTATGCTGGAATGAAATTGGATCTGAATTAGCCGTGGTTGACTCGTCTGGACGAGTTTCGATCTATAATATTGCGATTTCTCTTAACAGTCTAGCTGGGCAACGTCAGGCGACTTTTGATTCAATCGATGATGGAGCTCAGATTGTCGGCATGATGTGGCTGAATATTCAACGTTCCGTGAGTGCTCACGTTCTTCGTTCTTTCATGTTTGATATGGCGCTCAACTCCCTCAAAGGTCCATGCTTTCAATGTAGCAGCCATGGTGCAAGGGCGCCGGGCGTATTCGCCATTTCGACGCCGCCCAATAGGCCCCTTTCACCCAGCTGGAAAAGCCGCTTTGCTATGTGTAACCAGATCCGGCATCATCAGGCTCTTGTACCAGAATCCCGACAACAAATGGGCAGAAATCTCTGCAGAACTAAAGAATGCGAGCTACTCCGACCGACTTCTTACTCATGCGGCCATAGTGGCCACTCAGAATGGAATTCTCATCGCTACTCACTCTGCATGCCAAAAGATCTACTTCTATCGAGTGCAGATTAACTGGACTCCTGCACAATGGGATCCGAGCCAGTTGAAGCAGGCACCAAATCAATTCCCAGTTCCAAGTTTTCGCTTCATGCATTCTAAAGTTGAGGCTCCTTGTATTATACCAAGTGCAAGCCGCAATGGGGAAGCAACCGGCGATGAATTGTCACCCTCTACCAACCCACTATATTGCCTCACCCGCCTGGATATAGTCCTCGCCGCACATGACAATTCTGCTGGGATGACTACAAATCCATGGATAATTGCTGTTTTCTCGATCCCCCCTCACGCTACCCCTGATCACTCACAGCAACAGAGCCCCTCCAGTGTCATTGTCCGATGGCAATTAGAGTCTGCTCCACAGGTGCTTCACCCAAAATTTGACGAGGTAAACTCAAAGAAGAACAATGCTCAAATAAAAGTACGTGACTCAAGGTTGACTGCTGGAGAGCCTTGCTGATTGCCGATTAGCCAAAGTCCGTGCTACGGCGACTGGACGACATGTATTGCGACAGATATGTCACTACGATAGAGCAGACGGAGCATGGAAACGTACTAGCTGTCACGTACGACGATAGTTCGGTCACTTTCTATGATCCAAAGACGATGGCCGTCTTGAATGGAACTGATGATACGAATACACTGAGTAGCTTAGCCCATGCAGGATTCCATTATCCTCCTGACTCTGCAGGTGAATTCCCCTTAAGATATTACAATGGGATGACTGTTGACTTTTTCTATAGCAGGTCTACACATCAGCTTCTCCCCCAGTGGCTGTAACGCTGTCACGCTGGATGGAGAAGGGCAGGCGCAGCTACGGGTGATGGAACACTCGTATGGCGCGGAAAATGGACTTTACGATGAAAGTATGTGCTGTTTCCCCTGGAGGTCTATAGTCATATCTGACGTCAATCAAGATAAATTCTCTGCTGCTATTGCCTCCTTGACATTGGCATTCTGCCGCGGATGCGGAAGCGAGTTTAATACCGATGATATTTTGTTAATTTTGAAACGGCAAGCGTCACCTGGTCAGTTCACTTCCCTGCGCTCGACTGGATTCCAGAGCTAACCGTTTGGCAAGATGCGCAAATATCTTTCATCAATGAAGTTTACCGCGCTCTAGGAGTCAACTGCAACTATACACAGGAAAATGATAAATTGATGAGCCATCAGTATTTACCAAAATGCCTCAGCGTACAAGCCGCGCTGGGGTTCATTGATAAATACAAATCGCGGAACTTTGCATCTAATGTACCGTGGACAATTCTTCAGCTTCGTCATGCTTCTGTCCTATATGCGCTGTTCCTCCAGTATCTTAAAGGAGGTGTACAGGCAGAACCACCCGATGCAGGTAAGATCGTGGCAGGCGGGAAATGTACAGAACTCTCTCTGACTGATGCAGATGCTATACGTATTTTACTTGGAAATACGAAATGGGCTCTAGACTTGTTACATTATGTTTTGAACGATCTTCTTGACCTCGCAGATGATCTAGAGAGCTTGCTTTCCGACCAGGAGGCTTTTGCCCAAAAATGTCAGTATATTAGCCGTTGATTGTGAACCTCAACCCAGAGCCATGGCATTTATACTGATATGTTCGTGACAGTGAAAACCATAAATTCTCTACCCCTGATCATCCTCCTCTCTAGTATGTCCCGAGCCTTCCTGCGCTTCATCTGCCGCGGCTTGCGAGGAATTCAGGCCGGCTATGCTACTGCACCTCTGACGGGCGATGCTGGCGTCTACTATGCCGAGATTTATCAAACTCTAGAAACATCGCCTGTGCGAATTGACGTTTATGAGAAATTGCTTGCTGGGGTGGACTCGACCGTGCGACATGTCTATGTTGGAGCGGGCTTTGGTGACAACGAACGGCCAGGGCCTGAAAAGGAACTCTTAGTCAACGGCCGTATCCCCCCTGTTCTTGTTACAGCAGTCTCTACTATTCTCCGACAGACGGTCCCCACGCTTAAGCCTGAGATCGATCGCATGGCTATCTATATAGGTGACTACAGTTGGCTCGGCCTTGGGTCCGACCCACGTGCAGAGTTGTATCGGAGGACCCGGGACGTGGATATCATCAAGAAGATTCCTTTCAGAAGCCCGACATCTGCGGGCTCGGACGAGGCTCAAAGCGGAAAGCACAATCCCAGCCAGGTGCGCAGACGATGCGTCCGTTGTTGCGAGATTATGTGCGGTGCGTACCCGCCACGCCCACAGCTATCGTCTCGCATGATGTACAAATTGGGCTATGTGCGGTATTGTATCTGTGGAGGAGGATGGACTCTGGAGTCGGACTTCCACCGCTAGACGAACCATCCGTGGTCCTAAGGTTGTTCTAGTTCTTAGGCTAGGGATAATTGTAAAAAATTTGAAAAAATAAGGGGAAAAAAATTGTGATACCTCGATTAGGTGTGTTGTTATCTGGGGGTATAAGGACCAGTCTAATAGAGATCTGGGGTCTACGTGGTTGTGTATGAATACGACGATAGCGCAGAATCCTGGACCAAAAACATTCATCTGTCTGAATTTGTTCCTCACAACACCGCCATAGGATTCCTATTAAGCACAGATGGTACTGGATGGAAACGAGTATCGAACAGGAAAGAGCCCCTTCTCGAGCCATCGCCCCTAAGGAATTGGATTGTTGGATGCTAAGGAACTCGTCACATCACGGTCGGAAGTCGTGCATTATCATTGTCATGTCAAGTAAAGCCTTCATTTAATATCGACTTGCATCTTTTTTCTAAGATACATAATCAATTTCTTTTAAAAGACGTTTTTGGTGCAACCGACCCACACAAGGTGGTCCAACCCGTCATCTTTATAACGACGTTCCCGGAACTCCATCTAAATCCAGACACGACCCGACTTCATTTAAGCCTATTCGAATAACCGATCAGCACTGGTTCACTTTTCCGAAGAGAATGGGCCTCCCAGCTGCGAGCGTAATCTCGTCGGGAAGATGACTGCCTCATACCTTAACAGCGAACTTGCGCTGAGGGAAGTGGACCTCGCGCTTCTTCTGTCTCTCAGTCTTGAGGGAAGCCTCGTTCTTGGTAAGGCGGCGACGGAGAGCACGGGTAAGCTTGGGGCGGAGATCGAGAGGGATGTACTTCTTGTTCTTGTAGAACAAGCGGAGCTGAGCGCGCTGGTTGGCGTTGATGACGGTGTGGACACGAGCAATCGACTTGCGGACGTCGTGGCTGTAACAGATTCTCAATCAGCATTTTCTGGTCTGCTTCCGTTTTCCCTTGTGGTTGTGCAAGTAAAAGAAAAATTTGCGCGGTCGTTGCAGTTCCTCCTCTTTTCACAGTATATGTAGACCTTTCGTCTCCTTTCCCCCTCTTCCATCTAGCGCACATATTCTTTTGGGTATTGGCGTAACCAGGTGTAAACAGGGATTTCGAAAAGGAAAAGCAATTTCAAACGCACATTCTCTGGGTCTTCGACGAGGCACCGCCAGTGATCTTCTGGACGCGGAGCTGGCTGAGCTCCTGCTTCAGCTCCTCCAGCTGCTTGGTGAGATCATCCTTGTTCTTTCCCCAGAGCTGACCAGCCTTGACCTTGGAAGACTATCGACGAAACCGTTAGCAACCATTAATTCGAACGCGAAAAATTCACCAGCATCGTTATCATCCTGGCGCAGCGCAACATACCATGGTGGGCGGTATTGTCGTGTCGTGCGGTTGTCGACGAGAGGATTGAAGATGGACCGGGTCAATTTGGGATGTTCGTTGTGGGACTAGGGTTATTTTTTTCTTGCGTGTGGTGCGCCGCCGTAAGCGGGCACGTGATACAACTGTGGCTGGTGCTTGTGATGACGCCGCCTCCGCCTCCGCCTTACCGGACTCGGTGATGGGAGCCGCGGATGCTTTTGGGCGATTGCCTTGCGTTTCGTTTCCCGCTGGTCGGTCAACTTAATACTCACGGTGCTTTTAGTCGGGGGTTTTCTTGGGGTGAAGATCTTCTTAGCCTGATAAGGGGAATCATAGTACTCGACCTCTCTGTTCATTGATCCATTTGAGATACTAGCACCCTTATCTTGACCTTAACCTCATATACTTCCATACCCACTCTCCATGGCGGCCTCAACAGGTACCGGGTGGGCTCAGCTCCGGCAGCAAGCCCGCTCTCTCGAAACCCAGGTACGGGATGAATAAACCCAGAGGAGCCCTGAAAATCGTACCAGTGAATATAGAGCAACATGCTAACTCATATCTCTTATAGACTGAAAGCCTATTCCACTCCTACTCCCAATATGCGTCGATGACAACCCTCCCCCGAGACCCAACTGAAGAAGAACTCCGACTGGAATCACAACTAAAAGGATTGCTCGAAAAGGTACACTCTCAAATAGGTCATCCCTTTTCCCGACAGAATGTCACACTAACTCCCGCCCCAGCGTCAGGCTCTCGTCTCTCAACTCGCCCGTCTCCTCGACTCCGAAGCTACCTTGACCTCCTCCGCCCTGAAACAGAACAACCTCGCCCGCCATCGTGAAATCCTCCAAGACCACCGCCGCGAACTCCAACGTCTCACTGCCGCCATTGCAGAATCCCGCGACCGCGCAAATCTACTCACCAATGTCCGCTCCGACATCGATGCCTATCGGGCGTCGAATCCCGCTGCCGCCGAAGCCGACTACATGCTCGAGGAGCGGGGTCGGATCGACCAAAGCCACAACGTGATAGACGGCGTATTGAGTCAAGCATATGCCATCAACGAGAACTTCGGGCTGCAGCGCGAGACGTTGGCCAGTATTAATCGGCGCATTGTTGGAGCTGCTAGTCAGGTGCCCGGGATGAATGCGTTGATCGGGAAGATTGGGTCGAAGCGGAGGCGAGATGCGCTTATCTTGGGGGCCTTTATCGGGTTTTGCTTTCTGATGCTGCTTTGGTTCCGATAAGTGCATGCTACGTCCGCTTCAGCTTGGTGTCAGATCTCTACTTTAGCGGTGTGATTTTCTGGTTTCTTTGTCATCTATTATACTGCTGCCTATAGTATGAGGGCGTTATGGGATTGGGCACTTCTCGCTTCTGCTATACAGGAAATGTTAATTTGTGGGTCCTGAGGTTTGGTTTCTTGCATGATTTGCTTGATGTACAGGGGCGATCCAAATCATACTTATTGATGATCTATGTCATACAATGGGTTGTGGTCGAGCACGGTGACAGTGAATGGGGTAATCCGTAATATGATACATATGTATATACATGACGACTATTTATGCTCTTCAAGGTCTCATGACAACCCGGGGCTTTTGAGCTGCCGACGCAGTTTGGTTCTTTCTTTCCCACTCTGCGGCCGGTAACTCAGACTCCATACTGACCTTCATCTCTTGGATCAGTTTGCGAATTCCGTTGTTAAGTGCCTCGAGCTCATGTTCCTCCGCGGAACCGCTTCCCGCCCACCGAATGCGACAGTTTTCATCCAAGAGATAAACGTATCCAACCTTGCTGTTCATCATCCCGATAGACTCCTTAACCCCCTCTGTGACACCTCTGCGAACCAGGAAATAGCGCCTATGTTGCTGTTCAGGTAACTTATTCCGCATCCGCCACATGAACCTGCGGACCAGCCATGCCTTGAGGGCATTCTCTTCCAGGTTAATATCCACCTTCTGAACTATATCGCCACCACTCTTGAGCGCCTCATGGAGGCCCGGATTCTGTTCGGGGCCCGTGAAAGTCGCAACCTGCGTCTCTGCCCAAACACTGGAGAAAAGATTCACGACGGAAATTCTGCCCCGAAGCTGCGAGGTGGTATCCTGTGGTTCCTTGGGCGATGCGAGTGTGGTACCGTGCATGTTGGGGAAGTAAAGCGCCTTGTCTCGTTTGAATAACCGGGGACCGGAGTAGAAGGTCTTTCCTTCGTGGTGGCGGAGGTTCGACCATTCTCGGAAGTATGGCTTTGCGACTTGTCTTGTTCTGTTATTGCATACATATCGGATCAGTAACTGGGTATAGACTACTTGGGAAGGCTAGAAATGTCCATACAGTTCTTTGCGACGCTCCAGATGTCTATCATAATTGACAAAATCGTCTCGTCTTTGCCGGAGCGATCGCGAATCAATACCGGTGTTCTGTCCCTCTTGCGGAGGAATCACCGAGCCAATTGGACGGTCAAGAGTCGGAGGAACGAAGTCATCGTCGCCGGGGTCGGGGGCCGCAGAAGAAGACGATGACGGGGATGGATTCTGCTTAAATTGGACTTTATTGTACGCTGTTGGATTGGGTACAGCCGTCTTTGCTGCTTTATCATTGTTGCTGCTGCTGGAGTAGTAGCGCAGCGCCGGCTTTAGTCGAATAGTTGAAGTGGCAGCTGCATTGCGGAATTGGCAGCTGAGACAGCGACCACCCTGGAGCAGAGTGGCCTCTGTGAAAGGAGATAGAAGCATAGATCGCTTCCACATTCTGCCTGACGAGCAATGTCAACTTCAACAGTGGTGGTTGTTGACTGGGTCTATCTGCTTCGAAAGATCCACATGCTTCACTTTTCGGGAAGTTAGATTGAAAGCCCGCAATCCCGTGACTAGGCGGCGTTTTCGTGTCTCTCCCCACGCGCGGTTGCCTTCGGGCGTGTTTCTTGCATATTGGTCCCTGTCACTGACCACTTACTGTGATTATATTGAAGTATTGGTAATATACGTACATACACCGTCACCTGCTAGGCAGGTTCGGGATTCCATAACCCATGGCTCTACGGATTCCAGAGGATATGACATCGACATTATATGAGCCCGGAGATGGTGCAGAGCTCCTCAGACAAAGAGGCCTTTTTCCAAGGACTTGAGAGGCTAGATGCTTTGGTGGATGACTCGGGTGACGATTCTGAAGAGAGGTTTTCTCAGCTCATAGCACTGGCGAAATACTATGTTGAGCCTGCTCACCAAGCCGAGCCTGCTCTTTCCGATTCACCAGCGAAGAAAACAGGTTCACTGGGAGCAGCTTCCGCTTTGCAGTCACCTTCACTTGATGCCATTGACCAGGGAAAGCATAGAGACACGTCTATAATCGTCACCGAAGCTGTACAGGATCCTACTGTGAAAGGATCAAGCAACATGGGGCCTCCGAAAAAGGATAACGTCGACGGCAAGAAGAAACGAACGTCTACTACGAAAATAGTTCCAGAACAATATCAAATCTTCAAAGGCCTCGTATTCTGTCAGTGATCAGTTTTACTTCGTTTAAGCCTTACGGTCTGGTCTTCATTGTGCTGACTGGTCTTTCAGTCTTCTTCCCGAATAGCGACGTTTCGCCTTTACGGCGGCTGCGCATCCAGCGAGCGCAGGAGTATGGTGCTGTCTGGGCTCGCACTTGGGGTGATAATGTCACACATGTAATTGTTGACAAAGGTTTGACTTTCCAGGAGGCTCTCAGGCATCTTGGTTTGGAGACGTGTCCGGTTAGTCTAGAGCATGGCTTTTTTACTTGCCCTACCTACTGACTTTGATGAAGCCAAATATTGCCCTCCTCGATGAGAGCTATCCTTCGGAATGCATCAAGTTTCGAACGGTTTTAAGTACCTCTCATGTGCGATTCCGAATAACAGGGATGCCGGTCGTCTCGAAAGCAGCGGAGGCATCCCAGCAAAATGAACTCTCGGACGAGCCTTTGCCGTTGAAGCCAGCTGGTAGACAACACCGACAGCTTGCAACTCAGTCTCAGCCGCCTGAGAGCGAGGACGACTCAGAATACCCTCCCAATGCACAAAAAGCCAAAGACTACTCAGACCAGGCACATAAGGAGGTAGTCTATGAGCCACCCCGTGAGCGAGATGCCCTGGATGACATGATTGATGAAGCAAAAGCTGTGAAGGACTTGGTACGACTAACTCATTTCTTTTACACAAACCAATGCTGAACATTAATACAGCCTTTGGAGCCGCTGGACTCTCTTGATGATGAACCTGCCACCGAAGAGGCCGATCTGGACACCTCCGAAGAATCAGAGTACCAGCCAAACACGCGAAAGAGAAAAAGAACCTCCAAACAGGATAACGAAGGAAAAGATGACTGGCAACAAAGATTTGTCTGCATGCAAAAGCATGATCCGAAGTCGAGTCCCGAGAATCCCAACAGGCGGACTATCGACGTTCTCCAGCAGATGCTGGACTATTATGCAAGGACTGATGACCACTGGCGTACGCTTGCCTATCGCAAAGCCATCTCGGCTCTTCGGAGGCAGCCAAAGAAGATTGTCACGAGATCGCAGGCAATTGCTCTCCCAGGAGTAGGGCTGCGCTTGGCGGATAAAATCGAGGAAATCGTATGCACAAACCGGCTTCGTCGCTTGGAAAATACCAATCTTACGCGCGAGGATGTCATACTTCAAGAGTTCTTGGGTGTTTATGGAGCTGGGATTTCACAGGCCTCGAAGTGGCTTGCTAAAGGCTACAGATCACTAGAGGATCTAAGGATTAAGGCGTCCCTGACCCCTCAGCAACAAATCGGTGTCGAGCATTACCATGATTTCTCTCAACGGATCCCGCGAAAAGAAGTAGAGACACATGGTGAGGTCGTTAAAAGGGCCGTGCAAAAGGCAGACCCTGGAATGCAGGTCATCATCGCTGGGTCTTACCGACGTGGCGCTGCTGACTGCGGAGACATTGATCTACTAATCACCAAACCAGATGCGACAATTGAGCAGATTCGAGCCTTAATGATGGATGTGGTAGTCCCGAAACTCTTCAAACGGGGCTTCCTGCAGGCCAGCTTGGCGATTACGTCGCGAGGGGATGGGTCTAAATGGCATGGCGCATCTCTAGCTCCGGGCAGCCAGATCTGGCGACGGGTCGATCTTCTTTTCGTACCGGGCTCGGAGATTGGCGCTGCACTGCTTTACTTTACTGGGAATGACATTTTCAATCGAAGCATGAGGCTATTGGCTAGCAAGAAAGGCATGCGATTGAACCAGCGCGGACTATATACGGACGTACTGCGAGGGCCGCAGCGGGTGAAGTTGAATACCGGTCGGCTGCTCGAGGGTCGCGACGAGCGACGTATTTTCGAGATCCTGGGAGTTCCATGGCGTCCTCCCGAACATCGTATATGCTGACGTGCCCGGGCTTTTTTTGGGTTTTGTTTGTTTTTTCGGAACCGGTAATGCTTTTTGGGAGTATGCTTCATGACAGATAATATTTGATGCATAACTCCTCCGTAGTACTTTTTTTTTATCGCTTTTTAGATATATACTTTTGCTGTTCCACTTCCAGACCGACTTCTCATCTTGCATGAATTCGCTGTAGTGTCACTGCAGGACTGTCACAAAGTTTTTCGTGGAGTAGATATGGAAAACTAAGAATGATGCTGGCTCAAGTGGTCTGGATCATAATGATGATGATGTTGTTGCTGCAAGGGCTACAGCCAGAAGCGGTAAAAGAAAACAATCCGTATGTATTGTACGGGAGTAACCTTTCCGTAAGCTTTTAAGAGGTATCTTTTGTGTGGCCCAGGGTAGGACAGCAACTTGGCGATTTTGAACATACCAGACATACCAGAAGGAGGCTCAATAAACGAGGGTTAAGACCTTCACCATTTGGTAGGGTGGCGAAACATTGACTGTGTGTTGAATTGAAAGTCACGCGTGAATCCAGTTCATGATCCCGTGAGGTCACACCCAACCGTATTCATAAAATCCAAAAGAGAAAATAAAAAAAATAAAACAAGACATCATTTCCACCCCTGTCACCGATCTCATCACCGCCTTTCATGCGGTGAAGCGCATGCAATAGAACACTGAGGGCGGCATCCGTCAGACCGCCTGTGGAAAAGTGCAAAAGTCATCGTTTTGCCGTTGCTTCCAACAATTATTCCTCCTCCATCCCACTCTTCCTGTCTCTCCACCTTATCGCACTCCCCATCACAGCTGTTATTCTGCCGTTATTTATCGTCTGGTGGCTTGTGAATTGCCTACAGCTTCGCCCATCGTCATTGTCACATCCGCGACACACGCGGGTGGTTGTTGTTTTTTGTGTGCTTTGTGGCCCACTGGTATTTTGCCGTCCCGACCAAACCACCCCTCGTCCTCCTTTGTGCGCGCGATTCGATCCACCATTTGTATTTCTGCTGTCGCTTCTGATCCCTCTGTAAGGTCGAGCGTGTCCTAATTATCCCCATCGGGACCTCTGGCCCTGGGAATACTCGACGCCTTTGGCTCCCGACCCTTCCTGTCGAGTCCTTGTGTTGCCCCGTCTCACTCTCCCGTCATGGGTCGCAAACCGAACCAGCTGATCCTCGAGTTCTTCATTCGAGGCCAGAAACTCGAGGATGCCAGTAACCGTTACCAGCACACATGCAAGGCCTGCGGGGAGAAATTTCCCAAAGGCCGCATCGACAGTTTAACCAACCACCTCGTCAAGAAGTGTCAAGCCATCCCGCTGCGAGACCGTCAACGCGTCCTGTTGCGCCTCCACGAACTTCCCGACCTCGCCGACGGTGATCAGAACAAAGACCCGAATGTCGCGGGCCAAAACAAAGGAAAAGGCTCGGATCTACCTTTCACCACCCGTCAGAATTTCGATGGTCTGAATGTCCTAGCTGAGGCCTCAAGGCAGGTGGGCGCGTCCGACCAGACTAAACGGGGCGGGCCTGCGTATACTCAATCGGTTACTGTCGGTGGTAAGACGGTCGTTGTCGACCCTGCGCTTGAAGCCGAGGGCTTTCAGGGCCATCCGCAGGCCGAGCACGTCGAGGAAGACGTGAAGCCGCCTGGTAAGCTCATTTCGTCCCTTTCCCTCATTCTCTTTGTTTGTCGCTGGCTTCGTCGGTTTCATTAGTGTCGCACTAACCAACATCCTCTTGTAGGAACTCCCCAAGGCTCTAACGCAACACTTCCATCCCTCCCCAATGCTTCGCAAGATCACCCTCAATCCGCGTCTCCTCCGCTGGCGGAAGCTTCGCTGACGCCTGACCCCACCTCCAATGCTCGCCAGTCGCAACTTTCCATGATAGCCGCCTCCGCTAGCGAGATGGTGCCACAGGGAATGCCGTTGGATCATGACATCGTCGATGGCTTGCCGAAGGTGGGCTCATGGAACCAACAGCTCTCCACTCAGGAACAGCTCCTATTTGATAGTCTCCATGAACATGACCCTACTCTTACTGCTGCGACGCAGCGGGCTGCTGCTTTCCCACGACCTATCGCGATGAATCCTAACTCACAGGCGAAGGGATTCGTAAATGAATTCGGTAACTCGACTAAACCGACGAAGCCGAAGGTACGCGGGCGGTTTTCTGCGGCTAGACGTAGGGAGGTTCAGGAAGTCAGAAAGCGCGGCGCGTGTATCCGTTGCCGCATGCTCAAGAAACCTGTACAGTTACCCATCATCTTTCTCTCTTTTTGGGGCGCGCAACTAATCGTGATTCTCCAGTGCTCCGGTGATAGTCCTTGCACCACCTGTGCCAGTGTAGAAAGCGCGCGGTTGTGGAAGCATCCATGTATTCGGACGCGGATCGCGGAAGAGTTTGACTTATATAATGCAAGTAAGTATTTTGTTCCTCACTCTACATTTAGTTTGTGTTGGGTGACTGACCGCCTAGACTTGCACGCCACCCTGGCATATCACGACGTAAGCGGTATCCGAAACCAGGTCAAGTTTGAACATTATGCCGGCCGTATTGAGATTACCCACTTTGAAGAGAGCATGGTGTATGTCACCTTCAGTGCGCTCCAAGGCCACAAGCCATCTACGTCGACGCTTGACCCCCAACTTCAAGGGCTTGGAGACGACTCGCAATTCCAAGGACCCCTTCACGAACTTTTCTTGCTTGACAACGATGCAGACGATGTGCCTGGAAAGCTTGAGATGTACATCAAAAAGACTGCACCCTTCTTCTACGAGAGAGAAGCTTCTGAGGTTATGAGGCCCACGCTGCTGCTTGCCTCAGAATTGAGTCAGCAGAAGAAGGTATTTACTTTTTGCCCGCGCTGCTGCTTGAGGAGACACAAGCTAAATGGTTACAGGATATTCTACTGGAGCGGGTGCTAGAGCTCTGGGTTGCTACTCACATTCTCGTCGACTCAGATTTGCGTTGGAGAACATTCTACAACCCGACCCTTCCTCCTACTTCGATGCACGCTCTCGCGCAGCCATCGGATGATGGACGCATGCCGATCGACGAGGTCACCAACGCTGAGTCTTATGCACTCTTGTGCAGCCAATTACGCGCAGCAACCGAGAAGCGTGCTTCGCAACTGAGCAAGTCGGTAATGAACGACCTCGAACGGCGCCTGCTTCAGCGTCAGCAGAGTGGCTGGTTTGAGACTTTCTTGGTTGCCCTCATCCTCTTGAACTGTGTGGAGAGAACCTGCTGGCTGTTCCGCTCTTGGGAAGACGAGGCGTTTGCACAGCGCGTAAGTCTCTTTTGGGCTCTAGTTCTTGGATTACATTGTTTTCTAACGCACCATAGTGGCCTCTGGACAAACGTCCTCCCTACTACGCAACCCAGGGCGATCGCTTCTCTGATATTCTGCATATGCTGCTGAAGATGCGCAGTCTGCCGCCCAAGGCAACCCCACGCCCTGACAATGGTATCTTGAAGGCGGTGGACGGTAGCGACATGAACGCGGCTCGCTGGTTTGATATGATTAAAGTTTCCCGTGAGTATACCACACCCATGTGCCTGTATCACAGAACCTTAGCTTACAGGCAACAAAACAGCTCTGTACCTTGAACAACGACAGGCCGCTGTCTTCGATCCCAACGACTCTCGCTCCCTTGATCTCCGCTACGGAGCAAAACTGTTGCCACCAACAAACGTTTACACATGATTTGCGCTGGTCCACAAACTGTGACTGATGAAACCAAACGAACCAATGACTTTTGAAAAGATTGATTGAAGCCGGTTTTCCGTGATAGGTATTGTACTTGACTGGGTCTGAAGAAGGGTGTTGCAATGGAATTAGCTTGCTGAAAAAGGGCATTTATGGGGTTTTCATTTTCTCTCCCCCTTTTATTTATTTTTTTCTTTTCTTTTTTTTTAACCTTCTATTTGAAACCGAGCACCCAAGTGTAATCTACAGATTCCGTGTCTTCCTCCCGTATCGATGCACGAATCCCCATGATTTCTATTCCTAGCCATGAATGGAAAATAACTAATACTCATCCCCGCTGACCAAGCAGGGCGGAATCTCGAATGAGAAATAAGGGTCTTGGGAAATATAATGAGAATACATAGGGTATCGAGCATATATAATAAGTAGCTCGTAAACAAGAAATAATAAGAAGAAGTAAATCAAGAAAGCCGAAGAAGTATAGTACAAATACAAGTCAAGCACACAACATCAGAAAAGTTAACCTCTCTAATATCGAATCAAGAAGCGGAGGAGGATATCAAGGTATGGGAAGAAGAGAACTAAAGCACACCCAAGCCACAACAAAGAGAAAAGACAACCAACACCGCGGAAATAGTCCCCCTAAGAACCCAGACAGTTTATAGTAGCGGATAATAGCACTCATGACATCGCTCGCGGTCTGCCATCACTAGTCTGGGCCCCCTTCAGGGCTTGCCGCACCCTCATTCCCATGGGGTGAACCGTCTTTAGGTGATTGCTCAGGTGTGTGGAGCAGGATGTCCCGTAGGGTCACGGTCATTTCGTTATTCTCGGGCTTGATTGGGGTTTGATTATTCTGAGGCGCAGAAAATGACGCCGGGTTAATAAAACTGCTGAACCCAGGTACTTCCGTACCCGAGTCGTCTGGCGAAAGAGTCTTGACATCCTCCGCTTCATCCCAGGATGCAGATGGCCCGATTGAGGGTATTGGTTTCTTGGTGGTTTGGTTATTGGTGTTTTCTTTGCAAGGAAGGGCGAGCATGGAAGCCGGTTGATCGAAGAAACTTGAGTCGAATGCTTGTCCATCGAATATATTCGTGTTCAGGAGCAAGATATGTACGTTATATCGTTCGCAGGCTTCCGTTAGGTCTTTGAGGTACTCGTTTGATGGATCCTCTGAATATGTAAGAACGGGGCCCTGGGGGTTGTGGACGCAGAGAGGTTGGATGGGATTGGCACAGATGTGAGGACCGTCTGTTGCTACGACTATGGCGTGGTAGCCCTTGTGTTTTGTGTCGTTGTAGCTTTTGACGTATGCGCTGTGGTTCCATTTGTTAGTATACTAGCATGGTGTGTAGAGCGAAGAGAGTGTTATAGGGGAGATAACTTACTAGCTTTTAGTGGCAAACGAGATTATATTAGCAATGGTTTGCATAAGAACGGAGTCTTCGAAGAAAACGACTTCATCAGAAAGAGGGGAGGGCGAGGACGGTCTACCCTCTCCGGTGAGAACCATTTTAAGGATATGGGATGCCTCGGATAATTGAAGAGGAAATCCTATGGGCTCATACCCACCGCTGGTCTTCGCGAAGTCGATGAGAAAGAACTTCCCTGCATATCGGCACTATCAATGGTTAGTTCATATTTGTTGATGAAGAGGAAGCATGTCGACTCACAGTCATCCCCGACATGGCTTATTGAATGAATTTGAATCAGGCCTCTTCCCGAGCACAAGATTCATAGCATGAAACACGCGATGAAATGGTTGATATGAGAAATAGACGGAGGAATGGCCATGTTTTATATTCAATGGTGAAAGCAACACCGGTGAATAACGCCCTGTAGGCATTTCCATGGTATTGAAAAGCTTAGGCGTCTGCGATTCACCATGGTGGATACAGCCAATGGAAACAGTGAGAAATGAGACCAGTGAATAGAAGCAGCAAGCGGGATATCGGAGAATATCTAAAACTACCAGTCTTGAGAACTGATTGACTCATCCATCCAATGACAAAAGGAAGGAAGGAAGGGAGCAAAAAAGAAATGGCAACAAATCCAATTCCCTCCTAACATTCACCAAATGGACTGTACAAAGAAGAGGAACAACCCAATAAGAACAAAGCCAACACACCATCATCAGTCATAATACAACATAGAGCGCATAGTAAAAACAATAGTGAATCTTTTCATAGACCACCCACTATTGAGTCCGGAGACTGTACATTCCCTTGCACCTGCTCTAACACTACGGCGTAGTATTTACCCTCTTCAGAGGTATCATGGTAAGGCCCGGCGCCCATAATAGACCTGTTTCCATGAGTATGGCTGTTGTTTTTTTTTTTTTTTTTGCCTTTCGGGTACATGGCAAAGACAACGTAGAATACATACCATCCTTTGTACTTCGGTTGGTTAAAGATATCTGTGAAAGCCTTTAGAATACGCAACGGTAACTCTAGAATCGAAGGGAGTTCCGGTCCAGGCCCACAGATGGGAAGACCAAGCTTGTTGACAGGGAGGTAAACGACCTCGGCGGTGTTTTGGGGATTGCGGGCTTCTTGAAAGATGAGAAGACGGCGGGATGGTGGTGGGGCCATTTTTTTTCTTTTCTGTTTCTTTTCCCTCTATTTCTGCGGTTGTGTCTTGCGATTGATGTCTTTGTAGGACCAGTGTCAATGGTTGTTTCCCTGCTGCGAGTACCGGGGGGGGTGTATAGGGTCTGCGCGCTCCAATAGAAGTACAGGATCGCGTGGCGCAAATGATCGTTGGTCGTTGATCAAACCAACTCGGCAATCATTGATATTATCGATAAATATGCTGCAGCCGCGATCCCGCTTATCGCTTTTGGTTGATCTGTGCGCAATTGAGTGCGGGATGGAGATAAAGCCCCTGAAGGCGGGGCAACAAATAGGAGAATGAGCAAGTTTTGAATCAATCTCAAGAAGATCCAAGCAATACACGAAAGGGATATATGATGGAACGATGAAACGGATGCGCCCTGACGCTGCAACATAGATACTAGAAGGGGTAAATAAATTCTATATGGATGAGTAAATCGCGTCCTGCCGCGTCGGCACGTGCCCGGGTGGGGGAAACGCTTGCTTCCATTCGACCATTCTACGGAGTATGACTAGTAGTAGAGGGTTAATGAAGCAGGAACATGGCATATATATATACACACATTGCAAGTACAGCATCGAACAAAGAGATAACGTTCGAGAATATCAACAGCTGGGTATCAAGTATCAAAAGAAATCAGGTAGATCAACTGTCGCGTGCGAAAACAACGCTAGAAAACACCGTCAACTCTGGGCCTTCAAGGGCCAGCTATCTTCGATGCAACGCATAGAATGTCCAACACAGGCAAATAAAGCAATTTCCTCAGGAAATTTCCTACGTATCGAGCTCTCCATCAAGTACACGTCGAGCAGCATCCAATCGCCGTCTCAGTTGACGTACGCGCTTGGGGTCTGGGTCGGAGGAGGTCGTAATGGTCTGAAGATCTATGCAAACATCGCCCAAACTCTTGAACAACTGTTCTAAGAGGCGCGTGTCGTCCTCGTTGATTCCCATGTTGCCATTAGCCATGGACTTCGGATGGGGACTGGACGCCGCTCGCACAGTGGATACGAGGGAGGACACCAGAGATGTCGGAGTTGCAGACCCAGTCATAGATTGTCGGGGAGTCGAGAGATATTCATCCTCATTGCTCCTGCTGTTCGGCTGTCTTCGGACCGCGCGAGGCGTTCCCATCTCTGACTCGGAGCCAGTTGAGTGCCGCTTCTCAGCAGCAGGTTCAGAAGTATAACGCTGATTACTACGTAATTCTGATGCCCTGTTAGTCTCTGGTGTATTTGACTTTTCAGCGGTTAGTGGACTCACCATCATTAAATCTCCTGTCCCAATAGAGGACGCTTTCAAGGTCGTCGTGGTCTCCTTCAGTCGCAGTCGCGTACGATGCTACGGTTGACAGGGATGCCCCGCTGTTCGTGCGAGAGTGACGGACATGAGAACGATCATGGATAGGCCGCGTTGTTTCGACAGATGAAGTTGAGACATTACTTGTTCTCCTTAACCTGGCTGAATAATTGCCCAGGGCGCTGTGTAGGATGAAATTTTCGTAGTCAAATGCATCTTCACGTTCTTCATGGGGTCGAGAGTCAGAATTTGGGACCGCGGGAAATGCGTCCAGCTCGTCAAAGTCCTCCAGAGGCTCGCGCAATATCTCACTCAGGGCCTCACGATCAATGTCAGATGAGTCGTCGGAATTGTATTCCCCTTCCTCTGCATCTTCGTACAAGCTCTCAATGACCGATTGCCCATCTTCGTCCACGGGTTCGAGAACCTTTGGTTGCGGGGGTTGTACATTAGCATCAGATGTCTCGCTTCCGTAATGGCCAGTGACAGCCTCGTTGCCGTCTCGTGCGTGTTCGTATTCTCCACTGTGACGGGGCTCTTGAGTGTAGTCCGGACTCCGTCCCGCACCGGGGCGCAGATGGCTATCTCTCAGCTCCATTGTATTGGTGAAGTACTGATCTGCTGCCGTGAAAGGACTGGGGGTCCGCAGACTCTGTAAGCTACGTCGGCGTAGATTGTCTTCCTGTGCTTTCACTTTCAGACTGGAGATCTTGATATGCAGACCCTTCATCTGATCTTGGAGATCTCTCACTTGCAGCTGCGACTGTGACCGAGATGGAGGATCAGACACAGGGTAGACTGAATGGATATCCTCTGCACCTAAGGTTTGATCCTCTGTATCTTCCGCTGAGATACCCAGCCCACTAGGTGAACCCGAGTTGTCTTCCTGCAAGTTCGAGGGAGAAGCACGAGCGGAGTGTGGCTTCGACACAGACGCACGGTGCGTAAGATACGCCCTGTTTGGATCATAACGGAATGTTCGCCCATCATTGTTGAAGTTGGAGACACTGCTCGATCCTAGAGCACTGAGAGACCTGGACAGGTCTGGTTCGACAGTTGGGAGACTTGATTGGTCTGCTGATGGCAAACGTGTTTCGCTATACACCCGGGAATGACGATTGTTACCAGTGTCCTGGGATGAGGTATATGTTGCACGAGGACGAGTCGATGCTCTGCGATCCGCACGGGAGATCGATTGATACAAGCCGCCAACTGGTTGACCCAGCCCTATCGCTTGGGTGCCAGGGGACGGCGTTGGCGACACCGAAAGTGATGGCGATGTCCGCATCGAGGATCGAGCCCGAGTCAAGTTACCTTCCATGAGCTGCAATGATATACATCAGCTCAAGTTCCATGAAACAGCAACCCACTCCATGCTTCTACTTAACTTACCGTGAGCCGTTTCTTTGCATTCTCCAGAATCCTTTCAGCTTCGCTGCTCAGAATCACCGAGGATAGTTCATCACCAGGGCCTCCTTCCTCCGTATTCGCTACTACTCTGCCAATGGCATTCTCCTTCATGATGCGAACAGCTTCAATTAACTGCTCTTGGTCTAGGGCACGATCCTCTTGCGAAGATCTCTGTCCACTCTGGCGATTTTTGGCCTCCTCCGATGAAGAAGTCTCACTAGCGCCACTAATTGTAGAACTAGACGAGCTACTGCGCCCTCCTGTTTCCTTGGCCTCCGTGTCCTCTACCGTGCGCTGCGAGGCTGGTGACCCGGCCAGTCGGCGGTTATGCGTGACTTCCAGGCTCGGTCCAAAACCGCTTACTGACGAAGTTGACGACATATCCTCCTCCCCGATGTCAGACAGGCGACGGCTCGCATCAAGAGCGTCATGTTGCCACGTGTGACGCGGAAAAGGCTTTTTCTGGGATCGGTGAGAAGCCATGGGAGCGCCATTTCCATTGTAATCTTGGGGAAAAGGTCGGTTGTTGTAGAACGATTGGAGATGGGATAGGGAAGGTAGGTTGAATGGCGGAGAAGGTGTGGAAGATTCGCGCTCGTCTTCAAACGGCAGGATCATATCCGGGTTTGATAAAGTTGGCGACGGTGGAATCGCCGGCGGAGGCGGCCTGTGATGCCGCGCATCCTCCATAGAGGAACCGTGTAACATGCTTCCAAGTTAAACCTGGAGGTTCGTGCTCCACGGCGTTCAAAGGAGGTAAACCCGAAGCGTGTGGTGATCTAGTTTTGCGGGTCGAGGGAAACCACCAATTAAAGTAATGTCATGGGAGAGAACGTGCCCGAGTTCCGATGAAGGGCTAGAACTGCGCGTTCCTGGAATCGAGGGATGAGTTTAATTCATGAGTCGACGTGAAATTTAACTGCAGTCGCAATGCAAACCCCAAGCCCAATGCGAACCCCAGTCAAGCGGGACAGGGCAGACGGAATTGAAAAAGAAAAGAAGAAAAAAAAATGGACAAAAGCAACGAGACGGGACAAGGATTATTAGGATTAAAAATTAAAATTAACAACTAAGAAATAGATAACAGAGGTAATCAAATCAGTACAACAACAAGCAGGCGATGGAAGGCAACACAGAGAAAAGAGAGAAAGAAAAGAAAAGAAAGAAGAAAGCTGACACGCAGCCACCGGGTCCGAGTGAGACTGGGGGAAGGGAAAAAAAAGGTATTAGTTAGTATTATTGTTTAGTTTTTAACTAGTGGTGTTATTTATTCTTTTCTCTTTGGCTCTTGTTGTTTTGACCCTGACCGACTCGAGTAAATGAAAAAAGAGCCATAATTTTTCGTCGTTTCTGGCTGCCAGGCCCAAAGAGGTAAGGATCGGACCCGTGGGGAGTGTCCACCGCAGTAATAAATTGAAGCTCTCTTACCGAGATTGTTCGAATTATTGGCCCTATCTGGGATGTTGGGGAAGGGGTGGGAAAGTCCCTCAGGAGGGCGAACCGAGATGACATGGAATCCGAGAGGAGAGTTGCATACATAACACTGCCCTGCATTGCCCACACAAGAATACAGGCACGAAGAATTCAGATCGAATAGCAAGTAATAATATTAAAACAAGCCACTGGACAAACCTTAAATCACCTGCAGGCGGAGATCATCATTTAAAGAGATGCCCATGCTCACTTCCATGACACCATGCAGCAAGACGAATCCTGCGCATTCTCTCTCTCTTTTCTTTCATGCATGACGGTTGCACTATCCCAGTGCCTCTTTACTTTTATTTACTTTTTTTTATTTTCTATTTTCTCTGTTTACCATGTTGACTACTATCTTATGGTTATGTGCCGTGACTGGGTTGTGCCCCTGAATGACTTGGGGCTGATCCACGGATGCCTTAGGGTTGTCGTTCCAATGGTTCCGTGATGCTTTAGCCGCGCCTCGGTGTAAATATATATCTTCGAGAAGTTCCCCTCTTAACACTCTGTAAGAGAGATATTACAATTCGCCTGGTTCTAACGCCCCTAACTATATGCTGGTTGTTACCGCCCCTATATGTTTTATCCAAACAAGCCTTCAACATAACTAGTGTTTCGTAGATATCAGTCGATTACGTTGGGCTCATTCGTACTGAACGGGAAGGGAAAAAAAATGGATTGCTTTTTGATGACTTCATGGCCCTATACTCCCAGACCCTATACAGATAATAAAAGCCAGTGCAAAGATATATCACAAAGTGAGAACGGGAAAGATTGAATTCCCAGAACCAATCAATATCCCAACCAATATTATACGGGATTCACCTGTCACCCGTCAAAAGATCGGCCCCATACACAATTCATCAAGTCTAGATCTTTTCCAGAAGCAACTTAGCACCGCTGCTGGTTGGGCCTGATTTCTTCTTGTCATCCTTTCCAGACTCGGCAGCAGCCTGCTGCAGAGCCTTCTTACCCTTCTTCAAAGTCTTCAACAATTCAGCCTTCTTCTCAAACTCATCGGATTCCGTCAGGGCCACAACCACAAATACATTGGATCCGGTGGCCCATGACATGATCTCTTCCTGAATTTGTTCATACAGCAGTCCGTGGAAGTTCAATGGAGGCTGCACCTTCTCTACAACCTTCTCTGCACTGTTGAACCGGCCTCCTTGAACGAGGGACTTCAACAGTCGTCCAACAAAAGGCGAATCCTTGGTGTCAGAACGAGTTTTGGCAGCAACCGCAACAGCGGAGAGAGCGTCGCTCTTGTCTCCGTCGGCATCAAAAAGAACCTCGGCAATGAACTGACATCCGAAGCTTGTCTCCAAGAGAGAGTCTGCGCGGGCTGCGATGAGCTCAAGCAAGGTTGGTGACGCAGCCTTGACCAGTTCTTGGCGCCGGACAGACGGATCCTTCTTCGAAGTCTCCTGACGAATTTCACGAACTTCTTTCAAGACTGGCTGATCGATCTCGGGCAAAAGCCACTTGGCCCGGTCTCCCACGAATGGAAACAGGACAGCGATACGGCCTGTCAAATCGTTAACCTGGTAGAGTAGCTCTTCATTCCGTGCCTCCGCGTCGCCGCCTTGGTTCAGTAGCTCCGGGTAGATCATCTTCGCTGTAAGCTTAGTGTCGTCGATAACTTCATATGCTGTCAAGAGAATCATATGGCCGTGGAGGTCACCAGCCATTAGCTTGACGGTGTCCTTGTAGAACCGCATAAGCAGTTTCCGGTCTTTGGCGCTGGCGTATGCCAAGCTCAGGCACATCAGGCGCGAGCCAGACTGGGTAAACGCCAAGTTCTTGACCAGATCACCTTCTTCGTCACCCTTGAGCAGCTCAATAAACTCATTGGCCTCCGAGCTGCCAGGCTTTGTGTTCAGGAAATATTGCAACATGGCATCATGGAGCATTGTGAATCCAGTGGTACGCTTCTGGATCAGCTGGTTGACAAGTTCATGAAGGAAATGCATGATAGGTCCCCTCTTCTCCGGGCTCTCTTTAAGAATCTCAGAAAGCTCTGACGTCTTATCTTTCTCCTCCTTAAAGATACTGAATTCTGCACCATACCACTCGCGAAGAAGCTTTGCTTTCTGCTCCTTCGTCGCAACCTGCCGGTAAACATCGTCCAGAATCCAAGATGCTTCCGGGTGTCGGACGAGGCGCTTGACGTGACCGTAGAACTCTGGGATGATCAAGTCCCGAATCTCAGTATCGCCGTGGACGATCAGTTTACCGATCAAAAACTTAGCATAACGGCTTTGCGCAAGCTCATTGTAGTGACCCTTCAACTCTCGCGCAATCTGCTTCCGTTGCTCGATATTTGCGTACTTCAAGGCAGTCTGAATAACACGGACCGAATCGTGCTTGAAGACGAAGTCTCTCACTCGTCCAGTGATGATATCGAAAAGCTCGGCAATGAGTTTCTTTCTCTCCTCAAGTGGGACATGTGACTTTCGGCGCAGACGCTCCCATAGCTGCTTGGAGCGTTGAATCATATCGGCGTTGGGCTTTGCGGCTTTTCGTTCCTGCAAGAGAACCTTTTGCTTTGCATGCGATTCGCGTGAGGATGTCTTGTCTGCAAGAGGTGAACAGTCAGCTTGATGTCCAATATCTCGGGTGGAAAGCCTCGTTATCATACTTTTCGCAGCTTCTGCGTTTTCCGCAGCCTTCTTCGGCTCCTCCTCCTCCTCTTCGTCTTCATCATCGTTGTCGCCTCCGTCATTCATATCAACATCCTCGTCCTCGACATTGTCCAGGTCATCAATTTCCGAGTCCTCAACATCGTCTAGATCGAAATCATCGTCATCTTCCTCCTCCTCTTCGACCTTCTTCTTCGAGGCTTTCTTATCCTTCTTCTCAGGCTTTGAACTCTTCTTTGTCACGCTCTTCGAGCTGGATTTCTTCTCAGGTGCAGCCTTGGCTTTCTTCGTTGGTACGAGTGGTGTCTTGGTCTTTGTCCGCTTTCCCTTGCGCTCGTCGCCGGCGTCCACAGGACGCTTTACTCCGACCATGATTATGTTGGTTCCTTGTTTCCCTTTTTTTTCAGTTCCAAGAAAGCCGGAATTGGATGTTTTGAAGAGTTCCTGGCGAGCGAATTCGGTACGTCACCCGCTGGAAATTTCCTTTTCGTTTGAATTACCGCTCCGGACATTTCTTTTTTTTTTTTTTTTTTTTGTTTTGCTCCGAAGACCTGGGGCGGTCGGCAAGTTTGTCTTGTTTGCATTTTACTGATAAGGCCACTGCCTCCCGATAACCAACTGTATGTTTGTACCTCTTACGAAATATGGGTGGCGAAAGAAAGGCATTGGAGAAAAAGAATTTTCTGGTGCTTGAACTCTATTGTTTGAGTATAACAAAGAAAATCATACAACCAATTAGGCCGTGTGTATGCATAGTAATGGTGATTGGGCCACAAACGCACAAGAATCCAAATCGAAGCGCATATATTAGTCGTCGATCGGGAAGAAACCCTGATCAAACCCCTGAACGCCTACTCCATTCATTACTCAATATATATCATGGTTGCGAGAACTTCACGCATCACGTAATTCCGACTCTACAGTTGGTGGCAACTTCATGGATCCCAGCTCCGATCCTACGTTGCTCTGTCCTCGTTTTTTGCCCGGGATGTGAAAGCCTAGTTTGGAGTTGCTTGATGTCTGGTTGTCATTTGTAAAGTCGCCAAGTCGCGAGAATAAGCCCTTCTTTTTCGGTTTGGCTTCGTTGTCGTCGTCGAGTCCAACATCCTCGAATTGTTCTTCTTCCATCGATGTGGGTTGCTTTTCGAGGCCCTTTGCGTAGGGGGATGGGAGATGGGAGAAACGTGAGTCAAGCGAGGTGCGAGAGGGCATTGCGTCGCTATGGTTTATAGGTGATCGGGCAGATATATCCTGGGATTAATTATGCGTCAGATCCTCGAACGTCCGCCAGGGTGGGCAAACGACTCACAAACGACCGGCGATACGAATCGAAGGACTCGCGGGAGATTGAGAACGGCTCATTCTCGTCGACGAGGTCACGATGGTTCGAGGATCTATTGGAGCCTGGGTACCTGCGCCAGAAGCTCTGTTTTTCCGGCGGAGATGGCTATTGGTAGATGTTTAGCCGCAGCGCAATGCAATCACCAGCACGTGGTTGTGGAGGGGATCGTAGATTTACCGGAAGATAGGCCCCATTATCGTCGACCACTGTTTAGCGAACAAGTATGAGCGACGTCTATATCCATAGTGAGGAGAAGGGAAAGTATACCACTCAGTTTATATTCAGGCGGTTCATTGTCGGTGCTTTTCCTGATATTCAAGGGCGTTGAATGGTGGCTGTCTGCGGACAAGCGACTAACGTTATCGGCTTCCCCGCTATTCGGTGCCGCGGACCTTTTGGTGAGGAAGTTGCGGAACGGGGTCATATTTGGAAGAGGGAAGTCTTGCGAGAAATTTTGAAATTGCGTAAAAGGTAATCGCACTGCCCTACCGAGGCGACAATGGGTACAGAGGGTGAGGTAGAGAGGGTTTAAATGGATCGTACGAGTGGTCCAAAGTCAAGAGACGCAACCTCACATGATCGGCGCCTCGGCGGCGGTACAAATAATGAAATGGTGAGTTATCCGTTTGATGTAAGGGAATGACTATCCTAGTAGGATAATTTATCTAGTGTAAATTAAGGACCCACTAGCCAAGTGTGGGGGGCAATTGGATTGGTTGGTTTCTCTGTGAACTTCATAACATGCTCAACAAACGGAGTATAGAGTAGTACAACCTTGAGCTTACTACAAGCACGTACTCGAGATCTACTGCTTTCTTCGACAACAAACATACCAGCTGCACTAGAGGAGACCTCACTGCTGAAAAAGGGTGGTAATGCAGCTAATTCAGCTGATTGCAGCTCTTTGGAAGTATGCACTCGTTTTCTGGGTGTGTCTAGTTATTCGGGAACATAAATTAGGGCTTCAACTTGTACTAAACACAGTACTGCATCTCATGGAAAACCTTACTACCTAGCATTCGCCAGTTTTGATTATGAATTCATTACCACTACACAGTATCACGCCTGCCTGCTATTGGTCCTTTTCAATGATTTGGCAATAACTACGACGATGCGTTGACTCATTCATTGGTGTAGTGTCACTACGCACCTATTACCCAAAGACTTCCTTCACATCTTGAGCTGTAGAGAACTTCATAGAAGATCAATGAGTGCATAGATTGATTCAATATCAGATCAAGGATAAGCAAAGAAGCTAGATGTTGAATACACAATGTCTCACTGTTTTCTTCTCTTTCCTTCCGGGGAGCTCGTTTGAATCGTAGATTCTGTTGCCGCATTTGTTTTTGTTAGCCTGATCACGAAGTTGCCTGAACGTCGCCTGCGCAACCTACAGCAGTGTATGATGACACTATATAGTCATCTATACAGGTTTTTCACACAGCTGCCTACGCCATCAACCACGGTAACGAGAGTTATTGTCTCATTGTAGTGAGTACTTATACCGTCCCTCGCCCGCCTTTCTTCATTCTTCTTCACCACCACCTGCATCTTTCCAACATACCTCAAACCGATATCTGCTACCTACAGACACTTCTTTCTTCTCAAGTTACACTACCCTGTTCTACAAACAACCTGCTCAAAACAAAATACTTTGCAACTATCAAAATGGTCCGTCTTCTTGCCTTCACTGTTCTGGCCGCTGCCACCGTCGAGGTAGTCTCTGCTGCTGCCCTGTCCACTCCACGAAGCCACGCTGAAGTTACCATTTGGCGTCGCGATGATGGCCCCCTCGCCACCATGGCAGCAACTGCAACCGAGACAGCCGTTGCAGCTGACAAGACACCCACTGAGATCGAGGATGGAGAAAACGTCCTCAGTGACGACACAGTTACCGATGAAGACGATGAGGTCTTCACTGACGGTTTGCACTGGCGCCGCAGGGGCAAATGCCGCTCTGACCTGGACTGCGATCTTGGTTACCTGTGCAGTGGCGGCCGTTGCACTCTTGGCTGCCTGGCTGATAAAGACTGCCGCCGGGGACAGACGTGCCTGGGTGGGCAGTGCCGTACTGCAGGCGGAGTCAACCCTCCTTCATGCAAGCCTTACAAGCAGCTATGTGCTGCCAATGAAGAGTGCTGCTCAGGTGTCTGCCGCCTGGGCTGGCGCCTGACGAGGGTGTGCAAGCACAACAAGCACTGAGGTGTCTTGTTTATGAATGGAGGAATGAGATCGTTTTGCTGTGAGGAGGGAAAAGGAGACCAAATTGACATGTTGATGGAGTTTCTTTGATTGTTTAGCTTATTTTGATGTTTATATTGGGTTACAAAAGTTGTTGAATTGAACGAGAGTTTGGAGGAGGATGTGCGTCTGAAACATGATGGACGAGGTGAATGATATGAAAAAGGTGGTTCAGGTTTGAATTTCTGAATTTTAAAACAAAACACACACAAAAGACAAAAACAATAGAAAAACAAAAGGGTTTTTTTTTTGCCCATCATACATTGTGCTTCCTGTAACCTCAACATATAACTGAGAACACATTAGAATACTTCATACACGTAGGAAATATTGTAACTTGGAATATATTTTGGAGCAGTCTATTAACTACTTAATCTGTTATGGATAACTTAGTGGGAGGTCAGCCGCTAAGACGATAACCTTGCTTCGGTTCTCCACACCAGCGGGACCGGTGCCTGGTACGAATCCTGGGGTCGTCGTTGTACTCGTGCGAGTAATCCACGATCGCTACAACGCGCTAAGCAATGGAGATGATTCTTGAGGGAAGCAATTCTGCAGAGACATCTCCACCCTGGGGTGGCGTCGCCAGAGCACACCGACCCGTTACAGGGAAATTGGCTACTTGGCTGGACAACTACATCTCTCTTCTTTTTGTTCTTTCTTTTTCCATCCCTTCTCCCTGCTGTCTTCTTTTTTTGTCTTCGCGATACATATCTTCGTTCCCCAATGATCACATCGCCTAAATTCTTTGCTCCCCTTAGCAACCTTGCCTGTTTCTTCCTTCCCGTGTTATTCCCTTGCTATTTGGTCCCCTCATTGCTTGTAACAACAGCCCTCCGTTTGTATCAACTCTCATACCTCGCAACGAATTCTCCATTCTATAGTTCTCAATAGTTCTACCCCGTCGTGCCACCATAAGCTAAGTACTACGCTAGCTTCACAAGTAGTTCGCTAACATGACCCCCGATGGTATACTATATATTTTTCAACAGAGGTCGAAGTGTTACTCAGACGTGCTTTCCATTGCTTAATTTCTTCCTCGCCTCGCGTTTGCACTTTCCACCAAGTGTCCCTGCAATCATGGTGTCACTTCCATGACAGCTGGCTTCCTGCCTTTACTCACCTTGACCGAGACCTGGATCTGCACTATAGTCTTAAGAATATCCCTCCCCTAACCACAGCTTTCCTATTCACTACTAGGTGAGCTTAACCGGACATGAGCCGTCGTCCACACATTGGCCAGTCACTATATTGTGCAATCTCTGGTACTTACTTCTAATTTCTGTCTTAGGACCAACCTCCACATCTTGCCCGTCAGCTAAATTCCGGATTCACCATGCAGTTTTGGCTGGATTGGGCACTGTGGCAGAAGCTTAGTTTTGTACGGATGTAATGACTGAATATAATGAAACCGAAGCATTGCTAATGACGGCTTATATAGGTGCTCGCTGGCCTCCTCGTAATGTGATGAACCCCACGGCACTAGGGTCGCTACTAATATGGAAAGGTTCTCGTGCTTATTTATTCGCTGTGTGTCCTTTTCTACAACAGATGGGCCACCAGGAAACACGCTGCTGCAGACGCGCATCAAAAGACGATACATGATGCGGAGCAATGCCCGATGCTGTCAGAAACAAATGAAGTGCCGTTCGGTGCTAGAGCTTTAGAGCGAGGCGTTCTTGTGGAAGGAATATGGACACCAGGCCAGGTGTCTCCTATAGAATCTAATACACCGACCAGGCACGACAGCGCTGGACTGGCCCTGACGCAGCTGCCTCCTAACCCAACAAGTATGGTACAGAGGCCTTCTCAAACATACATGCGCGTGTCTCTATCGGGCCAGTCCAGTCCAAGGTGGGCCCCAACAGTTTCCGATATCAGGGCCGAATCATCGGATGGTCTTTACCCCAACACTCTGCATGCGAACAAATCTCTCCAGTCAGATGTTCAACTAGTCGGTAACTCTCATGAGATAGTCGACTCGGATGTTGCCCGATCAAAGCTACGACTTAGCTCTCGTGGCTCATGGATCAGCAAGCCTTTTGACAAGCGAATGCCAGCGGCTGAAGGTAAGTCCACGAGTTCATTCTAGTTCGTGAGAGTAGGACTATGCAGGAGGTTTGGGGCAACGAGTTGCGGAAACTGACGAGCTCCCATAGGAGCCCATCCGCGAACTTCCTCCGAAGAGTTTAGGCGCAGAATTAGCAAATTGTTCGACGAAAATGTTCAGGCACGCCCGATCGAAATGTTTCAGTTGCAATCCGATTCTTCAGAGTCCGTTGATGGTCATCAAAAGGAGCTCATCCCAGACCCATCGATGCATAGACCAAACCATGAAATCCATTGATTGAATAGCCCCATCGTTTATTTTCCCCGAGAAAGGGATTGCATGTTATTATTATCAATTGGTCATGTAACCTACCCCAGAACGTGAATGGTCAGACTTGAAGGTCTTCATTGCTTCTTGTTAGATACAGTCATCTGTCATGTTGGACTTGCCTCAATTGCGCTCTGAGAACCTCTGCGACTCATAATGATCATTCAGCCGTGAGGATGAAATGATGAAATGTAGAGGGTTTTCCTAGGCGATACAGCTGTACTGTTAAAGTGGAACAATGCTAGGTGTACCAGTTGATAACTGTCAAGACACTTTCCGCACTAGATGAAGAAGGCGCAATAAAAAAAGCCTATGACCTGCACATGAGGGCTCCTCTCATATTTCTTTTCGGTATTGTTCTAAATAAATATAGCGTTGCGTACTTGTAGGCTTTCCTCTAAGGCAGCAGCCTGATATGCCTGGCCCACGTGACCTCGTGACGGCTTCGACGCGTCCAGAACCTCAACAGATTGTTTATCGCCGCATAGTCAGACGCAATTTTGCCACATCGACCGACTGCGAGTTTTAAATAAGACATTTATTGTTTCCGAACTGGTGGCTATCGAATAGTCCTCGGGGTATTTGTCCGATACGAGGCACTCTTAACGCAGAATCTACCCGCTTTCACAATAGAACGCGTACTGTCGCGTCGATTAGACTGTGTGCAAGACCAGTAGTAGTTGCTTGCTATTACTCTTGGGGCTGGCTAGAGAGACACTTTACCTGCCTACCTGATTGACAATGACAGCCGATATGGATACTCAGAATGAATACGATGATAGTGGACTCCCGGGGCCCGGAGCGCCCACGCCACTTTCAGCTTTAGAAGTGAGGGATCTCTACTTTCCACATTACACAACATCACAAGCTTGATATAGTAACAAAATGCCCTCACAAAGACTCGTACTGATTATAATTTGATAGGGTGTTGCAGGATTAACGGGAAGAGACATCAAATTGTTTGTCGATGCCGGCTATCACACTGTCGAATCAATTGCGTATACGTACGTCTTTCCCCTCGAACGAGCTTGCCGTTGTACCAAATATGGAGAATACAAGGTGATGCTGACATTGACGTTGGTGGTATATTATAGGCCAAAGCGTTTACTGGAACAGATCAAAGGTATCTCGGAGCAGAAGGCTACCAAGGTTTTGGTTGAAGGTTAGTCACATCTTCTCAAGGAGCCTGGTCATTTGTATGGATGTATGCTGATAATCCTCGATAAATAGCTGCCAAGCTTGTGCCGATGGGTTTCACGACTGCAACGGAAATGCATGCTCGTCGAAGCGAGCTTATATCGATCACGACAGGATCCAAGCAATTGGATACTCTACTAGGCGGTGGCATAGAAACGGGATCTATTACCGAGATATTCGGAGAATTTAGGACAGGTAAAAGTCAGATTTGCCATACGCTTGCGGTAACTTGCCAGCTACCATTCGACATGGGTGGTGGGGAAGGGAAGTGTCTTTACATTGATACCGAAGGGACATTTCGACCGGTGCGTTTGTTAGCAGTTGCTCAACGGTACGGGCTTGTCGGGGAAGAGGTGCTTGATAATGTGGCGTATGCCCGAGCTTATAACTCGGATCACCAGCTCCAGCTTTTGAACCAGGCGTCTCAAATGATGTGCGAAACTCGTTTCTCACTCCTTGTCGTTGACTCGGCTACATCGCTGTATCGGACAGATTTCAACGGCCGTGGTGAACTATCAACTCGACAGACGCATCTGGCCAAATTCATGCGTACCTTGCAGCGCTTAGCGGATGAATTTGGTATCGCCGTCGTTATCACAAACCAGGTCGTCGCCCAGGTTGACGGCGGTCCGAGTGCGATGTTCAATCCAGACCCTAAGAAGCCAATTGGCGGAAACATCATCGCACACGCTAGCACGACTAGATTGAGTCTAAAAAAGGGGAGAGGGGAGACCCGAGTGTGCAAAATCTATGACAGTCCCTGTCTGCCCGAGAGTGACTGTCTTTTCGCCATCAATGAAGATGGCATTGGGGATCCTAGCCCCAAGGATTTGGAGAATAACTGAAGAACGGTGCAGCCGTATTAATTACTTATGATACCACGATCGGTATATGTTTCACTTGGCTTGTTCATTAGTACATATTGTTTAGTATCTTGATTTTGATAGCATATGATGTTTGTGGCATTGTGTTAGATATTATGTGTTAAGTGGAATAAGAAGAATAATCACTAAAGCCAAATATATATATATATATATATATACTTTATATATATGCGAAGAGCATATGTAGTCTTTCTTCCAACAATATCATTTCAAACCGATTGATTGTTCTCTCCTTCTCTTCCATATCTGTAGATCTCCGAAGGCGGTGGATGCGCGTTGCTAAGGCTGGCGCCAAGACCGTGTTTTTTCTGAACAGAGCTTCGGAGCTTCTCTCCTCCAACTCTACGGGCTGCGACATTTCCACTTACTTGCGACAATCGGCCATGGAGACTTGAAGTGACCAATTTTACAGATTAGTGGAAGGTGGTCCCTCGTTCATCCGACATGGCGAAAATTTATAAAGATACCAAGGTCGACCTCCGACCGTATTCATCGAACGCCGTCGTCAACATTCAGATCCCAACACATGCGAATACGCAAAGCCGAGCACGATTCTCTATATCCTCCTCTGTGGGCGCAGACGAACCGATAGCGAAAGACGAGGAAGAATTCTCTAGACGGTATCTCTCGAGCCAGGGGTCAATCTACTTTCGCAAACGCAGTGTCTATCCACGATCGTTCCTATGGAGGGCTGTCAATGACAGCAAGGTGTTGGAGATCCAATGTGTTGATTTAACGAAGGGCGGCATCGAGCATTCAGTATACAGCAATACCATACGCTTAGATTTCCAAGAAGAGATCCTTCCTTCATGCGTTGACTTCGCAGACTTGGAAGATCATGAAGTGCTGAGCGTTTTCGTGATTACGACCTCCAAGCAGCTTTACACCTTGAGCTTGCGTCCCGAATTTTTCCGCAGAACAAGCGCAATTGACAATAATGTATCGGACTGGTGCAAGATCTATGTACCGGCGCCGTTGTCGTTCTCCTACCCCCACCGATTGCATGCTAGCAGTCCGCTTGAGCTATTCATCTCTCTCGATAACGGCGCGCTTCTGCGCCTAACCCGGAGATCTGGTGACGATGGTAACCCTCCATGTTTCGCCCTAGATTTGATATAGGGGAATTAAAAAAATGCTAACATAAATGATTTCCAGGGTCAAACTGGTCTCCTCTTACCTTCGACGAGAGAACTTGGGGTGCCTCTATCCGCGGATTGGTAAGGTGGCACGCGCAACCTTCAATTAAATATAAAGGACGCAATCTCGACACAAACCTGGCAAATGCGATCGCTACGACATCTGACCAGACTTACGCTTTTGCGGTCTGTTTGAATCACACTCTAAAGATTTGGAACCTAGCTACGAACAAGCTAGCTGCCACGACTGACCTGTTAGGCCGTGAAGTGCAAGAGCCAGATTCGTCGTCATATACGTTGAACCCAGCTGATTCATCCTTCATTCGTGTATTCAACGTCGAGAGAGCGCTGGACGGGGCATATCGATACTATGTTATCACATATTCACCTTTTGAGGATGGGCGTTTCAAATTCTGGGCTGTAAAGGGAGGCTTGACATCACCGCTCGTCATCGAAGATCTATTCCCAGATGCTCCCTTGCGGCCCTTGGACCCTGATTCGACCGGGAATGTGTTCTGGAATATTATAGATTTCCAACTCAAGCCGGCTGACGAAGGGAAAGGAATGGAACTGTGGGTTCTTTGGAGAAACAGCGGCGTCTATCAGCTTTACACCCTACACTTCAATTTCGAAACTCTAGTGAGAGATTGGGATACCAATTGGGTGTCGACGGCGATCGACACTCGCGGACAGGAGCTTCCGCCGTCTATGGCATTCTCCGACGTGGTGGACCCGACAGAGAAATGGTTGAAATTTCTTTTACAACCCAACAAATACTCACCGGAGGTGCTTGAGACTTCTCTAGCTGTTTATCAAGAGGCGCTCCGGCCGCTCTCTTCCCCTAGTGTCATAAAGAAAAGCGCTTCACTTACGGAACGACTTTGCTCTACGATTGCTGCAACTGTATCGCTTCGGAAGTATGCCGATGACGAGATGGACTTCACGAGGTATCGCACGGATACAGACGCAAAGTGGCGCCAGTTTTGGCAAATTGCGGAGGATATCAACAAGAGGCGATTCGAGCCTGTTTCTCTTCTCTATGATACTTACTATGAGACTCCGTGGCTACTTCTCTCAGATAGCTGCGCAGTGATCAGGGAATGCAGCTCGACTGAGTTGCTTTTGCACAACTCGGGAGCTGAACTTCGCGTTGAAGGACACAAAATTGCCGATCGCTGGAGGCACAGGAACCTGGATGAGGAGATTGGAAATATGTTCGAACAAGCTTCTCGACTAATGACAGTTGCCTCTGGGTTCAGGAGAAGATTTCCATCTGAGCTTAACGCAGCTTGTCAAAATGCTCTTGAAGCAGAGCTATTCACTGATCCATCCTCGTCTGTCCAGGACAGGATGGATGCTTTCCGTGATCGTTGCGACTTTGGCGAACAGATCTCCAACAAGACCTATGACGGTCTGCTTGCGGCCATGGATGGGTATCTGAACATCTACAATTTGCCGAACAATGTTTTCTACACTATCATAGACACGATCCCACTTGGGTTCCCCGGCAAGGATTCAGACCTTTTGGCTACCCACTTCGGAGTGAAGGTTACTGTGAATGGCGTGCAGGAGGCGATCCTATATACGCGCCAGCTTCTCATTGACCTCCTAGTCCTCATAGTTTTCGTGGACGGTGAGGTTCAGCAAGAAGACACATCTGAGTTGGATGCCGTGGATCTGTTCGGTTCCCTGATAACATTGCTAAGAGAATACGAGATGATGGCCTGGCTTAGCTCAAACACCCGGAAATGTCTTGATAAGCCCGCAAATGTTTCAGATGACCAATCAACGTCGCAATTCTCTTTGAAGGACTCGCCTTCGAAGAACACAGGCTTAAGAATGGCGACTATTCTAGAGGACCTGTTTGCTACTGATATTAAACCTCGGCAGACTATCGGTCTACCTCAAAGCTATACCCTAACTCTGGGAATCCACGATGTCTTGTCTTGGGTCACACGCCAAGGCGAAGTAGCTTTTCCAAACGCTCTGGTGTATATTCAGTGTGATCTTATTGCAAAGAATAACATCGATCTTGCTTGGGACTTCCTTCGTTTCCAGCCAAGCACTTCTTGGGCGACATATGTGAAAGGTCGTCTGTATGTGGCTATGTCCGAATTCGACACTGCAGCCTCGTACTTCCGCAAGGCTGCATATCTTCTTTGTAAGCTTCCTACTCGCATTATTTTGGACCAGATTATCTGACTTTGTCTCTAGCATGCGGCAAACCTCTCGGTAACTTGCATGAAATGTCGTCGACGCTGCTGGATATTGTCTCAGTGGATTCGTTCCACAATGGCCTTCCAAAATATTTTCAACATATCTTGACCATCTTCGAGCAAGCTCGCTCGTTTTCTCATGTTGCTGATTTCGCACGCCTTGCATTGCAGGCTCTTGCGAGTGAAAACCGTAACGATCAAGATCCTGAACACAACATCTTGCGCACTGACCTTCTTTCGCGTTTGTTCTATGCGTCGTTGCAGAATTGTCAATTTGACCAAGCATATTCTGCCCTATCTCGATACAAGGACCTTGCACTGCAGAAGTCCGCTCTCAGCTCCCTAGTCACGAGTATATTGGTTGCATCCGGACCAGGCACTGCTGGACTTCAGCAAATTCTCCACTTTCCAACGGCACTTATCCCAAACATCGCTTCCTATGTGGACGATACGCTGGTCTCACTTGCTCGGAAACAGACGACTTTCAGCTCTCTCTTAGAAACTGGAAGCAGCACACCTGATTACCAGAGAGTTCTACAGGCATACCGTATCGCACGGGGCGATTACCGTGGGGCTGCCGAAATCGCGTATCGAAACGTGCAGCGCCTCCGCAATGCCCGGGATGCTCCTTCTTCTCATCTGGTGCTGAGCAAGAACCGGGACACTGACGGTACCCAGCCCACAGAGGAAGATGATTTCGAAAGCAAGGAGATCCGAACGGAACTCCTGTCTTTAATCAACCTTCTTGGCTGTGTCGACAAGAGCGAAGCCTATATATTAGTCGAGAAGGAAGACTCCGGTGTACCCGCCGCCCCATTCACAGATCGACGCCGTAGTCTGCAAGCCGATGATGACGGGAATGTATTCATGGACGAAGCTGATGTCAACCCACCCACACCCTATGGCTCCAAGCGCAGACTCAGTTCCAGTGCCACTGCAATCGTGCCATCCGGTCGCAGAGATAGCAGGTCTTCTGTTTCTACAATCGGCAGCCATGCTCCCCGACGGCGTGTCATTGTGACGCTCGACCACCTACGTCGCGAGTACCAGTCCGAGCTAGATCGGGTCAGTAGAATTGAGAGAGGTGATTGGGAGTTTGGGATTCTTGACGCCAATGGGGCGGATAATGATGATACGATGCTACTCTAGGTCGAGCCTTGGATGAGCGTCCATGATTTCTGGTTTAATCTCTTGCATATTGTTCTTTTCCCCCTTTCTGTCTCAGACTCTGGACTGCATTTGTATTCTAGGCTAGGCTTCTCTTTCTCAATCATTCGGTGGTACAAGGAAATGGAGTCGTTTTTCTAGTTGTCCGGTCAATTATCTTCTGTTCCTGCTAAGATATCTGACTATCTAGTAGACTACTGATATATACTGTATGGATGTTTGCGTAGCCACTTTAGGCACAGTAGGAGTGCTGGGACTCGAACTTTAATATAGAACATTTCACTCCCCCAAAGATTTGTTGTTGGTAATGAAAGAGAAAAAAAGAAACCCCCCCCCCCCCCCTCTTGGGAAATATAGCATGGGATATGCCAATCCGGAAACAGTTCAGTAGTAATCCTCCACCTTCCTCCAGCATCTACTATCTTCACCCCAGGTTTCTAAACAAGCGTACTATGGGACGTTGTGACTCTTCAGAATGACTCGTAGAGTGGTGGTAGAAATTATAGAGCAAATGAAGTGTCACCGTATCTCTATTCCCTGTAGATCTTTCTAGGGTGTTGTTGTAGGTACTTGGGGATATATATACTTATGGCATGGGTTTGCAGTTTGCTGAATGGGAATTGTCTAGTACTGTTAGGACTAGGTTATTTGATGGAACTTGGCTTATTTTGAATAACTGCAACTTTGGGTTACTAGCCCTAGTCCTGTATTGGAAAATTCCTCTTGGAATATATTCTAGGACTGCGCAACTTTTTGTATAAACAAGCATGGCTAGAAGATGGCTTAGATACTGATTGTTCATATTAGATGTAGCACCTGGCTGATGGATAAGGCTCATTGAACAAGTGTGAATTATATATTAAGAAACTAATAGTACTTTTGGAAGTAACACTATATGGGTATCTCGCACATATCTACAAGTCATCTACTCGGCGTCCTCCATCTTCGAGCTTGCATATAATTTGCTGAAATGCGAGGTATCCGAAGACAGAAGAGCATAAGGACTGCCGGACTCAACGATCCGGCCGGCGTCTAGCACGATTATCTTGTCATAGTCGAGGATTGTTTCAAGCTTGTGGGCAACGGTGAGGATTGTGTGGTTGCTGAACTTTTCCCGGATAACTCGTTGCATGATCTCGTCTGTTACGGTATCGACACTAAATGGGAGATATGTGAGTATTTGATACACGCCATCTGCTTTAATTGTAATGCGTACCTGCTGGTAGCTTCGTCGAGGACGAGAATATTCCCTTGGCGCAGGATTGCTCGAGCGAGACAGAAGAGTTGCTTTTGCCCGTGGGATAGGAACAGTTCGTCAACTTCAGTGCTTAGGCCCCCGTTTTCTAGGACCTTGGAAGAGAGTTGAACGGTTCTGAGGGCTTCCATTATGGCCTTATCAGTGTGACAGCCTGTTGGATCGATATTCTCTCGGACACTTCCCCTTATCAACAAGGGGCTTTGAGCGACCCCGTTAATGCGAGACCGCACTTCTTGCCGTGGCACCTTTGATATATCGGCGCCGTCGATCCGGATGCTGCCAGAACTGAGCTCAACCATCCGGAAGATACTCATTAAGAGGGAGGTTTTGCCACTACCAAAGAATATAAGTCATAGTACAGTACCAGAAAGACGTGCAACTAATCTCACCTGCCAGTCCTGCCACAGATCCCCACTTTTTCGCCTGCTTGAATAGATATAGATACGTTGCTGAGGACTGGCTCCGAAGGTCTTGATATAACTCCGTGTTAGTAATGGATGCCCTGGTATGTAATCTTGGATGTGCTTACCTGTACTCTGCACTGACGGAGTCAAAGACTATGTTTCCTTGAGATGGCCAGTCCGGTGGCAAGCTGTCGTGTTCTGTAGGCAGATTCTCTGAAGGTACATTCTCAGAGAACATCTTAACACGCAGGATGGAGCCGATGTGAGTCTCAAGATTGGTCCAGAATGTTACCAGCAGTTTTATACTCTGGCCGAACAGGATGACATTGAGTAAGGCCACACCAACGTAGCCTGCGCTCATAGACCCACGTAGTACCACAACTAGGACAATCAACAAAACTGCAATCCCGGCGACTACAAGATCCAAGGTGAGTGTAAGCCAGCGCTGAATGGCATACAAAAGGTAAAATGGTCTCTGAGAATAGTCAAGTAGTTCGTAATTCTTCTCTTCCATAGACTGTTGCCAGCCAAAAGCCCTTAATGTCACCAGACCACCGAGGCAGTCAGAAAAGTGAGAGTATAGAGGTGCCTTAGCTTCAAGATCCAGGAATCGCAGTTGTCGTGAGGTGCGAAGATATACTTTTTGTATGCAGTAAACCGCTAGAATGACCGCTGGGAACGAGATGGCCGCGTATTTTGAGGCTATTCCAATAAACACCATTTGACATATACAGAGAACGAATGCTAGAGATTATACATTTATAAGTAATTGTTCTCCCACTGAAATTTGGCGGACTGTTAGAATCCTGTAAGGGTGACTTACTGACGAATGCATTAATAGCAGCAACTGGAAGTTCCATGTCAATTAGTTGTAAATCTTGGCTGAATCGATTAAGAATGGCGCCGCTATCTGTTTTCGAGAAGTACAACATAGGTGCGCTGTAGAGGTCATTAGAACCAACTTAAATAAGTAAGTCATACAACATACCTCAAAACTGTACTTAAGAGCTTTCTGTGAAAGTTTTCTCCAGATCTAGGCACCATAGTAATGATCATTTGCCTGAAGAAGCACGTCTTTAGTGTCCAAACACAACATAGTGTGAGGTAAGTAGTGACCAGCAACTTACCAGCAACCGACAATTAGACAAAGCATGCCAACAGCACCAAGCATTGCGTAAATTCCCAGATAGTAACCTGTGTGCTTACCAGGCTCCGCTTCATTTGAACTAGCCCACCAGTTCATCCAAATACCTGTTTATGATGGGTAAGCATGCTTCGATCATTGCAGGGGAAGCAGGGGGGTTTGCATCTAACTCACTGGGAAATGATATACAGAAGACGAATCCTGTAATCGCGATGATAAATATAAGAGTGGGGAGCCAGCCGATCGACTTGACATAATACATATAAATCGAAATATCGCCGCCCGCCACAGGACTTTCCACTTCGCTGTCCTCGCCCTGTTCCACAGAGCTCACTAGAATATCGGACTTCCCTGAATTACTGGGCTTCTCAGAAGCGTTGTTTTGTTCTGGCAGGCCTAACGCAAAGCCTGAGACATAGCCGCCTGCTAGATCAAGGGCTTTGAAGCTTCCCTGTTCAGCGATAAGACCCTCATTCCCGAGCACTATGATATGATCCGCGAAAGGGACTCGTTTAACTACAAGTGTAGCTCGTTAGCATGATGCTGACAGACAGCAAAGGAAGGGAGGAGGTCAATAGTTGGTTTATGACTTACCAGAAGATGAGGAAAGGAGAATAGTTGAGCCGATTGAACGGAGCAAGCCGTGTGTGCCAATCAGACACTGGAAAATGTGCTCTTCTGTTGACGCATCAAGACTGCTAAAGACATCATCCAAAACTATGATATCCTTCCTGGCATATACTGCCCTTGCAAGTGCCTGAGAGAGCGGAAATATTAGCGATGAGACGGGATAATTGCTGATCTGTTACTCACAATACGCTGACTTTGTCCTCCACTCAAAGCAATGCCCTTACTCCCAATAATTGTTTGGTCTCCCCGGGGTAATTGTCTGAAATCCTCAACCAGGGCGCATGCGTGGATAACTGAAAGATACCAATCCTCGTCTAACCCAGACATTGCCACAATGCTCTGCTTGATAGAACCATTCATATGCCACGGTGTTTGATCACAGTACGCAATACGCTCAGATGATAATCTTATGGTACCTTGTAAACATGGCACTTCACCAAGAATAGCTTTGAGAAGGGTTGATTTTCCACAGCCGGAGGGTCCCACTAGCATGGTAAAAGTCTGACGAGGGATTATGATTGTCAACTTTTTCAGTAGAGGTTCTTTTTGGGTATCCCACCCAAACGCTCCATTTTTGATTGTGACCATGTTTTCATATAGAGCTGTTCGCTCCTTCTCTGATTTGGCCGAGCTTGACTCATCACTTAGGGTCTCAGCGTCTTCAACCAAAACCAGTTGCTTGGATTCCTGAACGGGCTCTAATTGGAGCGGCTGGGACTTATCTCTGAAATCCGCATGACCCTTCTTCTCGAGGAACTCCTGGATCCTTTGGAAGGAGCCAACTGACCCGAAGAAAGTCATTAGAGCCATCACCAGGTTCAAGAGTGGGTCAGCCAAAAGAGCAAACAATGATAGTGAGGTGTAAGTCGTCGAAGTATTTAGGGCAGCATCATTTCCATTTCTATGTGAGATACCGACAAACGCACCGAATGCGAATATCGGCGCGAAAATCCGAGTTGTCCAAGCTGCATGGAGCCATTAGCAGATTACCACAGGCCAAGCGTATTAAACATACCAAAGGCCATATTCCATACTAGCAGCTTCCTGAAATTCCTTGAGATACTTAACTCGTCAAGTCGTAAGTTATGGATGCATGTCATAAGCAGGTCACTAAGGCCCAGCATCTTGATCCCTTTCATAGAGGCAAGCATTGACGTAGTAGATGAAATGCGTCTTTCGATCGCTTCGAGCCACATCGCCTGTCTCGACATCACAAACGCAAGACTTATTAACGAGCCAGCAAGAGCCACTATCCGAAAATATGTGTATTAACGCATTGATCACCGAAATAGGGTGAATTCAGACTCACCAACAGCAACACCAACAGCAACCACAGCAGCTACCCCCAACTGCTGTTCCAGGAGAAAAATAGCTAGGCCGATCTCCAGGGCATTACCCCAGATATCGTGGATTGTCTGCCACCCTTGAACAATCCTTTCTATATCAGCGCTCATCAGTGTAAGAGATGAAGCAGGGTCAGCATCTTCAGTGCTCAGTGTAGTGGCTTTCCTGTACACCATGGAGACCACGGCACCTCTCACCATTGTGATGGCGCGGTATGTCATGTGTTGATACTGGCCCATTGTTATCTGAAGGAAAAATTAGCAAGCAAGTGTGAGAATTCCGGTGGAACGGATGTGCTCTACTAACCGCCATCCCAAGGTACACGAGGATATAGGCACCAATCAAACCGTAACCGATGTTAGTAGTGGCACTGGTTTCTGGCTCCACCGAATATGAAAGCGATCTATGTAGTAGCAGAGGCTGGCATATGTTCAGGGCAGCGAGACAAGCTCGCGGAAGCACGGCTGAGAGAAGCTGCCACTTGAATGTCTGGAATGTAACAAGTAGCAATGAGGTTTTGTTCCCTGGCCCACGTCAGCCCGATTGCTGTAGGACAAACTGGTCAGTCATTCAGGGCTTATTACCGTTGTTCCACATAGTCTCCAAAGAATCATGCAGTGTTTTGGAGGCCAATTGCCTGTCAAGTGTATATAAATCCTCTACTGAAAGTAGCTTGGAGAATCCAGCCCTGAACAGAGGGACTAACCACCAGAAGAAGAATCTGTTAAAGATACTCCCTGTAGCTTCAGGTGGATAATTGGCATAGACATTCTTGAGGATGCGCCGCTTTTCCACCGTTTCAAGAAGGAAGAGTAGGGCCTTCACTCCTACTGCTACGGAAGTAAGAATCGCAATTGTCCTGTTGACTTCCGCCAGTTCGCGCAGCCAAAGAGTCCTCGTCTTTGCTATGTCGAAAAGCAGAGTGATGGAAAGGTATATGCCCAGCAGAAGAGAAGGTCTGACTGAATAGTTATGTTCCACATAAGAGAGGACCCCGAGGAACAAGATCCCCACAGTCAACACCGCATTTGCAGCAATCGAGGCTTGCGTTCGGTTTGCTGTTGGAAGAGCCCATAGTGCTATTAGGACAAGATGAATAATCGCTAGAAGAGCCCACGTTGTCTGAATATGGGAGGTTAGCGGTAGAAACGGGTCATTTCAAGTCCTTGAAGCGCAAAACAAAGGCCAAAAATCACGGGACATGGTTATCCCAAAAAGGAAGTCATACATACAAGTTTTGCCCATAACAACCATGATGTTACCACTTTACGTTGCTTTTGAAACAGATGATAGAGTCGATATGTTGCGATTATAAGAATAATCCCAAGGGGCAATATTCCTAGTATAGTTTCCTCGAAGAGTAAAGAAAAGTCGAAGCCATCTCGACAGGACCGGACAGGAATTTGAAATGAATTGTCCTCCCGCTGGCACGAGAGGAAGCTTGAATGCACCACCATGGCTACGCTATAGTTTCCTATCACAATGGAACCACTATCATGGGTGGGCTGGAACTGTTATAATGACAATCTGTCATTGATTTTTTTTTTTACCTTAACAATGGAGAAGGAGAAGAAAAAAAAAGAGATAAATAAAAAAAAATCAAAATCAAATTGACAAATTGTCAATCCGGTTTTGCTTTGGCTTCATAGCAACCTAGTTATCGTATACGGTGTGATTAGGGAGAAAATAGTTCAAATCAAGATAAAAATAAATACATAAAAATAAACTAGAGAATAATGGAAGTCGAACCCACCAGTTCCATCACAAACACGATCACAAGGAGAATTAGCATCGCAAAGCCATCTGTCACCGATCCAATGCAATGTGCTCATCTGAACCCAACGCTCGGCTATGAAAGGAAATGATTTGGTCTGGTCCATATTCTTGCAGAAGGAGGTCCCCACTATTAGGAGTTTTTCTTTTGCTTTTTCCTGAGTCTAGAGATGTCTTTGCCATGCATAGAGTTTTGTCTCAGGCGAGAAGTATACTCCCACTTCTACGTAACTGTGGGATGATGATAATTCGCTCCCCTCGCATGATGAGTGGCGATAAATCGAGCGTTCGAGGTAGGGCAACACGAGGAGCATGCCGTGCAATTGTGGCTTCATTCTTACTTTGTTGTCAATACCTTGGATAGTAGTAGTAGTATTATTATCATCATTATTGTTATTGTATATCGTACCTGAATGGAACTCTAGCAAGCATGGCCCTTTTTCCTAATTCGAGCTACGGTCCGGCTATCCCCTTTTCCATTTTATTTTTTTTTTTTCAAATTCATTTCCCTTACATTGGCATAGTACATGAATAGTTACCTAAGAAGAGTCCAGTTGGACAAATTAGGGCATCCCTGTCGTGGTCCCCACATATAAGTCTTTGAGATATACAAGGACCCATAGTAAGCATGCTTTACGACCCAAATCAAAAGTACTGCGTACTAGTTCTGGAACGAGCTCGGGTGGCTGTTGCGGACGACCGGAATACGGATGAGAAAGAATTGGCCTAATTCAAATCCCGAGCTGAGAAGCAGCATAATCCAACGTAGTATGTAATATGCCTGCTGAGATCTTATCCATCTCAGAGGCCACTCGATATCTATCTAAGGCGAACATGGCTACATTTAGAAAAAGGAGTCTAATAATAATAAAAAATAACTAAAAGAGAGAGTGAGAGAAAGAAAAGAAAACCACGTCACAGAATCAAGTAGCACCTACAAGAGAAGTTATTGCTAATGCCATTTTCCCTGTTATAGAGATCGCGGCCTGTTATCAACGAATTTGAAATTGTAGCGTGCGGTTGACGTGCTCATTGCTAGACATTTTTCTATTCGTCATGGGCTGCCTGAGTCTCAACCACAACATCAAGAAAAAAAAAAAAAAAGGAAAGAAAAAAGAAAAGAAACGAACAGAAAAAAGTGAGGCACCTGCCTCGATAGCAGGATCGATAAAACCGAGCCATGACGGTGATGGGTCGAAAGATTGTTACGGTGCGGAATGACCAGGTACCTAGTACTACTAGTCGTGGTGGCGCGTCGCTTCGTTGCCCATTCATGAACAAGATTCCAATAGTGGCTTCCAAGGAAAACCAAGGGAGAAAACACCATTGTGATCAACCAAGGCAGTAGTGTGGATACGTCCGTAAGTATATTGTCTATATTCCTTGTTAATAGCAGCACTACGGAGTGGACGGTCTTGACCCACTATATTGATTGGGCTAGAGCTTACTTACTCCAGAGGAGGTAGACTAAGATTTTCGTGATCGATGGCTGTGATTCAACGGATCTGAGACGGATCCCACTTGTAGCTAACTAGATTGGTGCTAATGCGTCGTGTTGGGAACCTTCGGGAGTCGACGGCAGACTTCCTCAATCGAGGTTCCATACTAAAAGATGACCAAATCTACCAATACCAACGCATTGTATATTACATACTACTGCAGTAGTTATTCTTTACCCCTTTGATAATTGAATCCTGCAGTACTTTGCCGCTTTTAAAAAGCCCCTAAACTTAAGGGTTACTGTAGTATTGCTTGCTAACTTTAAATATGGTGATGCCTAAGCTTAGATACATCATGCTACTACTACTGCTGCTGCTATAAAATCCTTAGTTCAGCTATAAGCTCTAAATTGATTAATAAATACTCTTAGTTTAACTATCATGAATATGCGGTAGAGAAGAGCGCTACTACGTACCACTAATTAATAAGGGTGGGACTTCCACGTCAAACGTTAAGGTTTCGGTTGAACATCGCCATTTTCCGGAACCGCGATTTTAGTTCGTCGTATCCATTTAATCCCCCGGGATCTTCGATGGTTAAACTAAAATAAAATCGGTTCAGATCTCCGCAGAGGAAAAGTTTTGTGGGACTAAAACATCCTCAGTCTGACAGCTTCATCCAAGACATCCCCGATTGGACAATACTCGTTGTCGGACTTAACTCACAATTAGCTAAAAATAAGAAAATTACGAGGTGTGACAGATATCGGCCCGATATGCAGACCATCGATTTACGACCAGTACTCAGTAGTACTACTTTACTAGTACTAGTGCCTCCTCCCCCTTGCATCGACTTTTTTTTTTTGTCAACAAACCTCTCCACTACCTCGCATGATGTTCACATTAACGAACAAACGGCTGTCGGGAAGGGCCAAAAAAGAAAAAAAAAAAAAAACTTTGCTGGTGTGGAAACTTGACGATGGAAATTTCACCAGGCCAATCGCTTCCCGATCCTTCCATTTTCCTTCGGATCCCCGGCCTGAACTATAGACACCTCGCAAGAAAAATCTCCGTACTATATGCTTAGTGATCGTTAAATCGTACACGTCAACCAAGGGATGACCTCGCCGAACCTGAGGTTGTATTCGCCGTATTTCCGTGTGACCCGGACATTCTAATGCCCCGTAGATTCTCGTTAAGCGAGCTAAAACTATGCAATCGTTAGTGAACATGAGGGTCAAACATCCATCGTTTGCTACCAATTGAGTTCGAGTATGGTATAATTCGCCACAGTGATTACCGATTCAGCAAGGGAAGCATCCGAGAACTTAATGATTCAGATTCTAACCGCCTTGGGTTGCTGCTGATCCACCATATCTGCTTTGTCCTATCCCCATCGGGTTGATGGTTGCAAGGGGTTGTTGATTCAATTCCTGAACAACAGGTCATGATCTGCTCTCTCATATCTGTAAGCGAATGTAACGGTGCATAACAGAATTATGCATCTGGGGTTCTGCAATACGATATCTTATGCACCCTGTAGGAGTCAATGTGGAAGCGAACCTGGCTTGATGCCCACGAGATGTTTGCGTGGGCCCAATGAAAAACCTCCGAGATTAACTACGTAGCTGCCTGAACGGGAAAGGAGCTGTTGCTCCGCCCAGTTAGTCACTTGGTTAGGTACCTGAACCACCCATAAGCACTGCAGCAGGCTCAGCTACGACGCTTCCCTGCTGATGCTTCCAAGTTCTGAGAGTGGATGCTCGACGAACCCACTTAGTCTGGAGAGAAAGAATCCTTTCACCTAGGAGAAACTTGGCCCGTCCCAGAGTCCACTAAAGTGAACTCGGCTATCTTTTCTCTACCGAGTACTTGATACCTAACGAATCTAGGATCGCCCATATTACTGATCTCGTCTTGTTCCAGACCTAGAAGAACTCCAAGGATTACGATGGGGCAACTTCAAGTTCTTACATGGTTCTTGCAACCCAGCCATTCAGCGTTCAGCTCCATTTGCGCTTTCTTTTCTTTCTTTTCTTTTTCCAATCCGCCTCTCCTGACTAGGGGTCCACTATGTGGGTTATCATTTTCTTAGGCTTCAAGCCATACCGGGGAGTGCACATTGCACATGAGCCCAGGCCCCCGGTAGAAGTTCGAAAGCCATTAACTTCGTTCCGGACATCACCCGGACTCACACTAAAGCAAGGGAAGATAGAACCCCGTAAGAAGCTCGGTGGCTAATAGTTAAGGCGTTCATGTTTTGTCATTGGTCCTTGGTGCCTTCGTGTTCTTCGGCTGTAGTGTCAGCGCAAAGCCTTAGTTATGTGATGCAGTCCTTTAGCTCCATTGATCTATTTTCGTCGAAGCAACTTCTAAGACCCCATGATAATATCCCATGATATCAGAATACAATTTAAAAGTGTGAAGGAGCACTGTGCGAGTTGTCAGCTCCTCTCGTGCCTTTTTACATACCTTTACATTCCTAATATCTAATCTAATACATTTGTCTTTGCAGTGTTCCGCAAATAGCTGCTGACCAGGATGGCCCACTCTACCCAATGCTTTTTGCCAAAATTTGGTTCTCTATCTGAAGGTCCGAAACAGCCTATGTCGATGAGGACCAGGACGAGCAGTTCAGAAACCACCCAGTTGATTTCGGCGTGGCAGGAAGGACAACTCGACGCTCTATTACAAACCACGTGGGCCTTGGTCCTTTACCGCTATACCGGTTCTGCAGATATTTGCTTCGGTTGCCAACACCTGACTGCTCATGATTATGCAACCCATTCCTCAGATAGTGCGACAATCCGTACATGCAGACTCTCAGTCAGCGAGGATGACTCTATTCGAGGACTGCTTGAGAAAGCGAAGGGTCAGATTGACCTCGCCGATTCCGCTGAGAAATGTGGAACTCTGAGCGGGGTGACTAGAAACTTTCGGCTGTATAACACCATGATGATGATTCAAAATTGTCGTGAGACGACAACGACTTCGACAGATACCCCTGTCGCGGTGATTGCCCTCCCAAATGAGGTAAATTGTATGCCATGAAGCTTTTGACCAGAACCTACTAACTTTTCGATCATCAGTGCCACCTTCGCCTTCACGTGAAGGTTTTGTATGAAGATATCGGCATCTTTATGGAGTGGTGGAATAACGATATATCAACAGAGCAAATTAGGAGCATGTCCAGCTATTTACAACAGATGCTAACCCGAGTTCTTATGGCAGATGACACGGTGGTGAGCAAACTAAGTGGCATATCAGAAAGCGATTGGGCTCGCATATGCAAGTTTAATGCAGAGACGCTAGAGGCCCATGACCGCTGTATTCATGAAACAATCCATGAGCAGACAGTACTCCAGCCCGAGAGCGAAGCTGTGTGTGCTTGGGATGGAAGCTTGACGTATAGCAAATTGGATCTATTAGCTTCTCAACTTGCGTACCACCTTCAAGCACAAGGCGTTGGGCCTGAAGTTCGCGTAGCGCTATGTTTTGACAAATCCGTAAGTGTCCCGAGTAGCCTGAAGTTCCGGAATAAATTGTGCTTCCCCCTCCCCACCGTTATCCCGAAACTATCGCGGCTTTTTGTCTTTGCTGTTCACTGCAAGATTCTAACAGGTGCCTCCAGAAATGGAATATTGTGGCACTGCTTGCTGTCTTGAAGGCTGGTGGTGCCTTCGTGCCTTTAGATCCAACACACCCAGCGCCTCGTTTGCAATCTCTTGTTCGGTCTGTACAGGCGAGAATTATGCTGTGCTCTAGAAACCACGCCCAGAACCTAAGGGCGGTTGTAGAGCACTTGATACCACTAGACAGTGACACTTGGGAAGAACTTTCGATTCCCTGCGGAGACGTAAGTCTATCGACGGAAGTAAAGGGTTCCAACGCAGCGTACGTGATCTTTACTTCCGGATCAACTGGAGAGCCAAAGGTTTGTTGTTCTCAATTTTACGAGGAGGATTGCCCCTCAACTGATGTTCATAGGGCACTTTGATGGAACATAAAGCATATGTATCCAGTGCAATGGCTCATGCACCGCGACTCCGTGTCTTTGCCTACTCACGTTTACTACAATTTGCGGCGCATACGTTTGACGCGAGCTTGGTTGAAATCCTGACATCGTTGTTGGTCGGGGCTTGCATCTGTGTGCCAAGTGAAGAAGCACGCCTAAACAATATTACCAAAGTAATCAACGACATGAGGGTGAACCATGCTACTTTGACACCATCATTCATTGACTTCGTCAATATCTCAGATGTTCCAAATCTTGAGACTCTTGTGCTCGCCGGTGAGGCAATGTCTCAATCGCACCTGGAAATATGGTCCAAAATCAACCTTGTGAATGGGTTTGGGCCCACAGAGACCGCCGTTACAGCTGCGGTTAACTCAAAGGTCACTAGGTCCTCTGATAGCAGGGATATAGGCCTTCCCACGGGGGTCCATTGCTGGATTGTAGATTCAGATGATCACAACCAGCTTGTTCCTGTTGGTTGCGTTGGGGAAATGCTAGCTGAGGGACCTTCTCTAGCTCGAGGATACGTTAATAATCAGCAAAAAACTGATGAGGTTTTCATTTATGACCCATCCTGGGCGAAACGCCAGGGTGGAGGCTCTGGCCGGAGGTTTTATAAGACCGGCGATTTGGTACGGTATAATTCTGAAGCTGGCTCGCTGACGTATATAGGAAGAAAGGACACACAAGTAAAGTTTCACGGACAAAGAATTGAGTTGGGCGAGATCGAAGACAATCTGAACACTGATTCAAACATAAGGCACTGCCTTGTGTTCCTCCCGAAGTCTGGGTTCTCTGAAGGCAGAATAGTAGCGGTATTGTCTTTGCCTATCTTCGACGGGATTTCAGACTCAGATCCGGTACCCCTGAGACTTCTTGAGGATTCAAAGAAGAATTCAACCATATCTCAGATACGTGATCGATTGTCGGCACGCTTACCAGCGTATATGATTCCCACGGTGTGGCTGTGTGTCGAGACTCTGCCAATGCTTGTATCCGGTAAACTAGACAGAAAGGCAACTGCAAATTGGGTTGGCAATCTGGAAAATGACCCAAATATCCAACTCACCAAGCTTGACCCCATCCTTAGTGAGAGTAGCACTCAGTCTGAAAATGCGACAGAGGAACGACTGGCTTCCATCTGGAGCCGTGTCCTCAATATCCCCAGAACCCACATCAGCCTCGACGAAAGCTTTTTAGGTCAGGGAGGTGACTCGATTGCCGGATTAACATGTGTTGGTTTCTGCACAAAGCAGGGAATCGGTATCACAGTTCAAGATATACTTCGGAGTAAGTCGATTAGGGACTTAGCAACCCGTGCAAAGGAGATTCAACAGCCAGCATCTTACGAAGAAACTATCGAGAAACCATTCGGCCTTTCGCCAATTCAAAAGCTTCATTTCATGGTGCGCCAAGAGGGTCAGGGGCATTTCAACCAGAGCGTGCTGACGCGCTTGAATCAACAAGTCGACGAGTATGACCTGCGCCGCAGTATTGAAACGCTTATTAGCCGCCACTCTATGCTCAGATCACGATTGGCTGACTTAGGCACTGATGGATTACAGCAGCGTATTACAGAAGACGTTGCTGGCTCTTACCGTTGGCGCATGCATGATGTGAACCGTCAAGATCAGATTGAGCATGCCATTGCCGATAGCCAGGCAAGCATCAATGTTTTCACTGGGCCTGTCCTAGCCGTTGATATGTTTAATGGAAATGGAAAGGATTATGTTTTGTCTCTCGTTGCTCATCATCTAGTTGTCGATATCGTTTCCTGGAGGATCATTCTAGAAGATCTGGAGGATTTACTTCTGAACCCGGATGAGGCTAAATCGCAAACCGGCTCTCTTCCTTTCCAGACTTGGTGCCAAATGCAAGCAGACAAATGCCAGGAGCTGAACACGACATTGGACGACCTTCCTCCGCCGGACTTCGCCTACTGGGGAATGGAGAAATGTCCTATTACTTACGGAGACGTGGATTGCGAAACATTTGAGGTCGATGCAGAGAGCACCCGTACTCTCCTGATGGACTGCCACCAAAGTCTTCAAACTGAGCCTATTGACGTGTTTCTCGCCTCCCTTCTGCATTCTTTCCTGCAGACTTTTAGTGACCGATCTTTACCAGTGATCTACAACGAAGGCCACGGTAGGGAGGTTTGGGACTCTGGAATAGACATCTCGCGAACTGTTGGGTGGTTTACCATTCTGCACCCAATAACCTTACACCAGATTGCAGAAGATGACCCAGTAAAGACACTCATACGTGTCAAGGACCTCCGTCGACGTGTTATGGATAATGGCAGGCAAGATTTTGCACGGCGCCTGGTTGGCGATGCGAAAGACCGTGGTCATCCTAGCCCAATGGAAATTTCATTCAATTATGTCGGCCAGCACCGAGACTTGCAGAGACAGGATGGTCTCTTCCAGCTTATGAATCAGATGGCTGGAGAGGCTGGTCGAGGTGGAGGAGCAGCAGACTTTGGCGAGAAAACCCCGCGATTTGCCCTCTTTGAGATCTCTGCGATGGGTGTTCAAGGGCGCCTGCGTTTTACGTTTTCTTTCAACCGATATATGAAGCATCAGCAATCCATCCGACATTGGATCTCAAACTGTCATGACCTGCTCAAGCATCTCGGTTCAAAATTACAGTCCCTTGCGCCAAAACCAACTTTAAGCAGTTTCCCAATGCTTTCCTTAACGTATGAAGAGCTCGAGACGATATTCTCGGACAGACTACCGAATGTTGGAATCAAATCTTTTGAGCAAGTAGAGGATATCTATCCTTGCTCGCGCATGCAGCAGGGTATATTATTGAGCCGTTCCCGAGACGAGGGATTCTACTCTGTGCATGACACATTCGAAGTGAAGAGCTCAGAGATCGAACCTGATGTCAATCAACTGGTGCTTGCTTGGCAACAGGTGGTTATGCATCACCCAATGCTACGGACCATATTTGTGGACAAGCTCACAAGCCGGGAGCTGTTCTGCCAAGTGGTCTTAAAAACCATCGACTCTCAGCCGAGCATTATCAGATGTGTGGATGAGAGTGAAGTGCTCGCTGCGTTTGATGAACAGGACCCAATGACCTATGTCGGATATCAGCCGCCTCACCGATTTACTATCTGTCAGACGGCTTCTGGAAAACTTTTCTGCAGACTGGAAATCAACCATGTTTCCATGGATGGTTCTTCGATTTCAATTATAGCCCGAGATTTACAGCTGGCATACGCTGGAAAGCTGGAAACACACCGCAGACCGATGTTCAAGAACTTTTTGCATTACTTGCGTGAGCAAGATGACAGCACCGGGTATTGGTGCTCGTATTTGTCAGATTGCAGACCTTGTCACTTTCCGGTGCTTAATGATGGCATCATCTCTGAAAAGAAACTCCGAAGTGTTCGTCTGAACGTCAACTTCTACAGCGAACTTCTAGAAGCGTGCGAGAAGAGTGGAGTAACTTTGTCAGCCGCTATTAGCACGGCCTGGGGTCTTACGCTTGGTCAATTCTGTGGCTCCAGTGATGTTTGCTTCAGTTACCTGGCTTCTTTGAGAGATATGCCTGTCGAAGACATCGAGTCTGTTGTCGGGCCGGTTATAACGCTGTTGGCATGCCGAATGAAGATACCCGGAAATGGTTTGCTCGAGGATATCCTACATCGGGTTCAAAATGACTATATGGAACAACTATCCCACCGAAACACGTCACTCATTGATATACAACACGCCTTGAAGCTTTCGGATACGACACTGTTCAACACTGGTGTCTCATACAGGAAGCTACCACCGAACAAAGCCACAGCGGAGGAAGTTCAGCTTGTGGAGGTGGGATCAATCTACGATCCTGCGGAGTTCCCCGTTTATGTCAACGTTGAGGTTGCTGAAGATGACGCGCGCATTGACCTGAACTATTGGACGACGGCTCTGTCAGTTGGTCAAGCAGAAAACGTTGCCAGCGTTTTCCTTAAGGCTCTGGAAAACATTGCCCAATACCAAGATACTAAGGCTAGCACGATAAGTGATATTGACTTTCTCAGCGAGCAGGCTTGCACACAGCTATGCGAATGGAATGCGAAGTTACCAGATAGGCCTGAAAAGTGTGCACATGAAGTCATTCAGCAACAGGCATTATATCTTCCTCTATCAACCCCCGCAATATGCTCATGGGATGCGAACCTTACGTACTCAGACGTTGAGCACCTTTCAACTCGACTGGCTCAGTATCTGATAGGTCTCGGAGTAGGATCCGAAACATTTGTCACCTTGTTTTTCGAGAAGTCAGCTTGGTATGTCATCGCGCAAGTCGCTGTGCTAAAGGCTGGCGGGGCATTTGTCGCTTTGGACCCAAGTCATCCAGAAGCTCGACTACGGGGTCTAGTGGAAGACGTTGGAGCTTATGTCATGTTATGCTCAGTTAAGCATACTGAGAAAGCGTCCCGGCTTTGCGATATTGTGTTTGGAGTCTGCGAAGCAACAATCGATGGGCTTGTAATTCCAGCAACGGTTATGCCTGCTGCTACGCCAAGCATACACACCGCAGCTTATGCCATTTTCACATCTGGTACAACAGGCAAGCCGAAGGTGTCAGTAATTGAGCATATATCGCTTGGAATAGCTGCATCAACGTTCCCTGAGATTTTCAGAGTGGGCCCGGGGGCTCGTGTCCTTCAATTTTCAAATTACATATTCGACGTACACGTGTTGGAAACTGTTATAACCCTTATGGCAGGTGGCTGTATTTGTATTCCTAGCGAAGAAGAACGACTGAACGACTTGTCTGGGGCTATTAATAGGATGGGCGCCACCATGTGCACCATGACGCCGTCCACAACAAATACTCTGAATCCAGAATCTGTTCCCACATTGGGAACAGTCGTGACTGGAGGAGAAATAATGACCAAGAGTCATGTTGACCGCTGGGCAGACAGGCGTGTCATAAATGCATACGGGCCTTCTGAAGCTACCGTAGCTTCCACGGCAAGTGTAAAGGCTGATGGAGGAAGACGTCTCACTGAGGATTACAACTCAATTGGCACTGCATTTGCTGGCAGGTCTTGGATCGTCGACCCTGATAATTACCACCGTCTCCTCCCTATCGGAGCAATTGGCGAATTGGTCTTGGAAGGCTGCAACGTCGGGCGTGGCTACCTTAACAATGTTGAAAAGACTAGGGAGGTCTTCATCACGGACGCTCGGTGGACTGAACATAGCGGACTAAAGAAAATATTCAAGAACAAGGAACGCATGTACCGTACCGGAGATCTAGTTCGGTATAATGCCGACGGCAGTCTGTGTTTTATCTCGCGTAAAGATACTCAGATCAAACTCAACGGCCAGCGGATAGAATTGGGAGAAGTCGAGCAACAATGCGTCGGTTACCTCCCAGCGAACACACAGGTTGCCGTTGAGGTGATTACACCAGAAGCAAAAACTGTGGCAAAATGCCTCGCTGTTTTCTTCGCTACTGGTGATCATGAGGAGGATGAGTCAGGTCTACTGCTTTCCACGAGTGAAACAACAGTAGACATTGTGAAGAAGCTGCATAGCTCCCTGAAAGAGTCCTTACCGGTTGTGATGATACCGAAGCTCTTCTTCCCGGTACGTTGCCTACCGATTGCAGCAACCGGAAAGCTTGATCGCAAAGGGCTTCGTGCCATGGTTGAACCTCTGCCAAAAGAGAAACTGATGCAATACACTACCTTCAATGATGGTTCCAGACAAATAGCCGAAGGTGGAGCTGAAGGTAAACTCAGGGCTTTGTGGGAGGAAGCATTGGGACTTGCACCGGGCTCTGTCGGCACTGATGATAGTTTCTTCGGCATTGGGGGTGATTCTCTCTCGGCTATGAAGCTTGTTAGCGCGGCAGACTTTCAGGGTGTTGCACTCACAGTAGCCGACATATACGCAAACCCTATCTTGGCAGACATGGCGAAGATCTGTGAGCATTCGGAAGCGTCAGCGGACACGGTGACAGTCGAGCCGTTTAGTCTTCTGCCTTCTTCGGTGTGCAAAGAAGCCATACAAGAAGTTACTGATCAGTGTCATATACCTGAAGGATCTATAACCGACATGTACCCTTGCAGTCCGGTGCAAGAAGGTCTTATCACACTCTCAACTAAGCAACAAGGAGCCTACATAGCTCGGCCAATTTTCAAGCTTACGGACGAAGTCAACTTAGAGCAATTCAGAGCAGCGTGGCAGCAAACAGTGGATGAACTCGATATTCTGCGAACTCGTATTGTTCATACGGACTCTACGGGATTCCTTCAAGTTGTGCTTGACAAGGAAACTATTTCTTGGACTGCTGCAACGACGATCGATGAGATCATGGATGAGACACCAGAGTTACCAAACCAAAGTGGAGGGTCGCTGACTGCCTATGCAATTGTCCAGCCTAGAGATTCCTCTTCCCGCTATTTCGTTTGGACAATACATCACGCACTGTACGACGGATGGAGTGTCTCATTGATTCTCAAAAGGGTGGAAGAGCTGTATAAAAGCCCTTCCACTACGGGCTCTACGCTTCCATATAAGCTTTTCATTAGCCACCTGCAAGACAAGGATATGTCTGAGTCAGACAACTTCTGGAGATTACAACTTGCCGACATCTCTTGTTCTCCCTTCCCCCAAAGTAAGGCTTCAATGTCGGATGCTGTACGTGTTGGAAATCGGTATCACAGCAGTGTAGAGATCGGCCGGACTCCAGAGATCAAAGACTTGACTCTACCCGAGCTTATACGCGCTGCATGGGCCATCGTTATCTCAGCTCATACTAGCTCCAGTGACGTCTGCTTTGGTGAAACACTCATGGGACGGAATATCAGTCTCCGCGGAATTACTGAAGTCGCCGGGCCTGTCCTTACAACAGTTCCTACACGTGTTCAGGTTGACAGCGAGCTCTTGGTCACTCAATTCTTGCAGAACATACGCAAGCTAACCACAGCGATGATACCACACCAGCACTCTGGGCTCCAACGGATACGGAAACTCAACGATAACACGTACCTCGCTTGTGACTTCCAGAATCTCTTGGTAATTCAAACGGAAGAGGGAACCATGAATGGAGACCTGTGGGTTCCAGAGAATAACCAAACCGGTAGCGACTTCTTTACTCATCCACTTACTGTCGAATGTAAAATCAGCGGTTCGAAGCTGGTTTTGACTGTCCACCATGACGAAATTATTCTCGACAGCTGGCAAACTGAGAGGCTTACAAACCAGTTCACGCATGTGATACAGCAGTTGCTCACTTTCTCTGAGGAGGACATCAGAAAGGTGGGTGACCTTGTTGTAGCCAGCCCTCAAGACAAGCAAGAAATCATTTCGTGGAACCAGCGACACCCAACTCGGGTTGATAGATGTGTTCATGATATTATCCGGGAGAAGGGCGCTGCCCAGCCTGAGGCCCCGGCCGTTTGTGCCTGGGATGGTCAACTTTCCTACAGGGAAATGTATGGCTATGCATCATCATTCGCTGCCTATCTTAACTCCCGTGGGGTTGGGCCTGAAACGCTAGTGCCGATTTGCTTGGATAAGTCTGTATGGGCCATAGTCACCATACTCGGTATTCTTATCGCAGGTGGAGCGTTCGTGCCTCTGGATCCTGCCCACCCAACATCGAGGCACAAAGAGATCTTGGAAGACATAGAAGCTCGTGTCATTCTTTGCTCCCCTCAATATCGCAATCGCTATGCAGGTTCCGTTAAGACCATTGTTCCTGTCAGCCAAGAGACCATACGAGCTTATAGTGCTCTTACAAGGAAGACCCCAAGCCCTAACTGTGCTACACCATCAAACATGGCTTATGCGATTTTCACCTCAGGAAGTACAGGCCGGCCTAAAGGTATTATCATCGACCATCGCGCACTTGCAAGCAGTGCTACAGCTTTCTCACCCATTGTGCACTTGAACGAAAATTCACGAGCCTTCCAGTTTGCTTCTCTGACATTCGATGCCGCTGTCATGGAAGTACTTGCCACACTGATGCATGGAGGTTGTATATGCATTCCAAGTGAGGACGAGCGCTTGAATGACGTTGCCGGTGCTATTCGGCGAATGGATGTCTCGTGGGCTTTCTTAACCCCATCGATTGCAAGCATTATCGAGCCATCGACAGTCCCTTCTCTAAAGGTGCTTGCATGCGGAGGAGAGAAGCTGTCACGGGAGGTAGTCCTGAAGTGGGCCCATCGCGTGAAACTGATCAATGGTTATGGACCAACAGAGACAACTATTTTCGCTGTCCTGAATGATGTAACCCCAGGCACTGAACCTGCTTGCATTGGCTACGGCATTCCGTCCACATTGACATGGGTTGTTGATCCTGAAAACCACAACCGGCTCTCCCCCTTGGGTGCCATTGGAGAGCTGGCTTTGGAAGGTGCCGCTCTTGCAAGAGAGTACCTCAAAAGCCCAGAGAAAACGGCCGATGCTTTTGTCACTGAGCCAACATGGATCAAAGACTTCCCCAGCTCCCTACCTTCACCCAGGAGGATATACAAGACTGGCGATTTGGTAAGATACAACCCAGACGGTTCTATTGAATACATCAGCCGTAAGGATCATCAAGTCAAAATCCACGGTCTCCGTATGGAGCTTGGTGAAATCGAGCATCGTCTGTGCGAAGATCGTCGTGTGCGTCACGCCGTTGTGATTCTACCAAAATCAGGACTTATTCAGAAACGCCTGGTCGCGATCTTGTCTTTAGAATCTTTGAATTCAGGCAGCGGTCTTAATTCTGATGCAGCATGCGAGCTTATCAGCCAGGATCAAATGGACGTTGTATATTCCGAACTTGAAGAAATTCAGAAGGGTCTCGAGTCACAGTTACCTATCTACATGGTTCCACAAACATGGGCTGTGATCAAAAAGCTTCCAATGCTGGTCTCTGGAAAGCTAGACAGGAAAAGGATAACAGCCTGGATCGAGAAGATTGATGAATCGATATATGATCGTATAATGCAGGATTATGATAACATCAAACGAGGCAATGGCAATACGGAGTACAAGAATGAAGAAGACCACGACTCTTCCATCAATGTCCTGCGTGATATCTTTACTCAGGTGCTCAACATTCCATCCTCAAAGATCGATTCTACTCGGTCGTTTGTTAGCCTTGGTAAGTGTATTTTATTCATCTATGTAAGGCTGGAGGCTAACTTTCCACAGGGGGTGATAGCATTACTGGCATGGCTGTTATTTCCAGGGCTCGTAAGCACGGACTCAACTTGACGCTACACAATATTCTTCAGAGCAAGTCGATAACCGAGCTTGCCCTTACATCTACTGTCATAGTCCAGACAATCAAGCACGAAGAGAAGTCTGGCGAATTATTCGACCTTTCTCCAATCCAGGGCTTGTTTATGCAGATGACGGGTAAATTCCAGGGCAGGGCTCGTTTCAACCAAAGCATGACAGTCCGCCTTACAAAACGGACAAGGCCAGATATTGTGAAGAATACCATCAAGGCGGTTGTTGACCGACACTCTATGTTCAGGGCAAGATTCAGCAAATCTTCTGATGGAAATTGGCAACAAACAATCACTAAGGTACGTGCAATACTGTTTATAAAACCCTAAATATACCAGGCTAAGCATTTCACAGGATATTGATTCATCTTATCGGTTCCGCACTCATTCTATCAACAGTCCAAGTGACATGTTGCCCGAGATCGCGGAAAGCCAGCAGTGCCTGGATATCCAGAACGGGCCAATATTCGCCGCAGATCTATTTGAGGTTCGCGGTCATGAGCAAGTTCTATTCGTTGTAGCCAATCATCTTTGTGTTGATATGGTGTCATGGCGCATAGTCCTACAGGACATGCAGGAATTCATTGAAACCGGTACCCTGTCCTCTGACAAGCCACTATCATTCCAGGGCTGGTGCGACCTCCAGGTCGAGAATAGCAAGCGAGAAAACGGTGTTATCCAACTGCCGTTCTCGATTGAGCCGCCCAATTTGGCTTACTGGGGCATGGCGAACTCTCAAAACCTCTATGGTCATGTCAAGATGGAGTCGTTCACCCTGAACGAAGAAGCTACTGCTTTCATTCTTGGCCGCTGCCATGAAGCTCTTCGAACGGAGACTGTTGAGATTCTACTCTCATCTGTCATTCATTCCTTCCGTCGAGTATTTGCCGATCGGAACGTCCCGACCATCTACAATGAGGGCCATGGCCGCGAAGCCTGGGATGCTAGCATTGACCTCTCCAGGACAGTTGGCTGGTTCACAACAATGTGTCCTCTGCATGTTGATGGAGCCTCAGGTATGGATTAGATAGAAGAAAACTTGCAATATGTTACTGACTAGAAGCTAGATATTATCAATACTCTGAAGCGAGTCAAGGACACAAGACGCAAGATTGCGAATGACAGCCGGTCTTACTTTGCTCAGAGTCTCCTCCATCCACCAGCAGATGGTTCCACAAGCTTCCCAGTTCCCCTAGAAGTTGTCTTCAACTATCTCGGTCAGCTCCAGCAATTGGAACGCAAGGACTCCCTATTCCAGCATTATGGAGGCGCATTTGATGCTGAAACCTTTGAATTGTCAGGAGATATGGGGCCTCAAACGTCGCGGTTTGCTCTCTTCGAGATCTCCGCGATCATCATCAAGGATAAGCTTCATGTTTCTTTCACATACAACCTTAATATGCAACACAGATCACGTATCCAGAACTGGGTCTCTGAGTGCAGAAGAACCCTTGAAGAGGAGATTCTGTCCCTCAAAGACTATTCGCCCGCGCCAACTCTCAGCGACTATCCCTTACTCCCGACAACCTATGGCGGACTGGATGATCTTGTCAAGAAAACTTTGCCTAAAGCTGGGGTTGAAAGCTGGGATAGGGTTGAAGACATCTATCCATGCTCTCCGGTGCAAGAAGGTATCCTGCTCAGCCAACTTCGCGATCCGCATGGGTACATGTTCCACGGTATTTTCGAAGTTCGTTCTCTCCAGGGCAAACATATCGATTCAGCATTACTCAGAAAGGCATGGGCAATGGTAGTCAGCCGGCACCCGGCCTTACGTACATTGTTCATCGATAGCAACTACAAGGGTGGGACTTTCGACCAGCTGGTCATTAAGGCACCTGGCGATGATATCCTCGAATTCGAGTGCGATGAGTCGCTTGCATTCGCTAAACTTGATCAAGTCAGGCTTCACGATATAAATGCTAACAGGCGCATAAAGCTTCCGCAGCATTTGACCATCTGCACGACAGACTCTGGGAGAGTGCTCATGAAGCTCGAGATGAACCACGCGGTCGTCGATGGCGGCTCCATTGACGTTCTCTTCAGAGACCTGGCATTGGCATACAATAACCAGCTCCCTGCAGGATCGGGGCCTCGTTACAGTGACTATATTAAATACACCAGGAGCCAAGTACATGACAAAGCATTACAGCACTGGAAGCAATACCTCGCCGGAGTTCATCCCTGCCATCTATCGTTCTCTGCTAAGCCAAGAGGTTATCGTCAGCTAGGCTCTCATTTAATGAGTTTCAACCGTTTCGCTGAATTGCAGAAGTCTGCGAACATAATTCTGTCACCCTTGCTAACCTAACGCTTTCGGCCTGGGCAGTTGTTCTTCGGAGCTTCACAGGCTCAGACGATATCTGTTTTGGCTATCCTTCCGCTGGTCGTGATTCTCCGGTTCCCGGAATACACGATGCTGTTGGTATTTTTATTAACATGCTGTGCTGTAGAGTCAAGTTCACATCGGGTCAGACATTAGAGGATGTCTCCAAGTTGGTACAGAGTGATTATATTGGAAATCTTCCACACCAGAACTGCTCCCTGGCACAGATCCAGCATGAGCTTGGCCAACAAGGACAGTCACTTTTCAACACAACTCTATCCATCCAAAATCGTTCAGCTCCTCAAGGCCCCGGTGACAATATTATATCATTTGAGATGCAAAGGGCACACGATCCGACCGAATATCCTGTCACAGTGAATGTCGAAACAACCAAGGGCCGTGAGGGTATCATGCTTAGATACTGGAAGGACACAGTGTCCGACAGTCAAGCGAAGGACTTGGCGAATGCTATTGCTAAGGTCTTTACCTGCTTCATTGAGCGCCCGTCCAGACTGGTATCGGAACTCAAGCTTACTCCAAGCCACGATTCCTCGGCTATGGATAACTCCGCTTTGATGGATTCGGACGTACTCAACAGTGATGCTCTAAAGAAGTTGATTGACATCCGCGTCAATGAGATAATTACCCGAATGCTCAAAGAGGGAACGCTAGCTATACCTACCGTGCATGAGCTTCACATTAAAGCATCGGAGGGTTCATTCAGAACGAAACGGATGCCTCGTGGAGGGGATCTTTCTGACTCTACGCTGACTTTGACCAACTATAGTAGAGCGTCAACAGATACCAGGGAATCAACTGACCTTGAGAAACGGCTTTGGTCGTTGTGGAGCTCTGCACTGGGCCTATCTCCCAACATTGTCAACCGTAAAGGCAGTTTCTTCAAGCTAGGCGGCGATAGTATAACTGCTATGAAAATGGTTGGCGCTGCTAGAGAGGAAGGTCTCTCGTTGAGTGTAGCAGATGTCTTCGGCAATCCGGTATTCGAGGATATGCTGGCCATAGTCGTCGCGAAGGATACTCCCGCAGTGTTTGAAACTCATACACAGGCCATTCAGCTCAGCGAGAAAGTCCCAGAGTCACCGGTCGTTATCACCAGGGCAGTTTCACCCGACGAGATATCCGTGCTGCGGCCTATACCAATTGACGATTCGTCTTTACAGTCCAGCATCTGCTCCAAGATTGGTGTCTTCAGAGGTGGCATTGCCGACGTTCTCCCCGTTACCGACTTCCAGGCTATGTCGATCACCGCGAGTCTCTTCAAGTCCAGATGGATGTTGAACTACTTCTTCCTCGACGGTAAAGGCCCATTGGACATTAGACGACTTAGAGAAAGTTTCTTGCAAGTGGTCGACGCCTTCGATATCCTTCGGACGGTGTTTGTCTGCTTCCATGGCCAATTCTTCCAGGTCGTGTTGAGAAAGATGCGGCCAATAATCGTCATTCACGAGACGGAGCAGAGTCTGGATGAGTATACTGAGTCCCTACAGCAGCGTGACCGAGAGCAGGACCCCCGACAAGGCGAACAATACGTGCAGTTCTACGTCGTGAAAAAGAAGAACACCGATCATCATCGTATCCTGATCAGAATGTCACACACTCAGTTTGACGGCGTCTGCCTGCCACGAATCATGTCGGCCATAAAACTGGGTTACGAGGGTAGCCCTATTCCCCGAACGTCCTCTTTCTCGAACTACATGCGCATGCTCCCTGGAAACATTACTCCAGAACACTATCAACATTGGTCGACACTTCTACAGGGTTCCAAGATGACCGATATCATCAGAAGACAGACGCCCAATAACTTCCAACACATCGGCTCTTTCACCGCACAGAAGAAGGCCATTGAGATCTCAGCTACGGTCATCGGCGACGTCACGCTGGCCACAGTCATGCAATCAGCCTGGGCCATGACACTGGCCAAGCTCTCTGCACAATCCGACGTCGTCTTCGGGCTCACAATCAGCGGCCGAAACACAACAATCCCTGGTATTGAAAGTACCGTCGGACCCTGTCTCAACATGATTCCAGTGCGAGTCAATTTCGGAGACCGATGGACCGGCCTCGACATCTTCCGCTACCTCCAAGACCAACAAGTCGCCAACATGCCCTACGAGTCCCTAGGATTCAGGGAGATTATCCGAAACTGCACGGACTGGCCCGACTCCACGTTCTTCACCACGTCTGTCTTCCACCAGAACGTCGAATACGAAGGCCACATGCAGCTCGACGACAACATGTACCGGATGGGCGGCGTGGGCGTGGTAGACAACTTCACCGACATCACGGTAGTATCCAAGCCCACAGGTGACGGCAAGCTGGACATCACGCTCGCCTACTCGGAAAGAAGCGCAATCACCACGCCCTTCGCCGCGAAGATCCTCGATATGCTCTGCGAAACCGCACACAGTCTCATCACCAACCCTCAAATCACCCTCCCCTCCCCATCGACCCTCCGCTCCCTGCCCTGCCAAGTCATCGATGACCTCCCCAGGCCAACCGAAGAGCACTTCCTCACCTCTAACCTCAACAGCAGAAGCATCTCCGAGCTGCTCGTCCACTCCGACATCCTCAACAAAACCTGGCAACACGTCCTCCCCAACAGGCACCCAGAGACCCCCCGGCCGCCCTTCCAGCTCAACTCGTCGTTCTTCGGCCTGGGCGGCGACATCTTCAGCATGGGTCAGCTGGCCTGGGGTCTCGAGCAAGAAGGCCTCCAGGTTCGGCTCGAGGAGTTACTCGAGCATCCTACTTTCCTGGGCCATTTAGCTGTACTGGCATTGCATAATGCCAAACAGGAGAATCTGGTGGAGAGGACTAGGACCGTGGAGAGCAGAGCTCCTGCCCCGTCCGTCTCTGTTAAGGGGAGGACGAAGAGTGCCAATTGGAATCCTCTTGGTAAGGCTCTTACTTTGGCCAGGAGGTTTACTAAGAAACGGAGTTCGAAGTCTTGATTATATTGTTGCGGGTTGTCGGTTGAGTGATGACTTGCTTTTCTTACCCTTTATGTGCCAATTCCATCCTTGCGCCAAAGGTGAAAAAAAAGAAACAGGAAAGAAAGAAAGAGAGAGAGAAGAGAAGACACAGTAGGGGGGATATCGAGAGGGGGAGAAGAAAAAACGAAAGATAAAAAGAGAGAGAGAGAGAAGAGGAAAAGGTAAAATAAACAGAACGGACCCAGCCTCCATCCCTCGTTTGTCCAAATTGGTGACCTTATTTGCTGGACTTCTCTACACATTCATTCTATTTTCTTTATTTTTATAACGGTTGTGACCTTGTCCAACAGGACAACTTTCCTTTTACTATTCATTGAGGTTGACACATTTATATTTATATTCATTGCCATATTTGATATTATACCAACTTGTTATTATTCGATCTTGTCAACTGGAAAATATGGGCAATTGCTACCCAAACAGCCTATATCGTATATATATACTATCTGCCTATTTGCTATTAACTTATGTAGCCTACCGCTGATTGGAAAAATGTGCAATGTTTATACTCTCTAGAAGAAATCTAATAACTTGGCATACTCAGTCAATTATCATCCACAGCAGGGTAATCAAAGCGTTTAGGTAGCATTTTCTAGGCTTACCACGATACAGTTATACATATACTCAAAGATTATAACTGTAGGTGAGTTAGGTTTATTATTCACGGAATTTCCGAAAGTGCGTGTCGTTTTCAAGAATGGCCCAAAGTGGGTCATGCAGTGACAAGGCAACCTCTATGTCAGAGTCGTGGATGCCAGTGCTCGCCTTGCATTTAGTTGGTAGAAAATAAGCAAGGCCGTCTACTAATGAAGCCTCCGTAAAAGGGGGCCACACCCTGTCAGGAAGTATACAGTTGCCCTGCGTGTCGGTGTCAAAATGAATCCCGTACATGTTGAGCTTATTCCACTGGCTTATAATGAAGCTTTTATCGTTGAACCGGAACCGTAGACTGATATTGCTCTTGTTCGGCTGCGCCATGACCCATAATAAGGTTTCATATTGATCTGCCGGCGTTTTTGCTCGTAGCGTCTCATGGATTATTTGTGCGGTTTGCGGTAACGAATCATCGGAAAGCTTGTTGAGTGATAATGTTATATGAGGCTCTGATACTGCATTCGGGAAGTATCTCGGTAGAAGATTCAGCCGTGTTCGTGATCTCCAGTCAAGTGATGTGAGAAGATCTGCAGTATCATCACAGACATCTACAGCCGTCTTGCTTAAATTTTGATGATGAATTCGTGCGCGTTGAACGCTCAGCCAGAGGTGTGCCGAGAGTGCTTCGAACGTTGAAACCCACTGGCAGCTACTTGCGGCATTTTTCAAGGCGAGGAGTTCACCTCGGGTGAAATGTAGCAACTTTCCGGTGACAAGCTTGTTAGACTTAAAGTCCATCATAGTTGGTGTTTGTTCGACGTGATAATCAGCCGGCTTTGTGTTCAATGCTATCTCAGATTCCCGCGGACCTAACTCAAAATCAGATAGGTAAGATGTGATGCAGGGCAGTTGCTGCAGCTGCACATCTTCCAACGGTGAGCTCATTCGCATTGCTGTGCGCAATTCGCGGTAAATCTCGGCGAGATCTTCCATCAGTTGCGAAAAGCCATGCGCGTCGCCGACAGTGTGGTTTAAACGCACACCTAGTGAGACTGAACCACACCCGAATCGCGTATGTTGAATGCTCAGGATTGGCTCATTGGGAAAGCCCTCCGGTGTGCCACTATATCCTGCAAGCAGTGCCTTGCCCTCTCCTGGCATATCATCCGGGGCCAGCTGCACCACGTCTTGACGGAGTGGCGATTCACATACCGCGCTATGTAACTCTGCACCCTCACCCAGTTGATAGATTTCGGTGCTTCCATCCTTAGCATTAATACGCACTCGACCGGTCAGATGTGGGTAGAAGTCCAGTAACCGAGAAAGCGCCAAGTGCAGAAGGTCAAATGCAATGATTGGGCCACCAGCAGCGGTATCAGTCCCAAGCGGTTTCCTCCATACAAAGACGACCGCGATTGTGGCAAACGGCGGCAGCAAGTGGTCGAAAGGCCCAAGTGGAAAAGGACATGGAACCTGGGCAAGACTGCGCATATCTGCACATTGCACTTTGTGCGTGGCAAGAGTCGTTACTGGAAAACCAGACATGGTATATTGTCGAGAAGAGAAACTCTATAATAAAAGATGAAGGTGGCGGTTGACAGACTAGTTTACATAGAGCTGAGGCTTCTTAAATCCCTGCCACCCTGATATGTACGTGACTGTTACCTCAGTTTCTCAGGCGGTCCGCTTCATAAAGCCGCTACTTATATAATCACGTATATTATTATATTTTTATTGCAAGTATACGTGTAGATAGAATAATATTCTATATATATATTATTAAAAAAATATATATTAAAATTAATAGTTTAACTATTGAATTATATGTTTATAGATTTTACTCTGTAATATTGTCAGATCTTCTTTGTTCCCAGAAATATAACCATCCGTCGTATATAAAGTAATGATAAGAAACCTGAGCTTGAAAACAGCAGATTTAGGGCTACTTAAAAAGAAAAAGAAAAATAAAACTTGTCTAATAAAATACTAGGCCCCGTCATTTCTCAGACCCTCTGACGAGGAAAAGGGAGTCTGTACTCTAATTGGTCAATATATACCAAATCCAGACTTTTCCTTGTCCAGAGGGTCTGAGAGTGTTTAAGGTGGAATTAAGAAATAACAAAGAGAAATAAATGCCGCACAATCGCATATAGTCATAGTCTCATAATTAAAGAATTGCCTGTATTCCAAGTCACAGCTCTGGTATCTCTAGAAGTTCACGAAAACAACAAAAACTTTTATCCTTGCTTCGTCAAAGGGTATATGAAGCACTGAATCAACAACAACAAAAACAAACCTTACTCAACTATATCTCTTGGACATGATGTCGTCATAATCATTTAGTCACAAAAACAACGGGCGCTCAGTCCCCATATACAGAAGCACGAGACCACTTCCCAGCGGCCCTGATGCGCTTCCCAAAGATGTAAAACAAGTACGGAATGGGTATAAGCGCAACTGAAACAAAGCCCAAAACACTAGCAGCCCAGGGTACACCCAGCTTGCGAAACATAATACTGGCGAAGAGCGGGAAACAGCCGGCAAAGACACTCCGAAGGAAAGTATTAGCTGCCACAGCGCTGGCGGACACTTTCTGGAAGGTGTCAATCAGATAGTTGAGGGCAGCTTGGAAGATAGTGAAGAAGCCGAAGCCCATCATCACGGCACCCATTATGGGGCCGATCCAGTGAATGTCCGGCTGACCGGTCCAGCCGAACACGAACATGCCTGCGGCGAAGAAAACGGATCCTAGCATCATCGGGGGAAGGCGGGCTTCGGGAACGGGGAAATTGTTGTTTGCTTTGAAGCGCTTGACGTAAAACTTTTGGTTGAGAAGGTTGACGGCCGCGCCGAAGAGGATTCCGACTAGGTACCCCAGGAATGGCAATGCGCCGACAACTTGATTCCAGCCTCGGACCTCTTGGAATTCGACGGGGAAAGCTGCCAAACTGAGGTAGATGATACCGTAAACAAATGAGGCGTAGAGAGCAACCAAGAAACAAATTGGGGTTGTCAGGAGCTGGAAGGGGCGGATGAGGTACTTGTTGCCGAGTTCTTTGAATGTGACATCCCATTCCTCGTGGCGCGCGTGGAGAGCCCAGTTGCCACTTTCAAATCGAAGTCTCTGGGCCTTGTAGACTAATAACACCGGAGGGTAGCTTTCATCTAGGAACAGAACGTCCATCGCGAGGAAGAACATCATCATTATACCGGTGAGCTGGAAGAACAGATGTTAGAGTCTGTCGGTGGTGGTACGAATAAAAGGTAGTACTGACATATTCAGTCCATCTCCAACCAAGATAGCTTTGAACGATTGCACCACCAACAATGGGCCCCAGCACCGGTCCTCCAACCACGGCCATAGCATAACCAACAATGGCCGCTCCTCGCTGTTCCGCAGTCCAAATATCACTCAGAACACCGCCAGTATTAGTGACAGGTGCTGAACCAAAGAATCCGGTGAAAAACCGAGTGATCATAACAGTTTGCAGATCTTTGGCGGTAGCGGTGCCAAAGGAGAATACAGCGGCAATGAAGTATGGGGCTAAAACGGCGGGTTTACGCCCATAGACTTCAGATAACGGTGCCCATACAAGCGGTCCGAGCCCTAGAGTGACATCAGCCAAAGATCCCTTAACATAGGCGGGCTATCCAGCATTAGAACCTACCAAACCCGAATAACAGCAATGCTGTACCAAGAGTACCAACTTCCTCGCCGACACCGAATTCCGCATCGACTTGTCTCGTGCCTGTGGAGTAGCTGTCCTTGTCTCAGTATGCTATTGCCGGAAAACATAAAAGAAGGCACTGGATCATACATCGAACTGGCCCAAGTCGCACCTGGAATTCAAGCATTGTTAGGACTCTAGGCAATTAATATAGAGGTAAACGAGCTACATACCCATTGTTGTCAGCCCATACAATAGAGTGGTGATAGCCTTTTTCCTAAAACTCCAATTAAGCGGGAGATACGGGTCATCAGGCCCCTCAAAGTCCACAATCACATCAGTTGATGTTTTGGTATGTGTCAGAGGGTGCGTGAAGCGTGCAGTCTGACCAGGTTCTCGACTGCGAATTCTTGAAACTACCGACTGCGCACGTTGTTCAAAGACTGACAGGGCAGAGGCCGCCGTACTCTGCTTCTCCAGCGCTGCGTTGGGTCGTTCATCGTAGTTGGTGCGCCGCTGCTCTAGTGAGTTGCTATCATCGTCAAGAGAGCTATGGAATGAAGAGCGTTCTTCGTCTCTTGTCATGGCTTCATTAACTAATGACGTAGATAACGCAGGCTGCCAAGAAAATTCTGTAAAGTATTGAAAAGTCCCCAAAGGATGGTTTTCCTGTGAGACAGGAGTGGGAAACGCAAATTGGCGCCCAGGAGCAATCGAGCAGTGTGAGTAAACGTCACTGGTTCCAGGCAAAATCAAAAGTCTAGGCAATTCGAACAATTTTGACAGGAACCAGAACTATATATATAAAGTTCGTCTCCAACGGCCGGAGACAAAGCCGTCTTAACCGAGTCACCACCCCGAGACCGTAATCGGACGTCCGACCACATCTTCATTCGCCGGTAAATTCATTCGCCGCTAGGTTAGTTATGTAGTGGGGTCGCAGCTCGGCTGAAGCCCGTATTGATGATCATTCACCCACAGTCACCAGCAATCCAGAAATGCCAGGGGAAGTTGAATCGTGACATCTTATTAGTCGCTGCTCAGTTTTTTCAAAGCTAATCGTAGTTGAGTGGCATAATATCCGCATTCAATGCATTCGCCAAGCCCTGCCGAACCGCTCTGCGGAATATTTTCCGAGAGCGTTTTGGACGCTAAAAAGGACGATCGCTGGGGGAAAAGACCAGGAAAAGTGGACCGGATCCATCCAGTGTCACGTGAGACGTACAGGAAGGAAGGCCGACAAAGCTATCTTCAACAGCATGACGTTCATGCGCAGTTTCTTGACACAAGTAATCAAGAATTTACCGCGGCATCTTTGATTGAAATATTGACGTTTCCACCAAATACAAGCAAGCCATAAGCACTCCGGATAGGACAGAGGTGGGAGGAAGCTGTCTATGAATTGAGCCATGTTCAATAGTCTGTTAGGCAATCGCGACAAATCCTCAAACCACCATGTAGTCCTCTATTCATATATTCTACCCATCGTATATCTTGGAAAGAGAGCCCATGCAGATACATGTATATGATCGTAATACATAAATTCATCAATTGGTGGGAGTAGAGTGCGTGCTCTCCCACTTGCGCACTGCCTCCATGGCAGCGGTCACCTTGAGACCAATACGAGCGTCCAGCTCGTAGCTTTCCCACCTCGCAGCCTTCTCAAGATATTCCTTGCATTCCCGTACCTGCTGTCTTTCGAGTGGTGTAACTTCCTCGCTGTTAGCAGCCTTGGACTCGGTAGCCGGAGCATCGTGAGCGGCTATATAACCGGGACGTTCCATCCAGAGATTAGCCGCCATCTCGAAATGAGCCACTGGGTGAATCCAGTTGTCTTTAAGATGACCTGTGAACAGAGATTTGTCATGGTTGAGGACAGACTCTTTCAGCAATTTTCGGGACTCATCATGTTTACGCATCGCACGCAAAACGGCGGCCCGCAATAGCTGCAAAATTGCTTTCTCTTCGGGGCCTTCTCGGGACCACGTCTTGTTTTCGTCGCTTTCGGACCAGGCGAGCTTCTGCATTGATTCCTCTAGCTGTCCTTGTGTCATCCGGCTATGTCCGTTCCAGAAGAAGATCATCTCTTCGATGGGATCAACGCCAATTGCCTCCACAAGGGGCACACTCCACTCTTTCGCTCGCGCTTCCCACTTGGCAATTTTTCGTGCAACGAATACGTCGAAAGGTAGTTGCCGTGCCATGAAGCGCTTCTTTCCGGCAAACGATGGCGCAGTTCGGAAGTACTCTGTAGCTTTTTCTGCGTGCTCTTCCGCTTGTTTAGGGTCTGTTACAATAGTGCTCCGGTATAAGGAGAGATAAGATGCTCCTGCAATATAATAGTATAATGAGCGAGACCAGGAGTTCAACTCGACACACTAAACGCTCGTTAGCAGGTTCATACACAAGTTCCGCTTGAAGAGGAGCTCAAACCTCGAGAAATGCTTCTGCGCACAGCTCATACTTGTGAAGGTACATCGCGTTCAAGCTCCGCTCAAACACCCGCAAAGCTTCGACCTGCTTGAGCGGACTGCGCTCTTTACCGCACAGAAGCTCCAGAGATCTTTCTAAATTCTTGTTCGCTCCTTCCATCCTGGACTGTTCGAGCAGCCAGAGCTGACTCTTGGGGAACCGCTGCCTCATCTGCGCTAATAGAGCTTCGAGCCTCCGCTGAGGATAGCCCTGCACATCACCCTGGTCTCCCGGTACTGGATCTGGCATAATATCGCAGTAACGGACGAAACCATTGTAATAACCGAGGATCGCAAAAGCGGCAAGTGCGCCGATCAAATTGTTGAACTTACTAGCTTGCCATAGCATCCTCAGTCCCCGCTCTTTATCCCCGTAGAATCCAATGATGCTAAGCAGTTTGCTGAAGGCCGGAGGAACCATGGAGATAACAAGAAGAAGAATACCAAAACAAAAGTTAGAACCAGAGTGCACGAAGACATCAATCTGGTTTTTGAAGATATCTGAATCGGGATCGTGGCTAAGCATATCCGCGGGATTAGGCGTCGATGGCTCAGTCAACTCCCCAGATTTGCTGCTATCCTGAGAGACACTCAGATCAGACAACCTTTGGGATAGCCCTGTAGCCTCGACGGTGGCTGTCGGGTTGGGTTTGGATGCTTCGCCCTGGTCTGCAGGAGACACACCACCGGAAATTGACTGCATATATGCCTGCTCCATCTTGAGGATACCGTCTAGCGTGATGTATGCCTTTCTCATTTTATAGAACCCTTTGATACTTTCGGTAAGGCTCTCATTGAGCACACCCACAACAGCACTCATGAGCTGAGCCATCGCCTGACAAAGAGCGAACTCGGTGCCCGGCGAATAAATCGGCGAGTGATAAGTGTTAGGGGCATGGGAGTTGTGCTGAGCCTTATGTTGATCATTGGCCGCACTGGTCTCGGCCGTATTGAGTCGTTCCGATGCTGCCAGGGGTCAGTGATCAACCTAGTTCTTGCCGAGAGACCAAGGGTCCACGGACCTTGGCGCATAATCTCCTGTTCAAATCCCAGTGTCGCCCGGATAAATGCAACAACCCCTCGTCCAAGCTATACATGAAGAAAAAGGGATTGTAAGTAAAAGCATCCAAAGGGTCGCTGTGGATCCTAGGAGCAGTGGTAACGCTCCTCTACCACGGATAATACACACATTGTGAAAAGACGAAACTCCTTCCGAAAGACCATCCTCGGCGCCGTCAACGTCATCATTCAGGATTAGGGTTGCAGCTTTTCTCGTACAACATTAGTATATATCTTGACTGGGGCTTCGGGCATCCACAGGAGGTGAGAAGTACATACCCCGCATAGCATCCTCAACTACACATACGAGGAGACACAAATCAGTACATCACTGCACGCATAGCACATTGAGATGATTGCTAAAGAAACACTCACGATCCCGCAATTCAACCAACGAGTCCAAAGATTGCGTCGAGGCATTGGCACCAGCCTTCTTGCCATATAACCACGAGCCTACTTTGAGCATGGTGAAGGGTGCAGGTCGCGCGAACCGTCGCAAATGGATACGAGATGGGACGAAAGATGGATTGAAATCGTAATCAATTTTTCTCAGACGTCAGAGCGCAAGCCGAAGGGGAGCAAACCCCAAGAGACGAAAGCAAACAGAATGGGAAGAAAATACACTCTCCCATCAGATACGGGTCAAGGGTGTGAAGGGCTTCCAGGAACATAACCTTCTAGGATACAGAAAGGAAAAGCGGGAAATCAAGAACAATAAGTAGGAAAGGAAAAGAAGGGCCCAGTCATAAGAGCCGCGATAGGTAAGATGAATGGGTTAAGTACTAGTAGAACCGTGGTCCACTATGGCGGCGAGGCGGAGCGTCCGGCCATGCGATAAAGGGTAAAGAACGATGACCTGCCAGTGGATGTAAGAACTGCTGTTAATAACCTGGTTTAATGAGAATATTATGAACGCATACGGAGTACATTCTCCTCTTTGGCCCCATTCAGTGAATTAATTCGGTAGGATTATATCCGATCAGTCCTGGTTTTGCTGCTTTCACTTTTATGCAGGCTTTTTTTTTGTTTCTAAGTTCATTATGAACTTAAAGAGTTACTAAGAGATCTCAAAACCTACAGTCCCTCCGGCAGTTCCGAGAGCCTCAAAAAGAATGTGTACTTAATAGTAGTTTTTGTGTATTAACTAGTTAGTTAATGGACATTAATTAGTCACAAATCGGGTTGGCCTTAACTCACTAATTGTCGGTCTTGGCTTTCAGGTCTGGCGTCAGTGACCAACCCAAAGCCATCGATCGGTCTCCGCGCTTCTTACAGAAAGCAACAACCAAAAGCCCTCACCCATCAATTCTAATAATCACTACCTGCTTAGCTTCGGCTCTCTCCCATTTGAGCTATTCCTGAATACCCACACTTAAGAAAATATCTGGTTAATCGCTTATTCTTCTACTCCGAACACATCGTTCTCTCACCCCCACCCATCATGTCGAACACAACGCAATCCCACGATAAGCCCGAAGCTTCGCAGCAACCCCAACAGCAGAAGCCCCCCGTATTGGAGGAAGACGATGAATTCGAGGATTTCCCCGTTGAAGGTCAGACAATATCAGTGCATTCCGCCCGGTGAAAATAGCAAGAAAGACCAGCGACCGGATTGCGTTACTGGAAGCTTCGATTGCTTTGTGAGATGAGAGTTGCGCTGACCGAAGGTTTCTATCTGCAGACTGGCCACAAGAAGAAACCGAACAAGCGTCTGGAGCAGCGAACGGTGCTAATGGTCACCTGTGGGAGGAGAGCTGGGATGACGATGATGCCACCGAGGACTTCTCGAAGCAGTTGAAGTGCGTATTGGTCCCCTATGGTGGCCATGGTGGCCCCAGCTCCAGCTGTTGCTAGGAGCTCGGTGTCATTGTGGCTATTCATATTACTTCATGACACGGTATTAATATTGTTGGTTTGATTGCAGGGAGGAACTGAAGAAGGTCGAAGCATCCCGTTAGTATGCAGTGTGGCATGGTATCGGTTCGCGAGATGAATGACAGCTCAATGAATTAATTGACCGTGGAACTACAATTATATCAAGATGAAACGCTATACATAACCTCACAACGGGGCTAGGCTAGATCTCGACGCTCGAAGAGTTTACTTCAAGTCTTCTTTGAACCGCACTGTACTGGGATTGAGGATGTGCAGTTGAGGAGGCGACATATGATGGGATACTTGGCAGCAGGCTTACAAGCGAGAAGAGGTGGCGACAGTTTGTCTCGTCACGTATCCTATATCTACATACAATATAATTGTGAAACGAATTCAAACTTCATCCCACACCTGATTGAGTTCCGTGTCCAACCCTAGTTGCTTAAAACAGTCACAGCTTAGGACCCAACACTATGTTATAACACTCTATCATCAGAACCTTTCTTGTCATGACACAAAGATGAACAGAATGGCTAATTTTGGATTAATTTATCGTCTCATGTACATTACATTTATGAAAGTTAAACGTCCCTCATAAGCGAGAAGACATGCTGGACATGAAGACTGTCCGACGCTTCCCCCTTTCAACACATTATGGCATTTCGCTTACTTACTTGACAGAGCAGCAACACCAGGGAGCTCCTTGCCCTCAAGAAGCTCCAAGGAAGCACCACCACCGGTGGAGACGTGGCTGAGCTTGTCCTCAGCCTTGTACTTGGCGGCGACGGTTGCGGTGTCCCCACCGCCGATGATGACAATGGAACCAGACTGAGCAGCCGCAACAGCAGCATCGAGGGTCTTCTTGGTAGCGTTGGCGAATGGCTCCAATTCGAAGACACCAGGAGGGCCGTTCCAGAGAATGGTCTTGGCCTCGGCAATGGTCTTCTTGTACAGCTCAACACTCTTCTCACCGACATCCAGACCCATGTATCCATCGGGGATACCGTCAGCATCGGTGGCATAACCAGTCTTGGCATCAGCAGCGAACTTGTCAGCGGTCACGTAGTCGACGGGCAGAACAATCTTGACGTTGTTCTTCTTGGCCTTCTCAACGATCTCGCCGACAATCTTGCTACCGGCCTCATCGAACAAGCTGTTGCCAATCTTGACGTTCTCGAGGGTCTTCTTGAAAGTGAAGGCCATAGCACCAGTGATGATCAAACTGTTGACCTTGGGCAACAAGTTGTCGATCAGCTGGATCTTGTCAGAGACCTTGGCACCTCCCAGAATGGCCAGGAAGGGGCGCTGGGGGCTTTCCAAAGCCTTAGCGAAGTACTCAAGTTCCTTCTTCACCAGGAAGCCAGAAGCCTTCTGGGGCAGGTTGACACCAACCATGGAGCTGTGAGCACGGTGGGCAGTTCCAAAAGCGTCGTCTAAGGGATAAAAGTTAGCATAGGGAGACAAACCACGATTGGAAATCCATAAGAACTTACTGATGTAGACGTCACCAAGAGCAGTCAATCCCTTGCGGAACTCTGCGACCTTCTCCTGGTCAGCCTTGACCTTCTTGCCCTCGGCATCCTTGGAGCTGCCCTCCTCCTCGGCGTGGAAGCGGAGGTTCTCAAGGAGGATGATCTGGCCACCAGTGGCCTTGTTCACAGCCTCCTCAGTATCCTTGCCGACGCAGTTCTCGGCGAAGATGACGCTCTTGCCAAGCAGCTTCTCCAGCTCAGCAGCGACAGGCTTCAGGCTGTACTTGGGGTTGACCTTGCCATCGGGACGGCCGAGGTGGGACATGAGGACAACGGCCTTAGCACCATTCTCAATAGCATATTTGATGGTAGGCAGAGCACCGACGATACGCTGGTTGTTGGTGATTTTCTTTTCCGCATCGAGAGGGACGTTGAAGTCGACCTAGTAGTTGTCAAGCATTAGCATTGGCTGGTCCGCGCGAATGATCGAGCTTCATTCGGTGTAGGTACATACACGGATCAAGACGCGCTTGTCCTTGAGGTCGACATCGGTGATGGCAAGCTTGTTGGAGAGAGACATTATGGACGATGTTCTATCACACAAGGTGGGGGGTGGTCAGCGTGAAAGATCAGGGCAGCACGAAGGGGGGCGGAGCACCTTTTAAATGAGTGAGGGGAAGTTTAGAAATACTCAATGCGTTTCACGGTGAACACCAGTCTCCTGATAGAAGCGATCGGTTCAGCGGCGGGGTAGAGGAACATTGTTTTGTCTCGTTTGGTGGGGCCACCGGTGAGAGATTCGCTGACGCATCGGACTGTTGCGGGACTGATGTCAATGATGACGGAAGGGTCCGGGGACCTCAGGGCACTCCAGATGCTTGCATTCTCGATAGCCTCGGATCGAGCTACTGTAGATCGGTTTGCTTCAAGTAATGGAATTATATACTACCGCTCTGCCGTTCTCGTACGGAAGGGCAGAGGGGCCCTGCCCCTCCCTCTTGCCTACCTTATCCGCCCGCCGCTCAGGAGTGGAAACAGAAAGAACCATCCATGGCGCTTAATCGATTGGCATTATACCACCTCAAAGTCTACGGTGAGAATCATATGACAAAAGCTCGGTGAAACAATGTGTAGATGGTGTTACACCTTGTTTAATGATATGCGTGCGAAAACAACCAGTAGTGAAATTGACACCTTTTGAACCGTCCCACCGAAGGGGGAAAGACCTAGACACCAGCCATAAGAATAAGGCAGCAGAACCCCAACGATAACATACAACGCCCGGAAAACATCTAGTGACACAAGGAAAAAAAACAAAGAGCGACAAATTTGAAATGACTGACGATCCGAAACCCACCCGAAACCATCAATGTCATCATCGCAGGTGATTCAATCAATCTTCCTCGGAAGAGTTGGTCAAGGACAAGTACGCAGTCCAGGCGATACCAATAGAGGACACAAATGGCTACGGAAGAGAACAATGAGGTTAGCATTATACAGGCTCGGGTTGTTGCCTTAGGGTAACAATGCAACACTTACAATTTGAAATTGAATTGGAACGACCCGGAAGTTAAGAACCTGCACAGCTGGCCAGAGGACGAAATTGGCCTTAAGAGTGGGCAGGTAAACGTCCTGGAATTTGCGGGTCAAGGCTCTACGCCCACCGCCTTCAGCGAGTGTCATGAAGGTGAAGAAACACACCAGACCTATAGCGCTGTTAGCATCCCATATATATTTGCAGTCCGTAGATCGCCGTACCGAAAGGCGCGAAGAGAAACTGGTCTACAGCAACTCGCTTCAAGGCCGGAATGGTCGGGTTTTTCTTGGTGAGTGGGAATGTCCGAGATAAAAATCCGAACCACTTGAACTGGATCGGTGCCATGAAGAAACCATATGACATGAACCGGGTCAGTCGCTCAAAGTCAAAAGGCGGAGGCAAGGGTCTCGCGTGCCCCAACTCCCCAAGAGCTGGTGGCTTCTCCTTATCAAGATCATGAATTTCGATTGAGATGAGATCGCCAGGATCATAATTCGGTCGGCCCGGTCGAGCCCTGAACGCCGTAATCAGCTGCGCAACTGTATCCGCAACTCCACCAAGGACCTACGGCATTCAAGATTAGTTGCGTTTGTCGAGAACAAAGACGTTAGCCTAAGGGATAGTTACCGCGTTGGTCACCATAGTAGTCAATACTACAGAGTGGATTAGCTTGTCGCCTTTGATGCGTTAGATACAAGAGGCTTACTCGGCTTCTCCGCATAGTAGGAGTTGAATTTGGCCGCCAACCGCATCGCAACCGCCATTTCGATGAGGAAAATTATGCTGTGGAGCAAGGGCTGTATACAAGAAGTTAATGAGTTATCGGTGACTGTGCAAAAAAGATAAGGTTGCATGTAATAAGTGTTTGTAAAAAAAGCCATGGATGTTCTAACACTTACCAAACGGCCATAGATGTATCTCCGGTTGAGTCCATCCAGAATTCTTCGACGCGCCGCGGAGAACATGGTGAAGCTAATTGAAACCGAAAACTAATAGATAATCGGAGTGGAAAAGGATCGAAGGCGAAGGCAAGATTCCGCTCGGCGGGATCCAGCCAGTATGACGCAAAGGAGAGGTCAAGGGCAAAAGAAGGGAGGCAAGTTGGACAAGAAACCCACAACGCTAACCCAGTAAAAATATATGGAATATGTACCGACGTCAGTGGGATAGGTCTCCACTAAATAGCCAGTGATGAAGGTCGATCACCCTGTCCAGCTGGGGGGATGGAATCTTGATGGGGTTTCAGATTGTCGTGTGTCTTGTGTCAAGAGGCAATAAGGCTGCCGTTATCTATTTAATTGTGGTATTGCGGGCGCGTAGATCCAATCCCACCCTGAGATCAGCTGTCCAGTCATTGTGTCCGCCTTGCCGCCGCCTTCCGCTTTGCATAATTTTTCTGCCTCTGGGGCCGAATCATTACTAGTTTGCATCATAGACTGGTTCACTGTAGGATTTACCAGCCTAGAAGATTTGTTTGGCCCCTTTTTCTTTTAGTCTTTCAATATAGCTTCCATGGTTATAAATAGTAAGTAATAATGGAAGTGCTACTCCGGAGTACTCTCCCTGCATGTTAGCCGCCGATTTCTAAATCACATGAAAGTCTATATTATATCAACGCAGGAGGCATTCCTGGCTTCCAGGACGATAGCGTCATGTATGTACGGTACTCTAAGTCGTATCCTAAGGTTGTATTCCTTTCCTATCAAAGGATAGGATATCCGGGAGATCTTTGATGTCTGTCGTTTCATTCGTGTTGACTTCCACAAGACGCACGGCTTCTAAATGGAGCGCCCCCACTGCCAACGGAAGCAGCTTTAGTTCTGTCGCAAAACATGTTCCGGGTAGAAGTGGACTATCCAAACACATCGAATCAGTCTATCTGTAATATACGTAGATCATTTGCGCAGTTGGGTAAGACTTACCCGACCCGAAGATCCGTGCTCAGACAGACCAGCTCTGCCTCTTGCCCTGCCACACTCTTCTGCATGGCATGAACGATATTATCATCTGTCACAGCTTCGGCAACTTGATCCTCCCGTCGACTTGTGAGCGATGAAGACGATGGTCGGGCTACGTGACTCCTTGGATCGGCTCGCTTCCTTCGTGGAATGGCAATCAAAGCGAATTTACGAGGCGTTGTTGACCGATTGACAATAAAAACGTTCCAAGAGAAGGGTTTCCCGACCACCACACTCGCAGGGCCAGAAAATGACACGGTCACTCCCATATCTGCTACAGAATACGCCCTTTCCCGGAAGGAGCTCCTGCTGGGAGGCCCTCCAGTTGCAGTATTGGATTGATTCGGCGTCATAGGAAGACTAGCCGGTCGGTTGGTCCGTTGCAAAGCCTGACTCGGTCCACCAAACGTAGGGTTGAGGGCCATAGAAAAATCAACATTTGTCCTCCATTGCATCAGAATCCGTGGGTTGCAATTGTCCGATAGTTTAATAATGGCCTCCAGACGGATGTCTAAGATGCTGACCATCACCGTTGTCGAGGGATTAGGATCTGGGCCATATTCTGGCGTCAGTTTATACACCAAAGTAATGTCATCCCGGGGACGACACGATATGGGCGGAACTAGCTCTAATGCATCAGAGAGGGTTTCGATTTTCCCATCTGACATGTGGAGTTCTGCTTTATCGAAGACAACTTCGCAACTGAGGAATGGTGTCACCTCGAAATCAAGGCTTGCCACGGTTGTTGGCCGTCCAGAATAAGAATTCAACCGAGAGTATCGTATCCTTGCACTGGCTGCAGGCACAACCCGTATCGGATGACCTGATTGTTGCTGGACATTATAGATAGGATCTTCGCTATATTGTGCGGGGACAACTCGCAGAAGTCTAGATGCTGGCAGAAAGGGATCCTTGTGTGGGAAAGCGTTATCAGACGACAATGGCTGCAGAATGTTTGTAGATGCAGGAACCAATGGAGGAAGATAGTCGTCATCGCGGGACTCCTGTTGTCGACTTTCAGACGGGCTGAGGCTAACGGATGCAATAAATAGAAGAGAGGGGTGCTGAATCCGTATGCGAGGGCGTTCTGGCAGGGTTAGTAAAATGACTAGTAGACTTTAGACACAGCGGCCCATACTGAGAAATGTCTCAATGCTCCAAATCACGTAGACATGGTTACCACTTCCCGCCTCTCCTTCGAATTCATTCACCACTACCAGCGGCTCTTCATCTCTACTAACAACCCCTGAGAATATTAGGTCCCTAGTAGGTGTGGGGTTCTCAGCAACTGTTTCAGCTGGGTCGATGGCGAATACATCGAGCCTCACTTCCAGATGCTGAAGGTGGTGTTTTAGGCTCGCCTGCGAGCAGTTGGAGAGTCTCAGAACGATGCGGGCAGTGCAGAACTCATCTGTATGATACTATCTATGAGTAAGAGACAGCTCGATTAGGAGACCAGGTATTTACGTACCAAAGAATAGAAGTGAGCGCTGAGGTACAAATGAGAGAACAGACGATAAATCATCCGCTCCCCCTTCCAAGGCAGACGTCAGCGCCGCCTCCAGATCTATATCTGAAGCATGCGGGACAACTGTATCTAGCACAGAATGTCTTAGAAATTCCCCAGGGATTTCGAGGCTCGGCATTGTGAGAACAACTACCGCATGCCCATCTGCCGATTAGCGGTAGCAAGCGACACGCGACAATCACGAAATTTAGGGCGAACTGCTCAATGGACTCTGTCAATATATGTCCAATTTAAAAAGAGTTTCGAGGGTTGTCGGAGATGATGCTCGGTGTATGGGGTTTGGGGTGCAAACAGTGCAAACATCTTTGGTTGGAAGGAAGGCAGAGCTTCGGACACTACTTTTTCGAGCTCCGCGCGTGTTCCATCTGAACGACATCACTGTTGCTCTGGGGAACTTCCCACAAACATTATGAATCCGATGAATGGCCCAGGGGCGTCTTCTCTTTGGCAGGAGGCTCGCAACTCCGATGGAAGGGTATACTATTACAATGTCCAGACAAAAGCCACACAATGGAATAAGCCTGTGGAGTTGATGACGCCCGTCGAGGTACGTTTCCTCCCATAATCTACGTTTGTATTTGCTAACCTGGTCTCATTCGATAGCGTGCTTTGGCGAATCAACCATGGAAAGAGTATACTGCTGATGGTGGTCGAAAGTATTGGTACAATACGGAGACCAAGCAAAGCACTTGGGAGATGCCAGATGTCTATAAAAATGCTTTGGCGCAAGCTCAGACGGCCCAACCTCCGCCCGCAGCGTATGTCTTTTGACCTTAGAGCATCTTATATATCTTTTCTCTTGGATCTTCACATACTAACTCATGCGCATAGGGCGCCAACGTTTGTCGCAGGCGGTGTTAGCTCATTTTCCTCCTATCCACAGCAGCGTGAACGCGACGACTACGATCGAGGATATGGCGATAGACGTGGTGGATATGGCTCTGGCGATGCCAATGGGCTTGTGGCTGCCCCTATGCTGGGGACGACTACAGAGCCAGAGTACGGTTCACTTGAGGAGGCGGAAAATGCGTTCATGAAAATGCTCAGACGCCATAATGTACAACCGGATTGGTCTTGGGAGCAAACTATTCGCGCAACTGTTAAGGACCCTCAATACCGTGCTCTAAAAGACCCCAAAGACCGCAAGGCAGCCTTTGAAAAATACGCGGTCGAGGTTCGCATGCAGGAAAAGGATCGGGCGAAAGAAAGATTCGCTAAGCTCAGAGCAGATTTCAATACCATGCTGAAGCGTCATCCTGAAATCAAGCATTATAGTCGCTGGAAGACCATTCGGCCGATTATTGAGGGCGAGACTATCTTCAGATCTACGGATGATGAGGATGAAAGGCGCCAACTATTCGAGGAGTACGTTCTTGAACTCAAGAAAGAGCACGCCGAACAGGAATCCGTTAAGCGCAAAGCTGCAATGGATGAACTGGTGAATATTCTGAAGTCACTCGAGCTCGAGCCGTACACACGGTGGTCTGAAGCGCATGCAATCATTCAGTCAAATGACCAAGTGCAAAATGACGATAAGTTCAAATCCCTCAGCAAGTCTGATATTTTGACTGTCTTTGAAAACCATATCAAGTCCCTTGAACGGGCATTCAATGATGCGCGTCAACAACAGAAAGCCGCAAAGGCAAGAAAAGAGCGTCATGCTCGTGAGCAATTTACTGAACTTCTGAAAGAGCTGAGGTCTCAGGGCAAGATCAAGGCTGGCAGCAAATGGATGAACATCTACCCATTGATTAAAGAAGACCCGCGTTATCTTGGAATATTGGGTAATTCGGGTTCATCCCCCCTAGATCTCCTTTGGGATGTGGTTGAGGAAGAAGAGCGGTCACTTCGAGGCCCGCGAAATGATGTTTTGGATGTTCTTGATGTGAGTAATCCTGACTTATATGTTTCTGTCTACTGACACGCCTTTCGCAGGACAAACGCTTTGATGTTACGCCCAAGACTACCTTCGAGGAATTCCATGGCATCGTGCTTGCTGATCGCCGCACAGCCAATCTTGATCAGGAGATCCTTCAACTTATCTTCCAGCGCATTCAGGATAAAGCAATTCGACGGACTGAAGAGGAAAAGCATGCGGCCGATCGTCATCAGCGCCGTGCTGTTGATGCCCTACGCTCGCGGATTAAACGTCTGGAGCCTCCTGTCCGACCGACAGATACTTGGGAACAAGTGCGGCCCAGAATTGAAAAATACGAGGAATATAAGGCTATCGAATCAGATGAACTTCGACAGGCTGCTTTTGACAAGGTCATTCGCCGCCTAAAGGAGAAGGAAGAGGATACTGACCGGGACCGTGACCGAGATCGTGGTAGCCGACGCGACCATTATGACCGCAGTGAGCGCGATCATCGTAGTTATAGAGGCGAGAGGCGAGGAGCTTCCAGTCGCCTTAGTCGTACCCCCGAACCGGATGCCTATGAGGCAGACCGGCGTAAAGCCCAGGCAGACCGCGAGCGTTCCTACCGGAAGGTTAGTGGGCTCTCACCGGTGCGAGAGAGGCGAGAAGAACGTGATCGAGAAAGGGACCGAGATAGGGATCGCTACCGCGAGCGTGATCGTGATCGTGATCGTGAACGAAGCACTCGTTCTCTCAGTCACTATGACCGCGAACGCCGCGACCGGGAAGAAGAGCGTGAAAGACTCTATCGCACCCGCGGTGATCCACGGGGCAATCGGGACGAGCTTGACTACGGTGCGGATACTCGAAGCATCGTCAGCAATGACCGTCGGCGCAGGCGTGATAGCGACACAGAAAGCGTGGCCAGTCGCTCTGCTAAACGGTATCGTCGTGACAGCCGCGAACGGGAGCGCAGTGGAGGTCCCAAACGTGACAAAGACCGTCGCGAGCGCACCCCAGCGGTAGAGGAAGCCAAGAAGGAGGAGAAGGCTGTCCATTCTGGTAGCGAAGAAGGGGAGATCGAGGAAGATTAAGTATTTTTAAGTAGTATTATGAATGGGTATGCAGTTAGGAAGTCAATACATCAATTTCAAGTAAACAAAACAGGGCTCCTCTATCACCAGACTATCCAGTCCTCGGATGATTGTTTTTCTCTCGCTACTCGAGTCCAGTCCCTAAGCTAGAGCATACTCCGAGCAGCAGCCTACCAGCCCTTGATATCAATACTTCCACCCCAACGCTAGCAGTGTCCAGTGCCTCTTAAATGATAACCTCAATTGATTACACGTCTGTACCCCGATAACTACATTCTTAGATAGTTTGTAACTCTTCAAGTTCAATAGTCCAGAACAGTACTCCCGTACAGGTGTTCTTGGTCGTGAGAGTAGACAGGGTTCGGCTACTATGTCATATGCATTCCTGATACAAGAGGGTTACAGTACTGGAGCTCACCCTAAAATCCATTTGGATCGGTTAGTATATTCTTAGCTGAAACAGGGCTTACCCTTTTGTCGAGCCTCAGCGGAGTGCTACACAACAGTTTAGGGCAGACAGGTGCTATGAAGCATTCAGGAAAGGGGGCAAACGAGCGGATTGGAGAAATGGCTTGGGAAGGTTTATAGGTTGTCCACTACCCATGCTAGGTAATAGATGGTTCAACTTATATCAAGCTTCTCTTACCAAAGGAAAGAGAAATGATCTTGCGCCAATCTGTAGCCCTTCAAATGAGCCATAGTACATGGTTTGAGTATATATCTAACACCTCATATTTTCGGGTAGTGGGTCTTTAAGCTATCATGACAATAGTCCTTCCAAGACCAATGACAAGAAACATTCAATGGCTTTATCGAAGGATATGATCAAAACATTGTCACTAATCTTACTTTTGTTCAAGTCATGTCGGTGGGTTTACTCGAACCTGGACTTGTTTTCGCGTGATATTGCAGAGCTGTCTTAGAGATCAGATTCGGTCCATCTTTCCAGTACTCGCAGAGAGATCATTCAGTGCTGTCCATGATATACTTCCTATTTTACTTCTTCCTGTGCTTCGTAGTTTCTAGATACACGGTTTCATCCAAGCTTAGGGTACTCATCCATATCCAAGTCTCCGAAAACGCAATGGAAGACACGTTTTAATACACGGCTTTCAGTTGAGAGGCATCTTAAAAATAAAGAAAGCTGCCTCTTGGTGGTATATCTGTTTTGGTTTGTATATGCTATCGTTGTAAATGCAGATGTTGGTTATTCTCTTACGAGGGGAATATATAATATACAGATATATACCCAGGCTTGGTTATTATCCAAAGTATTTGAGCACTAACAATTTAACGAATATGTCACCAGAGGTGCGTAAAGAAGAAAAGGAAACTCGAAGTTTACTATATATCACAATTTAATAGACAACTTTGGTCTGACCAGAGACTTCTCAGGTGTGGCCGATTAGAGCTGGGCCCATTAGATACTCACGATCTTTGCAAGGGCACCTGGGATACAGCAGGTCTGACTCCCTGGGGACTCTTAATTCCTAACATAACCAGCTACTTTGGCATCTCAGTATCACACCCAAATTGCAAAATGTGAACACTACTTCATTTGACTACCGTACATACAATACGAGTGTAAGCAACAAGGCTGTTCACAGACAAGTGAAGAATATGAACTATGGTCAGCTATCTTGACCTATATCCAGTCCCTTTGCCTTCGCCGAATCATCTACATGCCGGTCAAGTGACCATCTATGCCATAAAATCATCAAAACTTTTGACAATCACAACTCCGCATGATCACGCCATCCAAAAAACCATTACCCAAAAATCCCCCATTTGAACTAGGGTCCTATGTCTCCACGTACGAACATGGTGAAGACAACAAATTAAATTTTGCGGACAGTGTGGGTGTGGGTGTGAGAAGGACAACAATGAGAGACGACAACCGGACGCAGCGAAGCGGACTAGAACAGGTAGACCACCGGCCCTAGTCATTGTTGTCTTCTTCATCGTCTTCCTCCTCCGAAGCACCATCCATATCACCAAGAGGGCGCACACCACGAAGACGGCGCCGCCTAGTTTGAGTTGAAGCCTTGGTAACGCCGAAAAACGCCACTAACCGAAGGTCCCTCCGTTTCCCGCGACGTCGATCTTGCCGCCGGTGGGGGTTGCGATCATCATAATCTCTATGACGGTCGCGGTCACGCTTCCCTGGGACAACCGTTTCAATTCTCCTCTTCCAAGAAGAACTAAGGATATAAACGTCAGCGTAAAATTCGTGTACAATACTAGCTCAGGAGACTTACAAAGTTGCCGCTCAACTTCTGTTCCTGGTCCATCTGACTCTGGTACTTGTTGATACGAGGACGGTAACTGTTGGGATCACGACGGAAGGTAACATCCAGGCTCCGCAAGAAGCTGTTGCAGCCGGTAACCAGAGACTCGGGGCTGTTGGCATGCGCATCGATAGAAGGCTTGCCGTCGAAAACAATGACTCTGTCAGCAAGATAAGTCGACATGATAAAGTCGTGCTCGACAATGAAAGCGGTCTTCTTGGTGTGCATGATGAAACGCTTGATGACCCTCGCGGCCACGATACGCTGCTCGGAGTCGAGATAAGCACTGGGCTCGTCAATCAAGTAAATATCGGCGGGAATTCCGAGAGCTAGGACGATAGCAACACGCTGCAATTCACCACCGGACAGGTTTTGAACTTCCTGGTCAATGAAATCGTCGATCTTGAGGGGTTTGTAGACATCGGTCTGGAACTGTGGGGACAAGAAAGCAGCCTTGATACGCTTGAAGAACAACTGACGAACAGTGCCTTGGAACTTCGGGGTAATCTTCTGAGGCTTCATGCTGATGTTCAACTTGGGTACTGAAACACCGTTATCGGGCTTCTCGGCGCCAGCAAGCATCTTACAGAAAGTGGTCTTGCCGGTACCATTCTCTCCCATCATGACGACAATCTCCGAGTCTGTAAAGTTACCACCATCAATCTTCAAGTGGAAGTTACCAAGAGTTTTCTCCATGCTTGGGTAGTTGAAAGCACGGTCCCTGTTAACCATGAAGTCATCACCTGCTTCGGCGAGACGGAAGGTGAGAGATTCCTCTCGGAATCGAAGGTTCTCAGTCGGGATATGACCATCCAAGAAGATATTGATACCTTCACGAACCGAAGAGGGCAATGTGACCACACCATAAACTGCAGGCCTTCCGTAAAGCACGCAAACAAAATCGGAAAGGTAGTCAAGGACAGCCAAATCGTGCTCAACAACGATAACATAGTCGTCGGGTCGCAGAAGCTCTCGGATGGTACGGGCGGCAGCGAGACGTTGTTTGACATCAAGATAAGAAGAGGGTTCGTCAAACATGTAACTATAACTCTGTTAGAACCAAAGTATCAATCATCAAATCAGGCAAATCCGTCTTACACGTCGGCCTTCTGGACGCAGACCAGACCAATGGCGAACCGCTGAAGCTCTCCTCCAGAAAGATGGCCAATGTCACGTCCGTGAACTTGCCGAAGCTCTATTAAGAAGTCCTGGTTAGCGATGGAACAAGCCAAGAGTGCAAGCTCTACATACCAAGGACATCAAGGATGTGATCCATGTTGTCCATCTGAGCACGAGCTTTGATGAGGTCGCCGACATTCTGGACTGGACCCTTCACTGCTCTAGGGATCTGGTCGACATACTGAGGCTTCACAACAGCCTTCAGGTTGTCTTCCAACACCTTGGTGAAATAGTCTGTATCATGTTAGCAACCGTTCTTTCCTTCCCGCACGGCTCCAAAATGAAACGTACTCTGCAGTTCGGAACCACGGAAATACTTCAGGATTTCTTCCCAGTCGGGAGGGTTGTCATAACGCCCAAGGTTAGGCTTCAGCTTGCCGCTAAGAATCTTCAGAGCAGTACTCTTTCCGATACCGTTTGTACCGACGAGACCAAGAACCTGTCCGGGGCGAGGCATGGGAAGACGGTGAAGCTTGAAACTGTTCGCGGAGTAACGGTGGGTGACCTGGGTTTCCAAGTTGGTCGGCAAGTTGATAATATGGATCGCACCGAAAGGACATTTCTTAGGACAGATACCGCAACCGATACAGAGGCGCTCGGAGATGAAGGCGATCTTCGATTCGGGGGTGACCTCGATACAAAGCTTACCCGTCCGGACGACGGGGCAAGACTTCTTACATTCCTGGCGACATTTCTGAGAATAGATAAGTATCAACCTATAAATGGAAATAGAAAGCAGGTGTATGTTGCGTACCTTCGGTTTGCACTGATTGAAGTATGCGTGAGCAAAAAAGCTGCATACCTATACAATCGACAGCGGGGCAGTTTCGAACTTACTTTGTCACTGTTGACAATAGCAATTCTATAAACAAAATCGTATTAGGGAATGCTTCTATGTATATGGCATTAACTACATCACAAGGGGCCATACCTGGTAAGCTTGTCAGACATGGTGCCTGTTCAAGTCGTTTCGACGCGCAAATGGGTAGACTGATGGCTATATATATGTATAAGTAGGTGTAAGAGCAATGTCCACAGTGGAGTGGTCTCTACCGGGCAGAAAAGTTGACACTGCTCCAGTCGAGCTGGCGGAAGGCAAGAGACACCAGATAACTGCACGAACAGATTGCCAGCAGGTACTGAAGTGGAGGAAAGGACAGTGCTGAAAGGCCTCGAGAAAGAGGGGCTTGGAGAAGAAAACTATGTCAGGCATTGTGGGCAACCGTGCCTGCCTCAGGCAGAGGTCATGACTGCATTATTTCCTCCGGTTATGATTGGTGAGTGGATGAGTCCCCCAATTTTTCTCCGGAATATCATATGATCCGCCAGACCGAAACACGTGATAAAACGGTGCCGTGAAGCCTATTGGAGTCTCGCTTGTGCCGGCGCTAAGCCACACAGAGGATGGTGGGCTGTGACAGCCTGAAGGATCAGGCTGCCAGCCAATCCCTTCACGGAGACTTGCTCACCTCCAGCCGACGGACAACTCTCTTTCTACTCCCTCATCATATTCTCAGCGGTCTTCATTTCTCGCCCTCTCCACCACTTCATCCCCCCCCCTCTTCCCCACCTCGCTCCATTCCTTTTTCACCATTATTTCCCTCAATTTATCCTGCCTTGGGGTCACCAAGCTATGGATTGTGAGTATTTTATTCTTCTTTTCTAGTCTTTTCAGACGTGTCCTGGTACTGTCGGCTGGGGTACTTCTCCACGGTCTCGACCCACCGAGAAACACAAGAATTCCTCTCCATTTCTTGTGTTGAGGTTTTCTGAATTCCTTTAGGTCAAGGTCTGGATGTAGCTCTTCTCCTGGGTCTGGTTTTGTCTATGATTTTGTCCCTACATCTAAAATACTCACATCAACCCTCTTTGTCGCGTTCCATCAGAGCTTCCATCAAAAATAACATCCGTGCATCATATCCTGCCTCCTACCTGATTGTCATGACTTCCAAGCTCCTATTGATCGGAAACTGAGTCGCGTACTGCTGTTTTATGCCACACTGTATCTTTCATCCCTCGCCAGGCCTGTCCTGAGCTTCAATGCTAATGTCTCTTCTCACATAGCTACTAGCATGGTGATCCCACCTACCTCGGAGCCCTCGACCGCGATGGCGTTCGCCAACGGTCATCCGGCCTCGCCTGCCTCCGACACCGCCAGCTTTGGGAATGAGCCTTTAGCTAGTGATGGTGACAGCAACATGTTCGATTCTGTTGACAACCACGTCGTTTCCGACTCTTCTCCGGATCCTGACGCCGCGGACGAGTCCTTCAACGCCGACTCTCCTGATGCAGAAGGGTACGAGGATGATTCGGCAATGGAGGACCATGCGAAGGACAGTAGCCAGTCCAGTAGCGAAAACTCTTCATCTGAATCCGGACGGGGGACAAAACGCAAATCATCCTCGGTCAATGAATCGGACTATATCAGACAAAATCCAGATCTGTACGGACTTCGCCGTAGTGGACGCGCTCGTACAACACGTCAGGTAGCCCAGTCTCTCTCAGACTCAGACTCGGATGCAGTGGCGCCTCGCTCAAAGCGTCGGCGCCCTGTAGCTTCACAACAAACCTCCAAGCGCCCCTCCCGCTCCGCAACCCAGTCTTCATTCTCGGAAGATTCAGAAACATCTGAATCCGAATATGGGGGCAGCCGTGCTCGCACAAGCAAGGCGAAGCGTCGCCGACAGCAGGCGTCAGCAAGCGAACCTTCTCATGCCGAGGTCCGCTTCTCGACAAGAAATGCTGCTAGGGTCTCCACATACAATGAGGACGATGATGACTCAATGTTTGAGGATGACCCAGATGATCTAATGCAGAATTACTGGGCGAATGCAGTGGAAGATGACCGTCCTGCCGTGGATGTTGTTCTCAACCACCGTCTGAAAGCAGGTGTAGACTCTAGTAATACCGACCTCGATCGTCATGACTTCGAGTTCTACATAAAATGGCAAGGCAAATCCCATTACCACGCAACATGGGAAACTGCCGAGTCTCTTGCCAACTGCCGCAGCACGCGCCGCCTTGACAATTACATCCGAAAGGTCCTGTATGAAGACATTCGCTTGAGGCAAGACGAGGATGTAGCCCCCGAGGATCGGGAAAAGTGGAACCTTGATCGCGAAAGAGACGTAGACGCCATTGAGGATTACAAACAGGTTGAGCGAGTCATTGCTACGCGGGAAGGCGACGAGGGAGCCGAATACCTCGTTAAATGGAAGCGCCTCTTTTACGACTCCTGCACATGGGAAAACGAGGAACTCGTTAGTGAAATTGCTCAGTGCGAAATAGATCGCTTCTTAGATCGTTCCTCTCGGCCTCCAGTCTCCGACAAGTCGGAGTCCAACCCTGCCAGCCGAAAATCATTTGAAGCTATCAAGGGTACCCCAAGCTTCTTGCGCAACGGCGAGTTGAAGGAGTTTCAGGTTAAGGGTGTCAATTTTATGGCCTTCAACTGGGTCAAGAACCGCAATGTCGTTCTTGCCGACGAAATGGGCTTAGGTAAAACTGTACAGACTGTTTCATTCATTAACTGGCTACGGCATGTTAGACGCCAGCAAGGGCCCTTTGTGGTCGTCGTCCCCTTGTCTACCATGCCTTCCTGGGCGGAAACGTTTGATAACTGGACGCCCGACCTGAATTATGTTGTTTACAACGGTAATGAAGCTGCTCGTACAGTTTTGCGAGAGCACGAGCTCATGATTGATGGCAATCCTCGACGGCCAAAGTTCAACGTCCTCCTAACAACCTATGAATATGTTCTCCTAGACTCATCTTTCCTGAGCCAATTCAAATGGCAATTCATGGCTATCGATGAAGCACACCGGCTCAAGAATCGTGAATCTCAGCTGTATGCAAAGCTCCTCGAGTTTAGGTCTCCTGCTCGGCTCCTTATTACCGGTACTCCTATTCAGAATAACCTCGCTGAACTTTCTGCCCTTCTGGACTTCTTAAACCCTGGCATGGTTGATATTGATGCCGACATGGATTTGAACGCGGAGGCTGCCTCTCACAAGCTTGCGGAGTTGACTAAAGCCATACAACCTTTTATGCTTCGGCGAACAAAATCTAAAGTCGAATCAGACCTGCCTCCCAAGGTGGAAAAGATTATTCGAGTAGAGCTGTCGGATGTTCAGCTGGAGTATTATAAGAACATCCTTACAAAAAACTATGCTGCGCTGAACGATGGCGCTAAGGGCCAAAAACAGTCCCTTTTGAACATTATGATGGAATTGAAGAAAGCCAGTAATCACCCTTTCATGTTTCCGAATGCCGAAGCGAAGATTTTGGACGGTAGCACTCGCCGAGAGGATGTGTTGAGAGCCATGATCACCAGCAGTGGCAAGATGATGCTTCTCGACCAGCTTTTGGCGAAGTTGAAACGTGACGGCCACCGTGTCTTAATCTTCAGCCAAATGGTTAAAATGCTTGACCTTCTTGGCGAGTATATGGAATTTCGTGGCTATACGTATCAACGGCTTGATGGAACGATTCCGGCGGCCTCTCGCCGCCTGGCGATCGAGCATTACAATGCCCCCGGAAGCAGTGACTTCGCCTTCATTCTCTCTACACGAGCAGGTGGTCTGGGAATTAATCTCATGACGGCCGATACAGTTGTTCTGTTCGACTCGGATTGGAATCCCCAGGCCGATCTGCAGGCCATGGCAAGAGCACATCGTATTGGACAGACGAGGCCTGTTAGCGTGTATCGTCTCGTCTCCAAAGATACAGTAGAAGAGGAAGTGATTGAGAGGGCCCGGAATAAGCTTCTTTTGGAATTCATCACGATACAGCGTGGTGTCACCGACAAGGAAGCATCAGAGATCCAAAACAAGATGGTGCGAAATGGAATTTCCATCACTGAACCGAACTCGACTGAGGATATTTCCCGTATTCTCAAGCGTCGTGGCCAGAGAATGTTTGAACAGACCGGAAACCAGGAGAAACTGGAGCAGCTTGACATCGACTCCGTGCTTGCAAATGCCGAATTGCACCAGACCGAACAAGCCGAGGATATCCAGGCTGATGGAGGTGAAGAATTTCTCAAGGCCTTTGACTACGTTGATATCAAGGTCGATGACCTTACATGGGACGACATTATCCCCAAGGAGCAGCTGGAGGAAATCAAAGCTGACGAGAAGAAGAAAGCTGACGAACGCTATCTCGCCGAGGTTATCGAACAAAATCGGCCACGCAAGCGTAATGTGCCTGGGGACGGACGGGATTCTCGTGAAGAACGCAAAGCAAAGAGACAAGCGAGGGCTCAGGTTGCCCTTGATGATGGCGACGACGATTCCGATTCGAATACGCAACTGGACCCAAAACGGCCACTTATAGAGAAGGAGTATCGCCACCTGTTGCGTGCCTTCTTGCGTTATGGTGATATAGATGATCGCGAAGAGGATGTTATTCGTGAGGCGCGTCTGCTGGACCGTGACAGGGAGACTGTTAAGGCTGCACTTCGTGAGATCACTGAGAAGGCTTCCTCTCTTGTCCGCGAGGATATTGAGAAGATGGAAGCTCTTGAACATGCCGGCAAAATGCCCACTAAGAAGGAGAAGAAAGCCGTTCTTTTTGATCTACACGGTGTGAAGCGTCTTAACGCATATACCATCGTTGAGCGCCCCGCTGAGATGCGGATCCTGAAGGAAGCGACAAACGCAGTGTCTGATTTCAAGAATTTTCGGGTCCCCGAAGCCACCAAGGCGGCTGACTACTCCTGTCCATGGGGTGCCCGGGAAGATGGAATGCTTTGCATTGGCATCAAACGTCATGGCTATGGTGCCTGGGCTCAAATTCGAGATGATCCAGATCTTGCACTTGGGGATAAGTTTTTCCTTGAGGAGCACCGGGTTGAACGGAAAACCGAGCGCCTGAACGCAGAGGATAAGTCTACTAAGTCTCCCGGCGCTGTTCACCTTGTCCGCCGGGCAGATTATCTGCTATCCGTTCTCAAAGACAAAGTTACCAATGGTTCAAGCATCAATGCTAAGAGGGCTGTTGAGAATCACCACCGCAATAATCGCAAAGGTTCTCGGCCCCACGCTAGTACTAGCGTCTCTGCTTCTCCCGCGCCTTCGATCTCACGCAAAGGCCATCGTGAGATGGATCGGTCAAGGCATCGTTCTCATACGCACGGGGCTCGGGATAGCGTTGAGCGCCATCACACTCCGAACTACGACTCCCGAACAAGGTCTCTTCATGAGAGCGAACGCGCCCGCCATAGGACCTCCGATGCGTCGAGTGAAGATGTTCGTCGCCGGAAGAATAGTGAGAACGGCTATTCCGCAGGCAAGGAGGACGTCGCACGCCTCTTCTTTAAGCCCATTCGTGAAGACCTCAGGAAGGTCTCGGCTGTTACCAAGGAGAACTACCCCAGTAAAGCGGAGCGGGCTTCCGAGTTACGGAATCTTCTCCGTAAGATCGGTGAATTTATAGATGGTACTTTGAAGGGACAAGGCTCTGTTCATGCCTTAGAGACCCGTTTATGGTTTGTCTCTCGCGTTTATTGTCTTAAAATCTCTCACTGACTAAATGAGCAGGCATTTTGTGGCGGATAATCATTGGCCTAATAAAGAAGCTGGAGGAGCCAAACTCCAAGAAATGTATCGAAAGTTGATGGCTGCGCAGAAAGTTGCAGCTGCCGCCCCAGCTCCCAATGGAAGCTAGCGTAGCTCGCATGGTGCAGCAAAACAAAAAAGATCGTCTACTTCGATTCTGTGGTGTATTCGTTTTCTTTCTTACTTTCTTCATTCACGGTAAATATGCATCATTGGGAAAGCATGGCGACGGCGTCTGGTATGATATATGAAGGAGTGTTGAGCATGAGTGGACTTGATATGATGTTTCCATGATATAACTTGGCTTTTTATGTTTCACATTTATTTCTGTTCTGCGATTGGAGCAAAAGGCTTGCCGACATGTTCGCATATCTGTTTCCCGAGGCTGGTCCCCCCGTGTCCGCGGAGTGATGGACCTTGCCTCGCATTTTGCTTTTCGTTGCTATCTCCCTTCTCGCGTTGTATTCCACAACAGGGACCCCCCCTTTACTGGCAGTGGACCCTGCGGTCATGGGTGTTCACTTCGTTTCATGTATCTTATTGGCGGTGCCTTTCCGGAGTTTTTGACTTCTGCTTTGGATCATTTATCTCCTCTAGGAGACATATTGAGATATCATTAGACGTCTGGTTTCTATTCCTTTCTGAGCTACTCGAGGTTGTGGTCGGAGATATCTACGACTCTTAACTCTATCGATAACCCTGTCTGCGATTTGTGTTGATAAATGGACAAAACGAGAGAACAAAAGAGTATGTTCCAATTCATCTGTTTTCTTTTCTTTTGCTAGTAATGAAGGTAGCCAACTGGCCATGTGGCATGAGCTTCGGGGCAGTTCTACCCCTACAAACGACCTATGTGCTCTGTTCTGTTAGACAGCTTGACTAGATCTATATAACACTTTAAGAGTATGGCCGGTGCAATGAAAAGCAAGGATCGAATTCCTATTCCATAAAAGTACAAAATAACAAAATTCAATACCAGTGTTACCGAAAAAAAGAGAAATCACACCATGACTGACAACCGTGCTCCAAAACGTGGAAAGAATATGATCCGATTAGGTATCTTGGTTCATGAAAGTTATACCCCCTAGAAGACAAGGACAGGGAAGAAGATAAGACAATGAGAAGAGATATGAGGAGGAGGATAAGGTATTGTGGAAGGAAAGATGCGGGTCGAAGAGGCGTAGGTTAATCGACCAAAGTAAAGAAAAAAAAAGGTAGATTATCTCTTTTATGCGGCCACCGACTCTGATTCGGGATTCAGCGTCATTTCCGTATCTGCTGCTACCTCGGGCTGCTTCTTTGCTCCGTTTGTGGCAGCGGCTGATGACACGGGCGCTGCGGCGTCGCTGCCCATGAGGAGACTGAATAGTCGCAGCTCAGCATCACAGACGTCTTCGAAGATGGCCTCCTTCTCCAGAAACGAATGCTTTCTCTTTGGGAGGATCTTCTCCCACTCATCGCGTAGGTCTGCTGTTTCCTTTTCTGCCCAGTGGATTTGTCGACGGAGGAGTCGATACAGTTGTTGCGGCGCAAGCGAGCACTCATAATCCTCGAAGCCGAGCTCACGCTTGTACCCGGAATCCTCCCACTCGTCCAGATAGCCGTCCAAAAGCTTGTTATCATCGGTGACACTCTCACTAGGCTGCTCGGACTCATCCTTAGGCGGTTGCGAAAGCTTCAACTTGATGCGCTGGAGCTTGCTCACGGGGGTCCCTGCAGGGGTGCCAGCGGCGGACGGCGCATTATGATGCTTCGGTACGGGGTCAGATGGTCGAAGAGCCTCCGTCTCATGAACTGTTCTCATATGTTTGGCGAGGGCGTCTGAACGGGTAAAACTGCGGTCACATTCTGGTCACAGGTTAGCTTTTTGCTTTATTTTGCTTTGCTTTGCCCTTTACATCACCCCGAATGGGGGCGGTGTCAAGGGAACGAACGCACCTGGTAGCGCACAGTAGAAGGGCTTTTCTCTCGTATGGCTTCTCATATGCGCGCGCAGTGCGTATCCGCTTGCATGCGTTTGGCCCTTTCGAGTGCAGTCAGACCACTCGCAAGAATACTTCTTCTGTCGGCTGCCGACGTGCTCGTTGTGAATGTGCTGGACTAGGTCGTCCATGTTTCCCAGATCTCCTGCATCGCATCCTTCCCACCGGCATACGGTCACCTGGTCGTTGCCTTGGCCGCTGTAGTCATCATCCTGGCTGCCTCCGATAAGGGCCAGTATGCTGGGGGAGTTGGGGATGTCGCCCGAGGTGTCCGAGGAGATGGAAGACGACGGGGAGGCCGGAGGGATGTCATCTTGGAAGGTTGTTGAGACGGGGGTATTGCGATCCCAGGATGCGATACCGGTGCGGCGGCGCTTGGAAGGAGGCATGTTTGCGGCCGAGGGGGAGAAGCCCTGCTTCAATTCCTCGCGATCCGACATGTCGTCGGAGGCGATGGAAGAGAGAGGGGAACCCGGAGATTCGGTCATTGGGAGAGAGCGGGGGAGGAACAGTAGAAGAGGAATCAGTGAAGTCAATTGTTCGACAGGGACTAACACCAGGTGGTCCTGCGACGGAACAAAGCGTCAATCAGTCAATAGAGGTGTTCAGGCTGGGGCGATCGAGTATACAGCCCGCACGGCACGTGACGAGGCTATTGCGGACGGACAAAATACCGCCCACAACATTTTCCGTGCTTCTTTCCTTCCTTCCTTCTCTCTTCCTTCCTCCCCCTTTTCCTTGTGTTACTTTCTCTCGCCATGGAATACACTTACAGTCGTGCGTCAATCTTCTGGAATTAAAATGGTATTTCTAGTCGATTGCCATTACGACTAGGATGCCCTTAAAATTGAGCGCATTGTTTTTATATACCAGACTGAACTGCAGCGCCGACTACCACCCTGTAATCTCAGCTAATGGTACGTACATTGACTACCCGATCATCTAATCCTTTGTTTGCATGATGATTTTCTATCAAGAATTCTGCAATTCGGACAATCTCCTCAGTTTACTGTGGCGAGATTGCATGTTGACATTCTACACTTGATCTGACTCTATTCGTCACGCATAATTGTTCCAATATCATCATTGGGGACAACAAAGCGCTAACTATCGCAGAACCATCTAGGATACTGTATCCCTTTTAAGGATAAAGAATAATTCTTTGAAACCTAATTTCTTCTATCATTTAGTTCATATAGTGACAAAATTTACCAAGACATTATTGAGAATCGAATCATCCATTACTGTACCGTAACCCCTCAGTACCGACCCCCAACAATCTCATTTCGCGTCAGAATTGCATCAATCTCTGCCATCTCTGCGTCGGTGAGACGAGGCGCTTGCAAGTTCTGTGTTACCTTGGCGCTCGTGGTGCCACCAGGGATAGGGATAATCGTAGGCATGCCAGGCCTGTCGCTAAGAGTAAGAACCCAGGCGAGTGCGATCTGAACGGGAGCAACGCCCTTCCGAGCGGCGAGGTCGTTGACTTCGTTGACTAGCTTGATGTTCTGCTTCATTGCCTCGTCTTGGAACTTGGGCAGCATCTTACGGAAATCACCATCGGGGATGTCGGCGGCGGTAGTGAAGGCACCGGCCAAGACACCCCGTCCCAATGGCGAGTACGCCACAATGGGGATGTTGAGTTCCGCGCACACTTTCGCGACATCGTTCTGGAGGATGGTGAGGTCGAACAGAGATAGCTCAACCTCTACAGCTGCAATCGGGTGCACCTTGTGTCTGTATGCTTGAGTCAGTCATAATCCAGTATAAAACGTAAACCGTAGAAACTAAGGGTCCAGGGATCATAGAACCGGAGGTACGCGAAAGTGAAACAAAGACCAAAAAAGAAAAAAGTAAGAAAGAAAAAAACATACGCTCTCCGAATAGTCTGCGCATCAACCTCACTTAGCCCAATGCCCCCAATCTTCCCCTCCTTAACATATTGCGCAAGAACAGTGACCGTCTGCTCCACCGTAGTGTTCGGATCCTGTCTGGCACACTCAAAGATATCAATCTTCTTCTTCCCATCCAGCAAGCGCAGACACTCATCCACACTGCGCCGAATATTGGCCTCGGAGCCATCAGGCGCCAGCTGGCCCGGCTTCAACCCGCCCTTAATGCTAAGAACGACCTTGTCCGCATTCTCCGGGTGCTGGGCAAAGTAATTATGCAGTAGATGCAGAGAGTTGTGCTCCGGCGTGCCGTATAGTTCACCGGCGTTCCAGAAATTGGAGCCCTGGGCGAGGGCGGTGTTCAGGGCCTCGAAAGATTGTTCTTGCGGGGGTGGTTGAGGGACCCAAGTCATTCCTGCCGTGGGGGGTTAACTAAACTGTAGTTTGGATCTCTTTCCTCCTTTTTCTTTGCTTGCACTTTGCATCATGTATGTCATGGACAAGAAAAGACACAACTACCACTGCGAATTCCACCACAGAAAGGAGGAGAGAAAGAAGGAAGCCTACATACTCATCAACCCATAGCCAGTATGGCCAATATCCCGTCCAACAAGAGAAGGCATGGTATCGCAAGATGAATAAATTGCTTTAAGCGGGAGAAAAATAAAGAAAAGTCACCGAGGAGAGCAGAGAATAAAAAAACGAGCAATTGAGGTGCGACTCAAGTGTAATTTCCAGTCGACGAAGTCGTTTGAATGAAGTGGGAGCGAGGATCTCCACCAGAGAGGCGAAAAGCGGCGGTTTATAAAAGCGAATTGGCGGTATACTCCAGCTCATATCAAGCTTTGGACCTTGCAGCGACCTCCCATCACCACAGCCCAATTGGGTTATCGCCCCATCGGGCTGCTTTCGGAGATCAATAATTCTTGGAAATCGGTCATTCGGCCATTCTTCGTTGGGGATTTTGTGGGGTGACTATCAAAGAGATCAGTGACTGGCACGGTTAGAGGTAGAGAGCCGGTAGTACCAGTAGTACTAGTAGCTGGCAGAGTATACTAGTACTCGGATTGGCCGGACGGTGGCACGGACTTAAGGGCGCGGATTTATCGCGTATGCCGGGAGGATATAGATTCCACGGTTTGATGACCACGCGGTCATAAGAGGCTGACAGCGAAGCTTTTCCTGAAAGTCATTGTTGCCATTTAAGTGTATTCGAGCTAATCTATTGATTATTACTAACAGTTTCGGAACTTTTTCGCCATTGTCCATCCCGTCATCAATCGTTACACCGCTGATAGAGTTCGTTGGGGAACTCGGCTGCTCAACAGAGCATTAACAACACATAATTGATTCGAATAAGAAAGAAAAAGAAAAACCAAAATACAATAGAAGAAAGACAGACCAAGCATCTAGATCATCAGCTGTCACATTCCCATAACGCTCATGATCACCCTAGTTCAAGGTGTGCTCATCACTGCTATGCAACGCTTGCTTGAACCTATCCCTTAGCAACTGCAATAACCCCGACACAAAACCGGAGGGGTCGCTCGTAGGGTCCGCTAGTCCACTCGGAGTCGTTTGCTTTGTGGTGTGGTCGCCACTGGAGGTGCTACTATCCTGTGTTTTGGTAGGCGCCGTGCTGCTACTCTCAGGCGTGGCTTGGTTTTGCTTCCAATGGTTGAGTTTCTCGAAGTTATCCAATCCAAGACTTTTGAAGATATTACCAACCAAGTCATTGGAACCTGGTATCATTCTCTGTCATACACAGTTAGTGGTTTCCTTTCCTAGTTGCTCATCAATGCAGTATCTTTAGGACATACCGGATCCGGATTGCGCCCATGCAACATCCCAGATCTGGAGATTTCCCCGATGGGGTGCGAGTGGCCAATCGAGGCAAGAGCCAGAAAGGCCAGAACAAGCAGGCAAGCTAGGGATGATGCCTTGGCAAGCAGCGCCATTTTTCTTGAATTTCAAACAATCAAAATTAAATGGTCTGGATGTGTGAAAAGTGATAAGCGGTGGTGAAGAGAACTATCAGGTCAGAGGGTATGAAGCCGAGAACGTGAAGTCGATAAAGTATTAGGTTGAATTTGTCAGAGCGATCGTCAACCGCTAGATATACCCTTCGGGAGACTCCCTATCTCCCCCTGGCGGTTGCTTGGCCGTTGTGTGGAATGGGGCGGCGGTTGGGACTCTCTCTCCAGCCTGGATACCACAGACTGCCAAACGATGCACATCTTGTTTGATGCAAAACCGATCGCCAGCATTCTACATACCTAAGGGGCTCGGGTCGTGTTGGTTCTGTGTCGGGTGGACGCTGCCACTGATGCTCAACCGATGTCATAGTCTATGATAGGAACAGTCATCGATAGGAGACACGATCTTCCGCAAAACATACAAGCAAAGCAACCCGACACATTACTTTAAACTGGTATTTGTTGTGTTATCCAATCAATTGGGAGGGGGCTGCGTCAATAAGGGATACCTTCTACATTCCAATGAGCGTCAGGCATGCCAGGGCAAACTTTCAACTGCTGGTAGTTGCCGTACGCAGGAGTGATCCTCACGCCACTTCTCAGCATGAACACTTGATGAAGTCAAAATGAACCCATGGGAATGTGGGAAAATAGATGTATCTGTTAAACGAAGCTCATTGGAGAGGAAGGAGCGATATTGCTTGGTACTAACTGTACTATGAATACCCGAATCGACCCCCTCAACGTAAACGTGTCTTTCCCGGGTTGAGTCGAATTAAAAACAGTCCGGATGTGCATGAGAACGAATTAAGATATCACATGAAATAATTGCAACTTGGCAACGACCTGCTTCTTATTATAGATGTGATTGATGCTACTGCATGATATGAGACATCTTTAGCCACAATAGGGAAGGTCCCTGCGCAGCCCTGCAGTGGCGTCTGGGGGCATCGCCTACCATACATTAGTCATAGTTAGCCCACGTTGCACTTGGCTTTGACGTCTTTTGATAGGGGTGGAGTGTACAGAGTATGATCAACTTCATACCCAAAATCAAACTCCTAAGTCCCATGACATACAATAGAGCCATGGAAAATTAGCTTGCGCACAGATAATGTCGAACTCGGCCACGTATATGGCAATCATTCAATATGCATTGTTCTTTGCGACAACTCAGAAGGCACGAACGTATATCAGAGGTAGTGCCGGATAATATCCACATCCTCGAAGCACTATGTCTATGTGTTCTATCCCGCAGTCGAGCCTCCACTACATGCAGAGATTCCTCAGGACCTATGGCATATGTTTTATTAGGCTTCGTTGCTTCGCGGGCGTCCTTGTATAGTCTCCCCGAACTGTTCTGAATGAAATTGCCCCTAGCGCGTGACTGGGTGATGTCCTTTCAATCATGTTGTGACATCACCTGGGAGCTATCGAGGTTCTAAAGCTGAACCACGGCCGGTCGTATTTGGGAACAGATTTCTCTGTTGTTGTGTCCTTGCGCAGGTATAGGTATTGGTATTCAAGGCAGGCAGGGGGGGGGGCCAAGTTCGTTGCTAGAATATTCACGTATTTTCAAGGCACGCCATCGTACGAGAGCTGTGGGTTGTCCGCACTGTGTATGGTATGGGGTGTTGTCATAGCTAGATAGACGCTGGAGGCCGTCAGTCAGTATATATCTGTGAGATCTGACTCATGCATTGGCCTCGGTGTAGTTCAAGATAGGTAATCGACTTCGTTGTGCTGGCGCCTATAGCTGTTTCTTCGAACCTTTCACTATTGAGCTCCGTGGCTATATCTCATGCACAGGGAAAAGGGGCAGTCTCCTTACCACGCCGATTATTCTGAAAAGCATCTAGCCACACATTGAGGTTGTTGAGCTTAGTACATATTGTGTCAATGGTAGACTTTGCTGGCTAGAAGTGGATGAAGCAATATCTAAGCCCGACCGGGACTGAATCACTAGCAGGTCAGCTCTCAGGTATAGGACTATTGATGCTGCTGAGCCCCGCACCTGAGCTCATGGGTGTGGACAGGGTTTGAGCAGAGGGGTATGAGCGAGCCCGTGATTTGAGGAGGGGGTGGGTATCATACGCCAGGGTCGTGGCAGCGAGGCGAGTAGGAGAGGTGGCAGAGGGAGTGCATGGCGTGAATGGCGTGGAGGAGTTCCTAGGAAGGTGACAGACACCTTGTGAGTTTTCATCATAGACATTGAGGGATGATAGATAGGTCTGGCATACGGTCACATTGAGGTGCCGACCGGAGACTGTCATGATGGCAACGACCAGAGCAGTCTTCAACCTACTGGGGCAATATTCGCTCTGTTCTGAGGGTGAGGAGCGAGTGCCCTAAGCATCGGAGCAAGATGAGCGAACAAAATGCCAAAATTCTGTGTGTATGGGCGTGTGCACAACTAGAATGTACTGGGTTGACCGCTGAGGATTCAGAAAATGCAGGTACAGACCAGTACTCTCGACATTCTTCATCGTATAGCAGTATGACAGATTGAAGCAAGGCAGATACACCAATAATCCTCCAGGGTCCCTCACTAGTGCTAGTTTCCTCGTAGCCAACACATTTCCCACAATGTTCTGCAGGGTATACGACACTTGGTCCTCAACTTGCCGGACAGAAAGTACACGAATCTGATACGACTAGTATTCTGTATAGATTGGCTACACGTCAGAAATTTACGCGGATTAGTGGAACAATTCGCAGCAGCTAATTTACTACCCATGCATACTCATCACCATTGTCAGGACTCAGGAGTAATAATACCCATGACCGTGGCAGATGGTAGGAGGCCCGCCAGAAGGATTAGGGCTCCTCGAATTTGATTAACTCTTGGCCTTGGCAGCCACTCATCAACAAATCAACAATTAAGCTTACAAGAAAGAATAAGCTGGTCCCCGAATACCACCGAGTTTTGAACGGGGTTGACGCTTTTATCCAGGATGGACTATGAGTACGTAGTCATACATCGTCTCGTTCGGATAATCCGATTTGCCAAGCGAACGAGAAGAAAGAAAAAGCGGACCCCAACGAAGGACCGGCAAAAAAAAAAAGAAAAAGAAAAAGAAAAGAGGAAGGCCCTGATGAAAACCAGCCACACAGAATTTGGATCATGGACCCCCGGCCAGGCCAACAGCTAAGCCCAGTTGACATCCATCACACTCCCTCGGCGCTTACTACCGGACAGCCTAATCCGTCGTCCGCCCCACTCCGGACCGGAGCATTCGTATGCACCTACGTAAGTTGTCGAAGGGGAACAATAAAGTTATCATCTTAGCGAAGCGCCGCAATCTCTGGAGAAAAAGGAAACGACCCTGGGGAGTGAAATGTTGCTGCCTTAGGTTGGTTCCACTGGGATGTGGCTCAGAAACGCTGGCTTACGTATGGTCGTATGACGAGCCACAAGGCCCAAAACACTAAGCTTCGGACTAAGAAAAAGTCTAGATAGGTGTGGAAAGCCGAGGATAGGTGGTCTGTGTCTCTTTTCATTATCTTATTCTTATTGTGCACAACACTAGGGCTGTTAGCAGGATTAAGCTGCAGCGCTTAGCTGTCTCTGCTGTCCTCGATACGCCCTCTGTCAAAAGCCTGGCCCCACTCCGTGACGTCTCTGCTTACGTAGTATAGTATACTGTCTGTGATGCTTCATAGCTTGTTAACTGATGTTACTGCAAAAGCGAAGGAATGCTGGGTGATCTTTGCTGATTTTTCTTCTTATTTCGCCCGAACAAGCCTTGTTTCCCCGGGGGGTATACGTATCCCTCATTGTGACATGAGCCGTCTCGTGACAGATGGCTGATCTTCTTTCTATTCCCATTGTAGACGAGAGCATTTCAGAGCATACGCGGAGCACGTACGTATATCAGACTGGGATATGAGATCTGAAGATTCACCCTGGGTGGCTTGGGACATGACATCTTCCATGCAGTCCGAAATCGAACTTTGTAATCCAACGAAAGTGGGCTTGTGAATCTACCGCAGCACCTAATCGTTGAGCCCACACAGATCCTGATGGATCAACGCGTTACTAAGGCACCACTATCTCGATAACATACATAGTAGTACATCGACGGAAGTGAAAAGAAGCTAAGGGTAAACGTCGGGAAATACAGTTCACTGCACGTCGTCAGTATTTCCAGAATTTCAATACGGACCGAGGAAAAACAAACTCAAAAGTCAAAATATTCTCCGTTCGCCATCCAGACCGGTAACTAAACACACAATACGGACAATAAAAAAAACAAGGGTTTCCCGTACCAAACTTTCTTCCGGACCCTGAAGATCGTGTGATTTGAGTCAGCAAGCGTTAAGGTAAAACTGACTCGGTACCCTAAAAAACCATGTTCCCATAAGACTATTGAACAATAATACGGCCTGATATACTGGAACCCTACTTATCGTCCCACGTTCTGCCAACCCATGGATATGCATCCCCCCCTCGGGCCCAAAGTATAGCAACATACAAAACCCCACCCTCTCAACAAACAACAACAGCAAGAGCAAGGAGAGAGAGAGGGAAAAAGAAAAGGAGACAAGAAAAAAAAAGAACAGTCTGATACAGAACCTCCTAGGAACAAAATCCGACATGTCGCATCTGCCAATTGCTAATCTGTACCAGTCTAGACCCCTCGTGGCTTGTTTCAGGTCCATCCATACCTCTTTTTCCCACTCATAGCAATTTCTCTAAATTCACCTTTACTCCGCACACCCACGGGATCCTTCCGTGAGCTGAGACGGTGATCTAGCCTGAGACGGCCGATCGACCCTTACCCCAACCGGTTCTCTTCACCATCAACTTAAACGGGAGGTTTAACCCGGCCATACTATGAACAGAGGCGATGATCCTTACCTCGTCGAAGGCGTAGTTCACGTCATCTCTCGCGCGATATACGCATCGCCTTCGCTGACATCTACGTATGCAACGCGCTATATCTCCGAAATTAAAGCAGACAAAGACGAAGACAGTGGAG